GTATAGTTATATATAGTAATATATACTTTTATAAGTTATTTTTCAAGAAGAATCTAGAAAAAATAACTATATACTTATAGGACTTTTAGTTATAGAGTTATAAAGAGATTTATATATAAGAATTATAAGAATTTTACTTCTTAATTCTTAGTTTTCTCCTTAAGTTATATCTAAGTTATAGATATAACTTATTTTATATAACGTATATATATAACAAGTAGCCTATTATAGTAAGTAGCCTACTTTCTTCTTCCTTTTTAAACTTTAACTTTATATTAATATTCCTTTATATATAATAATAAGTTCTTTTTTAAATAAAAGTTATATTATTTTTGTAATTAAAGCTATTAAAAAAGACCTTAAACTATAACAGCACAACTCCCCTAGCCTGATGGTTATACGTCACAAGGGCATATAAGCAGTGTTAACAGCAGGGCTTGTACGCGTGCAAGCACTGACGGATCTTTTGGGTCAATTGGGTCAATTGGTTAGGCCATAGAGTCAAAGGGTCCTTGCGACCAACGTCACTGTCAGCGTCTGTTACATAAACTATTTATATAAAAAATAGCTTTTATCTATAACGTCCTAAGAATAATACTTTAATATTAACGCGTTAAATAATTACTATACTATAAGAGTTATATGAAATTAATAAAGATGACTAAGCTAAAAGAAATAGTGATTCTTGAATAAGTTATTAACCTAATTAATTAAGGATTTTTACTATAACTTAATAACGTATAAGATATAACTAATTATCTCTTTAATAAATGTAATATAATATATATTAGACCTTAATAGGCAAAGAACTTTATATAACGTTAACTATAACTAAAGACGTATTTTTAATATAAAATTAACTATTAAAGGGTATTAGCTAAGGATCTTATAATTATATAGGCCTAGTTTATTTTTATATAAAATATAATTATAAAGTATAGAATTTATAATAATAATATTTATAATTTTAATAAAATAGGCTTTTTAATAAAAATACTGTTATATATAAAGGTTATTATAACCTTTAATTACTATAAAAGGCCTTGTATAAAGTAGCTTAGTAATTACAAATAAGTTTCTGTTATTCAAGGCGTATATGCAAATAATTAGGTACTACCTCTGTATATTATTATCAAAAGCAAATATTACCTTTTCTTATAGTATATTAATAGCTAATTCTTACCTTAATAATATGTTTATTTTAGTGAAAATAAATAAACTATAAATAAGATTAGCTTAGATTAGTTATAGTATTTTAAAAAGTATATAAAGTCTTATATAAAGGGTATTAAGTAGCTTTTAATTTTTAATAGCTATAATAGCTATAAGTTTACTAAGTTTAACGATTACTATAAGGAATATAGTATTATTATTTTTTATATACTTTTTTATTTATTATATAAGCTTTAGCCTCTTAATATTAACTATTTTAGTTTATTAAAGGCGTTATATAATAAAAAAATTAAAAAAATAATATAAATATAAATTATATATATTACTAAAAATAACTTTTTTTTTACTTTTAAAGTAACTTTTTTTATTTTAATAGGTAAAGAAAACATATAAGCTAGCTTTAAATAGGCTAGCCTTATCCCTTTTAACCTAAAAGTAGTTATTTCTTACCTAGATTTTAAGCTAAAAACGTTAATACTATTTAACTTATATTTAAGTAGCTAAGGCTCTTAGGACCTAAAGACATTAATTATAGTATATAACGCTATATAAAGCTTTATATTACTTAAGAAAAAGATTATTAGTTATTAATATAGCTTATTAACTTATTTATATTAAGTAGTTAATTTATAGGCTAAAGGTATTAGTAAGTTAGTATATAAATTAGCTCTTATTAAAGCTAAGTGCTATAGGCTTTATATAGTAAATAAGATACTAAGTAAGTATTAAAGGGCTAAAAAAACCTAATTATATCTTAAAAGGTCCTTTAATATAGCTAAAGTAAAGGTAATCTAGGTAGAAAAGGGGGTTATTAATACTAAAGGCAAAAATATGCGTTAAGAAGAGGCTTATATAGAGAGGAGTAAATTACATAGTTAGTAATATAGTAATTACAGAAAGACTAGATATAATATATAAATATATTAGGTAGTATAAGAGACCTCTAAAGAAAAGGATAATAAGTAGTTTTAATTAATTTTATATAATACTACTTAATTAACTTATATAAATAGCTAGAGAGTAAGTAAAGATAAGCTACTTACTATAATAAGCTACTTACTATATATGTATGTTATATAAAGAGCTTATAATATAAGTAAATATATATATATATAATAAGAATAATAATATTTTAAATATATAGTTATTATTATTATAGATTAAAAAAAAGGCTTTTTTATTAAGCTAAAAGAAAATAATATTATTAAAAAAAGCAAATACTTAACTTAATAATTAATTAACTAATTAAAAGCTATTAATCTAATTAAATTATTTAAAAGTAATAAGAAAAGAAAAAGTAGTTTCTTTATTATTAATAACTAAATATAGCATTATATAACTATTTCTTTTATATTTATTACTTTAAAAGTAAATTTTTATATTTTTATTTATTTTTTTAAAGTAATTCTTTTATATATAGCTATTATTAGATATATAATAGTTAGAATCTATTAATTTACCTAAAGGGGTGTGTTGTAATGCCTTTACGCGTATTACGTAGCCTTATAAGATTTACGCTAGGCCTAGATTAACTATTAGTCCAGTCTCTTCGTGCAGATCTACTACACAGAATATATATTTATTCGTTTTAGACAAAGTAATCCTGCATATAGAAATCTAAGCCGTTTTCCTTATGTCTTTTCTACCCTAATTAGTGACTCTACAACAGTATTTATTAAGACTTTAAGGTAAAAAAGAGAAAAAATCTATAGCTATACTAGGCTAAGCTACTAGGCCTTTATAGGCTTACTAGCTAGCAGGTCACATAACCTAATCCCTAGCCTCCTTGTCTACTACAGTAATCTACCACAGCTACAGCTACTAGGCTTTACCCTAGTACTAGCTATAGCACCTCTTATCTACTACGCCATAACACAAAATATTAACTTAATGTTTCTAAATTTTCTACTTTACTCTTTAACATTAATTACTCCTAGCCTCTACTAAGTATAGTTTATAGTTCTCTATTAATATACACGTATATCTAGGCTCTATTAAGCTTTTACTACTAGAATAAGATAATATTTCTATATAAATAGATACGTATTATAGATATTTACCTTAGGCCTCTAAGGCTTAACTTTTCCTTCTAATATTTTAAAGCTATAGCTAGCTTATAACAGCATAACTCCCTTAGCCAGATAGTTATATATCACAAGGGCATATAAGCAGTGTTAACAGCAGGGCTTGTACGCGTGCAAGCACTGACGGATCTTTTGGGTCCTTCGGGTCAATTGGTCATGGTCGCGGAGTCTAAAGGTCCTTGCCACAGAGCGTCACTGTCAGCGTTCTGTTACATAGCTAGCTAGAAGAAGGCAGCTAGTAGTATAACTATTGCTGTAGCTATTAATATAGGTAGGTAGAGTTAAAGCTAAATAGAATTATTTTAAACCTTTTACCTTTTTTTATTTCTTGCTTAACTATTATAACCTAATAATCTTTAAGTAATAATAACTTTACTAGGATCTAGAACGTATAAGCAAGAACGTATAAGCGGTATAACGTTTTATAGGTTAACAACTAATAAAAAAGATAACTTTTATTAAGAATAAGATTCTTTCTAAGAACTCTTATCTAATCTAATTAAATCTCTATTCTAATAAAAGCTTTTATATACTTAATATACGTAGTAACAAGAGTAATAGGCTAATAAATTAAGTATTACTTAATCATTTAATAAATACTTACTAAAAGAAATTAAAACCCTTTCAGTCTTTTATTATTAACAAGACTATGTACTATATTATAGACAAAGCTAAAGTAAGTTTGTTTAGTAGCTTAAAACAGTAAAAGCTTAAAGCAATTAGTGTTATATATGTTATTAAGGCTAATTACTTTAAAGAACTGTTTTATATTTAAAGACAACAAGAAAAAGTCTAAATAAACTTAACTAAGCAATTAGGCTTATTTTTTATTTACTTAACGATATATAAGATCTTTTATTTATTAAATAGCTTAATTAACGTTGTAGTTAGTAGGTGTTTACTTGGTTTTTTATCGTTTATATAGGCTTTAGCGTTATAGATGTTTTACTAAATAAATAAGAAGTTTAGGGACCAGATTGACGGCGGCAATGCGTCAGGCTGGCGCGGCGCGGCGCGGCGCGCGGATCCCGGAGGCCACGTGATCTTGCCACGTCATGCAGCTGGTCGATGTTGGCCGCGACGTCGGTGGCTAGAGCGACAAGAGTCATGGGAAGTAGCACGTCGCTGGCGTCAGACGTAGGAGAGTCAAGGACCACAAGTATTAATGTATCTCTCTGCACAGTCTGCCGCGGCTGGAGACCGCGCAACTGCTCAAGAAAATTGACGAGGGCATGCAAACAACCAGACAGATCAGGGATGCCCACAGTGCAACCATGATCGTCTTGCGAGTGGTAACCACGGAAGAAGGCCCAGTAAACTTCGATGAGCTGCCGTTGCAGGGTGTCGTTGAAGGAACCACCGAGGGGGTAAGTTAAGAGAGATCACATGGACCCGTTACTAGAGTTCATGGCCGGAGGCCGTTAAACAACATCTTGGGCGATGGGTCATCCCGCCGGCAGGATAACCTATGTTCCGACACCAGGCTCCAAGGATGAGGCCTGTTCTGTGATCGCCCAGGAATTAACTTTAGTACCTGTCCCATATAGTAATCATTAAGTTCTTTAGTTGAGGGGAATTGGGTTTCGGGCTTAGGAAAGCCACCTCAGTATAAATATCTGGTCGGGGGGTTTTTTTTTTCACCTTCTGCTATTTTTTTTGTTAAGGGCAAAATTAACGTGCATTCATCTTCCTATCTACCTCTTATCTACCGCTTTCACTCAACACAAGCTCCACCACGCAACGATGCATGTTCCACACCTCCATCAAGCGGTCATCCTTGGTATAGTGTTTTATGCCGTAATCTCTGTTGCTGTACCCGTACCCTGGCCAGTAGATGTTGTTAGTGAAGCAGTTGGCATTGCTAAGGTGAGATATGTTCTCAAGCTATTTTGTCTATAATGCATGACTCTTAATTTTCTTATATGTTTCAAAAAGCTCCAAGTAACATGCCAACTATAGGCTGTCAATAGCACAGTTGCTGCGTGCAATGAACTAACCGATTTACAGGTCGACGCGGAAGCCCAGCAAGGCCATGCCGCCAAGAGGCGCGGCATTGATGATAACATTGGTGATGTACTAAAGAGGGGTGGCTCAGCAGGTCATAGTATCAAGGGTAGCGACTCTGTCTCTGGCAATGGTGGAAAAGTGACATTCGATGTCAAGGGCAATGTCGAAGGCGGAGTTTTTGGTGGATTTAAGCAGGGAGACCTTAATGTTGGAGGCGGCGACAAGGTCAATAAGAAGAACGCCAACAAGGCCCTCCTCAAGCTCAGCAACGAGGGAAGCAACACGCAAAACAAGAAGAGTGGTACTAGTAAGAAGGGGAGTAAGAAACCCAACTAAAATTGTCGTACTAAATAGCAGAGGAATCAAGGTTGCAATCGCGCGCATTTTAGGCTTTTAAGTACTAAGTTAAACAGTGATATCGCACTGCTCTTACAAAATCTGCAATTACATGGTTTGAGGCTTGAAGGCTGAGCTTTGGATCTTAGCAACGGTATTGCAGGTTCTCCTTCTGCCACTGCCGGCCACCATCAGGCCTCTACGTAGAGATGATGTCAAAATCCACAAACCACTTCTCCGCTGTCGCCGATTGGCAAGTTGACGCACAAGACTCAAGGCAACATCTTCTCCAAGACCATCATATACGCTTGTCACAAAAATGTCAAAAGAGAAAGAATTACGGAATAAGACTCCCTTAGGGCTTGTGTACATGGAATCGACAAGAACCCGATCTGGGGCCACTTCATTATCTTGCAAGCTGGGTACGCCGTGGCGGGCATTGCCTCGGAAGGCCTGTAGATTGGTATTGTGTAAGTGTAGGCTGTAGTGAAGTTGTTGAAAGAGAGACGGCGATGACCGGTTGTGCGCTGAGTTGCAATGAGGCAAGTGACGTGGCAGAGCTAGTCGACCACCATATCTTGAACTTCTCGTGACACTTGAATACCTGCCCGAGGTGGCGTACATGCCTTGGACATCGAGAATTGGTGGCTCACCTCGGCCCTCCAGCCAACAATACTGCTTAGGTTGCATTCACGCGGCAAGGTTTCAGAGAGACGCCTCGAAAAGGGCGACATCGGTACACAAAAAAGTTCTAAGACATACAACACCAGGTATTCGCTGGTCGTCACCGACCCAACTACTAATCCGGCCCTCACTGGCTTATCTATGGGAGAGCGGACGGGATCCCGAGTTTTCCAGTGGGTATGGTCGTATGTACCAGTTCGTAGCTTTAGATAGAACTATATAGGACTGTTGATTTTTGTCGTCAGTCAACAGGGTCCTATTCACATTGGAACCCACCTTTGAACAAGTAATTACAGGAAGGTATCTTGGACACAACTCAACATATGACTCCCTACCACCAACACCATGATAAGTTAGATGGTAGTTACATAGGATTGTAATCTGTGCACAAGTCACCTCAGGTTAGATGCAACCAAGCCTGGTCGTGGTTTTCATGTGTGCTGTCCGTGGTTGTGCCCCTGTCGCTACGAAGAAGGGAAAGGGGAAAAACGTGGAAGTTATAGTTATTTTTATTCTATCTTGGACACTATGGTCTAGCAGACCGAAGGCTCCGACAATGGCTTCGAATCGACTTCAAGAACCAGGCCATTGCTAAACTCTCTCAACCCCCAGGAGGCCCTCGATAACCCGAGATGTGACACCCTTCAGGCCTTCTCCATCATTGACGAGCTTGATAGCATGCCCGATACCTTACTGGACAAATGCTACGCAACCGACAACCCTAGAAATTTGCTGGGGAGAAGCCGAGCTTATTCCGCACAAAAAGACGACTGAGATCCTGAGCATTGCGAAAGGCGTCTAAAAGTCCCCCTGACGACTCTGGGTTGTCGGAGGTCGACAATACCCAGACACACACCCTGGCCCAAGGGCCACATCAACTCCACATAATCGATACCCAAAGACGTACGGGAATTCTCAACACCTGCAAGTACTTGCCCATGGTATCTAGCGATTTGGACGTGTCCGTCAGCTACGTTACCACCGCCGAGCAAACGCTTGTCGACGCCCTGCGCGCCGGGGTAAAGGTCGGTCAGCTGGTCCAAGAACGGGTTGTTCCGTATTCGTTCCTTATCCGTCGGAGCGTTGCTTGCAGATGGGGGCTGACGGCAGATACCAGAAGCTTCTCGGTGTGTGTTGGCTATGATGGCGGTGATGGTGGTGGTAATGATGGTGTTCGAGACTGAGAGGCCGTGAGAGGTGGTGATTCAGACGCGGAGCCGTGGGGCCTTGTGCCCACATCAAGCAAGAAAACATATAGTAAGCTGGATTGACGCAAAGAACGGAACTGGCAGGAAAGGAGTGGGTGTACGGTTCGAGGGCTCATGTCACTTGGCACGTTGTGGCTGTGAGAAACTGCTAAAGGTGAAGAAGCCTAGCCGCCTTTTGTCCGACATCAGGTTTTGCCTTGAAGGAACTACTGCAAGCGAGTATAAAAGGAAGAAGCAATCACGAGAATATAATGCACGCATCTTCACCTACCCAGTCGTATCCATCAAGAGCTAGGCTGCCGGTACCATGTTAGGCCGAAGCCGCAAGGTCGGCTTCTCAAGATCAAACATGTAGTCACTCATCATGGAATGACCGAATATGAAGAGGATATTCCCCCCAAAAGAAGTATATCAGTTATTGATGCATCTAAAACGATCTCCCAGGAATTGGACTGCACGCTTCGCGTTATCGATGTTCAGCAAAGCGGGATTTCCGGGCCTGCGGTAATGAATGGCGCGAACAAAGTCCCCACACCGCTCAGGGTGCACACTCTCATACCATAGATCTGACAGAGGAAGCTGCGGTTCGTGTCGAAGCCAGAGTTTGATAGCAATTACCAACTGGACCAGAACTTCCGTAATGATGGGCTATTTCCGCCGCCACCGCCATCGACAGGAAAGCCAGTCTTCCTCCCCCCAAATGTGTGTCAAGAGGCTCTCGAGGTCTTCTCTGGTATCATATTCGGCATTGATGTTCCTTGATGTAGCCGCTTGAACAATGATCTCAGCTTGAGCCTGATCCCGAATCAAAACCGTCTCGAACCAAGATGACATGGGCTTAGACGTTGAAAGTGACTATACATACGACTGTCTTCACTGAAGCTGTTAGCTATTTTTCTTCAAATTCACTTGTTTAGAGACGAACTTTTACTTGCCCAGTGCCAGTTTCAAAGACTTGCTATGGACGAGTAACACGTGATATGATTTGTTTTCAAGTCACCTACTTGTTCTTCCACTTGTTATCATGAAATCACAGTTACTCGTGGTTATGTATCCCTTGGAAAAAAATTATAATTCTTGAGCTTCCGAGAGAAGATGTTTTAGAGAACTTGGGACGTTGGCCAGCGTTGGAAACCTAGTGATACATCCCCATCATTATGAATACAGCCGATGACACCCGTAGAACACCATGGGAAGCAATTATGAGTGACGAGACAAGAGAAAAGGGGAAACAAAAAGAGGTGAGCGGAATCCTCCTGTTAGGCCTATCAACTCCTGCTGCGGTTCATCTATGTTGTGATAGGTGGCAATCAAGGCAAAATTACAAACATCATGGTAATATGTCATAGAAACAGAATCTCTGACAGAATAATGTCATGCCTAGTTCCAATAAGCCTAGTTAAGGGGAACATCCGCTTTCCTCGTATGATCAGTCTTTTTCATGTTCCCGTTTGTTATGTTGTCATGAGTAATTAAGGCTAGTTTTCCTATTTGTACTGTGCGATTGATATTTCACACTGACTGAACGGAGCGATGCCTTTTCTGAAGCGGATATTTGCCGAGGCAAAACCCCCGCAGAGCAAAGCGCCTTGTCCCCCCTCTCATCTCTCACCCAGTTCGGTACATTGCCGACCAACTTACTGATAACGGAAGAGGCGATTGCACTGCAGCGAAACATAATACCACTGATCCGCTGCTCGATATCATTTCTCAAGTGGCTGCCAGGGATAGCTTGTACCAAAGCTTTGACGGCTGTGTCTGCTAATGTTCGAAAATTATGGAGATCGTATGGCAATCGACCGGGACGCCAGGTAAAAAACGATCCTCACAAGATATGTTTCCATACACGATATGCCATTCTTGGCCAAAATTAGCTAACATAAATTCGTTTTTACCTTGCGATAGTTGTCGTACGAGGAAGAAGCGTTGTTATCATGTTGCAGCAGTCGAAACGGCCTATCCAGGCACGCGTGATAACAGGCGCCCACCTGATGTCGGCTCGCCGATGGCCACCCGCGATTCTAGCCCGAGTCCTAGTCGAGTCAGTCTTTACAATCCCGAATCCGTACTAGCAGACTTGTCAATGCGGTCTGTAACAACAACAAACGCGATCCGGCCCGAGCCATGTCAAGTACACCCCCACCGTCGGAGAAACCGTACACAACCAAATGAAAACGGCTCATCTGCGGAGGAGAATGCACAGCGTCAGTTGCTTTGGTACAGTAGACACAGACAGAGAGCCATTCCTCTAGAGCTATCTGAGCATTATAAGCGCTATCTCGAAGATGAGGGAGCGTTCCTTCAACTACCCAAGTCAACGACAAATATGCTCTTGCCAATTTACAACTCGTTTCTGGACGAGCTGATTCCCGTTCTAGATGGTGGGATCATGTTTCGAAGCTATAGCAACGGGTGTGCCTCTAGATATCTAGTACGGGCAGTGTGCTTGGTGGCGTGCAAAACCAAGCAAGCGACACCGTTTCTACGACTACGTGAGGACGGACCAAACCTGAGCCAAGCGGAATTTTCAACAAAACTACTGACTGGTCTTGACGCAGCAATGAAGGCGGATCTTGAGCCCGATCGAGTAACCAAGATCCAAATTTTGGCTTTGATGCATCTACATAATGACGGCCTTGGAGGAGTAGACCGCTCGTCAAGCTATCTATGCCAGGCCATTTGTGAAGCTTGGTCGATTTCGCTGCATGTGAAAGTCCCGGTCAATGCAGACCAAGAGCAATGCGACCTTCTTTGGTGGGCACTCCGGAATTTTGATCGACTCAATAAGCCAGTCATGGGCGCTGCTCCTTTCATCATTGACGATACCGATATCGGCATTGATCGCACCAACCCAAGACCTGACAGTTACAGGTCACAGCTCATGGCCGTATCTCTAAGGCTGGGAGATTTGATGACCACATCAACTAGGGTCTACAAAGCCAGCTCTAAAGCTACTGTCGATGATGATTTGAATTTCCCAACGTTCACGGATTTAACGTCGGGTATAGCCCTAGATCGTTTCGACAAGTCACACAGGTGTACGTTTTCCTTCAAATTCACACGAGAGGTAATGCTAAAAAGCTCAGCGTATCTACAATTATGGTATCACATTGCTGCAATGCTTTCTTGTCGGTACAGTGGACCAGGAAGCGTACAATACGTGCGGCGTTTAACGTCCGCGGACTGCGTCCTCGAGATTGTTACGGAAGAGGGGCCTGATGGTCTGCCACCACTCCCTCTGGTTCCTTATGCTATGTCAATGTCTACTACGGTGATCTATCGGGCTTTGCGAGACGGTGAGCGACTACCTGAAGCAGCGTACCGAGACCTTGAGGCTTGTTCCAACAACCTGAACATCCTCAGTCAAGTATGGAGTAGCGCAAAAAGCGTTGCAAAGCTCGTCAGGAGGTTGCGCCGGTACACAAGCCCAGGTATATTGTATAAGCACTCATCTGATGACGCCGCCTGTAGTTGCGAAAACCCACAACCAGAACTAAAAGACCAAACGTCCGGTGGAGACCACACTTCTTCGTCCGATTCCCATGGCCGTGGTCGATGGCTAGACTGCTTACAGCCCCCAATTTTCTCTGCCTCTACGTCAACTCAAGCTAGAGATTGTCTGGAAGGACATAGCGATTTAGATGCCCGCGCTCTACAAGCCCAACACAACGATACTTGGTCGGGGACTGGCCTATCGTATTCAGATATTGATAGGGCTTTTTACGACTTCTTTGATTACGGAATGCCTAGCATCTTTCGTGATCCGGCCACATTGGACTTTTTGCAAGTAAATGACTCCCAGGGTATTTCGCCTTTCAACCAATAGCCATATTTTAGCTAGGACCTTGAACATACAATTCCCCGATTGCTAGCAATTCGATTACGGGCGATTTTAGTATTGACGGTGCACCGAAACCAGCCTAGAGAAACACAGAAGTAAACTTTTATGAAGCGATGAGCTGAAAAGATATAATGCCGTACCTCCGGATCGTATACGTTTACGACAACATGACGGAGAAAGCCGGCGGTATTATATCAACTAGGTAAGTAATTCAAGATAGCTCAACTCGTACCGCGCTATCTTACTGTATTACAGTCGGATACGCGATCTTGAATGGTAGTGAGTTTCGGTGACCGAATTAGGCTAGGTCAATCGATGTTAATAAGAAAATTGACTGCAAAGGGCTTCAATGATGCCATCGATATGTCGGAAGCAGAAACTGAGTCGATATAACAATGGCTTATTGGCTCTATTGCATTTCAGATACTGGAGTCCACAAAGGTCTGATGTGTACTCGTTCAGTTGCATACACAGTTCTTGAGCAACGAAATTACATTTTTTGGTTCAGATGTGAGTACATATAGCAAGTGCCGAAAGCTGCCTAAAAGATTACCAGCCGACATTGTTCGGAGTAGCACCAACCAGAGTTAGATGTATTAGGTGCATTCTACATGGACGACTTTCCAGGTTTACTAATCCGAGAGAAGATCTGATCACTTACGGCTCCTCTTATAACGGCCGGCAGTATATGGAATATGCTAACGCAACAGGAAATACTGACTACAGAATGAATACACCACGATTCTCTCTAATACTCGAGTATAATCGGCCGAAATGTCTTTGGGGCAACATAAATCTTCCATGAATCAAGAAACACGAACTTCAAGCTGACATAAGGCAATCGGACACAGGAACACAGGAAGCAGTTGGTCTAGGAAAGGAAGGTTGAGAATACATGGCGACCGATGAAGGGATGTGGTTGGCGCAGTCAGGTATATCTGGAGACCGAGAATGCCCCAAGTGTGCCGAACATCCTGTGGGAAGAACCCGAGCTCCTAGTAGTCGCACTAAGACGGGAGGCCGGAACATAGACCGTGCTCTCCACTGACGGGTTACTCTCATTGGACAGTCTAACAAGGATTGGACCAATAGAGAGTTCCATCATTCAAGCTCAATGCCGTATTGTGCTGGACTGGGGCCTTTGGACCCCGTTGTGCCGTTCAAGGTCCCTCTCCGTTCCGACCGCGTTGCCGTTGTCCCTCCGTGCCTCCCTGTTATCTCTGGTGTCACAACTGTCTTCATTTGGCTTATCTCAGCTGGTATCTTGGTTGATAAAATCTCCTTATCTTCTCACGTTTCCGCAATTGCCCACAACCTGGCGCCTGTTCCATAACGCTCTTCCCTTTACCCATCACTTGTGAGAATGCATATCGGTGCGAAGCTCAGTTCCCACTTACATCCTTCGTCTCCACATCATCTTTTGTGCACCCTTATGGCTTTCTTCACTTTCTCGCCTGTGCCGTCTCCTCAAAGGAGTTCGCTTCCCAACTCCCAGTATGGCGGCATCACACAAGGATAAAGTGGCAGCCAGTGGTCTCAAAAACGCCATTACGCGCAGCGACAGTGGCAACAATGAGAAGGGCATCGCCGGCTCCATCTCCAACACCAATGTTGACAGCGCAAGCATTCTTGTAGATCGTGACAATGCCGACCAACTCAAGCGTCACTTGACAAACCGCCACATCCAGCTGATTGCTATCGGTGGTTCCATTGGTACGGCCCTGTTCATCAGCATCGGCACTGGTCTCGAGCGCGGCGGCCCGGCTAGTCTTTTGATCGGTTACACTCTCCATTCAGTCATGGTTGGACTCGTCAACAACGGAATGGCCGAGATGTGTACCTATATGCCCGTCACTGGTTCGTTTATTCGCATGGCTGGCAAGTGGGTAGACGAGTCATTCGGCTTCATGGCTGGGTGGAACTTTTTCCTATACGAAGCCTTCCTAATTCCGCTCGAGATCTCCGCGCTGAATCTAGTACTTACTTTCTGGCGCGACGACATAACTGCCGCTGCTGTGTGCGTAGGATGTATCGTTCTGTATGGTGTGCTCAACGACGTCGCCGTCAAGTACTTTGGCGAAGCCGAGTTCTGGTTGGCTAGTGGAAAGCTGTTGCTGATCGCCATAGCTTTCTGCTTCACCTTCATCACTATGGTCGGCGGAAACCCACAGCGCGATGCCTACGGCTTTCTCACTTGGCAGAACCCTGGTGCTTTCGCAACATACATCAACACCGGCGATTTGGGGCGATTTCAAGGCCTGCTAGCCTCTATCTTCTCTGCCGGTTTCACCGTTGTTGGTCCCGAGTACATTTCCATGGTTGCTGGCGAAGCTATGCGCCCGCGCCTCTATGTGAGGCAAGGATTTAAAACTGTCTACTGGCGCTTTCGTGTTTTCTTCATTGGAAGCGCCATTGCAATTGGCATCATTATTCCGTACAACGATCAGAAGCTCGAGAACGCCGGCACCGGAACTGCAGAAGGCTCGCCGTACGTTATCGCCATGCAGAATATGGGCATAAGCGTATTAGCCCACATCATCAACGCCCTACTCTGTACCAGTATATTCTCGGCCGGAAACGCCTACACTTATTGCGCCATGCGTTGCTTGTACGGCCTTGCACTCGACGGCCAAGCCCCCGGCATCTTCAAAAAATGCCAAAAAAAAATGGGATTCCCATCTACGCATTCGGCCTCACCATGCTTTTCCCCTTGTTATCCTTTCTGCAAGTATCCAACAATACTGCGCAGGTGGCCACATGGTTGCAAAGCTTGACTCAAGCTGCTCAGCTACTGAACTACGTCATCATATCGATTGTCTACGTCTTCTTCTACAGAGCGTGTAAAGTCCAAGGGTTAGACCGCAAGACTTTGCCGTACTACGGGTACTTCCAGCCATACTGCGCCTACATCTCAATTGTCTGATGACTTTCATGGTCACCTGCTTTGGATACACCACGTTCCTTCCGGCCCTTTGGGATACCCTAACGTTCTTTCGTATTACACCATGATCTTTTTCGGCATCATCACTTTTTCCACATGGAAACTCCTGAAGAAGACTCGTTTTATACCCGCTACGAAGGCTGACCTGATTTGGGATAAACCCATTATCGATGCGTATGAGTCACAGTTTACGGAGCCTCTAACCCGGCTCCGTGATGATATACGAAAGATTTGGGATATAAGAAAAACCTAAAGAGGACTGTGGATTGATCGAAAATTTAAAACAGATATGGCGAAAGCTTACATTAAGCCTATAGTGATTTGCATGGAGAAGAGGAAACTAATACAAATTTTAAAGCCAGTTTACTTGTCAATAATTGCATTGTCCCGTCTTGGCTTTAGTGACATCTTTCAGGTTACACAGTGACTTCGTAACTTTCACGCATCTTCATTTGAAACTTTTTTGACGCGTCTATTTTGGTTTTTGGCCTGGCAGTGTTTAGAGCTTGATCATGGCGGTTTTGCGTTCTTCAAGTCAATCTTCTCATCATACCAGTTTCACTACAGCAAAGTTCATTCCTACCAATTCACATCACTTGGATTCTCCGCCAAAAGAAGACAGGGGACAATTTCAGTCCGGTTTTCTCACCATATCACCTCCCTCTTAACATAAAGCCTGCAACAACGGTAACTGTTTAGCTTGTTTTGTGACTCTTCACCTTTTGCAATGCTTCTGTCACGCCTGCCCATCTCATTTGCTCTTGTCACTTTGTTAGATTAAGCTCCGATTGAAGAAATAATTGCAGGTGCTAGAAGTCCTGCGCAAACATTAGAGCCTCAAACACTAACCTCTCAAAGGTTTTCATGTCGATCACTGCTCCAAACCTGTTTCAACTGTCTCAGCAAACATTCCGAAAGTTCATAATGGGAAATACCTTCGTACCCGTGGCATTTTACAACAGCTTTCAACTTTTCTGCGAGCCTCCAAAGTCTCTGCACTTCGATTCCGCCAAATTGGGGTCGATTTCGTATGTGTTCCCATGCTTGTGTAGGTGTAAGCTCTCCTTCGGAGCACAGGTCGGATGAAAGATTCAGCAAACGATCAAGCAACCCGGCTGGTGCATTGTGATAAGGAGGAAGAACCGGTGAGTGTTCTTTTGAAGGGTGGAAATGCGTGAATAGAAGTTGTGCCGAGGTTGTTAAGGCATGGCCTGTGGGCTCGCCAGGATTGCTTAAATCGACGCCGAGATGTTCCAGACATGGATTCTCGATTCTGCGATAATAACATCAGTCGCCATGCCTATTTAGCCAGCGCTTTGGCATCACGACTGTCGCACACTCCCCATCTCATGTCATACTAGGGTTAACTTACGTCAGCACAAACTCCATCCCGACCAATATTGGGTCAAGCTCGCACATCCTACTACCGGAGCTACCGGATCCCGCGAAAGCCTGGTCAATCTCAGGCCACGATCTCTCTAAAAGACGATGATACTCGTTGGAATAACGGTGTGGCTGGATGTATGAATTTTCCACGTTGCCGACCTTTTCAGTTGGGGTTTGTAAACTACTCTTTGGGGTTGTTTTGGCAAAACTTGTGGAAATATCACAAGAGATCCCGGAGGTGCCCAAGGTCGATGATTTAATCGATGATTGAAACGATATGTCTTCGTTAATCGCATCAGTCAAGCTCCTTTGCTTGTCGAAAGTGCCTTCTTTAATGCTCATCCCCAGATTAGGAGGCATCTTGATTCCGTTTTCCGTTAGCAACTCTGCGAGTGCCTGGACAGTGGCATATAGTTGCCCACACCGAGCCATAAGCTCGGCTTCTTTCGCCCTGCTCTGAGCGATGTCTCGCTCAAGGGCTTTGGTGTATTTGTCCTTGCGCTCACGGTAAGATCTGTTGGACAACCAGCGATGATTGTTTAGCAATCCGCTTTTCAACAGAAATGTAAAATGGAGGAATCCTACCGTTGAGCATTTCTCAGCTGTGCCCGACGTTTATCATCAGGGTCTTCTTTCGGTCCTATAATGCAACGCAGTAGGCTTAGTTCCGTAAACAGCAAGGCTTATAGTACAGAGTGCGCTTTATTCATTACAAACCTCCCGGATTGAAAATGCGAAATATTTTATGGCTCATCTTAGCCTGATATCTGGAAACACTGATCGATTGAATTGAACTGACTTTCTGTTCGCGGAGCCTTCGTACGAAAACAGGATCTTACTGAACATGTTGTTGTCAATGTGCTATTGTGGTTACTGTAGGGAAACAGGCAGGTTTACAGCAATGCAAGTTGAACAGGGGTTAAACCCCAGTTCATGACAGTTTCAAGTTGGCGTGTGGCGCCGGATGTTCGGCCGATGATCACGCAGCACTCCATGTTTCATCTGCCACGATGAGGTTATCAAGATTTCCTTTTTTGGACTAGCTCTGACCACACGTCTGGGAAGCATAAGGCTTCTTAGGCATCATATGTGGCTTGAAACATCATGATGAGTGCCCTTAGCTTCGCTGATGTGGAATCAAATAGAGTCCTCGCTTATGGATTCTTGCATACGATTCACCAATAACTTGGTGAATAAATCTTCATGATGCGCCATGCGAAGTAGCACCCATGAACCACAAGGATATCTCAGAAACCTTACCAACTAAATTTTAAACAGTCATATTCAGCCTTCAATAGATGTACTGTAATCTGATTTTCCTAAAGAGGAAACTCTGATTACATGTACGGTCATCAATCTGACTTAACCCTTCTGAGTGTGTAGAGCGGTCTGACTTTGTATGATGGTGGTTGGGTCCCCTGTGAGCAAAAACTGTATTTATTCCTCTAAGTACTGCGCTGAAATGATGAGATAACTACTTATTTCTCTGTAGATTCTTGCTTCTTATCAATTGATTGTCATCCCTCTCTACTTCATTTTACACGTGTGATTTCAACATCTTCAGCTTCGCCGACGAGACACATTGTCTCCACCCTCCAATCCGAGTGTGTCACAACTATCGTTCCTTTACTTGGTACAATAAATCCTACAATGCGTTCTGTTCTGACGCTGCTGTTGTTGGAGACATTCTCCGCCACTGTTGGGGCTGGACCAGCCAGGTGCAAGGGAAGAACCGCAGTCGGGAAAGCAATATATACAATCACCAACGACAATGCCAATGCTGTCATTGCCTTGCCAATATCTAGTAACGGAATTTTGTATGATGGCTCTTCAACCTTGACCGGCGGTGCCGGCTCGAATTTCATTGACAGCAATACAAACGGACCGGCGGCACCGGACGCCCTCGCTTCTCAATCGGCCATAACCATTGCGGGCCATGTAAGAAACCCAACTGAATCAACCTCTTCTTAGACCTTTTCAACTAACAAAATCTCTCTTTGCAGAGCCTGTTCGCCGTCAACGCAGGGTCCAACACCATTTCCATGTTTTCGATTGATCAATCCGACCCTACCAAACTTACTTTGGTTGGTCAACCTGCTGCAGTCCCTGGGCAATTTCCCAACACAATCGCTGCATCGCAAAAGAATAAGCTTGTCTGCGTGGGATCCTCAGGCGCCAAGTCAGGCATTTCCTGTGCCAACTTCTCCGGAAACGGGATCGGTGCAATGGATACGCTCCGTTCTGTCGATCTGAACCAAACTACTCCACCAGTGGGACCCACCAATACCATTTCCCAGGCATTTTTCTCTGATGATGAGAGCACTCTACTTACAACCGTTAAAGGAGACCCAGCAAAGAACAAAACTGGATTTCTTGCTGTCTATCAGGTCGAATCTGGGAACGGCGGCACATCTGTTAGTCAGCGTGGAGTGCGTTCTTCACCGAGTGGGACTGCGGTGCTTTTTGGTTCGTCCGTTATCCCAAACACCAACAACTTATTCGCCACGGATGCATCGTTCGGTGGCGCAGTTATATTACTTGACAAACGAACAAACATCGCGTCTCTTAAAGCAATGGAGGCTGTTGGTGGCCAGAAAGCAACTTGCTGGGTTGCAATTTCCCCAGCAACAAACACCGCATTCGTCACCGATGTCGGAACAAACAGATTAGTGGAAATGTCATTAACTGATGCAAGTATCAAGAGTGTTCTGGATCTCAGTGCGAATGCTGATCCTGGATTAACTGACCTGAGAGCTGCTGGAAAGTTCGTCTATGCACTCAGCCCTGGCAACGGTACAACGCAGGCGGCAATTACAGTGGTGGATGTGGTTAGCAGAATACAGGTTCAGCATTTTGGTCTTCAAGAGCTTGGGGCTGGAAAGAATTCGCAGGGAATGGCTTTACTAATGTGAAGTTTTGTGGCTGTTGCAATGGCGTTACAGTATAGCTAGGCTATTATAGGTTGCTACTCACACAAACATGAACAGATGTAGCCAATATCTCTATGAACTATGTTTGTTCACTCAAAGGAACAATGTTAGAGTGCTAGAAGGCTTATTTTCTATCTTCTTTGCGCTACCCTCTGATATAATCCAACCATAAACCTCGAGAAGGAAGCTCGTAACCTTGCTTCTGAAATTTGCTGATCTTGGGCAAGTGAAGGAACTTGCTCCTGTAATGTCAAACGGTTGCGGAGTGGGGCATGAATACAAAAATCGGCCTCTTGGTCATCTTTGATGTATACGGCCTATTTCCTGTCAATCCTACTTCATTAGCTAACCTTTTCAACTTTCCACTGGTAGCCAGCCTTCCAGTTATAGACCTGTCTACCAGGAAAAACTACCTGGACAGTAACACAAGCATTGCACAACAAGCTAGCCTGACTATGCTATCTCCAATTGTGTACTTGACATCTCATGTACAATCATTCCCATCGAGAAGGACTAAATGTAGGTCCTTACCAGCATCTAGAGCAAGACCGCATAAGCTATCCCCATATTTAAGGAGTATGATACCAAATCAATGCTGTCGCATGCAACTTCTTCAACAAAAGAAAAAAAAAAACCCCAATACCATGAAACGGTATTTTCAAGGCTATTGTTTGCTTACAGTATGTACTTTATTGGACCAAGTGGCGGATCTTCAAGGCGATGATTGTAGAATTTAGTGGATTAATAGCTGCAGTTGCCTGACCTTTCGATCCTCCTTAACATTAAGTAGCGATGTCTGTGGTAGACATACGCCCGTAGTGACTGGAATGCTAGGGACTTTGTTCAGGTCTATGCCATGCATGTGATCAACTCTTGCTGCATTAACTAGCCCATTACGCTACATTTAAAAACTTACACCTCATTATGAAAATGAATTATTCCGAATTTCCAGTCAAACGCAGGCATGCGTCTGAGCCTCTGTATGTCGCGGGAAACCACCATTCTCTGTGCGGCGATCAAGGTCGAGATGCCTAAGCCTTGGGAGAGGCAGTGGTAGTGTCCTCAAGTTGGGTGACGTTGCCCTGCGTCTTCTCGTTGTTCATCGAGGAGCTCTCAATATCGACACGTTTCCTCTGTACATCATCCTTAAAGCCAAAAAGGTCATTCATGCCCTCCAAAGAAAGACCCTTTGTCTCAGGGACGAAAAACCACACAAATACTGTCATAGAAAAACACCAGACACAGAAGAAGATATATGTACCGTACCCGCCAGTTCCCAAAGTCTCAAGCATTGGAGGAACGGCACGAGAGACGACAAAGTTGAAAAGCCACTGGGTCGCAGCTGCGAAGGAGACATTGGTTGCACGGAGACGAGCAGTGGCAATCTCGGAGACATAAATCCAGCAGCAAGGCCCCCAGCCAAACTGAAACATGCAGGCGAACAGGAAAACGCAGATGAGCGCAATGTAACCGGCAGCTGACACCTGAGAATCTTCCTGTTCCTGAGGCCTGGCCACTGCGATGAAGATACCAATGTACAGCATCGTCGAACCTTGGCCGATACCGGTCCACAAGAGGGACCTGCGGCGACCAAGAGAGTCGGCAACAAAAAGCAGGAAGACGGCGACGGCAATCAACTTCACAAGACCGTAGATGCCAGTCGCAAATAGCTCGTTCTGGGTGCCTTCGACGCCAAGGCTCGCAAATATTTGAGGCGCATAATAATTGATGGCGTTGGTACCTGACAATGTCAGTCTGGGAGCAGTAACACCACAGATGCTGCGCCACTTACCCGTCATCTGTTGAAAAAACATGAGCAAGATAGAGATGATAGCCCGCTTGCGATTAGATGGGACCAGCCACATTTCTCTTTGCAAGCTCATCCAGGTTGCACCATTAAGAATGGCGTTTTCCTCCTCGATAGCTGTCCTGATGTTGGCGAATTCTGCAGCGACATAAGGATGGTCAGGAGGTAGAGCGCGGATATTGGACAGGACTAATAGGGCCTCTTCCCACTTGTCCTGCTTAGCGAGGTGGCGTGGCGATTCGTTACAGAGAAACATAGAGATCATGAGTAGTATGGGAGGCACACCCTGGATGACAAGAGGGATCATATACCTAGCAGTACCTGTAACGTGCTGAAGGCAAGCGAAATTGATCCAGTAGCTGAGGAATATTCCAAAGACAATGAATAGTTGGTAAATTCCGGTCAGACCACCGCGAATAGCTCGAGGGCGTTTTCGGCGACGTAAAGGGGGTTGACCATAGACGCAAAACCAGTACCGAATCCGGATATGAATCTGGGGGCAACAGTGTTAGTACAGTACGTTGTCAATTTGGTTGTCAGCGGGTTGTAGAGATGGAAGACTCTTACCTGCCAACGTACATGGCTGCGAGGTGACCAGAAGCAGCAGCCTGAAGAATGACACCAATGACGGAGATACCACCTGCAGCCCAGATAAGGACGGGGCGACGGCCAAATTTATCGGCCGCTTGAGCAGCAAGGAGAGCGCCAACAAAGCATCCGGCCTGGAGAGTAGAGACAATGTTTGCACTGAGGTTTGCACGGTCCGTAGAGGACATATCGACGAGATCGTAAAGTCTGTTCAAGGGGGTGTGCTAAGTTAGCCAGCGAACTGAGCAGCTCAAACATTTCGGGGGTAAAGCATACTCCTGAAACTCTTTCATACGAAGAACACCGCCAATGACACCGGTGTCGATGCCGAAGATGAGACCACCAAAGCAGGCAGAACATGCGAGAGCGTAGACCCTCCATCCGTAGATTTCGGGGGGTCCTGCTTCATCGCCTCATTTTTGACGATCTTTTGAATAAGAGAGGTGCCCATGGTTGCAGTTGGCGGGGGAGGGTTGTGGTCGCGATTGGAACACAGCCAATATCCCGAGGCTATTGTAAGGGTCTTAAGTCTATTGCAAAGCAAAACCGGAAAGGACGAGCCTGTAGGATAACAATAAGAAATTCTCAATGTGACATCGACAGGCTCAAGTTTTTATATGTCTGCCTCGTCCTTCATCTCCGAAGACACCATGGTGTTCGATGAACCCAGAGTGTCCGCGAATCTGGTCGCTTCTCGGCAAAATGTAGTTGGACATGTTTGATGGTGAGGAGAGGAAAGGCGGAGTCCGGGGATGGAGGTGCTGGGCAAATCCAAGAGAAGCTGGGCGACTGGAGATTCTGGCTGACGCGAGACATGAAAGGGCAAAGTCGCAGAGTTGACGCGTACGGCCGAGCGTTGGCATTTATTGGCTATGGAACTTGGCTCTCAAATATCAATATGAGGTGGCGGGGATTGTGCTTGGCCAGAGTGAGCGGCCAAGGCAAACCCATATTCCGGGGGCAATTCCAATTCCTCAATGGTGGAAGAGCCCACATGCGTACGCCGAGAAATTGCTATTCTTGGGCCAAGATGGAAGAACATCAGCCCACAAATCGCGTAGACAGACGCCGGCGGAATGCATAGGCAATTATCGGATAACGCCTGGTCGCAATTGGAGAAGCAATTGGACATCCACCTTCGGAAACCCATCACTCTGGACCGTCGAGGTCCAGCCGGGGGTTATCCGTATAAGGCCCATTGACGCTGGCAATTTCTCCGGCTCTTTTGTCAGAGCCTTTCTCACGCCCTAGGATACGTGCTTCAAGCTAATTCTATCACCGGGCGCCACGAATGGCCTCGCTGGTTTTGGCTTAAAACTATTCTCTGCTAAATCTTTTGCCTTGTTTTCCAGTGTCTGTTCGGGCTTCTCGTGTCTAAGAAACCAGATAATGAAGGCCCTTCATCGGTAGGATTGTGGAATGGTAACGCGTCTTTCCGGCTTCTTTCTGTCTTTCGCAGTACCACAGGCACATTGCAGCTATACAAGAGACATACCCTGTCTCCCTATTTGGCTTCGGCAGGTACCAAGCCAGAAGGTTTTAGATAGGTTCGTCTACCTTGAGTCGGGAACAGATTGCGTCCCCATTTGACTGACTGCATACGACGAATGAACCTGGCCGCAATAGATAGGCAGCTTTCTTGCGCCAGGATATCTTTCGTATCGACTCCCATGCCGATGTCTGCCTGGTCAAGCATCTACTTGCAGGCAAGTGGAAAATAGGATGGTGTACAGCTCTTCCCGTCATTCCCTCTACAATGGTATAATAACTTGAGCGGCAAAGTCTCCCATCTTGCCAATGTGATCTAAAACAAAGCCGTCCACTGTTTTTATTCGGTCTTTAATGAAACCGCGGCTGGGATTGGGCTTAATCATGCCGCTGGCGTTATAAATACGACGTCCATGTCCAGGGGCCGAAATGAGAGAATCGGCATTTCCTCGGCCTAGAAATATTTTGTCAACAGTGTATTGAGACATCCAGACGGCAGCCTCTCCTCCGTGGCAGGGGCTCGGATACCCAGGAAAAGAGTAAAATATCGATCATCTTAGATCGTCCGAGAATAAATTCGAGACACTGTTTGTAAACATTGTAACCGGCTTGCTGTAATGGACAATAATGAAGCCAGGACTTTCCATGAAGTGCTTCTCGACATACATAAGACTACGGTCCGAAGCGGAGGGGCCGCTATATGACTTGACGTGTCCGGGCGCAGGGGGTCTAAGGGAAGTATTCTTTCTCTTCATGTCTCCAAGTAAGACGTCGTCTAGAACCGAGTTGCATGGCTTGCGAGGGAAAGTTGCACGGAAGGTGATTGTCGATGGCGCCTGAAGTGACTCATGGTTCAGGGCGCAATCTTATAGTTCATCTTCCGAAGAGTCCGGATCGAGCCGAGGTGAGAGTTGAGGTGTCTCAAGTAACCGGTCATCCAGCATTGTAGCAGATTCATTGGCGTCGGGTTGGGCATTATTTGCCAGCCATAAAACTGCATAGATGGTTTCATATGATTTGATGGGTTTGAAGGCCGTCAAAATAGAAACAAATTCCTTTACTTATAGCAGTTTTCCAGAACAGTTCCGTCTTCAGATCGGAACTTGGTCGTTAGGTCAACAACAATCTTGGCACCCAGTGTGTCAACGTCGACTAAACAATCAAGATTATCTTTTCAGGTTTTCTTGGGTCTCGAGAATCCTTTGAAGATCGGACTTTCTTGAGATAAGTAGTGCAACGGTGACAGCAAAATCGTGACATGAAACAGTATCACCGCCACAGTAGATGGTTGCTTTTCTAGCAAGAGATATCTCCTGTACGATCCAGCGACGACTGAATCACGACCTCTGCATGAATTCGATGAGTGCTGCCCACTCAGCTGTTGGCCCAGGATCCCGGGTTTAAGGGGTCGAAGTTATTAATGTTGAGAAAGCGATGAATGAAAGGGATTGCCCGGCTTAAGCTTTCAGTCGATTCTCCAAGCCATACCAGGACTCCATCGACCCGAGTATGCATAGCCATCTTTGGGATCTGTGAACTTATCTCATTCAAATCTCTTTCTTAATACAGAGGGTGGCAAGCCAGAGATACCTGGAAATGTTGGAGACAGCGTTGCGTTGCAATCGATGGAGGGCCTCAACCAGATTGAGTCGAACAACAATGCCGAATACCTCATCCTCTCTCCATAATTGTAGTTTGTTCTGATTCGTCGAGGTCTCACCCCAAACTTATGAAAGATCTTCGTATGATGGAGCGTTCGGCACGTCAAAGCCATCATCTCGGGTTAGAAGGACTTCGTGGTTCTGACATGGCTAACCTCATTGGGTAATCAAAACCTATGCAACCTTCCAGCGATTTCGCCTCCGTCTTTTCCAGGCCAGAGTTTCGGAAGACATATTTCGTCTCGTTCCAAGATTTCGTATTTGTAAGGCGTTTTCTTGGGCGATGGACTCGATGATCCTTTTGTGAAGGTGTCGATGCGATGCAGTGACAAATATTCAGCAGGGCGACAAATTAACTGTCAATGTGGCCTGTAGTGTGCTTGCGATTAGTCTAGCGCATGCACCCCACATATCACGCGGTCATATAACTCAGATCCCTTCGGCTCGCGTATCCAGCACAAAGGTGAAGGTATATGTTTTCCCCACCAATGGTCGCCAGCTCACTGTGAGTACGTGCTATGTAGATAGTTGTCATTAACACAGATAAGTATCCATTGATCAATAGCATTTCCAGCCCACTCCAAATGTTATGTTAAGCTTCAATCATATCTAAATAAGCTGCCTCGAAACATTGTTATCCGCATCACAAACAATCCTTCTAATCACATAACCTTGCTCGATTTGAAGATCATGATGAGCCGCTGTTGTCCGCGCAGGAAAACGCGCCTCCAATCAGTCCGTTGGCATAGGCGTCGATGATATTTTGGATAACACCGTAGGTCCCGCCAATGGTGAGAAAGACTGCCAAAAGAATCATAAGCCAGTTAAGCCAATATACCATGATCTGCCACCAGGTTCCCTGTCGGTAGTGCTGGTGGTCAAAGACCCAGAGGTAGCCCGGGAGACCAAGGGCCAAAGGCGCGAACGTCAAGCTTCCTGCCAGAGCAAGCAGGTAGTTGAAGATGGGGATACCAGATGCCAGCAGGAACGAGACGACAGACATGCTAAAAGTGCATGCAAGCCAGACGGACCAGTGGACAACTGAATTCTTTTGCAGGTGAACTGAGTCGCGCAGAAGTCGGACGAAAAGGTACTTGGCGGCAACGTGGATGTATAAGCACGCGCTGACCATTAATCCAATCAAGCCAATGCCGTACGCAACTTTCTTAACAACATCGCCAGCGCTGCCCAGAGAAGGGGAAGCCACCCACTGGCCACACCAGCGGTAGACGACAAGTGAGAACGTCAAGTAAGATGCTGTGACGACTCCCATGCAGAGGTAAACAGCCTTGTTGTAGTCTCTAGGTCTCTTCATCTCCGAGATGACGGGAAGGAATGCAGAAGTGCCAGCGCCGGAGCAGAAGATGGTAGCCACAGATGTGATGCCTGTGACAAAGTTTGGGTTGCCAATGACGTGATATCCGAGATCAAAGTCACCAGTCTGCGGAGCAGCGGCGGGTCTATTCCTCTGCGTGACAGCAACTCTGTGAGGTTGTTTAGCGAAAGAATACCTGACGCAAATAAACCAAAGGGAGGGACCTACACAACAATGAAGACGGCAATGTATACAGACAAGAAGCCAGCCCATGTCAACCACGCGATCTTCTCAAACTTGCGAGCACTAGCAAGAATAAAGACGGCGATTGTTGAAACCAACATAAAGTAGTTGGTGCAGACAGCGTGGCTGGAAAGTGCATTGAAAGCAACCGATGTGCCAAAGATTCCCGACGCGCCAACGATCGCGTACGTGACGAGGAACAAGACTCCAACAACTTCTTTCAACCACACTCCACCAACGACGTAAGCCATATCGGCGATGGAATGACACCCAGCATGAGCATTGCGAAAGTTTCCTTGGATGATGGCGCAGTATGTGTTGAGAAATTGCCAGCCCAAGACGTTGATAGCACCAGGCAATGCGCCGAGGACAAACATAGCCGACGGGATCGTGAGGACGCCGGTCGCGAAAATGACTTGGGCATGTTAGTTACCTCGATCGTTCCAGAGAAGTTGTCGTCTTACCCTTCAAGAAGATGACAGAGGCATGAATCCAGCCGACTGTCCGGAAGTCAACAGTTCCTTCGCCACGCTTGAAAACCTCGAATGCATCATCGGCGTTTTCGAGCTTTCCAGCATCGATGCTCCCGCTACTGCGGGCCGGGGCCGGCGTGATGGCATCGGCCTTTTCCGAATTGGTTTGAGACATGACAACAATTTCCGGCCTGATGGATGGGTTCCGACTGGAGCGACAAGCTTGCTTATTGTTATGGTTGCTGGGAGAGCGTCATCAATGAGCTGAAGACATCGCCTCAATGTCATTTATAGGATATGTGATGTTCGTAGGACTTGGAGCATTTGCCATATGGCGGGTTGATGAGAACGAGAAAATCAGTGTTGCTTATCTCGTAGCGGCAAAGAGTTTCCGACAAAAGATAGTCATCGACATGGACGTCCACCCAACCCCGCGACGAGCTTCAGATGCCGGTCCAAGGTCGTGGGTCACCGACCCACGTCGGCCACAAAGTTAAAAGCGCTTTCAGGGGCTTGATGTGGGTTTGCGGAGTCTGACGTTCGCTGTGACAAGGCTAAAGCGATAAGGTTGGGGTATTGCAGACGTGTTGGAGTAAGTCTTCGAGGGCAGATATGCAGAGTTGGAGTCATCATAGATCCTTGAGCGAGATGTGTATTACCCCAAGTTCCACCATCATTGGGATGACTTGGACATCATAGACGATAAGCGCGGGGTAGGGGTCTCGTGGCCATTTGGTTTGGAGGTATCGGATCATGGCATATGGTATGCGAGGCAGGCAAGCATCAAATGGCTCATCACTTCGGGACTAGACGCATGGTCTTAGGGCTCCTTTGACAGTAGTTGAGTGATAGTTGCGGTTTTTCTTTACACCCATGATTCATAAAGGGAATTTATATGTTCTGAAACGGGGACGTCTTGAAAGTGTTAATTGGTTTTTTAGGCTAATCATTTGCTACTATGACGACTTCTTGAGGATAGCGCCTGGCTCTGCAGGCATGATGGCACCTTGAGGCGGCGTTGTCTTTGCTTTGAAGTCATCGCATATCTGCTCCATTGTGACAAACTCAACACCCTCGTGCTTCTTCATGTGTTCGATGAGCCTCTCATGCATCAGAAGCGCGTGCGGACGACCTGATACATCGGGATGAATGGTCAATGGGAAGATGAACTCATCGTACTCGCGGTAGAAGTAGTCGAAGTGGTCTCTCCAGATATCCTCCACATCTCTCGCGTTGACGAAGCCATGACTGTTCGGTGCATCCTTAATGAACAACATAGGAGGTAAATCGTCCAAGTACCAATTCGCTGGAATCTCTACAAGCCCAGTCTCTTGGCCTCTGACAAGTGGCTTCATCCACTCGCTGGCCTTCTTCTTGTAGTCGATCTTTGTCCATTCATCACCAGTCCGCAGATAATACGGCTGGCAGTCATGATGACTCATGCTGTGGTCGTATTCGATGCCGTAATCAAGCAGGAGCTGTGCGCCTTCCTTGCTTGTTTCCCACCACGGAGCAACACTGCCTCTGGGAGGCTTGCCCGCGAAGTCCGTAAGCATCCGATACGTCTTGTCAAGGATCTCTCTCTGCTGCTCTATTGTCATGTCGGTGGGGTTCTCGTGTGAGTATCCATGGAGGCCTATCTCATGGCCGGCATCTCGAACTGCGGCCATATCTTCTGGAAACGTTTCGAGGCTGTGTCCGGGAATGAACCATGTTGCTTTGATATCATATTTGGCAAGCAGCTTGAGCACACGTTGGACGCCAATGGTTCCTGCAAAGTAGCCTGAAAGAGGTTAGAGTCGAAGTCGCCAACAGCAGCACATGCTCTGAAAGCCGGGTTTGTGATAAATCTCACCTCTGCTGATGTCGTTTGAGGAATCCTCTCCTCCATACGATCCCAACCAGCCAGCGACCGCATCAACATCGACACCGTAACTGACGAGAACACGCTTCTTGCCCATATTGATGAGAAAATCGAGGATTTCCCGGATATTACTGTTTGTTTGTTGTTTGGTTGAATGAGGTGAAGCTTTGTGTGAGTTTACGATTGACGCGGGGTTCGAGAGAAGGTGGCAGCTGGCAAACTTAATTAGGAGTGGCGAGTCTGAGTTAAGAATCGGAGCGCGCACGGCAGCAGGTCGATCGGTCAATGAGGGGTAAATGTCGTCTTATCGGATTCGCACCTTAGTTTACCAAATACCTCACAGCAGCTGAACGTCCTCACAGGCATTAGCTTATCGCGGGGTAGTTGCACTCCACCGATGAATTTAAAGCACGGCCAAAGCAACTTTTCGTATTTTTAGCGGCATTGATGAGAGAGGTTTGCATTGCGTTGATCAGAAGAAGCTTAGGTACTGCTCTTCTGTGGAGGTTATCCGGTCATGGGCAGGCAACAAGTTGGAGTCGCCGATAAGAGGGGAGGCTGTAAAGTTGGAGAACCAAATCCCACAAGTCACAGTAATTGACAAATGGTAGATCTCAAATGCAGGTATTTGACCCCACTTGACCCCTCGAGATAAGGATAATCTCCAACTCACCTCGACATTTACTGGTTCCCAACAGCACCATAAGATCAGCAGGTATCATGATAACAGATGTGGGAACACCACCTTGATTTAAGCTCTTCCCTCGATCCTCGGCAATCCCACTTTGACCTAGATTTTACTTTACCTTAGTACCATCCATCACAATTGGTCGGTCGATCCCTGACAATCGACGCCCCAGCATGACATACACCAGTATTCCACGCAGAATGCGAGCAGCGCAAATCTCGCAGGTTGGCGCTTCTTTCTTGCGTTCTGTTGTTCATTGAATACTGATTTTGTAACAGTACAATAAGCCATATGAGTTAGTCGAGAGAAATGTTCCAAGCATCCGCGATAGTGAACTTCTCATCAGAGTCCACGCGGCTGGTTTTTGTCATTCCGATCTGCAGGTCCTGCAGGGACAGTTCGGGTCACCCTTAGGAATGATCGCTTCCCACGAGCCTTCCGGCGTCGTCGTTCGTGTCGGCAAGAGTTGCAGCAGTGACTGGAAAGTTGGTGATCGAGTTGGAGCTCTCAACTTCAAAAACTCCTGCGGTCAATGCACTGGATGCGGGCTGGCAAAGCGAATAAACGATCAGTTGGATCCCCGTTTCTGCGACAAACGAGAAACCGCGGGTTTTCAGCATGATGGAGCATTTGCCGACTATCTCCCTGTAGACCCTGAAACGACGGTCCGATTGCCGTCTTCCCTATCGTTCGATCAAGCGGCACCATTGATGTGTGCTGGTGCTACAGTCTGGGGCTCTCTAGAAAGAGCCACGGCTGCGCTAAACCCTGGAGACGTCGTAGCTATTGTTGGCATAGGGGGTCTCGGCTTCCTCGGCTTGCAATTTGCCAGCGCCATGGGCTTCCGCACCCTGGCAGTTGATAGTAGGGAGGCAGGGAGGCAGTTGGCTACCGAGATGGCAAATCAGAGCCTGAAACCTTCATTGGTTGTCGACTCCAGCGCGAAAGATGCTACGTCTAAGATCATGGACTTTACAGGAGGAGAAGGTGTTGCGGCCGTAGTAGTCTGTACAGACTCTCTTGAGGCCAACAACTGGGCCCTAACACTGCTTCGAATTGGAGGTGTGATGGGCGTTTTGGGCCTGCCTGCCGAAGATTGGAGGTTTGATTCAAGTGTAATCATTTTCCGAGAGCTTACAATTCGGGGTAGCTATGTGGCGAGTAAAGAGTCCACTGAAAGGATGATGAAACTTGTAGAGAGAGCCGACATTCGATCACACATCACATTGATGTCCTTCGATGAGATTCCGGACATTCTGACGGCCTATCACGACAGCGCGTTCAAAGGTAGACTAGTAGTTAGAATAACATAATGAAACAGGGATGTACCCGATGTTTGACAATCAGTTATCATGACTTGAATCGCAGAAGTCGCATAATAACATTGGTCATTCGATATAAACAAATGACTGAAGCTTGTAACTAGACTATAAGATCCCCCACAACTATTTTGTAAACAAGAAGGAAAAGAGCCCGAAGAGAGCGACACCAAGTGGGTTCAGTCTATCGGAGTGTGTTTCGGCAATCTCGGCATCTTGGGCTAGTATTGTCTAGTTTCTCATTGCTCTCCAACTATTTTTTCCAAGCCTCAAAAGCAGAATCGTACAAAACACTGTTAGGTATGCAATGTGTCTCCCACTCTCACCGTTATCCACTTGTGTGGAGTTGGAGTCAGACAGAGTTCCCCAACTTCGACTCGTGCTCACCCTAACTTACCCCATTGCCTCCGACCCCAAGACACGCGATTAATGGGGTCACTACGGTCGGCGGAGATGGTCCGGTCGTTACCATCGTGCCCGTTAATGGCGACTTCATTTAGTTTGTCATCGAGAATCCGCCCTGCTACGGACCGGCCAATGGCCCTCGGAAAGGTTCCCGATATTTCTTCGCCACATCGCCATGGATTCAACTTTCGAGTCTTTATCAAGAACCTGTTGGCTGACTATTTATCGTGACGAACCACTACAACACCTTGGTAACTGGGCGGACGACCATTCCCGAGTCGCCACATTCCAACATGTCTGTCTTCTTCAAGGACATATCCACGTACGCAACCCACCATTCTTAATCCGAATCCCAATAGCTGAAACTTGTGGTTTAGGGATAATCCAGTGCAAAAGGGAGACGTCGAGAAACTTCTCAAACCACTTGACTTGACAATCAAACCTGAAGAGTCGGCCGACTACCAAAGGCTCCTCGCCGCGGTTCACGATTGCGCGTGTCGTATCGAAAGCTTACCCGATTACCAGCCCATTCCCGACACGAAACGATACCCCGCGAGAACATACACCTTCCCACGGCAGAGGAGCAAGCCTTTGGTCATGCTTGGGCATATCGGTTCCTGATAAAAGGCGACTCTCCCGCGGACTCCTCGTCAGTGTCTTTGGAGGGGAAGACTGTATGCTTGAAAGACTGTATCGCTGTTGCAGGTGTCCCGCAATTCTTCGGCAGCGATGCCTTCCCTCCGTGGACACCGTCAACAGACGCAACGGTAGTAACACGGGTGCTGGATGCCAGGGCTGATATTCTGGGCACCGCTACGTGTGAGCATTTCTGCAACTCTACTGCATCCTTCACCAGTTCACAGGGCACCATCGAGAACCCATACAAGCAAGGCTACTCTACCGGGGGCAGCACATCAGGCGGTGCAGCCCTCGTGGGCTCTGGGATGATTGATATCGCCCTTGGTACGGACCAAGGCGGGAGTATCAGGGTTCCTGCCTCATTTTGTGGTTGTGTTGGGTTAAAGCCGACCCATGGACTAGTGCCTTTCACAGGCATCACGAGTGGCGATTCCATCGACGACCATGCCGGTCCCATATGTCGGTCGGTCACAGAAGTCGCACAAGTTCTCGATGTCATCTCCGGTTACGACGGCATTGACGACAAATCTTTGGGGGCTGCTGCTCATGGTTCCTACAACTTTTCTGCTACTCTTCGATCAGCTTCAGGTCGATTAGAAGGGGTGAAGATTGGTCTTCTGAAAGAAGGTTTCAACCAGGAAATCGTTGATCCTAGAGTTAGAGACCATGTCATTGCAGCTGCTCGAAAACTCGAGTCATTGGGGGCGACCGTTGATGAAGTATCTGTTCCTCTTCACCTAGAGGGCCCTTCAATATGGACTATTCAACAACGCATTGCTGGCTCTTCGGGCATTCTAGGAAGGGCTTCTGGGCGAAGAGGCCTAGGCCTGACCGAATTTGAGAAAGCTCGCCTTCCTTGGTCTGACTCAAGCTTCCAGAAACTCTTCCCTTCGACCAAGAACACCGTCATTAACGGCCTGTACCTTTCTGAGAAGTTTCCTGGCCTATATAGTAAGGCCGTAAACATTGGCCGGCAGATCAGCGACGCCTATGAAAAGGTATTTGAAAGCTACGATGTCATTATCACGCCAACTACACCCTTTGTCGCACCACGACATGGATCTCGTGAGTCAGTCTTGGGCTCGTTCGAGCCTACCATCGGCTTGACAACAAACACTGCTGTATTTAACGTCACGGGACACCCCGCCATGTCGATACCTGTAGGCTTCCTTTCTGCGAAGGATGATCCACAAGTGTTACTGCCAGTAGGCATGCAAGTCGTCGGTGGGTTATGGCAAGAAAAGAACGTGTTCAACGTCGGACATGCATGGGAAACCAACTTCGACTGGAAAGGCATCAAGAGCAGTGGGGATGTGATCCAATCTACCCCTGAGTCATTGACGACCGGAACACACCCCAAAGTCAATGGAAGAACAATGTCTGAGGTAAATGGCACAACATCACCAAGTCTCAAGCGAGTGAAACTTTCGGTTTAAGCTTGATGGCGCAAGATGCGAATTGCTGCGCCTCTTTGCAGGAGGACTTTATCATATCTAGATTCAGCACCTACACTCCATTGACTATTTTAAAGTAATAGATGACTCGGGAATTCGCTGAACCCTGTGCATGAGCGATGACAGCTCGATTATGCACCTCTTAAAACTTCAGCGCAGGAGCAATGACTTCTCGCTAAGAAAACGTTACGATGTTTTGTGATGCAGAGCAAAAGGCATTTGCTTTTCCATGTATGTTATATCAATGCATAAATAAGAACACAGTACTTTGTACATATGATCTGACGGGACCTCACGATGTCAACAGCATAGCATCAAGGCGAGCAAAGCGGGCATACCGAGTCCTAAGACTAACACTGATTGGTAGGGTTGCATTTTCCATATTTATTCCCACTGGAGTCCCAGCAAAAGAGATCTGTATGGTTGTTGCATGTCAATTCCTCAGACTACAGTTTGGTTCCTTCCGGGATCTTTCACTTTATTCCGCGAGTTACAGTAACTCTCCGCCGTTTCCCTTCCCCATAACGACATTTGACTGGTCTCAGCACAACGACCCCCCATGCTGCATAATGCACTTGGCGGCGGTGCCGTAATTCAATGGTTAGCGATTCAAGTAGACTTCCAAACCAAAGCATGAGCCGCAAAGGAAGTTGAAAGGTTGAGACGGGATGCATCACCTGCAATTAAGTGGGAGTGGCTAATACCTAACAGCGAAAGGAAGCCCTTTGTAGCCGAGCCTAACGATTTGCAAGGCCCGCAAAGTCAAGTGATGAGATAATACCAGCATGCAAGCAATGTTTCAGCACAGGCCGGAACTGAGATGTACAAACAGATTCCGTGTGGTCAAGAATCAGCCATCTTGCGCCAGCCCAATCGAGCCTTCCATGGAGTTGGACATCTCGGCGAGGTTCGAGACTTACACTACTTCTACGAGGTAGTAGGCCCTGTCATGTCAGAAGCTTTAGACACCTATCTTTGGACACGTGTGGTTATCCAATCCAGCAACTTTGAGCCACCCGTCACACACGCCATTATATCCATCAGTAGTCAGTATGAGTGAGCTCAAGTCACTTTTGAGGTGGGTAATGCAGTACGGTATCCATACGACAATCAGTATTTTGCCCTCCGCCACTGCAATGCCGCCGTCCATGAACTAAGGACCACGGGCACCAACAACAAAAATCCTATCATATTGCTAGTCTGTTTTCTTTTGCCTTGCATCGAGAGTATGCACTGTGATAGAAGGAGGCTTTTCAGCACAGCCGACATGAGTGAAAAATATTAAAGAATATCTTCTGGGAATACAAGACCACATGAACAATCGTGCACCTCTTGCCCATGTTCCGGCGATTGAGCGAGTTTGCTTCTTTTTTCGGTGATGAGGCTGCGGATTTACCGGCATAAAAGAAGTGGAAGGCCTCATGCCACGGCTTTTCAGCACATTTTCGGACGCAGAGTTGATGCTAGAAGTGCTTTTCAACCGAATGGCAGAACTGATACATTCCAATCGGAGCACACAACGAGCACGACGAACCAACGCCTGTGAACAAAGGCCTCTAAAAGTCACTCCCATTGCGCCAGGGCATCTTTCAGAACAACCTGTTACCAACGGATTATAGTATCACTGGGTATAACTTTTTATAAACCTTGCAAGCATTCGGCCTAAGAACCTGGGTGCCCAAACCTCCCCTGGATTAGTAGACCGTTCAAAAATGATGCGGTGTTTTCTTTTAATGCGCTTTGTGTGCTGCGGAATTTGGCTGAACGTATCATTTGAAATTAGTGAGGCTGCCTATGATGGGTTTCTAGGAATTTTCCAGCGGACTCTGAACCATTTGCTTCGGTTTAAAAATTGAAGTTCCAGCACAGCGTCGATTTAGATGGCTCTGAGAGGCCTATTTCTTCGTCTTTCCATGTCCTCCTATGTACTTACACCAGAATCACAGATTTATGGAAGGACTCGCGGGCAAAAGAGGAAAGGCTGGTCGTAGACGACACATGTCGAACCATCAAACTCCTAAGGCGTGATGATGAGGGCCAGACCTATCCACACGCGGAGTATCTAGTCGTGAAAGACAGATTGATAGGGTAACCCCTAAATAACATGGTCACTGCTTCCCATAGCAGTGTGTTTACAACAGACGCCGTTGTGCAGCCGAGTTCCTGTAAGCCTAGTCTACTGACTCGAGCCAGGATGGTGCTGTAGATAAAATATGGTCAAGGCCAAAGGTTACTCACTGTGCGCTTATTTACAACGCATCACCGACCACCAGCGCATACAATTTCAACATGAGGATGTTTCTTTCTTTTTTTTTTCCCTCTTTTCCCTTTTCAGCAACTGGCAACATAGAAATATACAACTTAGTCAGCACAGTTCGAGCATGTTTATATGTTATAGCGTTCCAGTCAAGTGTGATTATTATCCTCATCTGATCAAACGATTTTATAACAATGAATATACGTTTATGGGCGCCCCAGATATTATGGGAGGGTATAAACTCATATTCTCTCATTATTTGATATTTAGTTAATAATATAGCCTCCGTCAACCACCAATGCATGCCCTTGAACAAATGAAGCCTGGCTGGAGCATAGGAATAAGACCGCGTTCGCCACTTCTTCGGGTGTACCCATTCGCTTCATGGGTGCAATATCGATCGCAGGTCTCAGTCTTTGGACTAGTTCTTCGGATGCTGTTGTCATTGGCGTAGCAATCACACCCGGACAAACGCAATTGATCCTAATCCCGTCTTGAGAATAATCGATGGCATCCGATCGAGTCATGTTGATTATTGCTGCTTTGGACGCGCAATATGGCGCTGTGTGCCATTACGATGTGAGTCGTTTGCAGTCAAGTATGAATGCATCAATGCTTACCTGCCGCTGGCCGCGCCACGACACCGAGTTGACTAGCAATGTTGACGATGGCTCCTCGCTGACTCGGATGCTCCTCATGCGGTTGCTGGTTTAGCATGTGGCTTAGCACAGCACGAGAAACCAGCCAGCTACCCTTGCAGTTGACGTTCGTAATAAGGTCAAAAGCAGCTGTCGATGTTTCGTGCGACCGCAGTGATTGACCGAGGATCCCAGCGCAACTAACAGAGTAGTCGATACGCCCGAATTGTTTGGCGACATCTTGTACAAAGTAATTGACGAAGCTTTCGTCGGAGACATCCCCTTCTCGGCTCAACACTTGGGCTTTCGGATCAATCTGGAGAATCACATTCCGTGTGTCTGCTAGCGACTTTTTGTTCAGGTCGGTAATGGCAATTCTCGAGCATCCCGATCGCGCGAAGCCTCTGGCGACGGCGGCGCCAATGCCTGCAAGAGGAGGTCAGGTCTTGACACTGGAAGAGTGGCTCTGAGGGAAATCTCACCAGTTCCTCCAGCACCAGTAATGAAAGCAACTCCTGGGAACTTGTACATGGTGAAAATTGACCGGGGACCCTTGTGCTTGCCTCGCAATTTAATGACTGCTCAAGTTTTTGGCAACTGCTTCTGGTTATGATGAAAATTGGGAGGTAGTGTCGCATGAGATCTACTTGGGATCAACTCCCAGGTACTCCAACTTAACCGCATGGTCCGTTCCATCCGCCCTTGTACTTTGACTGGTGGATGTTGCGGGGAAGCGGGCAAAATGCGATGTCGGGGGGAGGGGGGAGGGAAGAAAACAAGGAAATACAAACTGCTACCAGGGAATCCCATCAATGAGAGACTCCAAAGGCTAAGACCAAGGAGATAAGATCGTGGGATTGTAGTGTAGCGTGTTAAGGGTGCATGGTTACGAGTCAGTCTCCAAGTGATAGCAGCCGATCCACGGCAGTTGGAGTTTATCTCTGAAAAAGGAACGACCCACAAGGAACGTAAAGTCTTCTCCAACATAAGCCAAGGGAAGCCCCAATCCGCTACTCTCTCCAACTTCCCCTGCCTTTCACACCTCCAACAACTCTGTCATCCTGCGACGTGGAAGCATGTTGTCCCACAACGGCACGAAAACGCACCCACAGCCGCAGCCGCAAGCGCCGCCGCCGCATCACCAGCAGCAGCTCCCGCGACCGCATTCGACTCCAGTCAAGCGAAGGAGGCGAACCGGTAACGGACCCGATGCGCGTGCCTGCCCTCACTGCGGACGAACCTTCAAGCGCACTGAGCACTTGGAGCGCCATGTGCGAACGCGTCAGTCATCCCGTCCATTATCGTGTGTCTGTCTCCAAATGTTGGAGTGGATGGAAAGTCGGCCTAGACTAGTCTTGGCTGCCGCACTCTAGCTCGTCCCATCACCAGAGGTTCGGGATCGTGCCACGTGCCGTCATGCTGACCTACTCGCTCTGCCAGACACCAAGGAGAAGCCATTCATCTGTCGTTGTGGGGCTGCCTTTGCCCGACGAGACTTGTTGACCCGCCATCAGCGGATCGCCTTCCACGAGGATGGGTCCGAATCCCCAGAGGGCCCATCGGAGCCGGATTCCGGAGAGAATCGCGGCCCAGTCGAAGCTGACTTGGCCGCTGCCGTGTCTCTTTCAGGAATGAGCGTAGACCATTGGGCACAACAGCCACCTGCACCACCTGCAGAGCTGTATCCCATGGCGGTCCCAAGGAACGGCACTCTTGTAGATGCTTCGTATCAACAGACTTTGCTCGCCGACCAGTTCTATGAAAACGGTTGGTCACTATTCTTTGAATGATTTTTCGGCTATGAAAGCTGATACGGAAAGTTTCAGGCAATCAAGATGCTGTGGGATTCGACGCTCACTTCAGAGAGTTTGCCAACTTTCTCGACGGTGTCGGTCTGCCGGCGGAATGGAGTCCCTACTTCCATGGTCCCGATCGAGACAATGAAGTGGCTGACTCGACGATGAGAGAATCAAGAGAAGGCACTGCTACACCTGGTGCCCGTAACAGCAGGACTCGTCCGGGAACCCCATTCAGTTCATGGCTACCATCAGCCCCTACAGGCAATCGCATATCCGAGACCCTGCCAGATACAAGTAAGTCGGGAAGACGAACAGCACGAAACCGAGCTCTAGCTGACTGTCCATCAAGACCCCCGGCCCGTTGATACTGAGTCGCAGCCGTACCGTATTTCAGACGAGCAGCGGTTCCGTCTCAATACTTCCATTGAGACATTCCGAGACATCCTCGATCCGGACTTCAAGTTCCCTTCCCGCCATGCTCTCACCCGCTACCTAACGTCCTTCTTCGAAGGCTTTCACTCGCACATGCCGTTCATACATACCCCAACATGGCGGATATCCGAGCACTCTGTTGAGGTCATTCTCGGCCTCGCCGCCGTTGGTGCTCAGTACTGTTTTGAGCATCGCATGTCCGAAAGGCTCTTTCATGCCGGCAAGGTCATCCTGTTGGAGAGACTCGTGCATGAGTCTGAAAAGCCCGGGCATAGAACCGGCTCATCCCTCAACCTGCACAGCGTGTCGCCCCAACGTCGCGAATCAAGGGGCGTTCAAGAGAGAGACTGGGGCGCGTGGGAGCCTATCGAGACAGTGCGAGCCCTGATCGCTCTCATGGGCTATGCTACCTGGGAACCCAAGGTATCGTTAGTGCAAGAAGCGTTTGTTTTACAAGCGCTGCTGGCGCAGGTCCTCCGTGAAGTCGGCCTGCATGAAGAGAACGAGCCGGAACTCGCCGCAGAAAAGACAACGCCGCAAGCCACTTGGCATGCCTGGGTGCGAAAAGAGTCCATACGTCGGGCGAAGCTTATTGCCTTCTCATTCATGCACACCCACAGCATCGCGTACAACGTGTATCCTGTTCTGCGTAGCAACGAGGTCGGTCTTCGGCTACCGTGTTCGACTGGAGAATGGAAGGCCCAAACTGCATGTCAGTGGCAAAGTGCTTGCCGTGAAACTGGCAAGCAACAGCTCTTCTTCCAGGATGCCCTATCGTTGCTTTTGAGGAACACGGACGGCACGGCACCCGTCGATCCCATCCCGACACCTCTGGGCAATTACATACTTCTGCACGGCCTGCTCCAGAGGATATATATCGTCCGGGATCTGTCGCTGCCAGTGATGGATCACTCGGCGTCTTTGCCGAGCGAGGAGGTTGACAAGCTTGAGTGAGTTTGTCCAGTCGTCATCAACCGGGAAGCACTAACCTTTGCGATACAGACGCGCACTCCGGTCGTGGACTGCAGGCTGGCAACAGGCTCCGGAATCGAGTCTTGATCCAAATAACGAGAACGGGCCCATCCCCTTCACATCCAGCTCTTTGCTTGGTCTAGCATACGTGCGCATCTACCTTCACCTCGGTCCATATCGGCTGCTTGAGACGCGGGATCCCGCTCGCATCGCGAAAGCCATCAGTCGGTCTCCCGCGGTGGAACGCAGCAGCGGCGTCATCACTGCGCTTTTGTACACAGCTCACATGCTCAGCATTCCCGTCAGGCTTGGCGTCGATCGTGTTGCTCGCAGTCAAGCGTTCTTCTGGAGCGTCCGGCACTCGCTCTCGGGCCTCGAGTGTGCCGTCTTGCTCAGCAAGTGGCTTTCGTCGCTCACCGCGTCGACGGCCTCAACACCGCTAAGTGGTAAGTCGGCGGTCATATTAGATCGCTTGGCGTTGAGGAGCCACTTTAATAACCAAAAACTACAGATAGCGAAGACAGAATACTGCATTGGGTCCGGTGTATCGTGGAAGAGGCGTACGATGTTGTCGACTTTGAGGACGATGAGACCGAAACGCCGACAGATCGGGATCCCGCCTCGCTGAGCCTGGCGGTCCTCAAGATTTGGGCGCACTTCTTCAAGAGCAATACGCAATGGCCGTTTATTAACATCATAGGGAAGAGCTTGGAGAAATACCGGGAGCTTCTTATGCGCAGCAGACTGCCCCAAATTCCTTGATGTCACCAGGTACATATGCACAAGGCATTGGTGCCAATCCGGCGAGGTGATAGGCGCCGAGACAAGTCACACGAGCAAGAGCTGCAGGTTGTAGCTCAGCTTGGACGACCAAACAAATGTGATATCGCTAATCACACAGGGTCTGACGCCAAAACGGTGTTGCTGAGGAGCAAGCTGACAGCCGATGCCGTTTCGAGCACTCAATGTTGACAGGCAATGATCATTTTTGATCCACCAGTGGCCAAGTCAGATTTTAGGTGACTGATTGCGGCATGGGCGACAACCTGGCACCCTGATCTTGAGACAAGCTAGGGTCAAGGCAGACTACTTGAACGAAGGGGCATCCCGACATTTGAGTCTTCCAGGTGAAACAGGCTGATATCACTTTTGTCTGGCACCGTTGAGTCTCGGACCGTCATGGCTACTCCCGAAGACAGGGCTCGCAATGCCGGCCCTCCAAAGGTCTTATGCGTCGGCATGCTCCGCACGGGTACGAACTCACTCGCGGCGGCCATTTCGGAACTGGGCTTCAAGCATGTTTTTCACGGTCTCGATTCCCGGCAAAAGCCAAGCCACTAGGCCTTCTTCGAGAAAGCTGCCATCGCAACCTGGCCGGAGGTAAATTTCAAGGGCCAGTCTCCTGCCCCAAAGTGTTTACTCGACGAGACTGGGACGAGCTCTTTGGGGTGTACGATGCGGTGACAGATCTGTCCTGCTTCTGGGCGGTGGAACTCGTCGACGCGTACTCCGATGCCAAGGTCATTCTTACGGAACGCGACTTTGTCAAATGGTTCGCGAGCTTCGACAGCGAGGTGCTCCAGCCCCTCTTCGGGCCAAGGGTCGATCTTTTCCTGAAAGGGGTGGGTCTGGTCATTGGAAACCGGGCGGGACGCAATGCAGAAGACTGTCAGCGGCTTCTTTGGCAGTGCGTGTACTTTTGAAGAGCTTCGTCGCAGAGCCCCCGAAGTCTTTCACCGGCATAGCGAGCGGATCAAAGCTCACGTGGCGGCGGAGAGGCTCTTGGTGTATCACGTCGGCAAGGATGGATGGCAGCCGCTCTGCAAGTTTCTCGATAAGGACGTGCCCGAAGGGAGGGATTTTCCTCGCGTCAACGATCGGGATTCGCATCAAAAAGACGATAAAGAGCTTCGCAAAGCAACCATGATTCAGCCAGCGAAGGTGACCTCGCCCTATGTTGTCTCCGTTGCGTTGGCGTGGGTGGTATACATCTACTGTGGGCAGGGTAGTCAGTTGTGAACCGCATGAGATGGGTACCCTTTGTACGGGTCTCGATTGATGTCGAAGGTTTGAAGAACTCTAACTTGATGACAGTCCAAGTAGAGAGCCAGATTGCAATTATGTTGCGATGTCCGTATCCGTCATGTTGTTAATCTTGGTGCTGTGGTAGCGACCTGAACATCAATGTGCTGCACAGCCAAGACGAAATTGCTTATGTAACAAGGCAATGGCGGAAGCCCGCCCAATGCGGCGGGCAGCTGTGTCCCGGCAACGCAACTGCGCCTGCCCCGCCATCGTCCCCTCCCCCATCCATTGAATCCCCACCCAACAACGGTGTGAGCTGACGTAGCGGCGCCGTGTTTCGAGCTTCAACTTCCAGGCTGCCATTCTCAACGCACTCGCCCTACCCAGGCGGCATAGGATACATATAGCAATCGTCTTCCTCGCTCTATATCTCTCATTCACCTCAGCAGTCCGATTGCATCCTCGTGTAGCTGGTCCGCACCCCCAGGCCGCCAGCATGCAGTCTGGCATCTCCGGCACGTCGTCCCATAGCGCCATTGTGTTTGACATCTCCCGTCCGGCAATGCTAACTTGAAATAGCCTCCCAGGAGCTCGTCTCCCAGTTCAACACCCTCCTGTCCTCCGACGACCAGTTCGGACTCCTCGTCACGATCGACTCAGAGACCCTCCAACCCGTCCAGTTCCTGTCCAAGGCCTCGCCCTCGGCCTCCTTTGACGACAACCTTGACTCCCTCCAACCTCATCTCAAGCCCAATGAAGCCCTTTACGCCCTCCTCCGCCGTCACGACACGGCTCCCCACCTCACTGCCGTGACCTACGTGCCCGACTCCGCCAAGGTTCGCCAGAAGATGCTCTTCGCCTCTACCCGTCTGACCCTCGTCCGCAAGCTCGGCTCCGAGCACTTCCGCGAGTCCATCTTCGCCACGACCCCCGAGGAGCTCTCCGCCAAAGGATTCGCCAAGCACGATGCCCATACGGAGCTCGAGGCCCCCCTGACCGAGGAGGAGCGCAGCCTCGGCGCCGTCAAGCAGGCCGAGCAGGAGGCGAGCACTGGCACCGGGACTAGGGAGATCCACCTGAGCAAGACCCTGGCCATGCCCGTTGCCGAGGATGCTCTTGCGGCCCTGAAGGAGTTGTCGTCCGAGGGCGGCAAGGTCCTGGTGATGCTGGTACGCACCTGCTCTATCCCCTTTGTCGTTGGATATAGGAACCTAACCGAGCTTGTCCGCAGAAAATCAACCCCGAAAAGGAATCTGTCGAGCTCGTCCCGTCGAGCGAGAGCCCCTCCTCCATCAGCGAACTCACCCAGGTCATCTCGCCCACCGAGCCGCGCTTCACCTTTTACCGCTTCACCCACACCCACAACGGCGCCGAGTCGAGCCCCCTGCTCTTCATCTACACTTGCCCGGTGACCCCCGGCAACAAGTCGATCAAGAACCGCATGCTGTACCCGCTCATGAAGCGCGCCGTCCTCGAGGTCGCATCCTCCGAGGCTGGGCTGACGCTCGACAAGAAGTTTGAGGTTGAGGAGCCAAGCGAGGTCACCGAAGAGTCGGTCCTCTCGGAGCTGCACCCCAAGGTGACGGCCAGACAAGGATTCAGCAGACCCAAGCGGCCCGGTCGGTAGATAACATGCATGACATGACGTTTGTTGCTGCGGGAGTCATGGTTAAAGAAGGCCAATTTGAATTAAGCGCGCGCAGAGGCGTTGGGTTACACTCCCGAGCCTGTAGATCGGGCTGATGATAGACAAAAGAATCCCATTCGCAATGCAGTACCAGTTTATGGACGATGCGCATTATCGGCGTATCTATAACCTTGCATAGTCACCACCACCACCACCCAAACTGACCCCCGTTGCCAATCTTTGAGTCACGACAGCCGCCCTCCGGCAGCATGCAGATTATAGACCCTGGTATCTTGCTAAAGACAACAGACAGCCGCCACCGGAAACCAACAGCTGTTTCCGAAAACCGACAACCTCTCCCCTGCTCACTCCTCAAAATTGCCCCCAGTGAAGGCGAGGTTGCTCCTCTCGAGCTTCTCCTTGAGGAACTCGTAGACGGTAAAGGTCACGGCCTGACCGGGCGCGACACGCATGATGCGCGGCGTGATGCCCTTGTAGAACGCGTGGAACCCCTCTTGCCTGTCCCCAGACCGTCAGTGTCGCTTCTCCCTTTCCCCCAAATCCGAAACAGCGCTCGACAGGGGGGTGGCCGGACTTACTTGAACATGTCGCTCGAAATCTTTGCGATGCGGCTCCAGGCGCTCGTGCCGTACTCGGCGGGCGTCTTCTGCAGCCGCGTCTTGATGGTGTCGATGGGCGCATTGCTCAGGGGGCCCATGGCGCCGCTGACGAGGCCGATAAAGGTCGTCTGCCATCCCGGCAGCGTGGTGCCCTGGAACTCGGGCTGGTACTTCTTGAGTGCCTCCTTGAAGTACGAGTAGGCCGTGAAGTTGACGGCCTGGTTGCTGCCCTGGCGCAGCGCCGTCAGCGACACGCCGCGGTACAGCGCGCCGAAGCCTTCCTCCTTGACGACCGTGTAGAGCGCGTGCGCCGCGTTGCGGTACTTTGGTATGTCGAGCGGGTCGGCCATGCTGTGGTGCTGCGCCTGGAGGCGGATCTTGATGACCTCCATCGGCGTCACGACGGCGACGGCCTCGGTCACGCCGGCCGCGAGACCGGCTGTTTTTTGCGCAAGAAGACTCGGTCAGCGTCTCTCTCGTCCCCCTTCGGTGTAAGTGCGATCAAAATCGAGGTAGGTGACTCACCCATGAACGTCGCCTGGCCGCTGACGATTCCCGTCTGCTTGTCCGCCAATGCCTGCTTGTACCCTCGAAACTCGTGAACCGGATGGCCATCTTGGGCACGATGCCCGTCAGCACGGCGCCGAGCCCCTTGTACAGGCCTAGCGGCGTCTCCTTCTTGACGATCTCGACACCCGTTTTGATGAAGCCGCGCTTGGGCGCGCCGGGCTGCCTCGCGCGCCGCGACAGCTGCATTCGCACCTTGATCGTGTCTGCGGAGGGGAGGTGCGTTAGCCCCCGTGTCAATTGACTGCGTTCTGCAAGGCTCATGCGCGGGCGCGGCCGCAATCGCACGCGCGAAGGGAGAGCAAGTCTGCAGTCTGCAGCATGCACGCGGGTAGGGTCTTACCGAGGGGGTGACATGCCAGCGCCTCCATCATGCCGGCACCTCCTCCAGCTGTCGGGTGGTATTAGTCGCAATCCGCACAGCTCGTCACCGTCGAGCGACGATGTTGAGGTCGGTACATACCAATGAGGTTCGTGGCCGCCGAGGTCGGCGTCTTGCCGTCTTGCCTCACCTTGGACGCCATGGTTTACGAGGATACGGGGATGTATTGTGGTCGAGGCAACAGAAGACAGAAGAGAGAAAGGCTTGCGCCGGTGTCTACAAAGCAACAAAGCAAAAGGTGTTCTTCTTGTCCTGTTTACAATGGGCGGTGCTTCACAGTAAAGTAAACAGAGGGAAGGGGGAGAGAGGGTATCATGTAGATCACAAGGAGAGGGAAGGGAAGCATGGGAAGAAGCCGGGACAGAAGAAGAAGATTCGGAACAAAGTCGTCGGGCAGCTACAAAGCAAACATCCTCGGCGCCGATGATGAAAGCCACGGCAGAGCGGGCAACCACCATCCATATAAGAAAGGTGGCGTGTGGGAGGGGGAGAGGGGAGGGGGGTGGTAGTTCGCTCTAGGTCAAGGCACAAGCCAGAATAGAACCAAGACCCCGTCCAAGCATTGGATGAGGCAGATGACTCAAGGTTCGGCCCCCGAGCATGAGGTGTGTGTAAGGCGTTCCGTCCTGGGGCGCGTGTATGCCATTGCGCGAAAAGCATGAGGAGCCAGCAGCGCGGAGAGGGCAAGGAAAGGAAGGGGGAGAAAAGCATATGAGGAGAAAGGGCCCCTTTCATCCGCGGCACATCGCGACAAAGGTCATACACCAGGGCACCAGGACACCAGCAGACCACCGCCGGCGCCAGGGGTCTCGGTAGACAGGGGCGCTCGGGGGGGCGTGTACGGATAGACTTTGTTCGACGTCTTCCACGCAGTGGCCGTGGAAAGAGGGAAGACGAGAACCGCCATAGACATACGGATGCGCGTGTGAGTGACGCCGCGCAGCACGGGACCGACGTCTGAGTGGCTCAAACCATCGGAATCTTCAGACGTCTGTAGCGGGTTGCGACAAGATTGACTGACCATCCCGATTCGGCGGAACGGAGGACGGGGGGGAAGGGGCGTGTGGAGAGAGAGAGAGGAAGACCACCGCAAGCGTACGCTAGAACACTGTCAGTACAAGTCTTGGTGCTTTGCCCTTTTTCCCACCCCTTTGCAAGACGAGTAGGTATGCGAAAACCCCTGACTGCCGCTGCCATTGCTGTTGCTGAGTGACCCAATTGGCTTCGAGCGAAGCGTCGCACTGGACGAAAGGAGCTGCGTGCACACCAGTTGCTGGATCCAGAGTCATGCTGTGACTCCCCTCGTCTTCTCCAAGGAACCAAGATGCTGCTGCTTCCTCTCGGCCTGTGACAATCGCTTCCCCCAAGAACGGGCGATCGAGTGACGTAGCAATGAACCCCGGTTCCAACGCGGCATGCTGCGGCAGAGCCACTTGCAGCTTTGCCGACCCCAAGCCGAGCTTGTGATTTTGCGGGGGAGACGACGACGCTCCCCTTTCTCCCACTTGTGGGCTCTGGAGCCTCCAGAGCGAGAGTGTGGGGATCGGACACTTCCGCCCTTCCGACTGGCCAGATTCATTCGTCAGAAATTGCCGAGGTTCGGGGGCCGGTCCTGGGCGCGCTCTTCACCTCTCACCCCCATCCGGTCCTCATATAGTAAGTACCTAGTGGACGCTCATCCACCTCCCACCGAGAGACTGGCAGAGGGTGTGCCTGAGACACAAGCATAAATGAACCTCTTTCGGACATCTTAGCCACCTTCTCTCCGCAGGCACCGCCTCATGGCTCACGTCACCCGATGGAGGGACGATGCGGGAAGGGAAAGTAGCCTGAACCCAGTGCTGACTTGCGGCGCCGGCATCAGACGAAAAAGTCACGAGTGAGTGAGGCTGACGGCGCAACCACACGTGTGTGAGACAGAAGCATGTGATAACAGTGTTACGAGTCGTAGGTTTTGTAGTAGATTAAATGGGGCCTCATGATATATCCTATACTTGGATAGCGTGCCGCTACTTTTTCGGATTCCCATCCAATTGCCTTTTTTCCATCAGCGGAATAACCTGACGCCTTAAAACGCCACCCCATAGGTTGGCTTATTCTTGCCCCCTAGCCCCCATAGTCCCCGAGGACGTCTAAATACTCTGAACAAGAAGAGATGGCTAGTAGTTGCTTTTCCGCTGTGCAACGGTGTCCGTCTCTCGTAAAAATCGCCGTTGGGGAATCATTGCGCCAAACACCTGTCAAATGAAACAGAAAAAGAAAGAAAGAAATATCCCAATGAAAGATCCGATCACGGGTTCTATGCAGGAGTGCCGCACTCTTCGAGGAGCGGGCCATCTGCCTCAAAACTGTAGAGGCGTACTTCACCATCTTCGCTCCCGCTGGCCATACGGCTGTCGGTGAGGCCGACGCAGGTGACAGGGCCAGAGTGGCCGGTGAAGGTGCGCTCACACTTGCCGCTTTTGGGCTCCCAGACCTTGACCATGGAGTCGTTGGCGCCGGTGACGATGCGCAGAGTGTCGCCAACAAGGCCCCAGATGCCCTCGACGTGGCCGAACATGGTGCGGAGACACTTGCCGGTGTGGATGTTCCACACCTTGACGGTGTTGTCAAGACCGGCGGTAAGCATGTAGCGGGGCGGCAGTTGCCGGGTGGAGTCCGAAGAAAAGGCGCAGCCGAACGACGTCCGGTCGTCCTCCGCGGTCACCGAGTCGCCGCCGAAAGAGGACCCGAGGATCGACGCCACATTGGCTCCGGCCGTCGGAGTTGTGCTCCGGCCGCTGTTAACCGACGCATTGTCGTCGCCCTCGAGCGCCTCCTCGTCCGGTTCGAAGTCCTCCGGCATCAGCAGAATCTGCTGCACTTGGCCCATGTGGCCCTCGAAGGTCTTGATGCATGTCTTGTTCCGTAGGTCCCAGAGGCGGACGGTGCAATCGTCCGAGGCTGAGAAGAGCGTCTGCGAGCCCGGGTCTAGTCGTACGTGGTTGACCCAGTCCTCGTGACCGCGGAGGCAGAATGTTTCCTTGCTGTCAAAGTTGAAGATCTTGATCGACTTGTCGATGGAGCCCGATGCCAGGTACTTTCCGTCAAAATCGACCGTAATGACGCCTTCGGTGTGGCAACGGAGAGTGCTAATGCAGTCACCCGTCTGCCAGTTCCAAACCTTGACTGTGTGGTCCAGGCTGCCGCTGAAAAGCTTGTTGCCAACAAACTTGAGGGTGCGGATGCCCATGGTGTGACCGCTGAGAGTGCGGATCTCCTCCCCTGTCTCGACATTCCAGATCTTGATCTTGGCATCGTATGACCCCGTGGCGAGGATCTCGTCGTCGAACTGCAGGCAGGTCACGCCATTGTCGTGGCCCTTGAAGGTCTTGATGTGGCATCTACCATACTTCCAGTTGAAGCCGACCTTGAAACGGTCGCGGTAGACGCTCTTCCAGGGTCGGATGAGGCGTTCTCGCTCCTTCTCGGCTCCGGTCTTGGGCGCCATCGGCTCGCCGACGTCGCTCAGGCAGGTCCGCTTCCTGCTATCGTCGAGCACGACAAGCTCACGCTTCTTGTTGATGTTGGGCGACGACGCTGTCGCAACCTTGTCGACCTGCTCCACTACCTCGACAGGCGCGACCTCCCGTAGACTTCTGGCCTCGGCAAGCTCCTTCTGCTTATTCCAGTCTCGTAGTCTCTTTCGCTCGAGGAGAGGCAGGCCGAACCCGCACTTGGTACACTTGCGGTCAATGTGTTGCTCGCACATGCGGTGCCACACAACGTCGTCGTCGGCGAGGTCCCGCCACCTCCTGCTCACCTGGGCGGCCTTGCAGAGGGAGACGGTGTCGAGGTAGCCCAGCACCTTGTACGAGATCTCGGTCGGGAGCGCAGCCATGAAGTCGATCTTGAGCTGCTCATGGACTTCGCGGGAGACGGTGGACAGCTGGGGGAAGCAGCATTGTGTGATGATGCCCTGCAGCATCAGGTCGCGGTGCTTGGCGGGGGCGGCGGAGAAGAGGGACCAGACGTGGGTGATGGCTTGTTGGTCGGCGGAGGGGAGCTTATCGAGTTCCTGTGCGGGAGACGTGTCAGCACGGAGTCGAAGGGGCCCGTGGGCATCACGACAAGGCGGGCTTACGCTCTGGATCAAGACCATCTTGGACTCGTCGGCGGCGCGACGACACTTTGCGTCGGGGCGGTGACGGTAGCAGAACTTGCTGTTGGCGTCTCTGTTCTGGTTGAGGCTGTTGCTGTCGTTCTGTACGTCGGGCTTGCCAATGGGAGCGTAGATGCCGGGGATGTGTTCCCTGAGGAAGGGGGTGACGGTCTGGCCGACCAGCTGGGTGGGCATGTTCGCGGGGAATTTTGAGACGTCTCCGTCGTCGGGTCTCCTTCTGTCGCAGTTGTCTCTTGATGGATGGTTCGCCGTGGTCACATTGTCGGGGAGAGAAGCGGCGGTGGAGTCAGAGGTAGCGACGGTAGAGGGAGCGGCAGAAGCGGTGAAGGTCGGTGTGCTGTTGAAGTAGTCGGATGAGGCAGATGTCGAGGCTTGATCGTCATGGCGGTGACTGGGCGACGACGGGTTCAGGTTGCCGTCCAAACCCAGGTCCATGTTTAGGCTCAGGCTCCGGGGATCCGGGAAGGTTGACGTGCTTGCGAGGTCCATGGCCGCAATATGTTTCAGCAAGCAATGGAAGCAAAGCAGAGTACAGCAAATAAGGAACGGGGGGTGAATGGTGTCAAACCATCCGGGGCGAGACGACGGGGCGGGCGTGCTTGGTGTTACCCGTGTAGGGAGGTACAAACGACACAGCCTACAAGCGAGCGACAGGAAGCGCAGTCCCGTCGACGAGACGCAGAGACAGACAGACGGCGGGTACGGAGAGGGAGGGCCGGGGTAAGGAGTCGTGTGTACAGTGACAGTGTAGTGACAGTCGAGGGCCGGAGGGCTGTTTTGGGTGAGGGTGAGGCGAGAGGACCTGGCGATGGCGTGCGAGCCAGGGGAAAGTCGATTCGCGTACCGGTTGTACGATTACGGTGGCTGCAAGAGGATTGGCGTCCGTGGTCTCTTTCTGTGCTTGGGTTGCGTTGCTTGGGCAGCTGCTTCAAATAGGATAGACAAGATGGGAGCCCCAGACGATCCACAGGAACGAGGTCCGACTGGCTCGGAGGGTTTGATTTGTGTGGAATTCGAGCAAGGGCACGCAATCGTAGTGCGGGTTGTCGAAGTGAGTGAGCGTCGTGCGCGGGCAGGCAGGCGGGCGTGTGTTTGTGTTGAGACTCGAGCAGGTTTTGGCAGGAGGTTGAGCCCCTTGGTGATTCGTCGGCGGAGCACGGACGGGCGATGTTCGTTGCTTTTTGCTTTTTGTCGTTATCCTTGGGCCCGGTTGCGATATTGCGCTGGCAGGCCGCCAAAGGTTTGGTCCCAAGCAAAAGGGATTCGCGGGGGGCGTGGGTGTACGGCAAGGTTTGGAACGACTTGCGAGAGGGAAGTTAGTCGTCAAGGAAGTGCGCCGTCGTGCAGGCCCGTCTTGGTTTTAGGTGCCGGCGGTGTCGTGATGGGGGGAGGGTATCTAGTAATATGGACTTGGTATCTGGTATCCCGTATCTGATGTCTTCTCTCCTTGTGTCTGGTTCGTCCGAGAGAGGAAAGAAGAGTAGGGACGGGAAGGGACCCGAGGTACTTATTCGCGGGTTGTTGTGCGGTGACGGCCAGGAGGAGAGAGATTTGGGAGACGAGGAACCTGCTGGGAAGGGACAAGTGCAAAGCCGGGCGACCAGGGGGTTTCTTGGGGATAGAGTCAGTCGGTTGGTGTCGAAAACGAAAGGAGTGCAACTTTGCCAGATGAGCAAGCATAACATAGCATAGCACGAGAGGCTCGGGATGGGCGTCAAGAGGTTCGCAAAGACGGAGCCCAAACCAAAGAGGCGGTTTGGGTGCTTTGGGGCGAAAATGGCGTTATCGCTGGGAATTATTGTGAGCACGCCGCCGCCCCCATGGTCCGTGTGTATGTGTGTGTGTGCGTTGTGTCGTGTCTGTCGTGGCCGTGGTCACTGGGCCCCCCAGAGGTTCCACCCGTCGACGGCGGTTCCCAGGGGTCCAAAATGCGCCAGCCCGTAGTCGGGGACCCGCTAAGGCGTGCTCTGCGGTCCACTTAAATGCCAGCGACAGCCAGCGGCAGGGCTGCGACGGCGGGTGTCGCTCACCGTCCCCTGGCGGCTGGGTGCTGCTGATTGCTGCTGCGCTGAGGGATGGGCGGCAACGGACGGGTCTCGCTGCACCGTCGCCGATAGCCGGACCCGCCGATTGTGTGGGGGGACGCAACTCCGACAAGCGAAACTAGGTACTGCGATTACCTAAGATACCTACGTACCGTCCAGGCCTGCCACCGCCGTCAGGGCTGCGCGCGTGTCCGTCGACTATTTCCAACGGGGTAGGTACCTCGCCTATGCAGTACGTACTGGCGCCTTCTCTTCCCCGCGATGCACCTCAGAGCTAGTCATGCTGCCAAGCGGTGCACTACCTGTAGTGCAGTACACCCAAGCACACCTACCTACCTAGGTAGGTATATGCCTACCTACTGCTGTACAAAGTACAGTTCATTAGGTACAGTCATGGACGGAGGAGGTGTATGTATGGTTTGTGAGGCCCCTTCAGACAGACAGACGGGCCATCCTTCTGTCGTCCATCGTCTGCCATTGTTTCCCCCGTTCCACCACGGCAAATGACGCTTGAGCCTCAAGTGTGGCCACAGTATCTCACTGGTGAACTGAACAACGCCATCCATCGCGGGTGCGCTGGTCGCTGATCGTTGATCGTTCGCCAGACAAACATTTCAGTCGGTTCCTCAGAGTGCGCAAACTCGCCCTCAGTCTCGGCTGCCAACAAGCCTGCAAACACTACCGGCAACTGCAACCCGTGAGTCTCGCGTGGAGCTCGGCTTACCTAACAGCAATGTTTGGCCATGCACTAATCCACGGTCAGGTGTTCTCGATCCTCCTTTTTTCTCCTACCTCTGCCCAGTTCCGTTACGTTTTGGACCCAGATTAGCTCACCGCGGCCACCTCTCGCGCAGTTTCTCTCTCGTCATCTCCTGGGTCCGCCTGAATCAGCGAACCTGGAAGCGACGGAAAGAATTTTCTTTGGCCTCGCTCCCACTTTCGTCAGCATAAAACTTGCGATACTTCAAATCTTGATCTCGTCATTTTTCTGCGGATACCCTCGTTGCCCACGAGGCATGACAAGAAAAGAACGGGGGAGCAAACGAGGAGGGGGCCCTCCATGAACCATGATGACTGTGTGTGTGTGTGTGCTCCAGACTCTGTGCCGCACCGAGTACCGACGATGAGGTTAAGGCCGACGCCTATGTCGCCATCCTGGCTGCCAATCTCCCCAATCGGGATGAGCTAACGCGAGCCTGCGATGGCGTCATTTTCTCAGCCCACGGGGTTCGCAACTCGCTTCGACGGGCGCTGCAAGCACATCATTCTTCGAGAACGAGAACGACATTTTGCGCCTTCGATACTGGAGCCCCCCCCTCTTCGGCACTTGCTCCCTTAAATCCTAACGCTTCCCACAATTCCTGTCGACTATCGCCGTTCGCCTCCCCAGTGTCCAGTTTTCTGCTCTCATCGGTCATCAGTGCTCCTAGGTTCGACCCAATTCGGATGAGGTAAGCATCCTTAATTGTCATCGGGGATCGTTTAAGAGTCAGAGCTACGGTAGGACTGGACTGGGCCTGGATCAACGACTCGACATTCCAACCAAACTGGACCACCACGCACCACCCACGTTCCTCTCGGGTCTCCACCGCCGTTAGACTTCTTCTCTTTCTTTTTTTCCCTTTTTTTTCAATCAAAGACCTTCAATGCTACCGGGCCTGGCGAAAACGCAACTGACCATTGGCCAATTCACCCACTCCGAGATCTTCTCCGGCCATGACTGCGGCCTGCAATCCAGCCAACCAGACGTCCGACCGACAGCCGCACTGGAGCCCGATGACCCACCTGACCCAGGATGCCACCAGCTCCAACCCTTCACCGAGGAGGAAGCTCTCTATCCATCCATATCTATTGATCCTGCCTCATCGAGCGTTGGACTGGGATGACGCTGTCCATGATAAGAGCGACCGATCACGCAATACCTTCAGTTTCCCCTGAGGGATAATTTTCAATGTCTCACTGATAACACTTTTGGCCCAGCCTAAACGTCCTTGCGATTATGTCTCAGCATCTGAGTTCAGCTCCTGGATGGGATGACACCAGTTGCACACAAACACCACAGGGATCCATGATAACCGTATCGTTTGCGGGGCGAACCAGTAGACATCAGCAAGCGCACAACCTCTTTTGGTGGTGAGGTTACTCAGCATCCCCGTTCCGCGACGTATTGAACAACGTCGCGCCGCTCGTCTGTCGCCCGGCTGAATGCAGAAGCGCCACCAACCCTTTACTGACAACCAAATGCCAATCCTCTTCGCACCTCGCCCAACCGCCTGACACATGGAAACCAGCCATAGGGCCGCCCAGGACTTGGCTGAGTGATCTGCGCCTTTGGGTCTCGATAAATGTGCTCGAATTCAGCATGATACAGCCGCAGTTGACCATCCGCCCAGGCTACCCCTCCTACTGTGCAGGAACCACGTTTCCGCCTGGTTCGAACTGGGCGGGTATGGTTTTCCTACTTCCTAGCGGGGACATTGCCATGTGATGTGGATGGTGTCCAAGCTTGTGTGATTCTGACTTCTGCATAGTCTCGTTCTTATTCTCCAATGACATTATTGAGCTGGGCGCAGTTGAGGATGTGCATCACACTATCATGCCATCGTGCTTTTTAGCAGTCCGTTTTGGTACACTAGCTTCGAGCTGCTAGACTCTATGCCTTTGAAACACGCGGCTTAGTGGCGGAGCTTGACTTTTGACAGCGCGGCCGGCATCAAATTGCAACAAGTCTCGGCCTTTGACCATAACAAATGCATCTGGGGCTGGACTAGTCTTGAGAGGATGTTCTCCGTCATGTAGGAGCTGAAGTCCTCGAGTCTAGCATGGCCTTGTTCGTCGAAGCAAATGAAGTCACCGGCTCTGTCTAGAAATCGGCCATGGAAACCTGGCATCAGCTACACGGTTATCCTCGTGTAGATGGATGGCAATGCTTCATATGTAATGGCGTGTCAATACATTTGTGATAGATGATATTGAGGCTTGAGACTGGCAACTGAATGCCCCTCCTATTGACGAAGACAGCCATGCTTCTTGGTAATGCTGTTGCTTGACATTTCGACTGTTATGGCTAAACATGCGATATCACTAAAGAACAATGTGACTGCTTGGCCTGGATCAAATTCGGTTGGAGCATCACAACAATCTCTAATTAGATTATAGAGGCAGTTCAAACTCACATATTTTCTTTGCATCTCGCAATCTAAAACTACGTAAAACCAATTAAGTTGGTAATTGGCCTACGATTTCGACAGGAATAGCTGTTTGTCCAGCTGGTTCGATTATAGTCCTCTGCTGGTCAACATCAGCCGGATACCTTGTTACCGGACAACAAGCTAGTCTTGTTGAGATAATGACCCAGTCGATATGGCCTACATACTTCTCTTGATGCTCTAGTAGTTTGAGTTCAAAGTTCACACAGGCAATGCCTAAGTCATCTCAGCCGTTCCATTGTAGGCCATCAGTTCAGCGTTGTCGCCCAACCAGCCCGCTTCCTATATCGAAGTCTTATCATGCTAACTACTCCTTATCTTTCCTGGGCTTATCTTGTCTCTATCCTGGCTAATGGAAGCAGCAAATCCTCTGAATGCAATGCCATCGTTACTTTACTTCGAAAAAGGGTCCTCAGCTTGATACTCTTAATACTAGCTGAGGCACGGTCCATGTTTCAAGCAGACAGAGTACCGTCATCTTTGCAATCTTAATTTCTTTAGAGAGCTCGACGGGGTAAGTGTCCTCGTCACAGTCTGATTAATCATTGGAATGATCGAACTGAGTGCCACGCCGTCTTTCCTAATCGCTTCACAGAAATGTCCATGTGCATGTTGCTTCTCGTATTCAAAGACGAAGCTAGTTCCAGGGAGGGGGAGTAAGCAAAAGACTCATGCTTCGTTTCCTTTTATATAATCACCTTACTGTAACTAGGTATTCAATAATTTCTTAGAGTCCGGACAGCTGATGTCTCTTACCAAAATTAACAGATATGCCAGACTTCAACTCCCTCAAAGGGCAGTAGTCAGCTGCTAAGAAGTGTGCAATCGCATATACAGTCATGGCGAAGAATGGAATATCATCGATGAACAACACTGACATGACAGGTCTGATTGGAAACCCCCCATATCTACGCAACGTCCCGTATCATCCACCCTCGCCATGGGGTCCCTCCTGAACTCTCCATATGGCCGCTTCTTGTAGAGGTCAGCCAGACACCATAAACTTGCTTTCCTCGTGTGCTTGCCGCCGAGCCGGCTTCTATCCGACAGTACCACCGGCTCTGGACGGCTTGGGGATCATCATCGCCGACAGCCGTTGTTATCGCATGTTGTGATTCGCCGCGATGCATGCCAAGCACTTGGCTATGTAAGCCGCCAGACTTCAAGCATCTCTGCTCCACGGGACTGGAGGGAGTTGCATGCTCCCGCCCGCTTTAACAGAAATATTACGCAGCTTGAAGACATGATACCCCTCATGGAAACGGACCCGGCGGGTAATGAGCGACGTGCAGTTACTGGGGAGGGAATACTAAAAGTCCCGTTTCGCATGTCAATGGCTCGCCGGATCTTGCGCCTTCGTCTTCTCAAAAAATACCCGATACGATTACACGCTTGAAAGAGCTGAAAGAATCATGCTTAGCAAGACTGCACTGATTGGGAGCTTTCTGGCTGGTTCAGCAGTTGCCGAGACTGTGCACGGTGTTCTCGTCTTTAGCCGCCATGGAGATAGTAAGTTCAAAGCACATCTAACAACTCCACGTGGGAAACTGACTTTGTATCAAGGGACAACCAAGCACTACGGTGCTCAATCTTTGACCAGTCTTGGAGCGCAACAATGCTTCGAGGTAGGAAGCGACTATCGTAGCCGCTATCTAGAGTCAAACTCGCCTCGCCGCATCCTTGACATCTCCGAGGACAAGTACGTCTCGTCTCAAGTATACGCCAGTGCTCCGGACCAAGGCATCCTCTTGAACACGGCCACGGCATTTCTCCAAGGCCTCTACCCCCCCTTGGTCGACCTCAACGTCCAGATAGCGACGTCCACTCTCAACAACGGCAGCACAAGCACCAGTCCCCTCAATGGCTACCAGTACGTCCTCTTGCACGGCGAGAACTCCAACTCCCCAGACACCATCTGGATCAAAGGCGACGATGGATGTCCAGCCAATGCTGCAGCCTATAAATCCTTTGAGGCTAGCCAGGAGTTTCAAACCCGTGTCGCGGCAACCAAGGACTTTTATGCCGGCTTTTACGACGTTCTGGAAAGCGTCTACGACTACAAGCCTGAGAACATGACCTACAAGAATGCCTATGACATCTTCGACCTCGTCAATGTAGCCCGCATCCACAACAGCACTTCCTTGGCCCGCAATGTCACGGACGAAGAGCTCCTCCAGCTGAGGACCCTGGCTGACAGCGCCGAGTTCGGATACAACTTCAACGCCTCTCAGTCGGACCGATCGATCCATGCGAGGACCCTCACCGCCGGCATCCTCGCCCAGCTGAACCAAACTGTTGCGTCTGAGGGCAAGCTCAAGTTTTCCCTCCTGTCGGGTAGCTACGATACGTTCCTCGCCTTCTTTGGTCTGACTGATCTCATCGCCGTTTCGGATGACTTTTACGGTCTGCCCGACTACGCCTCGACTATGGCGTTTGAGCTTGTTAGCGACGACGCTACTGCATTTCCCGCCGATGTCGACGCCGATCTCCGCGTCCGGTTCCTCTTCCAGAACGGCACGTCCGGCGAGCTGATAACGTTTCCCCTCTTCGGCACCGGGGAGGAGACCATCTTGTGGCCTCGCTTCGTCAGCGAGATGCAGGAGCGCGCCATCAGCACCGTCGAGGAGTGGTGCAGCGCCTGTTCTAGCCTTGTGTCGTTCTGTGCCGCTTACCAAGACGAGGCAACTGGCTCAGGCACCAACAGCAGCCGAGGCATGTCGAATGCTGTTGCCGGTGTCATCGGTGCCGCGGTTACGCTCGGTGTAGTTGCACTTGCCGGCGGAATTGCACTCTTTTACTTGAAGAGGCGCCGTTCAACAGCTGTCGCTGCTGTCCATGGAACCGCAGCCGAAAAATCCAGCCTGCACAGTGAGAAGAGTGTCTGAAGAATGACATACCAATTCAGGGGCCGGGGATGCCGTAGTTACAACGGATAAATGCGCCTACGTTTTCTCACGATGCAATGACAGCGAAACAATGCAAAGAGTTCTCCTTTCCTGGGTCCAGGATCTACGTCTCGTGTGACGACCCCTCACAGGGTCATGCTTGCAATGGTCTGCTGTCAAGGTTGCGGCAGCTGCCTCCATTAGAAACGCCGGCGCCAAAGCTATATTAACATGGTTCAGGCTTGCACTTTATTTCAATGTAGATGAAACCGGCTGTTGTTCAGCAACGCTCAAGACCACGGTTCATCCGATCATACGCGAAGAAGAAAAAAAAAGAAGAAAAAGAGGTATAGTCAACATTTTCGGGAATTATTACAATAGGCAAGCGCCTCACAATCACTGCAGACGGTAATCACGTGGAGACGTTTTTGAACGTGACAATGGTACGATCTATATCGCTATGATATATACGTTAGGTAAATCGATATACAGGAAAGACTTTGTACATGAAGCAGACTGGCCCAAGACCAAATCAGAATTGTAGACGCCACAAGTGTGAACGTCCACAGCGAACCCAATGGCATTTCATCCCCTGAGCCATCCAGGCCGCGTCAACCTCTCAAGGCAATCCACCAAAAGCAGTCGGTGGCGTCTCGGAACTCATTTATGCGAGGCGACGCTCGTGGAGGGTCATGCGCTTGGCAACAGCAGTGGCAGAGGGAGTCTCGGCGGGGCAGTCGTCCTCATCGTCAGCAGCCTGGGTGGGGGTAGGGGTGGCGACGGGGGCGGCGGACTCGGCAGGGCAGTCATCCTCATCCTCATCAGCAGCCTGGGTAGGAGTGGGAGTGGCAACCGGGGCGGTGGTCTCGGCAGGGCAGTCGTCCTCGTCTTCAGCGGCCTGGGTAGGAGTAGCAACGGGGGCAGCGGTGGTGGTGGCGGCGGGAGCAGACTCGGCGGGGCAGTCATCCTCATCCTCCTCCTCGGCCTTGATGGTAGGAACGGAGGCAGCGGCGGAGACGGCAGCGGAGGGAGTCTCGGCGGGGCAGTCGTCCTCATCGTCAGCGGCCTGGGTGGGGGTAGGGGTGGCGACGGGAGCCGTGGTCTCGGCAGGGCAGTCATCCTCCTCCTCGGCGGCGGCAGTCTGGCTAGGGGTGGCGGCAGAGACGGCGGAAGTGGCGGGAGCAGAGGTAGCGGCGGGAGCGGCAGAAGAGACGGGAGCGGCAGAAGAGACGGGGGCAGAGCCGGAGCCGGAGCCAGAGCAGGAAAAGACGGCAGGGCCGGGGATGGTGTACTCCTGAGCCTTGTAGGCGTCGTAGGTGATACCGGCGTCGGTGCCCTTGTAAGCACCGGGGAAGGCAACCAGGTCAGAAGGGCTGGTGCTGCCGGAGCCGGTAACCTCAATCTGGTGGCACCCGGGGTAGAACTGGGCGCCGGGGTAGGAGTAGGAGGCGTGGAGGGCGATGATCTCGTGACGGACGAGGTACTGGCCGGGGGCAATGCACTCGGGGATGGTGTACTTGACACCAGAGTTGCCAGCCTTCATGAGAGGGGTAGCACCCCAGGTGTTGGAGGTGCCATCACGGCCCTGCTCCTGAATCTTGAACCAGACAGCGTCGGTGCCCGGCAGCCACGTGGTGCAGTCGTCGTTGGCGCACTTGGCCATGTAGGTGATGGTAGGGCCGATGTGGGACTCGGGCCAGAGGGTCCAGTTAAGGGTGACCTCGGAGCCGGCGGCAGCCTTAGCAACGAGCTTGGCGGGCTTGGAGCCCTCAACACCACCGGCGGTGTAGCCACCGCACTGGAGGTCGATGCTGGTGACGTCCTCAACGGGGCCGTTGCCCTGGATGGGACGGGAGATGCGGTCGGGGGCGGGGTTCATGTACGGGTCCTGGTAGGGCTGGTAGAAGGTGTAGTTCTCACCACCGATCAGACCATCGTTGACGATACCGTGAGCAGCCGCCAGGGCTGCGGATCCAAGAAGGGAGGCGATAGTGGACTTCATTGTGGCGGTTGGAGGGGTTTGTGAAGGGGTTTGTTGTTCGAGAAAGGTGCCGGAGGCTTGACTGTGAGAATATCGTGGTCGGTTGGGAAATGAGTGGTGGTTTGAAGGTCTAGGACCAAAAAAGAATGAATGACTACCGGGTCAAGTGAAAAGAATGACGAAAGTGGAATGAAGGAATGAGATAGACACACAAGTCAAGTGAAGCTGAACACTATGGATCGTAGAAGGAGAGACCAGAACTGGTGAAGACCAGGCAGAGACAGTGATATATACGAGAGAGCATCCTGTGGCAGGGTGATTTCCCAAGACGGCCGCTTGCACCGTTGGCTTGCCTCTCAACTCCATCGGGTCAAGATTGAAAGGACCACTTCCGCCGCTCCGCCAAAGTTTCAATTATACGCAGGACAATCATATCCGGCTACTTGGTGGGGATAAACATGGGAAGGGGGATCTCGCGTATGCGGGAGACAGGCAAGGCTGGGATGTGGGATGTGCTTTAGCGGTCTTGGATTTGGTGTACTGCGAGCGGTGGATGCATGCTAGGGATCTGAAAGATGTGCCCCAGGGGAACAAGCCAATGAACTCACAGCCAGTACTTCTACGTTGGCGGTCGCGAGAAGCTCGGAAGGTAAGAGTCCACAACCCCCCTCGAGGATGACAGGACTGCGTTTACGCTGGTGTGTGTGATATAAACTGAACATATTGGACGTGGCCCAACGTTGTGGAATTGCTTGGGGTACTAGTTACCGCCTGGATAGGTCACCCATGAGCAAAGTAACCACGGATACCGTAGATCAGCTATCGGACTGTTCGGCCAAGAGAGAGAGCCCTTGCCGCCGTTCGACACAAGCCTCAAGACATGACATTCAGGTCCAATCTGTCATGTCGTTGTCAGTTGAGAGAAGGAAATGTCAGTCGAGTTGACATGCAGGCGGCAGGCAACACGAAAATGGTGAGACAATGCGAACCCCCCTTTGAGCATGGGACGACTTTGAGAGTCCAGCCTTGAGGGGTACGCCCGGCCGGGGGCCATGGTGCCTTGTCCCCACTCCCGAGCTTCGCTGGCCGAACCGATTGGCTCGTTCCGGCGTCAAGGCCCCCGGTCAATCCACGTCCAGATCCCTGTGAGATCCCGGCGCCCACCCTGAAACCGCCAAGTCCTGAGACCCGTCCCCTTCTTCTTAATTACATCGCCAAATTCGCCCTGCGTCCTCCGTGGCTGCAATCAACGCTCTACACGCTATATCTCGAAAGAGGCTCAACGTCCTGAGCCGCCGCAGCGGAGCCTCAAGGATAGCCCCTCAAGGTCGAAAAGTTGCCGTTCAAAGACCACTTTGCCCCCTGCACCACGCATGGCAGAATGCAGGCTTCCACCCCTTTCCACCAATCCTCTGCACTTTATCCCAGCAGAGCGTTAAGGACTCGACAACTTTTGCCGCCAGCAGCTGACCTGAGCGCGTGCAGGGCCTTCTAGGACCACGGCGCCCAAGCCTGGACCTCGACGTCAACTCCTGGTCTTCTCGCAGGGCGACGTGCAAACATTGCAGGCCTGACCACTTTCTGGGTAGCTCGGCAGGCTAGACCGGCCAGGATTTTCTGAGCTCGCTGGACCTGCTGGACTTGTCTTGCGGCCACTGTCAGGCATCATCAAGATTGAACTGGGCCCAGCGTCTGTGAAGTCTGGCCTGATTCGCCCTGCAGTTCCTCTCTTTTCTTCTTTCGCCCGCCAATATTCGGACATGAGCTTGACGCGACCCAGCCAGCGATGGGCCAGAGGGGCGAGAGGGGCCATGTGGCGGCCCCTGAACGCGGGAACAATAACCGTTCTGAGCAACGCCTTCTGGCAGGGCCATGTCGGCCGTAATTACGCTTGATTGTCTTTGCCCGTCTGGCAGCCTAGTTTGGCCCGGCAAACTACCGGTACACTGGAAGGAAAGGATTTTTTTCGATGCGAGATTGATTTAAAGTAAGGAGATGCCCACTCCCCTCTCCGTGATATGCATTGCCAATAGTCTTCCCGTGCCCACCTGCAATGTGCTGGCCCGAGGCTAACAATGACGTCCTTGGACGCATGGCTATGTATCCATTAATGCGGGAGGAGCCCGAGCAGGAGTGTTGGCGCCCTCGTCATCACAGCTGACATTCTTGACGCTTTGAAGAGGGCGATAGTGCCCTCTCGGAGCCGCGTGCCGTCTTTGCCTACCGCCGGGTCTGTCGGCCACGGCCTTGTCGTTCCATCCCTATCCATCTTCCCCGTCCAAATCTCCCTCACCCCCGGTCAGCGCTTCTTCGCTTCACCGCACATCACTCGCGTCTTTTTGATGCTCCACTGGGGCTGGCCATTTTTGAGCGAGCCAGACAGCTGGAACCCCCTTTGCAACTTCCATCGTTATTCCATTCAAGGTTGGAGACCCAACAAGGGTTTCCCGCCCCTTTTCAGGCGATCGGCGAGCGCCTAACAAACACAAACACCGCCGATCTCATGGCAATCCTCGCCTGTTCTCCCTGGACAACCAACCGCATTCCAGCCTTCGGTTCGTGGCACAGTCCACTCTGCAGAATACTCATGATCGATGCGACGCCAGGATGCCTTCGTGGAGAGAGTCGATCGCGTCTGTGGACTGTGAACCCGGGGCTTGGCTTTTTCCACAGAGAGTCTTTGTATTCTCGGCCGAATTGACCACTGCCTTACGGACGCGATTGAAAACGCTTGGGCGACAAGAGTCTCGGAGCGCGCGACCCTGACTCGGTCTATTCAGATTCGAGCAGGTGGCTGCAGCTTCACTCAACATGATGCACGCAGAAATGCCCCTGAGTGCGCAGCAACGAGACGTACTTTAAATGATGGGATCCCTCAAACCACAGCACTTTATCCCACAGTCACAGCGCAAGCGGATTGAGTCATGGCTGATTTGCATGGGTTTGTCCGAGCCCTTGGGCACTCTTATCTATCCTAAGTTCCTAACACGTGGGTATCAAACTAAACTAAACGAAACAGTTCATGAGCATCTTGAGAACAAATCGTGCTATAGTGCATTAATGAAGCACCTTCATAACCAGGGCTATAAAAGCCTGGGCCGGCCGTGCAGCATCAGTGGTTGTTGCGCCTCCGCTGTCTCTGTCGCTCGCAGATGGCCAAGCCGGATATAACAGCCATGATCGCCCATCGTTCACCCAGCTCGCCCGTCAGACCACTGCCCGTGAAAGCGAATTTGGCCACCTTGGACATGCTCATCCCAGCATCCGTCCAGACGGCGACCACTTCCTTCCCGTCGCCTCCCTTAAAGGCCGACGGCGCGGCTGCTTGAGCCAACCTAACCAGCTTCCAGCCTCTGCTTCTGCCGTCCAGCATGGCGATTGCTTCGCCAGAGCTAGGTCTCCACTCGAATTGCTCGAGTCTTTGGCAGTTCGGGCCAACTCCCATCGCGAAAATATAGCTTGACAAGGGAAAGTTCGTCCTGCATTCCAGGTCGATAATGGGTGCTCCTCCGGGACTGCCTTTGGGCGCAGGGGGGAGCGTTATGCTCATCCTGCCGCTGAAACTGTGGTGTTCCACCGACGCCAGCGGCGGGGAGGTGTTTGCCGGCCCGGAGTGCAGTATGATTGGCGGCGAACTGCTGAGGCCACTGTGTATTGACATGGCGTAGAATGGCTGGCTTTGGTGTTCACCGAGAACCATCGTACGGCTGAAGCTCTGCGAGTAGAGATTGAATGCGGGCGGGAACTGGCGAGCGACCTGCGGCGGCGGCGGCGGCATTGCCGGTCCCGGGGTCGCTCGGGGTGGTGCTTGGGTGCTGGGGACAGGACTGCTGCGGGGCTTTGCTTCATATGGCGGCGGGGCTTCGTCCGCAGGGGCGTCTGGAAGAGGCTTCATTCTCAGGTATTCGGGGGCGAGTGTCATTGTCGATTTACTTCAGATACAGTTGGATTCGGTAGAGTGGATTACGAGTACTTTGCGGGTATTGATAGGTTTCTATCAACATCTGGCTCAACCCGGGATTCCTCAACTATTAAAGCAGTCTCATTAGACATGATGTCAGCCCGAATCCTCTTCACAGCCACGCGCATGGCGAGAGTCAGGTGGCACGGTTTCGCCCGGCGAATATGATCTACACTTCACAGCCACATCTCTAGGGTCCGCCCAGATCTACATAACTGCGTAAAAGAGCCCTTGCATAGATCATCTCAAGGATTTGTTTTCGGCTGCCCCGTCCACGCTTGAGAACCGGACTATTCCTTGGTCCAGAGGCGCAGTCGACTATCTTCCCCAGGAGCGAACTGCATTCCTGTCAGACTCGGCATTGCCCTTCTTGTCCTTGGTAGAGTGGAAATGTGATGTCTTCTTAGATGACTAATATGACTTGATGCAATGTCGAAGGCAAGACTGCAGGGTCTCTACAGTAGACTATAGGCCCCAGCGGAGGTTAATGATCGAAAGAACGATTGTCCAATTTGGCGAACCGATTGAATTGTCCAACCTTCGTCGCGATTGCATCTATTTTTACGTGGGCATTCTGCCTCTCACTAATGCATGTTGTTGTGAGCTTTGCAGGTCACCGGTTGCAATGACCCTGTCCCATCATCGTACATTCAATTCCTGAGGCGACCAAGGTTACCATGACGGGCAAGTGTCGCTCGCACATTAAAGAGCACAACCGCCGCACTCTTGATGTCTACGATGGCCCGTCTACAATGCTTACTAGTAACTGCAGGTTCTAGATAAGGTCGGTAACAATTCCCGCCTGTTGCAGTGTCTTTTGTTGCTCAGGTATAGCTCGAACGTGCGATCTTGAAGATGACCAGGGCGCCAATGAGTTCCGAGTATAAAGTCCGCAAGCATGCTTCGACCGCTATCTTGGAGACCTTGACTCGGTTCCGATTAACTTCTTCCCACTTTGCGATGAACCTGCTTTTCTTAACAACCTTGATGGCCGTGGCGAACCTCTTCCTCCTCCAGATGCTAGAGAACCCTACTTAAGGCCATTGTTAAAACAAAAGTCGTCTTTCCGCTAGTCTAGATGTATTGTTTCAGCCGTTTCCAACTTAAACCGAAGCGAGCTCGCCAGATTGTTAGATATTCCACATGCTTCGTGATTACGGATCATTCTCATTCTTGCCAATGTGATGTATACCAACATGTCCTTGGCGTGTTGTGAGTGCAACAGGAGTGAGAAACAGCTGGGAACAGTCCACCGCAAGTAGTGCTAGATCAGCGTCAACGACTGAATTGTCGGTTCTGAAACAGTACAAATATACCGGACTCTAGCCGTTGATAAGTTGGAAGGAGTAGATGCGACAAAGTCTGATCAGTAATTCCCGTTCTCGGGCATAGTGCTGCTGGGCAAAGCGCAATCATCGTGAACTGAGCATAGCAGAACAAAGTTGCGGACAGCGGGAATATAGGCGAAAAGGAGTGCGGTTATCCTAGTCGGCGGTGGCTCGTAGAGACTTTGCAGCGGCGGATGTGTCGATTCTTACCATTAGTCCTCACATGATACATTACGCAGCACACTGAAAGGCTCAGTAAATCCCATGCCTACTAACTCTATGCTGTGATTTTCGGATAGACTCGTAAGAAAAACAGACTACATACTTGGGACTACTCATCTCTAGTCCTAACTGGTAAAAAATAAAAACACTAACGATATCTGTTCTTTAACAACGATGTTACCATTGCCGGCACATATAGATAGAAGTGTGGCAGCATATGCAATCGAGTCTATAGCCCCTATTCCTTCTATTACAAGCGACAGAGAAGGTACGACTGAGATGTTCGATCGTTTCAGTGGTCTCGCGGCAATTCAGGTGCCTTAATAGCAGAGTAAAGTTATCAGCTTTGGAAACCACAAAGACGCGTTAGATGAAGGCAAGACAGGTATTCGGTCAAGTCTTCATAGCACATTGTATTCAATGGAGTTTTTTAACACCAAGCCTTAATGCTGGGAATGTCCAGGAGGCGGTTCCATCTTCGATATTTAGCATGACTACGCCAATCCTGCCGCAGGACAGAACACGCACAAACAGCCTGTTCCACAACCGACAAGAGAAAATAGAGCTTTCCCCTGCTGGGCGGAAAGGCACGGCGGTATGCGATGATCTTAAGGTTTACTTTGACCCCTTACGGCCAAGGCGGATATGTTAATCAGAAGACTAGTTAAACTTCCTATTCAAAACATGTCTGTAGTAAAAAGCGTTGGTACCGGGCCCTCGCTCGCTCTGACAGCCATGAATCGCACATAACAGATACATGAATAGTGCTTCGCATGACCCCCAAGTTGGCCGTGTGTCTGGTTGGCGTCTGTACAATCTCACTGTTCTATCTCAGCACTACTATCGTTCTGATGTCAATCATCGGGGCCAGGCTGATGAAGACAAAGCTGTCGGGTCCTAAGTCGGGACCAGTAGGGCTCTCCATGCTTCTTTCACGGCTAGTATCAGACTCCCGACTAATGCAAAGACATTTGAGGCATTTATGCAACAGATACGCAAGCTTACGGCAACCCAAACTATACTCGCGTGTCGCCAGTGACTTTGGGTATCAGATATGCCTCACCCTGATTGTGGTCCCTAGAGAGAATCTCGGAAAAAGGGGGGGCCTAGGTGAAGAAATTTTGCTTAAGCGATTGTCTGTTGAAATATTATACATGTTACACCTGCAAGGAAAGATAGCATCGAAAAGCAACCCCATATGAGATACTCGAGTACTCAAATGCGAGCGGGATTCCTGTAAACAGCAAGACCCTACCAAAAGCTTTAACCAGCAAGAATATGTCTGTCTCTTCCCTTTGCAAATTGTATCCTCCCAAGCTCGTAAATTATCCCAAATAATCGTGTTGGGCGATCTAGTCGGCTGTACCGCTCTAGTCGTGCCAGCCTCGCTATGTCGACTGCCCCATCATCATCCCAGGATGTACGAAGAGGGCGAAAACATCGTCTTTGTGTATAATGGTCTAGCATTCGCAGCTAGATAAGCGCAATCCTCCCAGCTGGGCCGACTCTCAGATATCGAACGTAACCCGTTTCTCACCTGGCTTTCATGTAAGAGACTCAAGTCCACTTAATCGCCATTGCATGGAAACCCACTGGAAGCCCTCCTCCTCCTGGAGCCATAGAAAGCATATGTTGAGTCCTCCTCCCCTTCGACTTCTTCAACTTTGCCTGACGTGAAGATCTATGCGAAACGGTCAGTACTGCGGGGCGCCCGAAAGCATCACGGCGGCCCCGGTGAAACACTTACAAAGTCGAACCTCGATGCGGCAAACACCAGAGCCATGAGCACGATGACCACCAAAAGCAGGCTACCCAGCCCGTTCATGTTGGCAAACATTCTCAACATATTTTTATATTTCTTCTTTCGGTTCCTGACAAGGGTCTCGCCCTTGGACGGGGAAATCGTCAATCAGTCGTGGTCTAGCTAGTGAGTGTCTGAGACACGCTCCTGTGGTGTCGCGAACCCGATTCGACGGCGCGGCAATCGACGGGAGTAGGAATGTTGGAACAAATTCCTGGCGCACCAGAAAGAAGAAAGGAGGGGAACGTTTTGAGACCTTCCGGAATCGCGACTTAAGAATGAATCGAATGCAACATGAATCGCGGCGATCACGCAGGGTCAGCCATGCTCCGGGCCGAATACATCAAGAGAAACCGTCGAGGGTGAGAAGATTCGCTGGTCCGACGCAGTAGAGTTGGGCCTGGCATACGAGGGCCTTATACACAGGGCTGGGCCACATGCCCGGTGACCGCCCCCGATCCGTAGCGGAAGCATACTTCTAACGGCCAAGAATAGGACAGTGAGCCATTGACGAAAGAGGGAAGAGATGCTGGGCCCTGCTCTGCCTTACAATGCGCAAGGCGGCACGTGGCGAAGGGCGTTCACGCGCCACAGCAGGATGCCCTGCGCTCGGTCTGATCATCCATGGGTGGTGGGCTCTAGGCAAGGCGAGGAACTCGAAACTGTCAGGCGTATGGAGGAAAAGTCTTGGTGTGTGTTGGAGGTGTTGGAGGTGTTTACACAGAGTGTCCGTTTCAAGATGCGTGGAACGAAGGGGGGAAAGTCTGGGGTAGGACGGAACTTAGACATGGAAAGCAAGTGGAGGTCCGGAAAGCACCAATCATGTCGACTTCAGAATAAGGAGAATGAGTATAATCGCAAAACGCTGCCCCCTCATTGTGCCTTTCCCGTAGGCCACCCACCCATGCCCGTGCAGGCGGGCGTTCGAACCGTCAAAAGAATGCGGGGAAAGTAAGCGAAAGGTGCATTACCTATGTAAGCAGGCCAATGTAAGGGGGACGAGGGATGTGAGGGTCGACCGAGACACAGACGAGAGAGAGAGAGCTGGGACTAGCTCTGTCGTTGTCCAATGGCTGGCTGTGTGGGTGGCCTGTTGGCCGCAGAGAAGGGGAAAATGGGTGCGGCAGAAACCCCAAGGAGTCAGCGTTCTGGAGCTCCTTCGAAATGACGAGAGAAGCAAGATGACGAGACGTGGAGCAGTATGGTTGGTGTGCGGCGACAAGGGGGACAAAGTCAACAGACTGAAGAGGAGAGTTATGTAGCACGGGCGGTTCATCTTGAAATGTCTCCAATCCTCCTCCCCACCCATCACGCGATGGATGGAGGAGTGTCGGACCAGTAATTTATATTCATTAGGTATTGTATCATTATCATATCCGTTGATGCCAGTCGACTGGCGTGTCTTGTTACCGTCAGACTGGCATCCGTCTCTCAACAAATCAATCCGTCGTGAAGTTTTCCCAAACTCGACCAAAACTCCGTGTTCTGTTTTTCCCACTTCGTCCGAAGATCCGGAACAGAATGCCACGCCAAGAGATACGAAACTCTCGCCCAAAGCGCCGTGCAGATGGGATGGACGCCATTTTTAAACTTTTGAGCCGGTGGATGCCGGCTTGTCCCAGGAGTGAGTGTAAGTGAGAGAGAGCGTGGGTGTGGAGGTGAGTGTGAGTGTGAGTGTGTGTGTGTGTGTGTGTGTGAAGGTGATGGTGATGGTGAGATGTCACCCTGCAAAAGGCGTTAGACCAGAACGGGGAAACGAAGATCTCCAAGTCTGACCACACACAGCTCTCTCTCCTTTCGTCCCCCAACAAAAAATAAAATAAACGATAATCAAAAAAGAGCAATCAAAGACAACACTGGTGGTAATCGCCCGTGGGACCAATACCATAATAGGCCAAGGGGACGAGGAGCGAGTCCGAAAGCAGACCAATCCCCCTTCCGGAGGGCATCAGCTAGGCTTCGTCCGCTCGCAGCAGCGCCTTGACCTCGAGAGCCTCGTTGACGATGAGCGCCCAGGTGTCGAGGATGTAGTCGCGCATCTCTATGAGCACCATGACCGCATACGCCGCCGTCATCATGGAAAGACAGTAAAACGCCTGGACCAACGTCAGCCCCAACACAATTTTTTTTTTTTTGCCTCTTTTGATTGACATAATTCTGGTTTGTTTGGTTTCGGATGCGCCTTCATTCGAAGAAATGAAGCGCATGCCCGAGCCGAGACAAGCCATGGGGCGGGAAAAAAACATGAGAGGAACAAAAAATAAATATGAGGATGATGTCAGAAGACTTACCGACAGCACGCCCAGGTCTCCCCATCGCACTAAGGCCAGCTCACCCAGCCCGTAGAGACCTTCGATACCGAATGCACTCGCGGCGATCGCTCCGCCGTCGAGCTTCGAACTGTAGATCACCCGCAGCTCCTCGACGCTGCGCAGTCCATCGGGGACGCTTTGGAATCCGTAGTAAAACATGCCCACTGCAAGCGGCATGGGCAGGGCGTGATACGCCCAGTTTAAGCTGGTGAAGACGCACCTCACAATGAGGCTCACCAGCTCTCTCGGCGGTCTCGTGAGATCCAGGACACCCCTCAAAAAGTAGTCGAAAACCACGGCGACCATTGTCGTCAGGGGATGTAATGGCTGCGGTTGCCGTTGTCGTGCGTGTTGCCGGGCCACCGTCGGTGATCGCCTCGACGAGGACTTGGCTTGCTTAGCCTGGACCAGGGCGGACAGCCTCGGGGCCGGGTTGTACAGGTGGTGCTGCTGGTAGTGGTAATTGTGCGGCCCCGAGAGGCCGGCACTCATCATGGCCTTTTGCGTAAACGTCTCCGTTGACATGGTATCGACGGAGGCCGCCCCAATGATGTGGAAGAGAGTTGTGTGGTGTGAGGTGATGCAAGGGAAAGGGAAGAGGGTGGCCTTGTCGTCTTAGACGATCCGGAGAGGACCCAGGTGAAGGGGCCCAAGATATAAGTCGGGAATCGGTGAGGTGTTGGGTGAGTCTGGGAGGCAAGATCCGAGCTAGGACGGAGAGGTGGTGCTCGAGCTTTATGACAAGCAGGGCAGCAAGGGCAGGGGAAGGCCAGAAAAGAAATTCCAAGAGGCAGTGTGGTGAGCTAGAATAGCGTTTGCTTTGCCTTAGCGTTGACTGCTAGCGACGCACCGTTCGCGACGACACCGACTTTATGCAGTAGGTATGCTTGGGGATCTTGGTGGGGTCGTTGATCGCAGCGTGTCGAGGTGGTGTCGAAAGGTAATGTCTCTGCCAGAATGTCAATCAGTCCATGCCTCTCTGCGTTGGGTGTTTGTGGGATGGTGTAGCGGTCGTGGTATTGGTGGTGGTGGTGGTGGTGAGGGAGGTGAGGCACATCCGTCAAGTCGTTTTCGGTCGCCGACCGAAACCATCACTCACATGGCATGGCGCCCGTCCAGCCCAGACGCGAGAGAGATGCAGCAGACACGCAGGTAAGCACGCAGTACGCTTTACGCTGCACTGAGGGCTGCTTACCAATGTCCGAATTCGACGGGTTGGGGAACACAAAAGAAAAGAAAACAACGACTTGGTGAGCCTTCGGGAGGCATCATCGGCACGTAGAGGAAATGTCACCGTCTTGAACAAGTAAGTTTGCTCTCATCAATTTTCTCTCAGTCCCCCCGCTTGGCTTCATTGAGTCCCCCCATCCTCGGTGTGCATGCGTATGTTTGTGTGCACCCAGAGGAAGGGGAAATAAATAAAACACACCTCCTTATCTAAAGTAGTCTACCCAGCCAAGACAAACGGCTGGAATGTTGTCTCCCAACACCACGCCAAATCGAAAGAGAACTCCCCCTATCCTCTGTGCTACCCTGCAGACGGACGGTCGGACAATATGCAAAGGTGAGGAGCTATGGCATCTATGTACCGCCCATGCAATTATGCATGCATACCAAAAAACACCAACGAGAAGGGGGGTAAAAAAAAAAAAAGCCAGAGTGTGGTACTATCGCAATGAAACATGAGACAGACGCCTTTCCACCCCAAGGTTTCCCACGTTCCAATTATAAATCATCCTCGTTCGTTTCCCCTGAAGGAACCCCCCCGAAAAAGCCACGGTGGGAGCTCACCCGAAGCTGTGGAAACGTTCTCTTCTCCAGGCTTCGGTGCCGGGCCACTCCCGGTTGGCTACTTCGCGCGCCTCTTCTCACGGGCATGCCACTTTGAGGCTGGCCTTTCGCATCCGACCGCTCCGTCTCAACCCGGCCGTGTCTTCCCCTTCCCCGGAATCTTCGTCTGCGGCTCTGAGGCGCTTGTTTCCTCCCCTGTCATCCTCGCGTGCCTCGGACAGCCCTGCTGTAGGTCTCTTTCGACCCCGGATACGCGCCTCTTCGTCCCGTCCCAAGAATCGATGGATGATGCGGTGATCGAGGATGCGCTCCTCCTTGTCGCGGGGTCCAGCCCTCTCCGTCTTGGGCCAGATGTAGCCGTAAAGCTTCGAGTGTCGCTCACATCGCGGACACGAGCTCTTGGTGTAATAAGCGTTCTGCTGCACAAAGGCCGTCTCGCAATTCATGCAGCGAACCCACGCGGTCTGCGGCTCCGAGAGTAGCAGCGGCGTTAGAGTGTAATCGCCGGGCGTTCGGGTCTTTGCGGGTGGCGTGGTCTCTTTGATGAAGGTGCGCCGTTGATACTTGCGCTTCTTGAGAGCTGCTACTACTTCTGGTGGTGGCTGGCTAGCAGCCTCCACCTCCACCGTCGTCTCATCGACCTTTGCACAGACTTGGATATTGTCAGTGATCGGCGCAGGATTCTCCGTCGACACCCGTGCCTCAACCTTCAACGCCTGCACACCGTCGGAGCTGCGGTTGCTCAGGACGTCCTGCTCAATTGACGTCACGGCCTCAACCTCTGACGTTTGCACCAGGCGCTCCCGGCGGGAGCTCTCGAGCGGCTCTTTTGTTGGGGGGATCCTGTCGGCCTGCATCGACTTCAAACCGCTTCTGCCAGAGCCTGTCGTTGCGTCTGTGTCTGGTATCGCCACCGGTTTTGTGTCCATGTTGTTGCACACAGCAGCTGCAATGCTCATACGATCTTGTCTTTTTGTCGCGGTGGTAATGCTCGTCGAGTACGCCATGGTGGTCCATCCAGAGGCACTTCTCCCCTTGCCTTTTGAGGGGGGAGACGGGGGATTGCACAGAGAGGAAATGGGTATCGACCTGGAGGCCATGACGGATGCTGCTCGAATCGAAGCGGATGTGTCAAACGACCTCGCAATCGTCCTGCCTCTCTGGCCTTGACGCTGCGAGGAGAATGGCGCCGCATTGGCCAGCACTTGCCCCGTGGATTCTTCACATTCCTCCTCCTTGACGAGCTCCGACTTCTTGTGTGACTGGCTCGGTTCCGGCGTGTCCTTCTCCGGCTCAGTGATGTCCGTCACCGAGCCATCTTCGTTTCCGCCGCTTGTCAACGACATGCTGCGCACAGACTCGGAGGTCGAGCTGTCCCTTGAGCCGACAAGTGCTCCTGGAGCGACCATGACTGCTTGTGTTGCTGACACCTTTCGTCTCTTGGAAGGTGTGATGGGCGGTGTGACGAGCGAGTCGAAAGACCGCTTCTTATCCGGCGATAAAGCATCCGACATGGGCGAGTCGACTGCCAGTGAATCGCGGCTAGACTTTCCACCTCGCAAGCGAGACTTGGACACTCGGGGTCGGATGTCCGGTGTAACGGAGGGTGTCCGGGATGAAGGTCCCGTACTATCGTCCCTCCTCCGCCGGCGCAATGAGTATCCGTCCATGACAGGCTCTTCGATGCTCTTTTTCACCACGACCTCCCCTTCAGCAGGCGCCCAACCATTTGTGCATCGGTCTTCGCAAGTCTTGCAGAGACATTCACAATTGTCCTCCCCAAAGTAGTTTTCGGCGTATGTGACGGTAATCTCCTCCCCGACATCAATGTTCCTCGTCGCAATGATCTCAATCGTGGCCGAGGAAGTCGTCATGAGCTTCGCGTTGGCCCCGCAATCATGGTTCGCAAATCGAGCCGGGCCCATGAACAAGCTGGCGCACTTGTTTCTCGCAGAAATGATGATGCTGAAGTCCTTCTTACGGGCCGTCATTTCCCGCTCCTCTTCGGGGGAGATATTGACCTGGGTTCCGGCCAGGTACTTGACTGTCTCGTTCCTCCGGATGAAGCGTCGGGCAGTAATGGCGGCCTCGTGCGACACAATCGTGTAGCGGTTTGTCGAATTGACCTCAAAGGGGCAGTCGGGGAGGTAGACCTGGGTGTAGCGGCGCATGTGGCGTTTGAAGTCCTCCTTCGCCTTATCCGTCTTGAGGGCGGTGAAAAACTTGCGGAAGCCATCGGTGGCTAGCAGCTTCCGCTCCGCGGATTCGAGGTCCCTCTTGACAACAATCTCGTTCTGGATGATTTGGGTAATGTCCTCTTCGCGTACGCCTCGGGAGGGATGATACGAGTTTCGGTTCTTGGGGATTGTAGTCCAGTAAAAAACCTGCAAAGTGTCAGCTTCATCAGCCTCCGAGTGCCGAAGACATCGCTGCCCGGCCGGACCGAACGCCGTACATGATCAACCAACGCATCCGTCAGGAAATCGTCATAAGAGGCAAGCTGCGCCAACGTCAGCGTCTGCTTCTGCTTCTGCTTCTTCGCCGCAGTGCCGGAAGGCGGCATCTTGAGATGGTTCCCGTCGTAGCCGTCGCTGTCAGCCTAAGCGCAATGTTGAAGGAGCGGATTTGCGGGCAAATGCGGAAAAGGCTAAAAGAGAGTCGGGAGGGTCCAGCGTCGGCGCACAGAGCAAGGAGTGGACGAAGGAACCTAGGTCGATAGTTGGACTGCCTTCGATAGCCCACGCAAAGCGCAAAAAGCAGACGTGGAGAGAGTGAGTGACAGTTGGTTCAGGATGTGTCGCAAGTGGCCGCTGAGGGTCGGGAGCAATTGCGGGTGAAACTGGGGAAAAGGCTGTTATACCAAGAAAGGCGCTGTGGTTGGACGAGTAGAGAGGGTCAGCTCGAGCTGGGTGTCGTCATTTCTTCCGGTTCAAAGGGGGCATAAACAAGCAACGAGGAGAGGCTGGTCTCGGTACGCAGGCGGTGGGGATTCAATGCACAGGGCCGTGGATCATATGAGTGAGGCTAGTCGTCCGCCTGATCGTGGGCGCTGGGATGCAGGACCAAGGAATGAATATTGGGGAGCAAAATAGCTTCACCCACCGCAAGGGAGACCGGGCAAACAAAGGCGACGCAGGGACGGACCAGGAGGTTGAGAGAGAGAGAGAGAGGTAAGGTGAGGTAAGGAGTGAAATGAGAACGGGAAGTGGATGAGGTTGGGTTGCACCTGAAAGAGAAAATGGAAGTCGCCGTCTGTCCCAGTTTAATTCGCTCCTGCCCAGCCAAGCGTGAGAGTAGCTTTCACACTTATGACCAATAGGCCGTGTGTATACGTATGTGTGTGTGTGTGTGTGTGTGTGTGTATGTGTCTTCCTCTCAGGCTCAATTCAGTTCCAGCAAATCGCTATCGAACAGAGTCCAACAGAGGAAAGAAGTAGACACAGAGCAAAAGGGAGGAAGACAGCGAAAGAGGGAAACATTGGATTGCACCTTGTCTGGGGGGCTTGAGCCAATGACGAGTTGCAAATCTCAGTGGCTAGGCAATTATTATTGGAGTGGCTTCCCCAGCTGAGACGTCAAAATAGTCGCACAGACCAGGTCGGACGAGTTACGTCAGCCAATCAGATGCATGTCGCCAGATGCAGCTAGCCCGTTCCCGTTGTTCAGTCTGGCCTCAGCAGCCCAGCAACCAGAGCAGACCAGACCCGTCCACAAGCTGGCCCCCCCCTCTGAGTGTCGGATTTACGTTCTCCCGTTCTCCCGGCGGCTGTGGAATTTCAACTTTGCAGTTCCACCTTTTCGAGATAGCTTCAGCGACAGTGACCAGCTAGGGGAGATCTGGTAATTCACAGCCCTACCTCTTGCCGCCAAGATGATTCAATTAAAGGTACCTTGATCGTCCCATTGAACCAGATGCTTGCCTATCTGCTAACACCATGCTAGACGATGCTGCAATGCATCGACAACTCGGGCGCCGCAATGGTCGAGTGCGCCATGGTTGTCGGCCAGAAGAAACTCGCCCGGATCGGTACGACTCCCTCCTGTCTACGCTCCCTCGCGCACGATCGAAACCGAATCCTAACATGAGATAAAAATAGGTGACAGAATTGTCGTCGTCGTCCAGAAGCACCGCGGTGCTGGTGAGGGTGGCATGGCCGGTTCCTCGGCCGCGAACAAGGTCAAGCGTGGTGACATGCGCCACGCCGTTGTCGTCCGTACCAAGCAGAAGACCCTCCGACCCGACGGCAGCGTCATCCGATTCGATGACAACGCCTGCGTTCTGATCAACAAGGCCGGCGACCCCGTCGGATCGCGCATCAACGGCGTCGTCGGTGCCGAGCTGAGGAGGAAGAAGTGGAGCAAGATCCTGTCCATGGCGCCCATGCACGCATAAGAAGGCTGTCGTTGGGCCGGGGCGATGCGAAGGACGTGGAAGGGAGATGTGTAGGATGTTTGTGTACATGTACAGGAAAATCGTCAAAAGAGTGGGAATGTACTATATGATAGCATGAGCCGGCGTTTATCAGGGTTGGCAGTCGATACCAATCTCCATCAAACACAAGACCATTCACAAAGTAAAAAAGTCACTGCAGGGCTGAAGAGGATAGCGGTGTGATCAAGACTGAGCGTGTCCATTTGTAAGACAACATTGAGTGTTGTAAAGCTAAAGACAAGACCGTGGCCCCTTGGCCTTTTCCCCCCATTTCAAAGCTCAAACGCCATAATACTCCTTACAATGCAGAATCTCCTTCCTCTAACACAATCTTTGGGTATCGTCAAAGGGTCGCGTCTTTTACTGGAAGATGTGACCGCAATCGCAGCAAACATAGAACAGTTTCTGCAGTCGCGCGGGTTAGCCAGTTGTGCCTCGTAAAGGGGATTGAGCGCAGGTTGACATACCATACCCGTCTCGGCACTTCGCTGCTGAGACTGGAAGAAGACAGCCTCGCCGCCCTTGCAGGCGGGGCATTCCTTGTTTGATCGTGGAAGCTAGATCCGAGCAAGATGCAGCGTCAGCCAGCTGATCACAAAGGAGGTCTCGAATCCAAAGTGGAAGCAAAAATCCATTGCAACAGCCAACCCAGCACCGCCAGGCGTGGGGGGTATCCAGAAGCAAGTTGAGTGGTATCGTATCGTGAACGTCAAATCACTGGTTGACCGCAAGCTGGAAGGTCGGCCATGAAACGTTGCGGTTCGCCGAGCCTGGCTCTTGGTTGAGCGCGATGCCCGCGAGGCCCATGTTGATGTCGTCGGAGGTGACCGACTCCTTTTCTTCGTCGTACTCGTCGAGGGCTTCGTCTTCGGCCATGTCCATCAGGTCGTCCCACGTGATTTCCGTCTTCTTGCTCTGGGACTCGCCGGGCTGGACAACAACGGCCGAGACGTTGAAATCATCGGACGGGTTGCCGCAACCGCTGCACAGGATGGCGTGGCCGCAACCAATGCATACAACAGGGGCAAGAATAGACTGGGAATCACCTACAGTAGGATCCGAGCCCACATCCTGGGTCACACCGGCCGTCTCGCCGGCGGCGTTGTTCATGACGTTGCGGAAGACGCAAGTCGACTGGGCCTCCTCGGTAAATTGGCAGGTTCTGCAGGTGAACTGGAGGCGGTGCGTCTCTTCGTCCTCCTTGGGGTAGAGCATATTGGAGCATTCGGAGCAGAAGCGGAAGGTGATCTGCTCGAGCTTCTTGTTCGCCGCCTCGTCCTGAGAAGTGGTGGACATGGGGGTAGCCATCGTGCCAGTCGATCGCGAAGCAATTCGTGTATCGGAGGAAGAGATTTTAGGCAGGATGGTGTGATGAGTGTTTTCGTAGGTGACGTCGCGTGCAGCTATCGGCCAAAATCGAAAATCTGTGCGCGTCGATGACAGGTGGTGTGATGTTGAGGGGTTGAGGCAGAAGTTGGAAAAAGCGAAGTGCAGCGCAAATAATGGAAGGTGGAAAGGCGGTAGCGCACGGCTTCCTTTTGCAGTGAGTGAATCTGTGGTGGGAGGCAACGAAAAGGTGGGTCTCTCGGTCAGCCACTGTCCTGCCTTTTGGTTACCGTTTCACCGAGGTGGTCTACCGGTGAGTCACTGGCTGATTAAGGTATTGCGTTTTGAAGGCGGTCTAGGGAGCAGAAAGGCATTTGCGCCTCTAGAAGCGAGTTGTCTAAGGGATTATAATGCAAGTTTCGGTTTCGATGCTGCCTATTTCTAGCCTTAGACTTGGTTGGTCATCCAGTTTTGGCTTCGGTGGCGACTTTCAGGAGAATTCAATTCAAAACTCTTTGGATATATTTACGCAGCCCTGTTCGGTTGCTGTAGCTGGATGCGACGTTCTGTTTGACTCAAATTTACACAACTCGGTACGCGGTTGAATTCGCTGGTCACTTCGCCATAGTAATCACACTCAAAGAACCCTTAATCCCAGATTAGAAACAGTGGTCGACACGTCATGTGAAGTTTTGCCAAGGTCATTTGGTGGTTGGTAGTGCCTGGGTTTGACAGGTGTGTTCGAACCGGCGACAAGCCTTCGACTTGGCTGCTGTGCCATTGCATCCTATGTATGGGGTAGAAGATGCAAGTACTGTTCTTTGATGTAATGATGCGAGGTGGCGAGTTGCAAATTAAATGTCCAGTGCCGCGGATTTAGCTCCCAATGTAATCCGGTACCTAGACTTGTCTGAATGAAGCATCTGCTCTCAGCTTCTTCCGCAGTCGCACTGACTAACTGCCTCGGCGAAGGCCAACCGACCCAGTCCCCTACCTTACATAGTAGTCCGAGATGTTGGGGTTGACCCAGAGAAGAGGCATGAACCAATCGTGTTCGGTTCCCTCAAAGTCGGGGAAAACCTGAAAGATAACGGGCGTGATCAGACGGATCGACAGGGCCGGGATGGGAATCCCTGAGAAGAATGACAAGTGACAACTGCAACTCAGCTTGAAAACAGGGCCCACGATCTTGGGCAGCGGAACATCGTCGTGGAGGTGAGATGAAACAATCGTGTGAGTTGACAAAGCGAGCATGGGGTACCACTGTCCACGTGATCCTGCAGAGAGTAAAGCGGGTACTTGGCCAATGGTGTTTCTAGTGCCTTCCTCCCCCGCCTTACAGGGGCAAAAAGGACACCAACAACTGGCAGGGAAACAACACAGGAGGTAGGGGGGGCAAGCGCTGAGGGGTGTTCTGTGTCCTTGGTGCTTCCCTGTCACTGCCAGAGGTCACCAGATCCCCCCGTAACCCACCCCTCACTCTCCACTAACGCTCGTTGGTGCTGTACTGCTGAAGCTCGCCCCCCCGCCGTCCTGCTAGTCTTTTATTTTTTCGCAGAGTAAGAGTGAAGCAACACACCGTAACCCCGGCAGCCGCACGTCATCCTTCAGCTCCAGTTCTGTCCCCCAAATCTCTCGTCCAATCCATTGCATTTAACCCAAAGGAACCTCTTTGCTCTTCTTCTCGTACAGCAGCCTGCATTGGCAACCCCAGCCCAGTTCCCGTCCTGTCCAACCTAGCTTAGCCCAGCTCCGACTGTGTGCTCGTATCTTAACCTCGACAACCACCCTGTCGCATCTTGCAACTTGACTTCTTCATCTTTTATTGTTGTGCTCCAGACCGAGTCAACAGTCCAGTACACGGTGACGCCGTCGTTTTTCCTTGCCGAATCCACCCCAGAAGCCTTGCTTCCACAACCATAATAGAGCTTCTCCGTTGTATACATCGTCACGCGCAACAATGGTAAGTAAGCAGCGACGCGCATCCCCGCAACAAGCCTCCCCCCGTCTACCCTCTCTCCCCTCATCCAGAGCCGGCCTCAGCCGCGGCCATCGCTTGCCGACCCTCTTCTCCGGGTAACTCTGCTGAGTCCTGGGTTGGCCCACCAAGACAACACCATTCCAGTTGGTCAGCTAACATAACAATGTCCTCCAGGCTGATACCGGTCTCCCATCGGGCTGGGAAGTGCGACACTCCAACTCCAAGAACCTCCCCTACTACTTCAATGCCGCCGAAAAGGTCTCGCGCTGGGAGCCGCCCGCAGGAACCGACACCGAGAAGCTGAAGCACTACATGGCCAGCCACCACAGCGCCGGCGCCGGCGCAAGGCCCCAGGCCGTCCCTGTCCCAGAGGGCAAGATCCGCGCCGCTCACCTGCTGGTTAAGCACAAGGGCAGCCGCCGCCCCTCGAGCTGGAGAGAGGTACGTTGTTTAATGTCCCCCTGTCTCCCAGTGTTTCGCAGTCCAGAGCTAACATACACGTTCCTGCAGGCCGATATCACGCGCAGCAAGGAGGAGGCCCTCGAAATCCTCAAGGCCCATGAGGAAAAGATCAAGTCTGGCCAGACCTCTCTTGGCGAGTTGGCCCTGACCGAATCCGACTGCAGCAGTGCCCGTAAGAGGGGCGACCTGGGCTACTTCGGCAAGGGTGATATGCAAAAGGAGTTTGAGGATGCCGCCTTTGGCTTGAACCCTGGCGAGATCAGCACCATCGTCGAGACGGCGAGCGGACTACACTTGATTGAGAGGTGGGCTCCCTCTTCCCCCAAATACTACGATTCCTGACACATAACTGACAAACAGTTACAGACTGGAGTAGACCGGTTAGAATAGAGACGAGGAGCATCACGCGTATGCGTAAGCAAGGGAGGGGTTTTGAAAAGTTGAACCGCGCCTATTGACATGGTTGCTTTGGGCCGAGCTCCAGTGACTTACTTGTCGCGCGCTTTGTCACCATGCTGCAGCAAGCATGACTGTATACCAAAAAATACCACGCGCATCTGACGATTTCATGAGTTGCATGGGAGGAAAAATGCCTCCTGTTGTCTATCTGCCGGTGAATCAATTCTATGCTGCCTGTTTAAAGCCGCCGTCCAGTATGCCCCTAATCATCAACATCATATGTACCAGAAATGCCAATCACCGATGCGCCAAGGCCACCAAGGTGCTGGTAAACGGCTCAACTGCAGTGAAAACCACAGTCATGACCCCGAATACCGTCATCGAAAGCGCTGCATACGGTGCAGCCCGGCTCTTCCTCCCGTAAACATACGACACGCCCATGGCTGCGCCGTTGATCCCAATCGCAGCTCCTGCCGCGATCGTCAGTGCACCATCCGTTTTCGCCTCACCGTCTTCAGTCTCGTTCTCGTCCAGCGCTTCGACTCTTAACTTCCTAAGCAGGAAAGGGTACATCAGCTGGCCCAGTATACCATTGCTCACCACCAGCGCCGCGTTCACGACCTGGTTCCCCTCGAGAGCCTCCATGGCAGGCCGCGCGAGAGCGAGCGTGGTGCTCCGCGCCGCGAAGGCCAGTGCTTCGGGGCCACCGAGGCCGACTGCGCTGCCGAGCAAAATGGAGACGAAGACGTTGAGCGCTGCCATGCCGATTGAGATGAGGACCACAGCCGCCCCAGCGCGAGACCAAATCTGCCGGCGACATTCATACAGCTTGAAACCCCAAACGACGATGCCGCATTCCAAAATCGAGAGCGCCGCGTCGCCCGCGCCGAACCAATCCCTCTGGCCTTTTCGGAGGTCCCAGCCCGTGGCCCGGTGTGTCCAGAGGTCGGAGAGGGAAGTGCCGCTGCTGAACACGGTCAGGGTGTGTTCGATCAGCACATCTTGTGCAGCTGTTTTGGCACGGGTGTAAGCGGTCATGATGAGCGTCGTCAAGAGGACTGGGTTAAGGACCGTTGTGGCTGTGGTTTTCATGCTGGGGAAGTCGACGAGGAGGTGGTTTCGGCCGAAGGTTCGTTGGAGTCTTGTGCTGCTGATCCAGACGAACCAGAGCATACAGCCGTCGAGGACTCGGTCGTCGCCCGTGATGTGGGAGACTGGGATGCCAATGACAATGAAGAGGGAGATCGCGAGGGCCATAGGGTAGCACTCTCTGACCCAGCTGGCCAACGCGCTCCGTTCATTCTGAGAGTCGTCCGTGTGTGGTGAGCTTGAAAGCGATGTGCAGGCTTGCTGTTCGCCTCTGGCATATCGAGGCGTGATAGGCATCGGGCAGTCGCTGTCAGTGAAATAAGCTGAGACACTTCTCGACTCTGGACCCAGTCCTGTTTCCTTGTCAGTGTGATATCCGGTCGTCACGGTCCCATTCAGGGTTGTCGTCTCTGACGCCCTGCGGCTGAGGGTATGCGGTGGCATCTCGATTCGCGGCAGAGAGGCGGCGGTGACTTTGGGCAGCCACGGCTGTTCAGGCTCAGTGGTTTTGAGGTGGCGGATGGAACAAGGAGGAAGTCTGAGAAGCCCAGCCAGGATTCCCCAGGAGAGGACAAAGACGAGGCCCCAGAAGATAACGTTGGTATTCACTTTCTTGTTAGTTTTGGCGAGTCCCAAGATGGAGCCGATGTGACTTACAGAAGTTTCCAATCACTTTTCCGATGCCCTGGCCGCCAAGGAGCTGCTCTTTGCTGATAGTCACGATCGGGACAGGGAAACTGACGCCAAGGTTGCTGTTAATGAAGTCGACCTGTGCACGTTAGCATTCCGAAGTAGGGTTAAGAAGACAAGAAATTCGACAAACCTTGGACTTGACGTTGTGGTAGTAAAAACTATCCGACCCGGGATGAAGTTGTGAGATGGACACCATCAACGCAAACACCAGGACCATCCCCATGATGGAGGAGAGGAACTGAAGCCCGACTGATCTCAGAGCCAAGGTGAGTCCCCATATGACAAGCTCACTAGCAAGATAAATGACCGCGACCCAGAAGATGCGACCCATCCGCTCAACGAACGGACGCCCGCAAGTCATCCATGCGCGGGATCTGCTGCTAGTGCTGCTGTTCCTCTCGTCGTTGCCTCTCTGGAACATTCGCAGTGGCATGCGAGTTGATACCTTGGGGGCATTGTATGTGAAATGTCTTAGACAGCGACGGAACTGTAAAGGCAGGAGCTTGAAGCGAGCAGAGACGTTTGTAATCATGGTCTGGAATTGAGAGGGGAGGGACACAAGAGTGTTGATGTGTGTGTGAGGTGTGACAGAAGTCTCCCAAAGTGATGTAACGGCGAGTCTGCCGTGAACCAATCAAGCAGAAAAGGGAAAACAAGATGGAATGGGACATATGAAAGCACAAAGAGGCTCCTATTTTCCCGGGCCAGCGTCGCACACGTCCAGTATATATCCACGGGAAGGAGGAAAGGATACGAGAGATGGACTAGACGGTACAGTCCCTTTGACACGTCACGGGTAGGCTAGATGCCGAATCCCATGGTCGGAGAACGCTGAATGGGCGAGATGGGATGAGAAGGGACGGTAAAGGTGAAGCTGTATGTACATGGGATCCACTGGGTGAGATGGTGTGCGGGATGGCATCACAAACGCTCTACTGGCCAAGAGGGATGGGGTTCAGTTGCTCTCTTTGGCTTCCGTCGGAATGAGTGGCGAAGCCAGGAGAGTCGAACCGACGCGAATGCGAACAAGCAAAGATATACCGCGGTCATGCCATTCGACTGGAGGCGAGCCGATCCTCGAGTGCCGGAACATCCTTTGCGTACCGCAGGAAGATCTCATCTGTCGGTGATAGCAAGGGCAGACTTATCCAATGTCGAGGCGAAGGCGAGCTTCGTCTCTGTTTGGTTTGGTTATTTGGGAGACCATAGAACACTAGCCCGATGCATCTCTTATCATCGACGAGCGAAGATGTCCCAACAGCCCCCATCCGGACCGTGCCGTACGGTCTTGGACTCTTGGCGATCTGTGTTAGGCATCCCGATAGACGACCTGCTGCAGGGACTTCACAACGGGCCCCCAAACGCAAAGGATCTAAGCATCTAGGAATGGGCCTCTGCATCTGTCAATAGTGACATGTTGGAGATGAGTTCAAGGCCAGGTCCAAACGTGCCTGGCGTGTTGTCTTTAGCTCAAGATGCTCTCTGCACCCAGCCTGAGTGAGCACGGCGGATTGACGACAGAGCGGCACCTGCTGCAGACAAGATCCGAAACAGCCTGAGGAGGTGAATGATGTTGTTAATTTTTTTTCCCTCCCTTTTTTCCTTTTTTTCTTTCTTTTTTTTGGCTATTATCCGACATGTGATGTAGGTTTGGCCCGTGATAGCACAGTGGTCTCTTGCAGAAATCTCTAGCTGCTTGATGCTGTGCAGGAAGGTAGCGGTTGGCCGTTGGTCTTTGTTGGGGTCCTCTGGATCTGGAAGGGCGCGTGTGCAAAGCGAAGACGGGATGAAAGGCCACTTCTGTAGGCCGCTGGTCAACGGCTGTGTATGTGTTCTATTTCCTTCAGGATGATGAGGACTGGACATTGGGGTTGTGTAAGTCTTCCGGACGTAACCAAATACAACATGGGATACTTATGCATCGAGGTACGTACCGCGCATGACATTGGATAGGGCCGCTGCAGACCAGACGGGATAACGGACGGAGGCGCACAGAGCTCCGTGCACGCTGGAAGCCGTCGAAGCGGAACGTGTGGTTGGTCAGCTTGGCTTGGTAATGGGGTATCATTCCTAAAATGGCTTAGTCAATCATCCCGTTGGTGGTGGGTTTCTGTTGTTGCCGACCGACGTTTCCAGTTCTGTTTGCACCATCACCTCCTCTTTGCTCGGAGAGCCCAATCGACTTCGCACTCGCTTAATTGACAGGTTGACATACTGTCGGTTTGCATCTCATTTTTCAGCGAGTTCTTGCGTTTGAACTTTGGGGAAGAAAGAAAGAAAAGAAAGGAAAAGGCAGCGGCTCGTCCCGCAACTCTCCTTCCCAAAAGAGCGAAAGCAGCCCGAGCCGAGACGCGAGTACACTACGCGACTTCAAGCTGAACATCGCCAGCCCCCGTTGCACCGCGGCAGCGGTGTGTGCTTCCCCTGGACTGCAGTGAATCGGCTGCACCCAACGAAGGTCGGAACCTGGAAAGATTCTGTGTTTCTTGACTCTTCGCTGGCTTTTGGGCCGTGGGCTCGCGGATCACGTCACAAGCTCATCCGTTTTCCGTCATTGGACGGCAACATCCCGTGTGCTTTGCTACATCCGTATCCTTGAAGGAACGAGACACCAGCCATCCGTCTTCGCTGCCACTTTCTTCTAGTCTTTACTCCGGGTCAAGGCTGAAGCTGTAGCCATCACAAGTCAGACACCCAAGGTACGGGCCGTCCTTCGTTGCTTCGGAACTTTGCCCACGTGCGGCATCTAGAGTCTAAACCTGTTCATTTCGAACACGAGGCCTTACGCAAGGAGAAAAGAACAAGCCGTCTCCGGCTTTCCCTGTATGACCACGCCTTTTGTGAAGCTCTTGCTGCCCGTCCGCACCCGCCGATATGGATGTCTCAAGCTTGGAGAACATCATACGAGGTTATGGTATTGCCATCGACAGACACACCCTGCAGGCAGCCCTCGACGATCCGGAGCATGGCACTGCGTTCACTGAATGGGCCCGCTTCCATCTAGGTCCTGATAATCTCCTATCCAGAGACGAGTTGGCCCTGTAAGTTCACTCACAGCCCCCCCCCCCCCCCCCGTCGCATACGTTGGGAAGCATGTCTTACAGGAAGCGCTTCCAGGTATTCGAGCCTCGACAAATCCGGCCAGATAGACAGGCTGGTGGCATCTCAAGACCTGGCCGTCGTTCAGGCTCTCAGCGAGCGCGAGATCCAGACAGCCATTGACGAACTGAACCGGTCCACTGCCGCCATCGTGAAGCAGACTGAGACTTTGAAGCAACAGCAGGATGCGCTGGCGAAGCTGGTCAAGAGCAACGCCAAAGTGGAGGAGGCCCGCTCCGACCTCGTCTTCCAGCGTAATCAGAAGCATGATTCTGAGCGTAAAAAGCTGATGACCTCAGTGTGTATCACTGCCTTCACTTACAGACCGTGTCACTGACCATAACTTCAGGTCGAAGAGCTGTCTCAAGGCCTCGAATACAAAGCGTCGGACCTCGAACAGCAGTCCAAGGTCTCTGGCAACGGTCTCCAACAGACGTTGGACAGCCTACTGCACTCCGACGACAAGCTCCTGCTCAGTTTGCGCAAGCTCGGCCTCGAGCTCGAGACGGAGGACCCGGAAGACCGCGAAAACGTCGAAAAGCTTCGGGAGATCTGCATGAGGTACACATCCCCCGTCACGCCTCTACCAACCTTCTCCCGAGATGTCCCACTGACCTTGTCACAGACTAATCAAGTACACCGTTGAAACGGTGCGCACAAAGCTCGACCGCCTCTACCTCGAAGCGCTCAGCTCCGCCCACCACAACGGCGTGACATCGCACCCCTCGGACGATGTCAAGTCCTCGCAGGAGGAGCTCGAGTCTCTCTACGCCGAGATCCTCCCCGTGGCCCAGATGTCGGTCGAGCAGCAGTACCTCGAACCGGCCCTCAAGTCGCTGTCCAGCAAGAACGGGCAGTCGTTGCACCGCTCGGCTGCAGCCGTCGTCTATGTACGTCCTTCCGCGTAGTCTTCTTTCTAAGATGAACCCGCATCTAACTGAACCAGATCGACAAGTGCCTGGACTACCTCGTCGACCATATCGAGCGCCTCTCTGCCCGCATCGAGGCCTTTCAATCCCACCAGACCGCGACCGCAAGCCTTCTCACCACAGCTCGTGCCGAGCTCGCCGCCCCAGTTTCGACTCCTAAAAAGAAGACGCCTACCCAGGACCTTGTCTCCCCCGTCCGCCGCCGCGACGCCGGCCCAGGATCTCCATCCCGCGACCGCGACCGCAACCACCGTCGGCGCTCCTCGGGGTTCGACGAACCTCCCCTCGAAGCCCTACTCCGATCCCTCGCCATCGCCTTCCCCGAAGACGCCGCAGACGGCCCCCGTCAAACGGCTGTGCTCTCCGCGATCCTCGCCGAGAGGCAGGCCAAGGCCCGCGACGTGGCGCGCAACACGCAGGAGACGCTCGAAGGCGCCGCCGCGTCGCAGCTGGCGGACGCCAAGCTTGCCGTGCAGTTGCTGCGGGACAGCTTGCTGGCCGAGAGCCCCTTTGGGGACGTGCGGCTCGTGGACGAGGGAATCGAGGCTTCGATCGCCGTGTTGGGGCAGGAGGTTGAGAAGGTCAAGCAGCGGATCGAGAGGGTTGACGCTGGCAAGGCAAGGCAGAGGAGCGAGAGGAAGAGGGAGATTCTGGAGCGATGGGGCGGGTGATGGGCCTGCTGCCGGAGCGGAACCGCTACCAAAACGTCACATCGAGTTAGCAGCCATCACAAAAAGCTTCGCGTACTGGGGTCGCCAATGTTAGTACCTGAACATGTGTCGATCCTTCTATCCCCGTCATCGCATCCACTTCCGTGGACCTATCCTGCCGATACGCAATAGAGCCGCAGCCGAGTCATGACGAAGAAGCCTATTCATAGCGCTGTCGTCTCAAAGCACCCCGGCCCCATCTACGCCTGTCTGTACAATGTCAATCAGCCCCATGCCAAGGCTGGACGTGCCAAGCGTCGAGCCATGGTCCTGTACGATAAGAGTCTGGACATGATTATTAGTTGTGTAAAGTCCGGAAGAGAGTTTGAAACGTCAGCAAGAGGCATTGCTACATTGCGGGGGGTGGGGAACTGCCTCGCCAGCAGCGGCAATTGGAAGCGCTGCTCGTCTTGGCAAGTCGCGGTTCATCAATTTCGCTTTAGACTAGATTTGTAAATAACTACGGGCGGCAATGGGCCTGGCAACAGTGTCCAAGGAGTAATTCGCACTTCAAACAGAGCTTCAACACCACGAAATACCATTTGTAGCAGGAAGATTTGTAACACCAGCGCTATCTTCCGTAGCATCAGGATCATATGTCTCCGTCGAGATGGACAGGGTACCGCGAGACACAGGCCACACAGTCACGGCATGGAACGCGGGTTAGAGAGTGATGTAATAGTATTGGTATCGAGTCAAAGTTTATACCAAGCCATGCAGACTAGGTTCAACAAGGCGTAGGAACGAACACACGTCCGTCCACGCGAAAGCTGGCGGGCCAGAGTACCCGGCAGGCGAGAAAGGGAAGCTCATCCTCCACCTGGGTATATCTCAATCCTCCCCTGTTCGTTCATTAAGTGTTTTTGAATCAACTCATGAGAACATGATGCGCGCGACGGCGCAACATGCTTGTGCAGGCCGAAACCTAGTAGGTCTTCTTCTCCTCGTCGGAGCTGTGAACCCGCTCGGTTCGGTTGGGCTGCTGAAAGGTGTAGAGGGGTTCCAGCTTAGCACTACGGTCGAAGAAGACCCAGCGCCTGATGAAGTAGGGGATGGCCTTGGTGACCTGATAGGCGGCGAAACGACTGGTGGGGAGAGCAAAGACCCAATCAAGCTCCTCGAGGGTGCGCTGCTTGGTCTCCGGAACCCAAAACAAGATCATGATGAAGGCGACAACGTTGAAACCAGCATAGAGGCCGAATGCGCCAACGACCTTGAGTCTGTCGAGAATGAAAGGGAACGTCATGCCCAAGATGGCAGCCCAGAAAAGGCAAGTGGCGACGGCGAAACCCATACCCATTTCACGGTGAGACAGGGGGTAGACCTCGGCTGAGTAGGTGAATGGCACGGGACCCTCGCCAGGGGAGTAAAAGGCACCGAACAGGTAGACAAAGAGGGAAACCAGGGCGGTACGGGTGACGCCAGGCGCGATCAGCGTACAGAGACCAGCCGCCAAGAGAGTCCAGGTCATCTGGGGGAAGGTGAACAAGAGTAGAGATCGGCGGCCAAAGGTATCGATGGTCCAGAAAGCCGGGAAGGCAAACAGCCAGTTGACCATGCCGAAACCGAAGGAACCGAGCAGAGCTTCGAAGTCACCCATCTTGGCGTCCTTGAAGATGGTGGTGGAGTAAAAGGCGATAATGTTGATGCCTTTGCGTTGGCTTGTTAGATGACGACTTGGCGGTTCCAAAATGTGCTTGTTACTTACCACACATCTGCTGGGCAATCATGACGGTAAAAGCAGCCAAGTTGGCGCGGCGCACACGGGGAATGGTGAAGAGCTCCTTGAAGCGGCTGGCGTAGTTGCTCTTGCCCAAAACCTTACTCTCAAGCTGCAGCTGAGCGTGGATGGCGTACATGTCGCGAGCGCATTGGATCGGGTTGTGTCGGAGTTGGATCATGGACTTCCAGGCGTCGTGGTAGCGACCCTTCTTCATGAGCCAACGAGGTGACTCGGGGCACAAGTAGATCAACAGGAGGAGGGGGACGGCGGGAAGGAACGGAGCACCTGTGAGATCGGGGTCAGTCTGCGTTGGAGTATGTAGAGGTTACTCTTCAATTTACCAAGCATGAGGCGCCAGTTGTACTTGGCGTAGTAGACGGCCAGGTTAAAAGCCGTTCCTAATGCGATACCGAAAGCTGTCCACATTTGCCAAGACATAACTAGAGCACCACGGATGGACGGTGGGGAGTTCTCAGCGGCATAGATTGGAACAGTCGAGGCCTTGGCGCCCATACCGATTCCCATGAGAAGACGGTTCACAAGCTGCTGTTGCCAGTTGTGGCTGAACGCAGAACCGATGAGAGGCCAGATGCAGAAGTGGGCAGAGAAGAAGATGACACCGCGGCGACCGAAATAATGGTTGAGAGGATCAGACAGCCAGCAGCCACAGAGACTGAAATAGGTCAGCTAATGGTTTCAAAGAAAGACTCCAAAGCACTACTTACGCGGATCCGAGGTAGGGGCCAGCGTTCACGAGACCTAAGATAAGACGGTCTCGGGTGCTGTTGCTCGCGATGCCGTACTCTTCGGGGAAGAAGATGTTGGCGCCGTTGGTACCGGTCTGATCCCATCCCTGGACAGCAGCACCAATAGAGCAGGTGATGATGGTCAGGTAGAGTTTCTTGGGCAAGCGCCACTTGTGCGTAACCTCTTCACGGAGCGCCGTGATCTCGGCCTCGTTCAGGGCTTCGGTGCCGTCAATGTTCTCGTAGTTCTCCGGGTCTTGGGCAACAAGTGCGCCCTTGCGGAAAACGGTGATCTCTTCCTGTAGGCCGTGCTCTTGGCAGAAGACATCGACGTCACGCATGAGCTGATCGTAAGTGATTCCCTCAAGTGGGTTCTTGATCCTAGACAGCCAATGTCAGATACCAAGCGTTCATACCGATCCGAAGTCAACTTACTTCGCTTCAATGTTACGGCTCAGCTCGACAGGATCAGGCTGGCCGGTGCCGCGCTCCTCATGGTGTCCGGAGATGTCGGCGACCTTTTCACTGTGAAAGGTAGCGTCAGCGCATCTGTCTTAGAGAGGGTGGGCGGTGGAGACTTACCCCTCGGGATGAATCTTGTCAGCCATGATGGCGATGGAACAGGCAACGTGTTTCGCGCCTTGCTCTTAGGATGTTGCTTGAGTTTGACGCGGCGAGGCTGTGTGTGTGACGTCTGGTATGGCTTCACAAACCAATGAAGCTCGGCCCGTATAAAGTGCAGCCAGAAGAGGTCAGCAAGGGCATGCCGCATGGGGAGGCCATGGATCTTTATAGCTTCTCGCCCGTATCTTGCCCGTCCCCTTGGGACAGATGAAAACAGCCGATGATCCTCTCCTAGTAACTCAAGAAGCTGCCTTCTTGGCGTCCCCGCACACACTCCATAAGCTTTGACTCTTTGGAGTTGGTCCTGCGAAACGCGAGAAGGCTGGTTGAGATCGACGTGGTACCTAATCAACTTGCCAGCCCATGCTGCTCCACGCGAAGACGGGGACTTCTTCCAAGAGTCTGGCCTTTGGATTGGGTTTGTCGACCCAGGAGAAAGCTTCTGGGTGTGTTCAACCTTGCCGTGAGAGAGCTTGGCGGGTTGTAGATGTTGCTTTTCCCTCTCTGCCTGCAGCCCGCGCCGACGAGGATTTGGTTTGCGCCAGGGGGGTCCGTCGAACAAACGAGCGTGTGCTTGTGGGCTGGAACCGGGATAACAATATCAAGGGAGACGAAGGGAGGCAATAGTTACTGCTCATGTGACACATACGCAGGTTCCTTGTCAACGTCGCGTCTCGATGCCGCAGAATGTAACGTGCGAAAAATTGAAGGCGTCTGAGTCGTTCATCCAGTCACACCCGTCCCGCAATGGTGAGAAGTGATCGCGAGAGCCAAGCACTTGGCGCATTCACTGACTTTTGGTCGCCGAGGAGCGCCACAGACTCATCCCAGGCGGTCCAGCGCGGGGAAGGAGAGACACCAAGCAGGGACAGAGGCCCCAAGCTCGATCGTCGAGGCTTTGCATTCCCTTGTGTCCACAAAGTCCCCCGCCGAGAGCGCAACTAACCATACGCCTGAAGGCTTGAGTGGGCTTCATGAGCTTGAACTGACTTACATGTCTTGGGGCAGGACAGAAAGATGTGGTTCAGTCTGTGGCTGCCTATTTGCGCAACAGGCTTGAGGAACGCGGCAATCAGCATTACTGGGCCAAAACAGGCCTTTCCGCGCACAAGCGGGCTGCCTCTCACCCATGCCCGGCAACAAGAAACCCCCGTATCAAGGATACCGCTGTGTTTATCCAACAAGGCTTGTCATACGTCATTCAGAGAGAGAAGAGGGAGGGTAGCCTGCAAGCAGAGCAGGAAAAGACCCACAGCAATAAGAGACTGTCATTGGCGGGCATGACTGGCATCAAGAGCGTCTTGTTCTTGTGTCTTGCTGAAGGCCCCTAGGAGATTTGTGGTATCGGTCCGACATTAGGCGGACTGCCGAGCCCAAGCCGCCTGGATAAGCTGCAGTGGTGCGGGCAAGCGAGCCATGGGGAGCGGAGTAGTGGCCGGGGGAGGAGGACGGAGGGGTGGCGGTCGGGGTTCCTTGCGGGGTAGAGGCTTTGGAGATTCGGCGAGGAGCCCAAAGACACCACTGAGACTAGCATCTGAAGGTGCCCAAGCCCCCGAAACGATGCTGTAGGTATCGTATTGGACGGGAGCAGAGATATGACGGGGCAGCCGGTGGGCCGCGCCAGCGCTAGTCAGAGATTGTATCAAACGGTTGGCTGAAGTGGTGCAATATGGAACGTTGCTGGTCCCGTCAACGAGTAAAAGCCGGGCGCAGTTGGACGGTCCCCGGGCGATGAATCTCGGTGCTGCGGGTGGAACACAGCCTGGGAAACCGGAGGCGATGATTCGTTTGCGAGGCGCCACCCCAAGAATGTTAGCCGGCATACGGCAGTACAGAGGCTGGGCGGCGGTGGGGTTTCTTCGTAAATTGACAATTTAGGAGGTGAGCTCCGACGTGGAGGAATACGGTTGTTAAGGAAGAAAAGTTTGCAGGTACAAGCAATCGAACCGGTCGTGCATGTGGGCGGTGCGATGCTCCGGCTTGGGCACAACATCTTTGCGGTTGGATTAGACGAGCCAAACGGCTTAACGGATGGCGCCCCGTACTCTGGAATTCTCAATCAACTGGCCGCTGTTGTATCGCTATTGGGAGCTGAAATACGCACGTTTGGCACATTTGGCAAACGACTGACTGTCCTTGCGTCCGGTCTTATGTGCAACCGTACGAAGTAGAGTAGTATGCAGCATGCCAAGCGAATTTGCTTTGCAACAATACCTGGACCGCAAGGCATCACTGTCAGGCAACCAGATTCTAGACAAGGCCCAGAGGCTTGAATGGGACCTGACTAAATTGGAGATTTGGGTCGGAATGTACGATTTAATAGGTTGGTGGGTTTCTGTGCTGCTGCAGGGGCTTGCTGCCCTTGGCGGTTGTCATCATCTGGGACTCGAATCATCAGAATGATGTTTACTGCGGAAGCCGTACATAAACTGGTCCGATCCTTCATCCATCCGGGATTTGGCCGCATCCACAAGCAAAAAGAGGAATGAAATGGTCGGTGACGGGCCTGAATGCTTGAGGAACCCTTGACCAAGACGGGGAATGAGACTCTATTCCGGTGGGTTGTGCAGGATTCGAGCAGCACCATGCTGGACAAACAGGCCCAATAATTCCCCTTGGGGATTTTGTGGGTTTAACGGCCAAGGTCGGGGAAGAACGCAAGGACACACTGGAAAAGCAAAAGGACGCCAGGGAGCCCTGAGATGTTCCTCAGTGGAGCCGTGGCAACCTGGCTGGGCAAATCAGAAATCATTCGCATACCGCGATGCGGGATACTGGACGTTCTCTTATCCTGTGCTCTGCCCACCAGAGCACTCAGTACGTAGAGCAGAACGCCATACCCCCCTCAAGCTTGGAGGACCAACCATATATTGATCTCGGAAAGTGCCCGCGGCCTCCTGGTCGGTCTGGAAATCTTTGGATCCGTACTAGTGGGCGATTCCGGTGTCATCCGATGGCTCGAAGATTGTTGCGATGTAACTCAAAACCTTGTTCTTCCTGGCAACGGCGGAGGTAGCAGTGCTGCTCGACGGTCGTCGAAATTAAGAGGATATATAGTCGATGCGTGCCTGGCGCTGCTGTCTTTGGTTAGGCTGGGTGGTATCTGCTTCCATTTGTCTCATAGCTGTGGTGGCTTGCGCGCGGGAGGATTTACCCGCAGGAGGCGACGTGACTACGCCGTGCTCTGAACAGTACGTCACACGGCCGACGTTGCCTGGGAAGACTTTGACAAGTTGATGGATAGCTCAAGATTCTCACAGGTAGCGAGTGTGCGAGCGAGGTTCGAGGGTGTGCATCCTCCGTCATGACAGGAGGGGCTTGGTGGTTGGCGGGCATTGGCTTGGATTGGTTCTGCAGTCGACGAGACGCACGTCGTGCTTGAAACAGAGCCGATCCTCTCGAATGCAAAGGGCAGATGTGGTCATCCGGACGAGGACAATGATCGGCCAACCCGAGATTTAGGATCAGAAACAGGTGTCATCTAGGTTCGCTTGAATGCGTGCAAAATGCCTCGTTCGACCGTCATCCGAGCTGAGGCTGACTGGAGGGCGAATGGGTGTAATGCATCGAGTAGCAGGAGACTAGATGCCTTGGGTGCTGGATGGTCTCGGAAGCCACGCAATTCAATTCCTGCGGGGTGTTATCGGCAATAAACTTCGTAGTCGAGGTCCTTGCAGTGGACCTGCTGCACGTTGGATCATCGTCAATACGCCCTGGTGGTTTTGAGCCTCTCCGGGGCGGTGCCAATGCCACAAGGGAAGCGAGCGGTGGTCCAGGAATTCCGATGGAATGTAGACGTTGAAACTGACGTGGCATGTGCACAAGAACGGGTGGAGGACGGACAATTGGGGTCTAATTTGGAGATGAAGTTGGAGTTGAAACCGCGAGACTGTGTGCGCATCGTGACTTTCGCTATTTCTATACCCGAGTGCTGTTCTGCTCGCCACGTCTGTCAGGTGGCAGTGCCTAATTTTGACACTGCCAGCACCTAAACGGTGATTTGTTGATTTGTGTATGTGCGGCTTATATAAGCGACACACACGACCGACTGTCAGGCAGTCACGCTGTGATGATTTGTGTTTAAGAGGAATAGGAAAAGGTGAGGTAGAATGATGGGAATGAGATGGGATGAGAAATTTATGCCGCCTGGATGGCAGCTGGTCAGATTCTACGAGCAGATTCCGATCCCCTTTGGATAGCCATAACAGACAAGACCACTGATCTGAGGGATCCCCAGACACAAAACCGGACTATTCGCGATGGAACAATGAAGATAAGACTCGATCAAATGCCCTGCTGGGAACTTTCTACGGCACTGGAGCTTGCACAATATCGAAGACGTACGCCAATAGCAAAGCCATAATGGCAACGGGCAGAAATCTAATTCTATATGATATTCAGGACACTTCCTGACCAATATTCAGGCCCAATCCCCAACAGAAGCCTTCTTGACGCCAAACCTCTGCGCCAGGGTTACCCAAGAGCCGACATAGCAGAGCACTCGGAACGATTTCGCGTCGGCAGCATCGCCGAAAGCTCGTTCAAGCGCGTCCTCGACAACTGCGTGGTCCACGAAGCCAAGAGCATCTACGGCACTGCGAGTCAAGAGGCTCCGAAACATGCAGTGCAGTGGACCATCCCGTGGCCACTTCGTGGGCGCCAGGAACGGATGCTTCTTGCGCAGGTAAAGCTCTTCGGTGATGTACGGGCGGGCCGCCTCGCGCAAGATCCACTTCTCGGTCATAGAGCGCAAGGCCGAACCGGCGCTCTTCCAGAGCACGTCGTCCTTGCCGCCCTCGCCGGCACCGTTCTCTTCCGGCACCGCATAGGCGAGCTTGACGCTGGGGGGCAAGGCGTTGACATAGTCGGTCAGGTGGTGGTCGAGGAAAGGTGTTCTTGCCTCGACGCTGTGAGCCATCTCGGTACGGTCGCCGAGGCAGGACAGCAGCACGTTGGCCAAAGAGCTCTTGTTCCACATGTACTGAGCCGTATGGAGCGGGTGCCAGCGCTCTCGCATCTTGTCTCGAACATCGGTCGAGTGCGCAGCCATGACTGTCCGTCGACAGTCAAGCTTGAATTTGTATCGATCGTGCACCCATGGGGCAAACAATCCCATGGACGGGTGCCAGGAGAGGAGATTCTGAGGCATCGTATTGCCGTTGACGTCGGCCAAGAGGTTGGCACTGTCGGCCGTGCTTTCATACACGTCGGCTCCGATGGCTCGCCAGATGGCGTTCATCTCAGTGCTCGCGGCCTGCTGCATTTCTTTCCTTAGCTTGTGGTTTCTGGCTAAGAGAGAGTCCGGCTGCGACAGGTCCGGCTCGCGGAGGAATTCACACGGGAAGTAGGGGTATCCGGCAAAGTGCTCGTCGGACCCTTCGCCAGTTAGCACGACTTTGACTCCGTGCTCGTGGGGCAAGGTCGACAAGGCGAATTTCGCAACGCTGTTGAGGTCAAAGTGGTGGTGCTCGCAGTGGAACGCCGTGTCGGCAAAGTCATTGGCAAGGGATTCTTCCGTAACGTCTTTCTTGATGGTCTCAACGCCCAGCCATTTCGCCGTGCGGTCCGCGATGCCTTCGCAGGGTCATGTCAGTCACCAAGGTCTTGTCATATTCGCAGTGCTGATGGCTCTTACTGGACTCGTCATAGCCGGTCTCCTGCGGAAACCGCACACTGAAGCAGGTGACTTGCGTGGCGGTTTCGTTGCCAATCTTGACGTGATTTTTCCTGGCTAGTTCCGTGACGATGCCCGCCACGGCGGAGGAGTCAATACCGCCTGAGAGGTAGATCCCAACGGGCACGTCGGCGCGAAGTCTGAGGCGAATGGACTCGACAAGGCGCTCGCGCACTCCAAGAACCATTTCCTCAATAGTGCGAGTCTCGACTTTGGTCTAAGCCATGTCAGTGCTTTTGTTAACGAGGAAGCGATGCGCAGTTACTCACCTTGTCTTCATACTCAGCATCCCAATACTTGTGCAGCTCAATTCCACGGTCATCCGTGACTTCCATCCAGTGTCCGGGCAAAATCTTCTTCACGCCTTTAAAAATCGTCCGATCGTCCATCATCCACCCACCATCGATCATCGCGGGGACATCCCATTCAGGCTCCCAGCCCATGGCCAGAAACGCCTTGTTCTCCGCCGCCAGAAGAAGTCTGCCCTGGATTTTCGTCCAAAACAGCGGCTTGATACCGAATCTGTCGCGGCAGGCGATGATCCGCTTGCTTCCGGGCCGAGAGTCATACAGAACAAATGCAAACTCGCCGCGAAGATGCTCAAAGAAGGCCGGTGCGCCATAGATCTTGTACAATGCTAAAACAAGCTCACTGTCGCTCTCTCCTTGGAAGTTGTAGTTGTGCTCGGTCGCACAAAGCTTGCGCAGGCGGTCATGATCGTAAATCTCGCCATTGACAATAGCATGGATCTGTCCGTCGTCGCTGGTGAGAGGCTGTGATCCACTTGGCGAAAGGTCGTTGATCGAGAGTCGGCAGTGACCTAGGCCTACGCTGCCTTCCCGACTGACCCAGATGCCGGACTCATCCGGTCCCCGGTGTTCGATTCTCCGGAGGGAATCATGAAGCTGGTTCCGAAGCTTTTCAAGTGTTGAGCCGTTGGTATGACCTGCAGCAGGCGCGTCATTGTGACTGTAATTTTCACAAGCAATGTTGCCGCTGACGTGCCCATTGACATTCCCGTTGGAATGACCGTTAATATACCCGTTTACATGTTGATTGACAACAGCTGCACGGGGAAGGGCGATACTCGCTGTAATACCGCACATTGTATGTCTGGACTGTTAATAACAATAGATAGCTTAGGTTGAAAATTGAAACAAGAGCAGTATCATGAACTTGGATAACGCAATGATTTTAGTAACAGATCAGACGATCCAATACTATGCCTATTGGCTTTGAGTCTTTTTGACCTTGTAATGAAAACTGTTTCAAACTTGAATGATTCAATAATGCTGAAGCGGCATGTCTTAGTGTACTAAGCTGTAAGACCCAAATGCTGAACGGCACTGGGGCTGAAAGAGAGCTGGAACTCGGCCCGCACCAGATTAGGCAAGCTGAGAAGATGACTTGCTAAAACAGTCGAAAGTGAATCCTTTTCGGGAAAATTCCGTTCACGTTGACCAAATGAACCATCACCGATCCGTTTGTGATTGCTTCCACCCTTAGTTACAACCTTTCTGAAATATTTGAAACGCATTAGCCGGCTCCGTAGTCAACACAGGCATTAGGCAGACGAACCGTGTCGGACACAGCCCGGTCGAACTACATGGTTATTGCAACGAAGGCAAAATGGAACAGGTTGCAAGGAAAAAGTATTCCTGCTTCATCCTGAAGAGTGCTCATGGATTGGGACGAATGACTGGTGGGCTTGACTTGATGCAGGGGCAGTTGGATACTGAACACCGAATTTTCACTTGCCGGTATGGCGCAAAGTGATGACTTTGAAGATCGATTCATAACGCAATACAACATAGCATTCTTGGCCAATTCCATGTTAAAAAACAGAGTGTTTCAATATCTATACTCATAAGTTCTGCGGCCCATCGTTCTCGTTGCCTTCCTTCACTCTTCCGATGGCGATGGCCACTCGGTCCGCCTGGTCGTACTCGCGTAAAAGTTGACCGGCCTCGTAACCAAGAACTCAGGATCATACACAACGGCTTCTGGTGAGGAGTCCTCGAAGCGGTAATGGTACACCAACTGGATCAAGACCATTTTCACCTCCAGCAATGCCAGGTTCAGACCCACGCATCCTCTACGCCCAGCGGCAAACGGGATGTACACCCCTTTCTTCGCAAGATTACCAGAAGTGCCTTCCTCAGCCCACCTGTCCGCGTTGAACATCGTTGGGTTGTCCCAGTGAGCAGGATTCTTGTGCAGACTTGGGAAGCATGGGATGACCACTGAGCCTTTCGGAATCAGGTAGCCCCCTGGGAGAACAACATTCTGCTTCGCGTTGCGTGCCGTCTGGAAACTCGGACTATGCATCCTCTGCGTCTCCTTGACGAAGCAGTCTAGAAATCTCAATGCATGAACCTCTTCGTATGTCCAGACCCGCTTCCCATCCTCTCCGTGGTCAACCAGCTCCTGGAGTAGCCGCTCTTGGTTACCGGGATACATGACGAGAGAATAGAGAGCCCACGATAGAAGCGAAGCACTGGTGGTGAAGCCGGCGCCAAGCAAAACTACCACGTTGGGGATCAGGATGTCTTGTGGGAGGCGTTCTCCGTTGTTGTCGCGTGCTCGGCTCAGAAAGTCCGCTACGGAGGACGCGCGCAGTGACGAGGTTGGGTCGGATAGGGGAAGCGCTTCTCCTTCTGTCGTCGTGCTTTCATTGATGGCCTTCTCCACGTTGTCCCACAACATCTGCTGCACAACGCGCAGGCGGGCCGGGTCTCCAAAAGGAAGACTTCCATACCATTTGGGTCGCAGGCTCGTCTTCTTCATAAGAGACAGAAACTCTCCGAAGAGCTGAATGGTCGTTGCGGGAGGCGTGTTGAGTGCTTTAAAATGGTCCAGGTCTTGTCCCACCACAACCCGCCAGATGACTTGTCCGGCCAATTTAAACATGTAATGATAGACGTTGAAGGCTAAATCGCGGTCTGCCAACTGGTCGAGCACGGGGAAGATGGAACGTGCCGATTCTTGAACCAGAGGTAAGTGATGCGCCACAGCTCGTGGCGAGAGCGCCGGTGGGATGAACTTGTGGGCGATTGGGAATGCGGGAGAGTCGCTGTCGCACGTGAACAAAGACGATTGGAGCTGCATGTAGAATAACGGATGCGAGGGGTCAGAAGTAGTTTTGGTAAAAAATTCTCCTTCTCGAAGGACATGGCGGGCGATTTCCGGATCATTGGTATGATAAGTGGTGGTCCCCATGTTGGTGGTCTTGATCACCGGGCCGTAGCGTGAGAAAAGGCGGTCGTAATTACCCAAAGGGTCTGGGTAGATTTCATAGTGGTTTCCCACCAGCGGAAGACCTTTCGGTCCAGGAGGCGGTCGAACGGAGGCATTGTTGGATGCTCGCACCTCCACGGGCTCAGTGCAAGACTTCACGTCCTCGAGGGAAGAGAGCTCGCTGCCGTCGGCACTGTCATGATACCGCAGCGCTGTTGATGCGAAGAGCAAATGAGAGGTCAACGGCCAGAACTGCAACATCTGAATACGGAGAAAAGATCTGTCCTTACAAGTTGAGTCTGCAAAAGCAAACAAACGCCCAAGAGTTGATCCAAGTTGATGCAACGTTTCCAACATGGAGGTATCTATTTCCTGACGGTGATCCCGGGCCCTTTGGCCTATGAAGAATTCCTGTTGCATCTCTTACGAACTTGCAGCGTAGGCGTAAAATTGTCTAAAAGTCACCTCCTTCCGACAGGCATTAAACCTGGCCGAATCGAAACCATTCTTATGGTTAGTAGTCCGCTGGCTGCTGTGGCGATTCCGCTCAAGACGGCATCAGCTCAGTCTTGATTTGGACAAATTGATCTAGAATCTGATGGAGGACAGCCATAGAGCCAGGCCGGTTGCGATCCAAAGACAGAAGGATTTACACTGTTCGGTCCGGACCAAATGGGGAAATCGAGTCTCACCTGAGTATTTCAGGCTACAGCGGTCACTCAGCAAACGTGCAAATTGAGCATGGCGATTACCAGATCCAGAACTTTCCGGGACCCTTGCGCCACAATTCACAATGAGACCCAACTCGCAGAGCCTGGATATTAAACCAAGGAACATTTATGGTATAATCGGCAAAGGGTTGGTTATTGGCTATACTCCTCTAGGACTTCAGACAGCAGAATGATAACAACAAACACGCATAACAACGTCATCACCGCCGATGTCCTCAGCCGGCATAAGAGTCGGCAGGACTTATGGGTAGGAGTGCATGGAAAAGGTACGCAAATCATTGATGCAACGACTATTACAAATAAGCCTACGGGGCTGACATTATAGACAGTCTATGACCTGACTACTTTTGCCGAAGACCACCCAGGGGGCATCGAAGTCCTGGTAGAATGCGCCGGTACCGATGCTACTGAGTCATTCGACTTTGCTGGCCACACAGCAGAGGCAATCGAAACAATGCAGCGGTTCTTGGTCAATCGCATGGCCGACGATACGAATACTGCGCGACCCCTTAAAGAATCGACGACCTCTCAGACCGCCACAAACAATACTGTGGAAATCTTATCCTCAAAGGCGACCAGAAAAGGCGTCACTGGTCTCCAGGAGACGTTGAGGATTTTGAGCCGTCTGCCATGGAGCTTGGTTGCAACCCTTGCCATGTTGGCGGTATTAATATGCGCAAGGCTCTACGGAACCCATGCGAGTAGCGGTGAAACCGGCATGGAAACATCCGATGGAAGCAGCAATCTGCTCCGGGTTGTTTGTGTTTCACTACTAGTAGGCTCATCGTTCAGTTGTGTAGGCTTTGGTTATCTTTACCATCAGTTCAGCAGAACACTGAAACAGGAGAGAGACGTATTTTCATACCCGCCTGTGATTCCGCGGCTGAACCGTAACTGAAACCGATTCCAAGACTACAGCTTGTCAGATATCTTAGGTTGGAAGGCAGGAGCCTAGGAAGCAAAAGCAAACGGTAGTGACTTAGGCTAGGCTGCATGTATTTAATAGAAGTAATTTGATGAGAGCAGATGGAATCCAAGTAATGATGTGTACTGGGATTGAAAGACGTGCATCACGTAGAATTTTCAACAGAGACTGTCACTTGAACGAATAAAAAATAAGAGGGGGAAGATTCTTTAGTCCCATGGGAAGATATTTATCTCACTCGCTGTCCAAGTTCAACTTGGATGATATAAAGGCCTTGTCAAAGCCATACTTGACATATTCACCAATAAGACGCGTACAAATGGTGACCAACTCGCAAAAAAACAGGCGGAAATCATTAGTTGATGTGTTATACTGAATTAGAAGTTTTACAATAACCTTGTGTAGCCAAGGGCAGATAAGCATCTGTGAACGACAGTGTATTCCCTAAATAAGGTAACCTCGAAGCCTTTCACCAAAACAAGTGAAATACAGAACTGACGACGAGTTGACTAATAAATTCAGATACGTCATTGACGAAATCATTAACTCTAGTCTGTACTTACGTTATCCTTATGCAAGCTCATCAGCATCCAGCTTCACTAGCGCACTTCTTGATGCAATCTTGGCGGCAAGGTCTGTCAACGGCGTTGCACTCAACAATTCGAAAACGGAGACATCACTCTGCATCTCTCTGAGGGCTCTGTTGCGCATCTCGACAGCCTTCAGCGAGTCGACTGTGAAAAAATGTCAGTATTTTGTTGAAATCAGAAAAGTCTTTCCAGTAGAAAGAATTTCGCAATGACGAAACTTGCAAAGGGGAGTGGCTCACCTCCAAATTCGGGTAGCGGCTTTTGTCCGTCCACCTCATCCACCTCGACACCAATAGCGGCTGCAATCTGGATCTTCAAGCTCACTTCGACAGCCGTGGCTGCCTCTCCAGCGGTGGTCGCTTTGGCTAGCTTCTCGCCAACGCTTAAGCCCTTGGCAATGCCATCTCCGGCAGAGCTGATGGGCTGGACGACCCGGTGGTCAAACTTTCTGTCCCTCTCAAACCCTGTGGCTCCTTCATTCCGGATGAGAGAGTCTCCAAGACCCAATACCATCTGGGCTGCGACTTCTTGCCCGTCAGCGGTTGCGCCACTCATGACGGCCCGCAGCGCAATCCGAAGCTCATCAAGCGTACACTGGAGACCGCTCCATCCGTGTTGATACATGTGAAGATAGTCCTCCAACTCGCCAAACTCTCCAGCCGAAGTAAAGTGCGACGAGTCAGAAACCAAGCCGACATCGATACTGGTAGCTGCGATGCCGAGATGCTTCCGCGCGTAATGAGCAAGGGCGTCTTCAAATGTGTTGCCTGAAGCGTAATTGGCCTGTGCAGTGTTGCCAATGATTCCTGTGATGGAGGAGAGCATGATGAAAAAGGGAGCGTCGCTGGCAGAGAGTTGAGACAGGAGATTACTTGATCCGCGGGTCTTGGGCATGAAGGCTCGTATCCACTTCTCATGGGTCATGTTCTCGAAGATGCTGTCCTGTGGCCTTTGTCAGCTACGGTTTGACTGAGATGCGATTATCAAGTAGTGCAATACTCACCTCCAATACCATGGCGCATTGAATGAGTCCTTTGACAATCCGGCCCTTGTCCTTTAGCTTGCCGAAGACATGTGTCACACTCTCAGCTTGATTGACATCACACTTATAAGCCTCCACATTGACCCCTCGGTTGCGGAAATTCTCCAGGTCATGTTCGTTCTTGCTACCGCCCGATCTCGACAAGAAGACGAGGTGCTTGGCACCGTGGTCAATCATCATTGAGGCAATGTCAAGACCCAACGCTCCTAGGCCACCAGCCAAGACGTACGTGCCCTGTTCATCCAAAACCAGTTTCTTTGCGGGGGGTGGCGGCGTGAAAATCAAATCAGAATCATCAAATGAAAGCACTACTTTCCCGTGTTTCTGTGTTCTCAGCCAGTCTACTGCTAGGGCGGTGTTGGTAACGGAGAATACGGTGGTGGGATGAATGGGCGTAATAGGCGCGCTGAATGCCCTCTGGAATAGGGACTGAATGACATTTGGCTTAACCTTTTGTACACGATCCATATCGACACGTGCGAGAGTAGCATTTCGCTTTTGGATCGGCAGGCTGATCTCCGGAGCGCCCGAGTTGGCACCAGCCAAATCGACGAAGAATCCAAACTCTCCGAGGGCAGCCGTGGACGCTAGGACGGATGGGCCATGCTGGTAGATGCTCAAAATCACATCTAACCCGCGACGATCGGTCGCCTGCTCAATTGCGGCGATGAAGTGTTGCAAGTTGTAGTCGAAGATGCGCGTCGGGGGGATTCCATATTGCTCAGAGAGGATAGCCTTCTGCTCTTTGGACGCTACCAGAGCGAAAACCTCGGCGCCAACTGACTGAGAGACCTGTACTGCAGCTTGGCCCAAGGCGGTTGCAGCATCATGGATAAGTACCGACTGCCCCTTGCCCAGGCCAGCAATTTCGAGAAGAGAATATTGGGCTGCAATAAAGACACTCGGTAGAGCAGCAGCTTGATCTGCGAGCAGTTCTGCTGGCACAGGTGCAACAAGTGATTCTGTTTGGCGAACGCAAGTCTTGCAAGTATCCGTTCCAAAAACCACCACGCGCTGGCCGGCACTAACGGTCTTGACGCCAGTACCACAGCGCACAACAAGACCAACTGCTTCTCGAGCCAATTGTGGAACGACAGCGTCATCTATTGAAGACGCAGTCTCGGGCAAGCCAACAAACTCCACCTGGATCTCGACTTGGTCAGGCTGCAGCGTCGCTTCGGCTTCTTCATCTTCGACCCAGAGGAAGTCTCCCTCTTCCACAGCAGAGGCAAGTTTCATGGGTTTTCCAGATTCAGCAAGCGACGCACGCACAGGACGTGCAATGCCGCTGGCCAGCTGCAAGTCGCCGTCGAACCCGGAGTCCTCGATGGCACGGGGCACATGGATCGCACCTTGAAACTCGGCGTATTCCATTTCTGCCTCGTTGGCCAACGAGCTTCGCCAAACATCGGCAACCAAAGAGGCGTTATACACGCTGGTAGGATCAAAATCACTTGAGAGGTCCAAGTGCGGCAAGGCTGAAAGGGAGTACTCATTGCGCATGACACGCAAAAGGCCTTGTGCAGGTGCGAACTCGACGCCGCCGTTCCATGACTCAATGACACCGCCTCGGGTGAGCCAGAATAGGTGCGCCACCGACGACACAAGTGACTTGAAAGACGTGAACTGGTCTTCATTCCAGGAATAGATGAGAGGTGACTCAAGCTCGAGGAGAGAGATGACGTGCTTGCCCATTAGGCCTGCGACATTCTCCAAGTTAAGTGTTGTGGAGTGCACCACAATGCCGGCAGCAGACAGAGTTGCGATGAGGTTGGATGCGAAGGTAGATGCCTCGGCCGATGTGAGGGATGGCACAAGTAGATGGACCTCGGCAGGAGCTTTTGAGATTTCGGAGCCAGAACTAGAGTGTACGCTTGCCACCAGGAAAGCGTTATGAGAGTCTCCGGAAACAGTAAAAGTTTTAGAGAATCCTTGCTTCTCCAACATCGGCTTGATCTTGGACTGCGACTCTTCAGTTGAGACAACGACAAGGTATCCTTGAGGCGACAACATCTTTTGAACCTTGGAAATAGCATCGGAGTTGACCTCAAGCGCGCCAGAGCCAATAAGCAAGATCAAGTCCTGCGTGCTGTCAGCAGAAAGGAGACCCTCTTCTTCAATGTCGACGTCCCAGAGCTTGACCTCGCAATCCAAGCTTATTTCCACGGCGCGCATCATGTCTAAGTCGGAGGCTTTTGTTACCACAAAAGTAGTTTTCGAAATTCCTCGGCATCGGCCTCCGCGAGCCTGTAAATCGCGAATAGTTTCGATAAAATTAATCCAGTCATTGTTCAGAACCACGAGAACTTCCACTACGGGCTTCTTGTGCGTAAGACGGTCCAGCCACAAGCTGAGAGAACCAGTTTCATGGCCAGGCATATGCCGAAGTCTTGAAACATCGCCACCAGTCTTGAGGAAGTCGATGTCTTCGCTCCACTCCACCCGGGCACACTTCCTCATGGCGCTCACAGTGGCGGTGCTGGCGCTTGCTCCATCGGCAGACGTGACCTTGCGCAGAGCAAATCCCTTCACAACGAGTTTCGGTGCAGACCAAGCCTCGTCCGAGACGATCAAATTCCCTACAATCTCGTGGCCGTCCTTCGACATCGAGCCGACGTTGCCATAGCCGGAAAACCGACTTCCAGCACCCTGAGGCTGCGCGGAAGCCACGAACATGTCGTCGATGCTGTAGGGTACTGCAGCTTCATCAACTGGTTTGCCGTCATTTACGGCTGCCAGGAGAAGATGAAAGATGGCATCCATGGTGGCAGGGTGCATAATATGAGGGTACTCAAAGTTTGCAGGCATCGCCGATAGTGTATCGGGGATGATGACGATGCCATAAGAGGATTTCTGAGTCGGGACTGCTGTCAGTGACACCACGTTCCGAAAGAGAGGACCGTATTCCATGCCAATGGTCTGTAGATGGTCATAGAACGTATCAACGTCCACCTCTTCGATAACTTTGTCTCCGATAAGACTCCTGTAAGTCTTAGACTGCTGGATCCAAGCGGGGTCAACAGGAGAGTTCTCGATGCCATTGTCTGCGGTAGCGTATTCCAGACAGATACTCCCACTGCAGTGCTTGGTCCAAGATGTTCCGGTGGTGGTGGAGAAGATGGTGAATTGCCATTGACCCGGAATAGTCTGGTGCGGCTGCAGGCTGAGACGGGTCTCAACGGCCGCATCATCACCAGAGGCCACGACCAAGCCACGCTCAAAGCTAACGTTCCGAAATCGGAAACCGTGTATCTTGTCTGGCGCACCCGAGATCTGGAGTACGCCTTCAAGAGCCATCACAAGCATGCCGGCGGCAGGGTACAAGATGGTACCAGTGATTTTGTGATCTTCGATCCATGGGTTCTCCGAGATCCTGAGGTAGTTCTTCCACCTAGGCTCCAAACTGTTTTGGAGATCCTCTGGTACACCCAACAGATCCGTTCTCGGGGCCGCTGGGAAGCGGTTCGACTTTGTAGAATATGCCTCGTGCCAAAAACTCCTGCCGTGGTTCCATGGGTAAGGTGGCAGGTCCGTAAGGGCTTGCGGTCCCATGATCAACGAGGTGCGGTCATCTCCGCTGACAGAGGAGAGATTAACTCCAACTCCCATTGCCCAAAGCTTTCCAGCCACCGTCAGAGCCGTCTCATTAGCATCTTTTCCGCGGAGAATCATCGACATGTACGGTGCTTCCTTTGCTGTTTTGCTGGTGCTGGCGGCAATGTTCTGCTGCACGGGTCCTTGCAGAGCGGAATGGGGACCAAGCTCAATGAGTCCGCCCCAACGAACTGGCATTGCCTTACCGCGACCACTTCCGGATACCGCAGTGAGAGAAAGGAGAGATGAAAGAGCCGCGGAGAACTCCACGGGGGCGCACATGTTGTTTACCCAGTAATGGGCATTCAGCTCCTGGGGGTCAACTCTCTTGCCCGTGAGAGACGAGAACATGATCGTTTCGCCACCAGATAAAGTAGAAACGTGACCAATCCGCTCAAGGTACCCCTGAGAGACGTCGAGCATATGTGGAGAGTGGTAGGCCGTCTTGACCTTAAGCTTGCGAGCGAACTTGCCGTCTGCAGAGATGATCTTCTCGAGGCTATCAATGGCATCGATGTCGCCAGAGAGCGTCAGGCTGGAAGGACTGTTGATGCATGCTACGACGACTGATTGCGAAGGGACTTGTGCAAGATAGCCTTGCGCCTCGTCTCTTGACAAGCCAACAGCCATCATCGCACCCTTCCGAGTGACGCAGCTGGAGCTGAGGCCACGGACATAGGCGATCTTGATGGCATCGCCGTGAGTGATGTATGATGCTGCGTAGGCGGCGGCTGTTCATGATCAGTTGATTTATCTTGGTCCCAGGGTATTCAGAGTATAATCTTACCGATCTCTCCGCTGGAGTGGCCAACAGTAGCCTTCGGGGTGATAGCCCAGTATCTCAATAAGTCCACTAGAGCAACCTGGAGTACCGTGCACAGCGTCTGACTGAACTCTGGAAGCGAGATATTGGAGTTCTCCTCCTCTGACAATTCTCGGATGGTATCCCACTCACAACCAAGGGCCTTGAGGAATAACTGTGACTTTTCAACGCTTTGCCTGAACACAGGGTTGCTAAGAAGTTGCTTTCCCATAGCTGGCCACTGGGCACCTTGACCGGTGAATACAAAGATCAAGTTGTTGTCCTGGCGCGAGGACCGCTTCATCTTCGGCAGACCCTTGGACAGCTGCGTCTTAAGCTCAGCGAGCGATGAGGCCACAGCGAAGCTGCGAAAGTCGTGATGTGAACGCCGGACCGCAAGCGTGTATGCCAGATTGCTGAGGTAGTAGGTGTCCTCTTTGTCCAAACCTGAGCTGGGAAGTTCATTGGAATACAAAGATGATAGGCGCTGGATGCCAGACTGATCCTTGGTAGAGAAAACGAACAGCTGTCGGGCGGCCTTGCTGTCAAGCTCGCTCATCGGCGTTTCAGGTCCCATACTGATGCCTGATTCGGACGAGTTTTCACTAGAGACATGCACCTTCGTGTTATGCTTGCCGATAAGGCCACGAGCGCTCAGATAGTGATGGGCATCATCGAGAATGGCGTGTGCGTTGGCTCCGCCGAATCCAAAGGAGTTGATACTAATCCGACGTTGACCGGAGCTAGGCCATTTCATGGTCGATGGAGGCAACTTGAGGTTCCATTCATCCAGCGTCAGCTTAGGGTTTACCCGCTCGACTCCGTACGTGGGAACAAGCATGCCCTTCTCCAGACAAACCACGGCTTTGAAGACACCTGCTAAGCCTGAGCAACCTTCAGTGTGTCCAACGCTGGGTTTTATGCTACCCACGTAGAGAGGACCAAGTCCCTCGGCTGTTCGGGCGGCACCTAGAGTAGATGCAATGGCCCTAAGTTCGATGGGATCCTGAGACGGAACATTAGGCGAAGTCATTCATCAGCAGAATAAAGTCCAGGAACATACCCCGACAGGTGTACCAGTTCCATGAGCCTCAAAGTACTGGGTCGACGACAAAGGCAACCCCGCTGCATCGTAGGTTCTTCGAATGAGCTCGGCCTGGGCGTCTGAGCTGGGCTGGGTAATGCTGGGCGTTTTACCGTCTGCATTAGCACCAGTGTGACGAATCACGGCTCGAATGGTATCGCCATCTCGAAGAGCGTCCGAAAGACGCTTTACAACAAGACATCCGATTCCCTCTCCACGGCCGTATCCGTTAGCGCGGTCGTCGAAAGTGTGAGAAATGCCCTCAGGACTCAACATGTGCATAGCGGAGAGCTGATGCATAGTGTTGGGGTTCAAAATGAGGTTTACTCCTGCAACGAGGCCCTAGATTCCGATTTAGTCAATTCTGGTGTTGTCTTCGGAAGCAACAGTAGCCTACCATGTTCGTTTCTTTTAGTTTCAACGACTGGCACGCCAGGTGGAGAGCGTACAGACTTGACGAGCAAGCAGTATCAAGCGTCAGACTGGGACCACGCAGACCAAAGAACCAAGACACTCTATTTGCGGTCATGGCCTCGCTGATAGCCGACGCAGCAGTATGGCCAAGGTCATATATGTCGTGAAGTGACAACAGTTCGTAATCGTCGGTCATGCATCCAACGTAACATCCTGTTTGAGAGTTCATTAAGCTCTCCACGGGGATACCAGCTACGGGGGAATTGTGTTAGCCCAACACTAAGAAAAGCAGGGAAAGCAGCCAGTGACGGCTCTGGTGACTATGACCAGAAGGACTCACCGTTCTCAATACTCTCATAGCTGACCTCAAGAAGAAGTCTCTTCACTGGGTCCATAGACGCAGCCTCTTTAGCCGTGGTTGAGAAAAAGGGGGCATCGAAGTGACTAATGTCTTCCTTAAGGAAGTATCCATTTTTGACAGCCATCTACGGAACTATTAGCATCTGTAGCAGATGGTAGCAGGATTTTCCAATCAACTCACAGATCCCTTGCGATCTTGATCCGGATGGTGAAGGACATCGGCATCCCAACGGTCAGCAGGGATCTTGCCATGCCCGGTCCTCTCATGGCTGATCATGTCCCACAAGTCGCCTAGGGACGAGACCTCACCAGGGAGTCGACATGCGGCCCCAATGATGGCGATTGGCTCTTGTTGATCGATTTCCGTCATTGTGTCTTTCTCGTAGGGTAAAGGGGCTTAGTGGTTCTGTCGTCTTGTCGTCCTTTGTCGATGGCGAATGTAGCCGCGAAGCTTGTCTTGTCTATGATAACAAGAAATGATGCAGATGTTCTGAGTTCAAATTAATCTACCGGATAAATGGCTCTGTTTATGAAGCTTTTCTAAGAACGTATGGATATTCAACGATAACCAAGCCGTAATTTCATGTCTCCATAGGGTATTTCCGATCAAGAGACAAGTCTAACAGGGCGTCACGTTGTCGGTGAAACGCCGAAGTCTTCCGTTTGAAATTCCCGCTAATTATTCTCCGTTCTCTCGCCGAACCCCGTCCGTCCCGTCTCGTTACACTTGGCTCTCTTTCTTGATGAGGCTGAGCCACACCGATTCCCAAAGCGGTCGTCAGCTTCTTCTTTGATGTTCGGCAAATGCCAAATCGGACAATTTCCGTGACCGCCCTCGACTCTTAGTGCCAAATTCCCATCGTTACCGAGTTCTTGACGGTATTGTCTCGGAATATTCTGGAGAACCCAGAAGGAGAACTTTTCTGACACTGTATAGTCAATCGAACAGCGTTAAATCTGAACTGTATCCAAATTCGCATCCCTCACCTTCGGCAAGTCGATACCAACACACGCTAGATTACAGCAAGGTCTTTCATCTGATTTAAGATCATCATGAGAATCTTGTGTCTTCATGGGGTAGGCAGCTCTGGTGCTATATGCGAAAGCCAGTTTGGGCCGTTTCTCAAAGCTGCCGACCCAAGCTATGACTTCATCTTCGTTGATGGGCCCGAAATGTCCATACGGGGTCCTGGTAAGTAAGATTGCAATCTTATAGCTGAGATTAGTGAGGAAAGATAGCTGATTGCAGGGGAATCTGATCTATTAGGTATGGCCTCCCATCTCCAGGGCCCTTTCTTCTCGCATACGGCAGGATACGCGCGGAGCCAGATGAGAGATGCTATGGAGAACTTGGAGATAACCATCGACGAGCTTGGCCCATTCGACGGGGTCCTCGGCTTCAGTCAAGGCGCCTCTCTTGCGCTTGCATACATTTATGACCAGCAAGTCCATGGCAGGCTCGTACCGTTCAATTTTGCTATGTGCTTCTCGCCTGTCCTAGCTTTCTCTCCAGATGAGCGTTTCGCTGAGGTTATCATCAAGCAAGTATGTGCTCGTCGACTGGACTTTTCAACTATCACATCTGCTGTTGACGATGTGGGCCTTGGAACCCAAGAAGCAGCTTTTATAGACGTGATTACTCGGGTCGTCATGCCAGCAAAGCGGAGCAAAGCCATGCTACCGGACCATGACCTGGGTGTCTACACCCACGGAGACGGAATGGATGCTCCCAGACTGATGATACCGCAGCTGCTCAGCGAGAAAATCAATATCCCAACGGTCTTTTGTCAGGGCAAGCGCGATTTAGGTTTTATGCGGGATATGTCGGAAATCACACGGGGCTTGTGTAATGAGAGGATAATGAAGAAGATGGAGCATAGCGGTGGCCATCAGCCACCGCAGAATGACGCCGAGGTAAGGGCCGCAGTACGAGCGATGGAATGGGCGATTGCGCAGTCGAACAAAATGGCAAGCGTTCGCTTGTAGCTGGGAACGTTTTGATGATCGTGTGCGCGATGAAATAATTATTACATCTGGCAAATCTCCCAAAAGTTTCCAAACCTAAGTTTCCACACTCATCATTCATTTTACGCCTTAGGCTGTATCATTTGAGCCAGAAGCGAGCGTTTGCCCAGCAAGCTACTATATTCTCCGGTTTCTTTGCCTGAGTTTACCTGCCTGTATCCCTGACAGCGATTTCTGTTTGCGCCTGCATGGGTTTCGGTGAACTCAAACTGCTTACTGGTAAATCTAGGCGTCCTCTTTGTCGACTGCACTGCTGTATGTATTCTAGGTCTTTATACGTTCTTCCTATGTCAATAATTACTGAATCGCAACAACCTTCTTGATTTAACAATAGTAAGGGGCCGCCATACTATTGATTTCACTTGAAAATTTGCGTTCTACGGCGCTTTTATATGCAGGTATCCCCCATTGCTTGTAGAGCTGCCAGAGCCGTCCGTGTTCTTTCTTCGGCCTCTAAGAGCAGTACTAAATGGCCTTGACGGCCTCCTGATCGCGTTTTGAGCTTGCTGAGTAGTTTGCAAAACTCGGAAATCTGAACCTTTACCAGGCATCGAAGCACCTCGGCGCGCTCGTGACCATTCTCAATGCGGTAGGTTGATAGCCACATGTCGACCGTGGACTTTCCGGAGGCAACGCTTTCGTCCTTGGATTTCAGGCACTGGAAAGTACTTTGCTCTGATAGCTTTGGAGAGAATCTAATGTCCGATGGCTGCCGGTCGTTGCATTGTTGCATTTCAACGTAACTTTGAATGATCCGTTCGCAAAGAACGCTCATGTATCGTCCTGCCATCGCCAACAGCATGTTGTTTTCGCTTGCCAATGTGCACTTCTCGCAGTTCAGTATGCTCGCGCAGCTGGCCAAAGACTCTCGAAAATAGCCCAGCAAGACATCCATTGTAACAGGATCGCTATTGGCACTCTTTGTGCCTAGTTCTTCAACTAAGCAGGCTGTATTGTGCAGACACCGGCACCCCTGATTCCCTTGTGAATCCTTTTTGCTGGGATGTGAAGGTGTATGATCCTCGTCGATCTCTTGTTTTGCTGAGCTTTTGCGGTGCTTGAGCGATGCCAAGCAAAACATATCCGACCAACAAGGCAGGCTGGGACTGTGTGTCGGTTGTCGACTTGAGTTCTGGCTGTTAGATAGCTGCGGCGGGTCTCCTGGAGACAACGACGAGTTTCTGCGGCTAACGTATTTGTCATATCGGGATGCTTTCCAAGACTGCGACATGCTTTCTATTCTGAAGTCTGAACCGTTTTGATGCAGTTCTTCGTCAAACACTGGTCAAATTTGGGTTAGTCTCGGAAACGATCTTGCGGGAGAGATGACTACTTGCTACTCAAGTCACTCGAGTCCCCAAACATGGATCCCATGAGTTCACCGCCAAAACAATCGATGCTGTTGGCCTGGTCTGTAGTCAGTATACGAGATAAATAAAACCAACGAGTGCTTCTCTCATCCAAGCTCTTTCCATACCATATCCTTAGTAGCATTGCTGCCGTCAATGTAGTACGGTGATAGAAAGTTTCCAGGGACGTCTACCCGGCAGTCCAACTCCAGGTCGGTCTCGAAAATGACCATATCCGTTTGTGCTGTTGACGGTTGCGCGTCGTTGTCCCCCCGCTCAGGTGCCGACTCCCATGCACCATCTTCTCCACAACTCTGTTCTCCCTCTTCCCCAGCAACATTGCTACCACTTTCGGCTCTGTCTGGCGCAGAAGATTCGGTCTTACGACTGGTTGACCCCTTCTTGCGCCGGGCCTCTCGAGACAAATACCTGCACTTAGCACCGACGGCAGCACATCTTTCGCAGCTCGGAGTCTGTCCACTGCATCGCACCTGTAATCGATTCAAGATGAGTTGTTAGTTACCACAGATCATCATCAAACTCACGTATAACTGGCCATAGCAAGCTTACCTTTCGAGTTCGACAGAGTTCGCATGAAACACGCGGCTTATCGCGTCGATTTCGGCTTAGAGCCGATGATATGTCAGTGTTCTCAACGAACATTAACGGTCGCCTTTCCGGCTCGTGCATAAGGGTTCCGAACATCGTGAGGTTAAATCGTTAGCCAGCATAACCATTGACGATGGTCGTCGTAGTTCGGGATATCACTGACACCCTTATGATCAAGGTCTTATTGCAACGTATTTACGGCAGCGAACATATGGATACCTATATGACCAGTAAAGGGGAGCTGCGACCTTAAGGACTCTGTTGTGAACGACCTTCTCGGGCTGGGCCGGCTCGTAGAGTTCCTTCAGCCGGAGCTGACTCGCATCTATCCCAGTTTAGCAATATTGACGCTTCACCAGACGAGGGAATGGAGGCTTATTCTTGGCATCATCTTCAGGATCTTTGTTAACTGAACCCGAATTTGCACCTTTCTGCCTAATGGTGACCGGCTGCATAAGGTCGTTCACAAGCCACCGTCCCTTTTATCCGCACCGTGCATCCCGCCCCCACGCCACCTGTGTGAACGCGCAGGAAGTTAGGGCTGAGGAATCGGAGACACATAAGCTGATGTGGGTGAGACATATACGACCAATACGGCTCACAGGTACATCCCTCAGAAGCGTCATCATGCCCTGGAAGGATCTCGGTCGGTACGGTCACTTCCGATGGGATTGGAACTTTAGTGTTGAACCATGCAGATTTGTACCCCTCGCTTCATATTACATTCCCAAATAGCAAGGTTAATTCTAAGTCATCCCATCTTCAGCTTGGCGTTCCGGATATGCACGACAGCCGTCTACACCATCCCAGTCTAGTAGGTCCCGGTGAGTGTACTTCACCCCCGTTGCATGTTGATTGGTGGTTACTGGCTGAGGACGTTTGTCCTATCGAGCAGATTGAGCAGTTTATTTCCTCTCACTCCAGTCCCCCGCCATACGCCTCGAGATGCTATCCACATTGTCATTACCCTGGACCTTTGCAGCCTCATACGCCAAGCGGTATACCCGCAGATTCTCGGAGAACAGCGGCCGCTTATCCGTCCAGCCCGTAACGGCCCTGATTTTGTCGCTAGCAACCCACTGACTCCACCCAAAGACCAACTGACCTGTCAGGTCGTTTATTGGCCCTGAGATCTCGTCCAGGGATAGGCCGAAGCGGGCCCCACCGAGGAAGCCGTACTCAGCCGCCAACGCCATGCCGACCTCCCGCAACGTCTCATAGCGCCGGCCGGAGACGTTGAATACCCCCTCTGCGACGTTTGCGTTCCCCTTGCCGTTCACATTGTCAAGGAGTGCCGTCGTGGCCAGCGCCACGTAAGCGTCTGCACAATCGTCAACGTGAAGTGAGTGCAAGATGGTCTCTGCATCCGCAGCGAAATCAAGAGTCTGGCCGTCCGCGATGGATTCGTTGGAAGACTTGGCGTTCTTGGCGTAGGAGGCATATTCGAACGCTGCACCAAAGTAACTTGCACTGTATCCGTAAATAGGTGTCGCTCGAACGATGGCAACATCGAACCCCGGCGACCCTCCGCTGCGGCTATTTTGCGCCAACTCTAAGGCCTTCAAGGCAGCGTCTGTTCGGCCTCGTATAGGAGCAGGCGCATCAAGTGACGACGTCTCGGAATGGGGCCGTAGGTCCGGGTCGCCGAGGAAACGAGTGGTGCCATAGTCCTTGCAGCCCGAGGACCACAGCACATAAGGGCGCCTGAACTCAGGCGAAGCAGATGCTACTTGGTTTGATGTTTCGGTAAGGCCGACAACCAACTTGAAGAGCGCGTTCCAGTGTTCAGCCTCAGCAACCTTGTCTGTCTTCCCAGGTTCGGTGCAGGTCACGATGACATCCCACCTTGAACTATAGGAAAGAATGTCTCGCAGAGTGTTCTCAGTGTCGGCGAGATCACCAACAATTGGAATGACTTCGTTGACTGAGAGGTCGTGCGCGGCAGAAGACCGACGTACCAGACCGTAGACACGATATGGGCATACCGCAGTATTCGCACCTGGATGGTCGAGGGGAGTTGACGCTGCGGCTCGAAGGAAGGCCCGGCAGATCGCCAAACCAAGGAAGCCATTAGCTCCAATCACCAAAACGGAGAGAGGCCGGAAAGAAGGCGATTGGGTGTTGTCGCACATGGTTTCCGATAGATCCGGGTGGCAGGATGCTGGTATTGCAGTACAAGGCTGGTGTGAAATCTGACGATAAAATTGGGTTTGAGTGCGAGTATCAGCTTTGTGATGGTGGCTACAAATTGTTGACTATGGCGGATAGTGACGGAATTTTAACGTTGCGCCTGCCTTTCAAATAAGCAATAACAAGAAAAAAACATGGCATTGTATGAGAACCCCTACTTTCGACAAGCCAGTATCGATCCAAGCCTAACTTCATACACCCCACGTAATGCACTTTGGGGAGCATTAAATTGCTGAGGCTTTCGCCAAGCTCGGTTGAGGCCCAGCTCGGCTCAAGTCTAATTGATTCTACCGAAGTGGAACTTTCCTCGCAGGTATTGTCTTAAATCAGCCTAGTCGTTGAATACTTAGTTGGCCACGTCTGCCTAACGCAGAAGTGGGCGTTCTACCGCAGATCACGAAAGTGCTTTGAGATTTCTGACACAAATGGACACTTGCTGCCACTGCAACGGAGGAACCAACTATCCGAAGGGGGCAGTGCATGTATGAGAGTCCTACTCCCTGTGCATCCCTTCTGTGTCTCTTGGCATGGCGTTATGTGCCAGTACTATGTACAGTCTGCTAGCTGGCTTGTTTGTCGCTGGATGCCAAGAACGTTGCGAAGCTGTAAGAGCTGACTGCCAAGATTGCCAAGTTAACATGGTAGAAGACGTAAGTCCCGCATCGGTTCATGACCAACCATAACGTCAGATAGCTAAGTAGCCCAACGTATGGTCGGATTTGGCTAGATCTGGTTACCGCCGACGGCTGAGCCGCCACATGTTGCCATTTCCTGGGCAGTTACCCCGCTCCCGTGGAAATGACCTGGTGGAATATGTAGTTTCTAGCGAATCTGAATTATGTAGCCTGCTGTGAGACACACAGCAGTAGCCATTCGCTGCTGGATTTAGTCGTCCCAGCCGGGTCGGCTGGGCGTCACCTCTGTGCCTGCTTGGCGCTTCCGCAACTCTTACTCATCCTGCACAACTTCGGGATCGAGTTACAACTGTACCTAGGTTGCCCTGTCATCCGGTGACTGCACAATATCTTTCCCGCATTATCCACCGCCGTCCTGGAAAACAAGAGGCTGAGACGCGGCGAAACCTGCAGGATCCCTTACTATCCTAGATAGGTGTAGAACCACATCATGCTCTGCCCCCACGTCGTTCCTAGTCTTTGGGCTGAACCTTTAAAACAAACACCCAAGAACGCCATGAACAACCCGAACAGGCCCTATACGACTATCACAACCCATCTCCCGTTCATCTCTTACGTCTTGGGGTATTTTCCCCTTCAATTGAGCCAGTATCCCTACTCCCTTTGCCCAAAAAGCTTCTAGTTAGCCTTCAACGCCCGACATGTCTGGTCTTCGCTACTTCTCCTACAAGGACCATGGTGCCCGTCTCCTGGAGCAGATGAACTATCACCAAGCCGTTCGTGTAGGCGACCGCATTGAGACCGCGGGTCAAGGTGAGAACCCTAAGTTTCTGCTTCCCACGTGTTGTGTTCCTACAGGAATTGTCTTGCACATCACCACGCGGACAAACATACGGGGCAAATAACCTTTCAAATACCTGCTTTAAGCTAACGGACCTCGCAGGTGGTTGGTGCCCGAAGACGGGCGAAATCTCTTCAGATCTCCTTGAGGAGATTGACCAGGTCTTTACCAACATCGACCTTGCCCTCAAGGAGGCCGGTGGCCAGGGCTGGTCTCAAGTTTACCGCATTCGCCTCTACGCGCTTGACGAGGCCATGACGCCTGAGGCTCTTGGTCGTATGATCGAGAACGTGAAGAAGTGGGCGCCTAATCACAGCCCTATTCTTACTGGCGTTGGCGTCACCAAGCTGGGTCAGCCTGGAATGCGTGTAGAGGTCGAGGTTGCAGCTTACGACCCTGAGGGAGCTAAGACCATCCAGTAGATGCTTCCTGCGTCCAAGGCCGAGCGAGATATGCCGTTACGTACCTGTGATGGATAAGAATGTCAGCACGATAGTAGCTTAAAGAAGAAGATAAGCCATTTTTATTCTGCAGGAAGCCAGCCTATAAAGGAGAAAATTTGGAAGCTCGCCCCCGAATTAAAAAACAAAACCATTGTCTGCTATCCCAGAATGACAGAACTTGGTCTAAATTACATTCAAAGTGAAGTGATGCTTTGGTGCAACGACAAAACCAGAGCGGTGTTTAAAAAAATTAGTTTGTCATCATGGAAGGACATTAAGCATTCAAAATAGAGAGATAGAATCGTATAGTCTGTAGATTACAGTTCGGACTTATCGTATTGCCATTTCTTTCTGTGTATATTCATCATAGGTTGCTGAAGGATTTCTCAGGTGCAATCCTTCAACTTGGTCTATTTCAGCCATTAACACAACACAACACCGTGGGACGTCCAGTGCTACATCATTCACAAGCGTCAGCATCTTTTTAATCTCTCGATATGATTTCACTGTGAATTAGTTGAGACAATGAACGGAAAACCTCAAAAAATCTTTCTCTGCCTAGTCTACTGGATATCGCACCGCCCGCAACGCTTTACCACTAGTTAACTCCAATATGTTCCGATCTCTCTCAGATCCCCAAGCAGGGCAGCTGGATTGTCAAGCCCAGCAAAGTTGCCTCCGAACTCGTGATCTGCGGCACCTGTCAGGATTATGTTCCACTCCTTGCATAAGAAGGGTAGTACTCACTTCTATAGACAGTCAAGTTTCCCAGCAAATGCAATACCTCCTTTGGCCAAAAGCCTACCATGTACTTGAAATAGCTGACCAGCATCGGAGCATCGGTACTGGCCTTACGGTATACCCTCTCGAAAGCACCAGGGTCTTGTGCGTATGTGTAGACGGAAGAGACAAACGAGTGCGTCAGGTAATACAGGGAGATACAACGCAAAATCTCATTGTGATTCAGGATAGAGGGAGATTTCCCAGCGTTGGGGTCGGACCCTTCGTGCAAGTACACGCGTGTTAGTCTGTTTTTCTGCCTGTGCAGAATTTGGACGCGTCAAATAAAATAAAGGCACACTTACAGCTGATATACTTCTCGCCGATCCACGCCAATTGCCCCACGGGATTGTCGTAAAGAGCTAGTCCAATAGTGTTCGGCTTTGGGAGAAAAGTTACTCACTGGATAATCTGTACGGGGGCACGGTTTTCCATTGGCCTACCTTGGTAGTGTGTTCAAGGAAATACGCATTGCCGGTGATTCCCCAAGCAGTGGACCTGTCAAGTTCAAACTGCTCCAGCGGCGACAGCGTGATGTTCATGGCTGTGATCTGCTCAGCCGGCGTGGGGAGGAAAGGAATGAAAACAAAATGTGCAGCCCTCGTTGTTGTGTTGAACACATCGTACAATGTAAAAGTAAGCGGCGCCCCATGAGACGTTCCGTGCGCGGCAAACGTCTTGTAGCCGAGTACCTTGGTCATGAGCGTGTTGTACACGCGAGCAGTATCGTCAAGGGTCCAGTTTCCGGGAGGCGATGAGGAAAAGGCGAAGCCTGGCAATGACGGCACGACCACGTTGAAAGAAACCGATTTCCCGGTAGAAGTCTTGGCCGTCTCGGTGAGTTTCTTGATAATGGGTGCGAACTCAAGAAACGATCCCGGCCAGCCGTGGTTCAAAATGAGCGGTATAGCGTCGGGATTCTTAGACTTTTCATGGATAAAGTGGATATTCAAGCCCTCAATGTCTGCTGTAAAGTGCTTGAAGCTGAACACGCTTAGGTAAGTATGATTACCGCTCACCAAGATTGAGTTGGAAGCGCGGGAATTGACCTATTCATCGACTTTTCCTCCTTTTTCCAGTCAAACTTTTCCAACCATTGCTTCTGGAGGCTTTTGAGCACATCCAGATCAATGCCCCAGTTAGATCCAACACCGGGGTATTGGGGTTTCTCGGGAAGGCGAGTGTCTCTGACGAGATCCAGCATCCGCGGCACACCCTTCGCAAGGTCGATTTTGAATGGACGCAGGTTGAACGGCGCGTCTGAAGGTGCTGCGGTGACAGCATCAAGGTACATTAGGCCAACGGCCAAGCGAGGAATGATATCCGGTCCCATCTTGGTCAACAATTGCATCTGCATAAGTCGTGCTTCTGGGTTCAACTCCTTGATGTTGTGGAACATCCGCCAGTTATAAAGTAGGACGTTGTCAAACCGGAGTTCTCACCAAGACAGCTGTTGCCTGCCTAAATAGGGCAGAGAGCGGACTGTTCAGTCTCGCTGACGACCAAATTGGGACTTTTCCGCCTGCCTGTCTCACGCCTCCTCACACCGAAGCGATCAATTCAGCTGTAATACGGCGCTAACAATGGCGGGGTGGTTCAGCCCTGAGGAGGTAAGCAAGATGGTGGAGCATCCGCTCCCACGCCAGGTACTGGGCGTGGTCACGAACCAGAGCACAGAATAGCCTCATTCATCCAGGTTCTCGATCAATTTGGGCGTAATGTTGAGGACTTATTTGATTGCTAGGAAGTATCGTCATCAAGGAAATTCATGAGGCAGTCAAGTTCCTGTATGAGAGATGATTGCCTTTATCTGCAGAAGAACCTCTTAATACCCTTAGTGGTACAGTCAATGCCATGTTCCTCCTCAGTGCCTCATTGGCGCCCAGCACACCCGAAGCCTCACTATCTGTGAGTCGGGTGCGAAAATGAAGAAGAAAAAGAAGAGAAGTAGACGGGAGATGAAATCAAGCCTCAAATTTGAACATGAAGAAGTCCTCATAACTGAGGAATTTAATGAAGTATATATTTTTTACTTTCTTGATGAAAGTAAGCTTCTACGACTAGGTGTAAAGGTCTCTGAGAATGACACTCGAGTTGTATGATGCATTGCGCAGCGGACTCAAATTCAGCGTCGGGGTTGTGATCGGAACCCAAATCAGTCGATGCCTGACAATCTCGGGCCGGGGATCATCATACCCAGCACAGTTAGGCTTGACGGCTCTCACTACAAATGATTCATCTGCAACTGGCTAAAGCGCAATGGCGGCTTACAAACTCACATTTCGGTCAATATACACACTCTAATTTTCACATACTTGCTTCTGACCTTGCTGCGTTACAGCATGGAGTGAAGGTAGTGTTGCGCATGAGAGACACAGGGCGTTTACTTCGCATCATCAACGATTGGCTCGGTTATAGTTAAGTATCTAATCTATGGTCTTTGTAGCATTATGTATAGGCGCGTTATTATATATAAAATAATATGTTTTGTCTTTATTAAAAAGATATTTTTCTTCTAGGTATGATATATAGCTATTAGAGCTATATTTTTGCCTTTAGGTAATTATATCTCTTATAAGAAAAATAAGCTTATTTTAACCCTTTTTTTATATTATTGCCTATACTATAATTAAAATATTTGCTTTAATGTAGCTTATTAGGTTAATAAATTGCTTATTTTAGTGCTTAGAAGGGAATCTAAATACTTAGGCTAAGGGCAATAAGGAGTTATTTTGGTATGAGCTCTCGTTAGAGAACTGGGTCTGTATAAGAAGAAAATTAGCAAAAAGGCCTATATAAGAGGTAAGTCTAGAGATAAGGGTACTATTATTAACTTTTTGATTTTTTATAGCTATTTTTTAGTAAAAGTAAGCCTCTTTAATGCTACTTTTCTAGTAATAAATAGCCTTTTTATAGCCTTCTATTTGCAAAAGTTAACGCCTTATAAAGTCTACTTAATAGTACTAAGGTTAACTTAGCCTTTTTAAGACTTAGTAAGCTTTAAGTAGGTAACCCGGAAGTTATAGTAAGTAAACCTGATAATTGCCCTTTTCTTTTGCTTATTAAGTTTCAGCGGCTTGCCTTTTTGGGGCATAGACTTAAAAGATTGGCTTTCTTGGTATTGTTGAAGTGTGTTGGCGACTGCCTTATAGGAGCAGTTAAAGACCATAGCCGCGTTGCGGTAACTTTGGCCAGCTAGCATAAAGGCCACAATTGCGATCTGCTGATCTCTTGATAACTTATCGTTAGGCTTTCGATTTCCTGATAAATGAGAAGAAAAAGCTTGTAAATCGGCCTCTATTTCCTGAAGTTATGGGAGAAAGGAAAAAATCGATGCATAGAGGAAGACGCGTCAGGACGCGCTTTAAGGTGGGGTGATTCCACACTTCTGACCCCCCACTGATGGGCCTGACTTCTTAGCTAACTTTCTTTCCCCTAAAATCACCTCTCGCTCCCTGACCCTTGTTCGCCGTTTGGGAGCTTCTATCATCATCCGTTCGCTTCCAGGGTAATCTTTCAGGCTTCTCACGTTGGAGTTGCTGTGGAAATGCTGACTGCACCAGCAAAGCGCCGCATCGAGCGAAAGGTGGAGGAAGCATACGTGAGCTGAACCACCACAAACACCATCTTCTATTGATTCTGATGAACTAGTAGCCTAGCCGCCACTGCTGGCTCCCTGCAGAGAAGCGTGAAGGACACCAACACGAATCCCCGGATTCCGATTCAGAAGACACAACTGCAGATAGGGGACGAATTCTTCCTTCAAGACTCGGAGCAGACGGGTCGGGTGAGGCCAAATATGTTAATTCAAAGGAAGATGCTGCAACCGCAATAGAACTCCACGAGCTCATATCCAGCCAACCGGCCCTAGCCCCTCACTTTTGCGCTCACTGTGGGGAGTGGGAAATCGATTTTCGTCATTTTCGACTGAATTATCGAGGTAGCACGAATCTCAACCAAGGCCGCCAATATCCTGGGCCTGAAGGTGGTTTCACTGCTCAATATGCCCGGGAAAAGGCGAAGCTTGGCTGTGATTTCTTCAAGAGAGCTCCGAAAGAACGGCGATCATTCTTTCAAACGAGGCAGAAGAAAGAGTTAGATGGAGATGAAGTTGCGTACGTACTTGTGCAAAAGGATACCAACATCAAGATGATATTTTATCTCGCCTGGAAGGGACCCGATACGGATGGGTATGGTGAGGCGTATGAGGTTTACCCTGCTGACGGTAGGATCTTCCAACTTCGCAGGTCAATAAAATTGTGCTAATCTATTTATGAAGGCGACCAACCTCGTTCCGGCGCATTAATAGGTCACCTCCCACCTAACCTAGTCTCGAACTCTGAGCTGAGCTACCGTCGGGTCAAACAATGGATACACGAATGCCAGAGAAGCCATCCGAAGTGCTCGTCCCGATCGAACACATTCGTTCCCACGAGACTGCTTCATGTTTCGGGGACTCCTCAATATCCAAAGATCAAACTCTCAACTGAGCCACCCATAGCACCTTACGTGACTCTTTCTTACTGTTGGGGTGGAGACCAAGATGCGAAAACATTACGATCCAACTTTGAGTCTTACCAAGATCATATTCAATTTTCCACCTTGCCATCTACGATTCAGGACGCTGCCATAGTCACAATTCAGATCGGGCTGTCATATTTGTGGGTTGATGCGATGTGCATCATCCAAGACGACGATAATGACAAGATGAAAGAAATCGCAATGATGCACGCGATCTACCGAAGCTCACAAATAACAATAGCACCATCAGAAGCGGTTACAAGCAAGACCGGATTTCTCAGACCTCGAGAAATGTGGCGACCCATCAAGATGAAGGCCCGTTTCGATGAAAACGTCTTCTCGGACGTTCTTCTGGTTCCAGAAGGCGACTCGTGTAGACCAAGTGCTCCTCTGTTCCAAAGAGGGTGGACACTACAGGAGACATTATTATCTACCCGTGTTTTAGTTTATGGCCTGAGGGAGCTGACCTTCCTCTGTCTAGAAGGTATCAGATCAGAGTGCGGTTCGCACTTGACAGTCGAGGAGATCAACTGGGCCTTCCATCCTGGGAGTAAGATCCACGTGAACATGAATCACCCTCAAAGTTGGAATTACTTGATTGCATCTTACTCCGAACGCTTTCTCACGATCGAGGACGACAAGCTGTTAGGCATTGCGGCACTGGCTGAAGAATATGGACGGAGCAAGGGCGTTGATGGGTATTTCGCCGGGTTGTGGAGGGACAACTTCCTTGAGCAGGCGCTCTGTACCACGGCGTCATACACTGGGTCTCCTAAGCATTCTAAAGGGTATACAGCCCCTTCTTGGTCCTGGGCAAGTGTCAATGGCGAGATCACAGGCTTCGGAGCAAGCTTCAACATGCCTCTGGCGTGGCTACCCGAGACAATGCCGAACAACATCACATGCGAGTTGATTGACGTTAAGACAACTTTGACAACGCCAGAAAATCCTTTTGGAATGGTCAGCGGTGGATACATACTGGTACGTGGTAACTTCCGGAGGGTCATCTGGAAAAGCGAGCACGACCGGGGTTCGGCATGGAACGGCAATGGATGTCTCACATCAAATACCAAAGAACGTCTCGAGGCAAGAGAAAGGGTATTTCGTGACCCGAGAATGGCGATCAGGATAGACCATCATCGGGATTGGATGGAGGAAGACTTGGTTCTCCTATGGAGCCTTGAGATTTGCAAGACAGATGAGGGACTGGGGTATGCGCTTCTCCTTAAGGAAACGGAGGCCAAAGCAGGGGCCTTTCGGAGAGTAGGTCGTTTGCAAATAACCTCAGTGGATGAGTCACTGGGTAGTTGGTTCGACAGCGAATATATATTCCGGGAGGTAATGGTGATCTAAACCCTTTGGTTATGAATTTAATACCTACTTTCGTTGATATACCAATATTAGACAATTGAAAGAAGGCGCCATTTTTTTCTTTTGGCTACCTACGAGAACGACTCGCGCTTTACGACTGCTATATGCCATTTCCCGTGGAAATCCAATCCGCTGTTGCAAGGGAACTATGATCGTCATACATTGGAGAAGAAGCACGACAAGCTATCAGTCGCTATTTGTATCAAGTGCCTTTGTGTACATTCGTCTACGTTAAGGGAGGAATGGTCCTTCAAGATGTGGACTTAACAAATCATTACAAACGTCTTGAATGCACCGATCAGATTGACAAGTAGAAATAGAGCCTAGGTGAAGGCTTTAGGCCGAAGGCCCAGATCGAAAGTGGAATACAGAGAGCAGAACAAATCATCCACATTAAACCTCCTGTTGCTACCAGCTAGTGGCTGTTCTTAGACCTTCAGGAATCTCAACTGGCCGCCCAAATATAGCTGGTGTTTCCTGGAGAGGTTTTGCTTGATTCGTTATGAATGAGGGGTCGTTGGTTGCGCGGCGAACGATCTTTTTAAGTTTCTCGTACAGAACGTCTGCGGTGACGCGATCGTTCACTTGAATCAAGAGCAAATGCCGGGTGATTAAATCGATCAGGGCACCGAGCGCTGTGTCACCTTTGCAACGGGGATCACTCCGCAGAACTGCAAATGCTTTAAGCACCGAAGGATGAATCACCGCGTTGTCTCCCCGAAGCGCGTAAAAGTTTGAAGTTCCCTTTATGGCTGTCCCTTCCTCCCTGGATTCGGCAAAGCTGTTGACGGCATTGAACCCGTACATCATCCAGATAACGAATTCGAGGTATATGCATGCTATCGACCAAATGTCGTATCTGCGAGGTCTAGGCTTATCTGTCTTCTCGAGGGCTTCCGGTGGTTCGTATGAAGGTGTAGTCGCTCTGGTGACGGTACCGACGAATCTCATATTTGTGGCAGCTGTGTGAACCTTGGAAATCCCGACATCTGCAATGACAAGATTACCCAACCCGCGGCCTGGGAAGTGAAGGATGTTCCCGGGCTTGAGATCTCCATGACGGCAATTGATGCGGTGGAGCTTCCGGAGAGCACCACTAATTCCAAGCATCTGTTGCAGAGACCACAGCATGTACCCCTGATTTGACATATGTAGCATCCAGAACTCCTGAAGATTCCCTCCTTCTGCCCACGGGAAGGCTATGAAGTAAGACCGGTCTCGCTCGCAGAAGAACAAGTATCGGATGAGATGTTTGTCTTTGATACCTCGTGTCTCCAGGAGGTTCTTCTTTTCCTTTTCAAACAAAGCAAAGCCATCAGCCTTGCGAAATATCTTCACTGCAATCACCATGTCCGTGTTTTGCGCCTTCACATATCGATTGTTAGCAGCTAGATCTTGTACTGTCGGAGCAGGTTCAGGGACTCACCCCAGCACCGGTTTGGTGAGCCGCATGCAGCTCGCTCTTGTAGACGATATTGCTGTGTTCACCCCGAAGTTCAGTTGCCCTTAAGAATGGCAGCGGACATTTTGAATCCACCTGAAAGACTGTGGATGTCCCTGAGACATCCAGTTTTGGGGCAAGGAAAAGCCACTGCTTTTCCAGAAACATATCCACTCTGGCTTCATTTTTCCAATCCTGAAACGACTTGACTATTAGTCTCCCCTTGGACTCCAAAATATTACCGTGATCTTCATGAGTTGGCCTGGCAAACGGCAAATCGTCGTCGGTTAGACCATCGCCTACCAGCTTTCGAATTGCCTGAGGCTCTCCAATCATCACAAGGATTGCGAATAATCGTCTTGCGTTCTTCAGTATTTCACTTGGCAGGCTATCGGAGAATAACCTATTCATCAGGTTTCTGGGGAGCTCATTTTGGACGGTCTCCTTGGTGATGAGATCATTCAGACTACTGGCTGGCAAGAAGTCTTGACTAACGACAGAAGAATGTTGAAGAGAGCTTTTCAGCTTTGAGAGTAGAGATCGAGAAGGCATTGGTTGTTGAGTAGCCCTTTCTGGACGTCGCTCTTGGGGATGGGATTCATGGATAACTGGGGTTCAAGACTCGACAGGACGGCCCACCGACAATCGCGGGTCTTATGAAAGTCTCAGCATAAACCATGACTTGCGGCTGTACAAGAAAACAGGCTGTAAATCAAGGCGACCATGAAGGCAGCCACATAAGCATCCGTCAGGCCGAAGTCACTTTCAGAACGAAACTGCCGAAGGGACTCCCATGTCTTTCCGGGCCGTTACTTCGACATCATCGCGCTCCAGTGACCTGGCGTTGGCACAGCCACTGTACAACTTGTAGACCAACAGGTCATCCAAGACACATCCAAAGTCTCGCTGGAAGCCGCGCCGCTGATCCACAGCCTGACAGTCGGGGAAGCCCGGGGTCAGCTGGCACCCCCTTTCATATGTGCGTCGCAGAACGGAGACCACCACGATGGTATTAAGGTCCAATGAGGAACTCTTGTCCTGACACCTCACACGAAATAAAAGATAAGCTGCTTGGTTCAGCCTGATCTGGCGCTGGTGAGAGTCCGCAGGTTCCGTCCAAAAGATAAGATGCACCTACCCCGCTTCCTTGGCTGTGCTTTATGCAGACGCACGACTTTGCGCAGACTCATGTCATCGCATTACATGCATGTCAGGGGAGCTAGATGCCATGCTCACAGCCTGATCCCCAAAGACAACTCCATTACTCTGATGTTTCGCTTTTGCGGATACCAGCAGGCAGATCAAGACTTTGGGACGTCTGAAAGTTTTAGTGCATTTGCTAGGGCCCATGCCGATCTCCTTTCCGACTCTTTGCAATATCCCGCCTATTCAGAAGTAAAAGCTGAGTTCATCAAACCTCAACCTGCTCGAATGGGGCTGAGAAGTGTTAGCATGAACTTTTGGCCAATGCCTACGGCTTCCCGATTTGGCTCTATGCAGCCATCACACCACTGGCAATAGACGCATCGCTTAAAGGTTGCTGTTGGCATGTGGAATCTGGAGAATGTCCGTTCTCTCCCGACTCCGAGCCTCATTTGGCTTGATCAGCAAGCGTGCGAACCAGGCGCACCAGCTTCGGTGGCACATGGAGGCTGGGCACCATCCAGCCGATGGATGATATGTGTGTGCATGGGAGATGAAGCTTCGGACTTGGGTTAACTTGCCTTTGTCCTTGCTTTGCAAGTCATCATGTTGGATCGAGCATATATGGCATCATTGTGCTCCGTAACAATACCACCGAGCCTTGAATAACAGAATCTTTGTGGAGCCTAGAGTCGATAATTCATCATCTTTCTATTAGGCAATACCAACGCTTCTGGATATGACAACACTTCAAGTCTGCCTGAGTGAAACTGGGCTTGGGTCTAGGCAGAATGGTGTACACCAAAAGGCAACCATGACTAATGGAGAAGTCGTGGAGGGTGTGGCGCCGAGCAAAGGAGGGGAAGGCCGTTATCTGCTATGCAACGGCAAACACCAACCATTGAGCCCACCAATTCGTGACTGCATAAGTACGTTGCTGCATGCTCTGGATAAGTCCAATCGCGCAAGATCCAAGTTCGCCTCGATCGATGCTGTGGGGGCAATGCCACTCGCAAAATTATTTCTGAAATGCGAGGCTTACCACTGCTGTGTGGCAGGGATTGGTCGTCATCGCATGTGAGTAGGACCCATAAGCATGCCTAGACGCATAGGTTGGCGACATAAAGCTGAACGCGTAGCCGAAGAAGGGCCAAGCGTCCGAGCACAATTATCGAGTTACAAAAGCTCACGAGAAGTCCCTTCGAAATACTCGAACGGTAGACAGACAACACAAAGACGGGGATCTCGAGCATTCGCCTAAGCCGATATCGCGCCGTGTATCTTCAATCACCATATATGCCAGGAGGACATCGAGTATACCGTCTCAGTTGTGGAAGAAGTCATCCATTGCCAATCTTCGGAGAGGTAGCAACGGAAGTGAACATAGCAGCGAGATGGCCGCTCTTCAGCGCCAATTAGTCAAGGAACAGCTTCCTGCAGGGACATGCGGAGGTACCTTCCTTCCATACTCCGTCCTGGAAGAGAAGGTAACCACGCAGGTAGTCATAAACAACCTATCCCGTGGAAAGAGCAAGTCGCCAGAGATCCCCATATCGAAAATTGCCTCCTTCGTCTGTGGAAAGCCCGGGGCAAGGAGAGTTTTTGCGATTCTTGTCTGCATCAGCCAATCTAAAATGATTGACCTGTTCTACAAGTATAAATTTGACGACTCTATTTTACCTCTCTACGTCGACGATATCACCGGTAAAGTGGAGACCAAATCCACCAAAATTGGCCACTCTGAGATCACCAGAAAAGTCTTTGCCGACGAGTTTTGGTTAGAAGAGGTTTCACCGTGGATCTTTGCTGACGCCCAGTGGCAATTTCTTGCCCCGATCTTCAACGGACATCGATTCAGATACTCGTTTTGTAAAGAACACCGAATGCCTTTCTTGGAGCAATCTGGTGGGCACAGGGAAAGTCATTTCAGCACAGTGGGAAAGTGGTCTATTCATCAGTCTCATTTCAAGAAGAGCTCAAAACTTGTAAGTGCACAGACCCCTCGACCAAAGCATTTCTATGGAAATCATGGATACGACACTGACAAAGAATACAGCGCCTATCGGTTGACACAGACGGTCATCCGGTTGTAGCAGTGAAAGAGCTGAAAAATGTCAACATGAACGGTGACGAGTACGAGCGCGCAGCCGAGGCTGAGGCAGAAGTACTACAAATGATCCGTGAAATGGAGCATCCACACCTCATTAAGGCGATCGCTTACTACAAAAGGGGCGATAGATACTTCATTGTTTTCCCGTGGGCCGGAGGTGGCAACCTCCGAGACTACTGGGGAAGAGAGCCTCCTCGTAACCTCGATGGAGATTTTGTTGGCTGGGCTCTTGGTCAGCTCTGTGGCCTGGCTAGTGCGATGAAGAAGCTCCATTCAGCAAAGGACTCCGCATGTCGGCACGGGGACCTGAAGCCAGAGAACATCCTTTGCTTCGAAGACACGAGGAGCTCTGACCCGTTTTCTCAGCCATTTCTCGTCATTGCGGATGTTGGTCTGGCCAAAGTTCACACCTTAGCGACTGAGATGCGCAACGAAGCTACGCGCACATTGAACGGGACGGTCATGTACGAGCCACCTGAAGCTGTACTGCTGCTAACTAAGAAACAACCACGATCACGGCGGTATGATGTTTGGTCCATCGGCTGTATCTATTTCGAGTTTCTGATTTGGCTTTTATATGGAAAGGCCGAATTGGTTCGCTTTGGGGATGACATAGCTCATCCAGTAAACAGAACTCGGCAATTCTTCGATGTACTTGGATCTGGAGTGACTGGGGCGGCCAAGATCAAACCCGAAGTTCAGAAGTGGATGGACTGGATCAGAAGGGACCCAAGGTGCCCATTGAATACTGCCATCCGAAAGCTACTGGAGCTCATTTGCACACGATTGCTAGTGATAGAGGTAAGTAAGCCGAGAACAGAGTCATCTGGAAGCGCCAGTACCCAAGGCGGCACCACCCTACATGCGACCAATGGCCCAGATAACCCGAGCATTATTCGATCGGACACCAACAGCAGCTTTAACGGCAATCTCGCCGACGACCTTTATTACCGAGCGACTTCCATCGAAATGCACGAAACTCTGGCTGGCATCCTAAAAGACGCTTCGGGCACAAAGCCAAAGATTGCGTGGATGAATTGGCAGGCCAGATCTCCAGGAGGGCCCGGACGATATGGAGACACCTTGGGTGTTTCTCAATCAGGTATAAGGGGTCGCCACGGCGTTAATTCATGAGGTGAAGAGTAACTTTCCTAGGATCTCTTTCCCCTCCAATAACCAATTCGCTGGTAGACATCAACGCCGACGTGGCGGGTGCAGATGATAGTGGTCATTCCAACGATGTAAAAGTCCCTTATCCTACAGATTGCAATATTGTATACTGACATCGACAGTACGTACGTTTGCCCATAGTGGTATAAGGCTGTCCTATCCTGGCTAATAATTTCCGTGGCGTAGATGGTATGAAATCTGCTTCGTCAACCTTCGAATGTTAATATCAAAAGCTAATATTTTATTTAGTTTGTACGTTAGCAGACATCAACAACATGTGCACTTTGCTAATAGTCACTGATTTAACAGACGGTATGTCTACTCAAGGTCGAAACATTTACCTGACACATTTGATATATGGTGGTCTGATGTTTATGCTGACAATGCACCCACTGTCTAGCCAGTAAGCTTCTTGCGGTCTCAAAAGGAGCTACACGTTCTGATTAGCAATGCTCTTCCAGCTTGACAATGAATGGGAGTGTAGCCCGGATATCAACACAGCATTAGAGCTGTCCAAGGAAGTCGACATCTTTCGCCAACTAACACTTAAAACTAGGATTGCCACCCTTTGTTCTCGATGCAAAGATCTCCAACAGCGGCTCTGGTCCCATCGATTTTCCTTTTCTGATAACCTCGAAGCACTGGCGGACAGGGGGGGAGTTTGTGATCTCTGTCGCCTACTTTGCGTTTCACTTGGACCCATGATGGCCAAGAGCTACGAGGAGATTCAATTTGAAAAGTTCAACAGCTATTTGGCGGCAAGTGTGAGACCCGGACGGCCAGTTGCAGTCTTGTACAGTTTGCCAGGTGAGGACAACACCAGTTCCATTTATTCATCTCATGCTAATTCTGAGTTTCAGAGAAGCCTTTACTTGGTGCACAGTTGGGGATGCCATTGCTTCCGGTTGCCGGCAGTCCAGCGCATATCGCAGTACTATCGACATGGTTGCGGGTCTGCGACGATACGCACGACTGCAGCCCAATATCAGACACCACATTTCTTCCGACGCGAGTTATTGACGTCGGACCTGAGGGCTCTGGATCATGCCGATTGCTTTGCGCAGATCGTGGGCAAACGAATCCAGGGAAATATCTAGCACTATCGCATCGATGGGGGGCCCCGGACCAACATAAGAAATTTTGCACTCTGAAGGAAAATCTGGAGAGCTTCAAAGAGGAAATCAAGATGACGGAACTCCCTCAAACCTTTCAAGATGCCATCAAAGTCACACGAAGCCTCGGTATTGGGTACCTTTGGATTGATTCGCTCTGCATCGTCCAAGATGACCCTCAAGACTGGCAGATGGAATCTCGTCTGATGGAACAGGTTTACAGCTCAGCCTACGCGACTCTAGCAGCTAGCTGCGCAAGCGGTACCGAGGATGGCTTTTTGAAGTCTCGATCATGGAGACATTGTGTTACATTAGAGTCCGGCAGGGGCTCCTACCATGTCTGCGACTCCATCGATGACTTTGGGCGTGATGTTGAACAGGGAGAATTGAACAAGCGGGCTTGGATTCTCCAAGAACGAGCTCTATCCCGTCGCACAATCTATTTCTCTGAAAAGCAGACGTACTGGGAATGTGGAAGGGGTGTAAGGTGTGAAACGATGACGAAAATGAGAAAGTAAGCCTAGCTGGGTCTATTTTCATCTAGTCTGGGCTTGACTGACCTTCGATTTCTCAGCCGGAAAGCCTCGTTCCTGGGAGATTCGGACTTTCCCCACTCCATTGACACCTACGTACGAGGAATGAAGATCGAACTTTATCAAGATCTCTACCAGAAGTACTCGGGGCTGGCACTTAGCTCCATTGGTGACAGGCCAGTCGCCATCCGCGGGCTTGAAACACGCCTCATCCGCACTTTCAAAACTGTCGGTGCTCATGGAGTTTTTGATGCCTTTTTTCATCGATGCCTTCTGTGGCAAAGAGCAGGCCGGTATCTGAGTCGGATCGATTCAGAATTGCTTAGAGGAGTTTATGTTCCATCATGGTCATGGATGGCTTACGACGGTGAGATCAGATACATGAATGTTCCCTTCAACAAGTATTCCTGGGAAGTGGACATCATCTCGCCATTTAGAGCTTGGTCATCTCAGAGCATGAAGGAGAGAGGTGAAGGAGAGACGGTCTGTGAGATCAAGGCGCCTGTGTGGGACTTTCGGGACTCTAATGGCCTTCAGCTGGAGCTCGACACTCCAGATAGGATGCTCTCGAACCTCAAGTGTGTCATTGTGGCGAGAAAGAAAGATCTACAAGGCAACCCTCAACAGTCACACTACATAATAGTTGTGCAATTTGTCGCGATTGACGGGCTCTGCGAGGTGTATGAGAGAGCTGGCATTGCGGAGGTCAGAGGGGAGCAGATTGCGTTCAACAAGGGAAGTCGGAGCGGCATTCTTAGGTGATCTTGGGACATGGAAACAAGGAGCAATATGTCTTCGCTCTTTTGGCACGTAATACATACGATCCCTTAACGTACTGATCCGACTTGACTTAGGCTCTTAGGCTAATGCGTAGCTTCTGCACCTGAAATGTATCACAATACCCTCACACGCATCGCACAGCCTGATAAGAATTGCACCAGAGCCAGAACAACTATTAGTCCAGCCCCTTCAGGTCAATTCACTGCGAAGGATACGCATTCATATGCTCTAGACAAAGCAATCCTATACATAGAAACTTAAGCCGTTTTTTTCATGTCCTTTTTACCATAGTAATAACTTTATAACAGTTTTAAGCCTAGCTTATGCTATACCCTTGAATTATTCCATTCATTTACATAAGCCCTCGCTTGTTCAGGCTCCCGAGCAAATTGGGCGCAATGGTGGGGGATTCGTTAATTATATGTCGTCGTTGAGCTCAGGCACACACTAAAGAAAAAGAAATTGTTATGAAGCATCACCATGTAAGGAGATTCATGAAACAGTCAAGTTCTTGTTGAGAGATATTTGCCTTCATCTACAAAGAGAAAGTCTTAAGCCCCTTAGTGGTACCATCAATGCCATGTTCCGCCTCGTCGCCTCATCAGTGCTCAGCACACCCAAAGCCTCACGGCGTGTGGGTGCATAGGATATAAAGCACAGCTTCTCCGCCAAAGATGTCGCACGCGTCCTTGGCGGGGGTTGTTTCCCTCGTAGTCCCAGATTGCATTGCGGATCGTGATTCTGAAGTAGGACGTTGTGGATTGTATATTTTTATCAATACATCGATTGCCTGTCTAATAGTGCTGAGTTCAGATAGTTCGGTCTCGCTGTCAACAGCTGGGACTTATCCGTTTGCCTGTCTAGCTATTACGATTGATTTACTACATTAAAGTGGCTCATGGTCGCGAAGTGGCGGCATCTGAGCCTGTGAAAGGTCCCTTTCAAACTTTCTGGATGATCACAACACGGCTATCATAATCCCCCTCGAAGGCGTATTGCACTCCGGTGCTCATCAATGTTGCTCCAGAGAAGGTGCCGTTGTTATCCAGCGAGTAGGACGCTGCCGGGTCTAATCCTTGCAAACGAAGTCGCGGCAAGGCGTGGTTGTACAACGCGCGCACCTGGAAGTAGAAGAGCACAGCCTGTGATCCATCCTCAGATATGACCATAGCGGCTGGCCAGTTCGAATCCTCGGGCAGGTTGAGGCGCCACAAGTCACCTCGGATCACAATGGGATTGACCCGCTCACCGAGTGCTATCAAATCAGGGATCTGGACCTTATCCTCGTCAGAAATCTTTGCGGGGTTCAGTTCCAGACCGAAAGATCCGCCCATCATCGCGACGTGTGCGCGAAACTTTATGGGAATCGTGCGTCCGGTGAGATGGTTGGGCACCGCCGAAACGTGGGCTCCCATGGCAGAGAGCGGGTACGCGAGGGACGTGCCAAATTGGATGGAGATGCGGTCCAGAGCGTCGGTGTTGTCGGATGTCCAAACCTGGGGAAAGTAGTGAAGGATGCCAGGGTCGAAACGGCCGCCGCCGGATGCACAACCCTCCCAGAGGACGTTTGGGAATCGAGATGTAAGGACCTCGAAGACATGGTATATGCCCAGCATGTAGGAGTGACCGATGCCTGGAACGGGGGTTTCGTGGAAGCCTCTGTTGTTGTCCCACTTCACGTATGAAATAGGGGCGCTTGAAAGAATTTTTGAGACTGACTCTATAATAAATTCCTGGACCTCTGGCAGCGCCACGTTAAGCACGAGCTGGTTCCGTCTAATTGTTCGGGGATAGTTGCCAGCATGGAGAGCCCAGTCGGGATGCTCGTTGTAAAGAGTTGAATTAGGATTGACCATCTCAGGCTCGAACCAGAGTCCGAAAAGTAGATCATCTGACGAGTTCGTGACCCGAAGGTCAGTAACCTTATTGACGAGAGCGGGTAGGCCATCCGGGAAGCGGTTCGGGTTGACCTCCCAGTCGCCAAGACCACCAGTGTCGTTCAGCCGGGGATATTGTTCGCCAAACCATCCGTCATCCAGGACGAAGAGCTTGACACCGAGTTTCGCCGCTTCCTGAGCGAGATTGTAGACAGTACTCTCGTTGTAATCAAAGTAGAGCCCCTCCCAGCTGTTAAGCAGTGCTGGACGAGACTGGGCAACGTATTTGCCCCTCATAAGATGGTTCCGATAGAGACGGTGAAACTTTCGTGACAAGCCACCGACTCCGGTTTGCGAGTACACGGCCACCACTTCCGGAGTCGTAAGAGACTGTCCCGGTCCAAGAGGCCAGGAAAGCTGATACGGGTTGAAGCCAAGCATGGCACGGGTGAAGCCTTGGGATCCTTTCTCGACCTCGACGGAGAAGGAGCCAGTATAAACGAGAGAAAATCCCCACGCCTCGCCCTGGGACTCAGTGGTCTCTGGAGACACGAGCGCCAGGAATGGATTATGGAGATGGGACGAGTATCCAGTTGTGCTCCCAAAACTGAGTTAAAACCAAGTCAATAAGATACCCTCCAAGACGGCTTTGTTTCGTTTTGTACTCACCCTTGTGTCCCATAGTCGACCTTCCGTCGAAGTCTCATAGCCTCTCGGGCCCAATCTCCTCTCAACTCGATCATCTCCATATCCCCAAATGGCAAATCAACACTGAGGCTTGCGGCTTTGTCAATGGTGATGTTGCCCTGGCCTTGATTGGTGATGTTGACGCTCCTTACGATGGCGTCATATTTGGGGAAGATGGAGTATGAAAGGTCGACGGCTATGGAGCTATAGTTGTCGTAAAGGGAGACGACGAGGGTAGAGACTTCATCCTCAGTGCCAAAGGTTGAGGGCAGACCCGGCAAGCCAGGCTTTCCTTGCGCGACTCTGTGAGATCGATATTGGAGATCACTGACGGTGTAACCCTCAGACTGGCGAATTTGCAATGCGGGGATGCGGAAATCCCCACGGCCAAGGTCGGGATACTCCCGTCTAACTCGACCGATCATATCAACCCAGCCGTTGATCTCCGGAGACAGCATCGCCATGCTCTCTGTCGCCGAGCCTCCAAAGTGGTCCGAATAAAGATCACCCGTCATTTCATCTACATGAAAGCGGTAGGAAGAGTGGTCGCCATTGAGGGCAAAGGATTTGCCATCTACGACAATGCCTGTATGATGTTAGTCTTGTATATCTCGAATCGGCATTGTGTATTCCCACCCTTTGCAGACGAGACACTTTGGGCTGATATGGGACCGGTGAAAAGCGAAGCGGAAGCCGCAATGGCAAAACGCATCAACCAAGAGTTTCCTGCCATTTTGTGTGAGGTTGGACCGCCAGCCAAGATGGGACTAAGTTGAGCTTGTTTGTCTGCGAGGTCACGATGATCTCAGAAGCCTGAATCAGGCATCCGATTTGAACTGCTGAAGAGCAAGTATTTATATCATCTACCAATTTCGCATGGGCACTTCCGGATTCCCTAAGCTTGTTATGATGTGTTAGTTCACCCTGTTGGCCATGAAAGGCTCGTCAAAATTGTCGGCAGTTCCCCTCAGCGATCAGCAAGAGAGTTCCACCTCCAGTCTATCGCCCGTGCGCCCTGAGGAGAGAGTTTACCCCACAGGTTGGGTTCTCTGCGAGTTTTCCAGTTTTCCGCTAGTATCCCGCCGCGCCTCCCCAGCTTCTCCGCAGTGCGTCAATGACTGGATGCAACGTTCTACCGGGTAGTGACATTGATCAAGCTTCTTTTGGCACCGCACATGATCCTGTTCTTCCGGCTACGGCCTGAAAAATGGTGGATGAGGGGTAGCTCGGTCTTGGCATGGAGCTAGTTGAGAACAGCATGGAACGATTTCTGCGGAGTACACTTTGTTTCATTGGCGGTGTTATGCTTAATTTACCGTCTTGTGTCGATTATGATGAGCACGTACCTTGTTTATTGGCCCGTATTCCAACATGAGCTCAACCTTTTCATGGCGGTCCACACAGCGGATTTCGTGAGGAGAACACACTCATTAGAGCCTGCGGGTTCCACCCCCCATAAAGTTCAACCATTGTGTAATGACGTGCTTCACGCAGCAAGATGGAGCACTGTCCTTGTGGTTGTTTGGGGAAACCCATCATTTGGGGGTGTAAGAACCGTCGCTGCCGTTCATGTAGAACTCTGAATTATGAGGCAATCTATATATGTCAATGCCACGGAGAAGAACATCCGCGCTGTGGCATATTTCCAACTTCAACGTCCCTCTACGAGATTTTCCCAGCCAAAGCACTCACCAACTCGGGAGCTTCTCCGCAGCGTAGCCGCTGCAACCCTGAATTTATCTCGTTGAGCGAGAACTCCTCAGATGCCCCAGTGCACCTACAGGCCCCAAATAGGATCCGCCATTCTATGCATTGGCTACAAGATTACATCCAGGTCCCCCAGTCAGCTGCCATAACACTACAACACTCGAGATACACTGATACATGTTATAGCAACGTAATAATCAGAAGCGAAACAGACAAACGCTAGTTGAAAGACCCACGGCATCAGCATACTAATACACTCCCCATACCTTCGATATGAGACCTAAGGTAACCTGCTGAGCAACATTAGGTCATCGCCTCTAGAGAGAGAGGGAGAGACCAAGGACAGTTCATCGAATCCGAAAGGTAACAAACACATAGTTACCGCTTTCTTTCGATATCGATCGAGTTTTAGAGGCCGAAATTCCAGTATGTAACACTGCTGTGCGGTTCGAAATTCGTTTGCCTTACTAAGTGAAAAGTGCTTTTGGGAATTATGTCTTTGTCAAACGCGATGTGCTTGTCATTGCCAGCACCAGGGAGAATTCGTTGCGACTTTCTGCAATCTAATATGCAGGTATCATTTTCGAGGGCAATCGAGCTGGAACCTCTTCACAATGTATGGCTATTATCCTAGGGCGAAATAACATAAATGGGCACGAGGCATATGACGAGATTCTTATGTGCTTTCATCTGAAACAAGGTACTGCGAAACAGGCGCTGGGGTTGAGAGGCTTGGTATTTGACGCGGGGGGTTTTGTGTGACGTTGAAGCAACAGTACACTAACAAGACCAGCGGGTAGGAGACTGTCATCAATTAGTATTAAATACGTCTCTGATACACAGGTGATGACTGGCTATAACTAATCACCTGTGCATATGTAGAGGAGGAGGAAAGGATGGCTTGGCTGATGCTTAGACGTGGCCGGCTTCATTCGCCGGCCCCTGTCGAGCACTCAGTTCGACGCTTAATGCTTTCTCTTTGGATACAAGTTCTTGTACTGCCAAATTTAAAGCATCGAGTCAGCCTGGGAAGTGAATGCTTACGTAATGGGATGTCTCACAGTAAACACTGTGCGATTACGTAAGATATACTGGCGATTGCACTATCGCTTTCGAACCCCGCCGCGCCGTCTCCCGAGAAAGGTTTGACTCGCCATGGACAAGCAGCTTCCTTATCCGACTAAGCTAGGAGCTCTGATTCGTTGTCGCAGCTATCGTTGTCCCGCTGCAGATGCCCGCATACACACGGCTTACCTATCTTGGTACAGTGCTTCATCTTACTATCCGGTGCGCGTGCCCCTCCTTCGTCTGAAATCCGAACCCCTCCAGAGAACCTGGACGAGTCTTGATGTTGGCCAGAACATCTCCTTTGGCTAGCAGCATCGCACTTTGCTCCACGTCCATATCACGCACTGTAGCATCAAGCCTCGTCGGCCGATTCCCAATCCAACGCCTCCCCACCGCGACATCTAGGCCGCTTGGCAGAACACCACGCGCTCTGCTACCACAGCGCCTTGCGACTCCATTCAGGACGATACCAGCAAGACTCTACTCCACCACTGCTACCAACCTAACCATGTCGCAAGACTACGAAACGGTGCTCAAGGGCAAGTATCCCGCCAAGGAGCATGCACTCCGCGTCGCCGACTACGTCAAGTCCAAGGTCCCCGGCGCTACCGGCATTCTCTATGTCGAGGGTCGCATGACGAAGATGCTCGAGGACAATGACGAGCCTGAGCCCTTCAGGTAATCTTTTGCTCCTCTCGATTGATCCCTCAATTTCCGAGCCCTGGAAGTGAACGTCCACTAACACTGGATGCAAAGACAGCGCCGCTACTTCTACTACCTGACCGGATGCCCCCTCGCCGACTGCCACTACATTTTTGATCTTGCGACGAACAAGTCGACCCTCTTCATCCCCCCGATCGACCCTGATAGCGTCATCTGGTCTGGTCTGCCCGTCAGTGCCGCCGAGGCAAAGGAGCTGTACGACGTCGATGATGTCAAGTACACCAACGATGTCAATGCCGAGCTTGCGCGACTCGGACAGGGCTCCAAGAAAACCGTCTTCGCCATCCCGAACCAAGTCCTCGATAACATTACCTTCCTTGAGTTCGACGAGAAGAACTTCAGCATTTTGAAAGATGCCATTGAGCGTTGTCGCGTAGTTAAGGATGAGTACGAGGTTGCCCTTACCAAGAAGGCCAATGCTGTCTCGACCATTGCCCACCACGCCGTAGTTGAGTACGTCAAGAAGGCCAAGAACGAGAGAGAACTGGAGGCTCTTTTCCTGCAGCACAGCGTTGCCAACGGTGCCAAGAACCAGGCGTACCACGGTATCTTTGCCGGAGGTCGCGCTGCTGCCACTCTCCACTACGTGGCCAACGACGCTCCGCTAGAAGGCAAGCTCAACCTTCTTTTGGATGCTGGCACGGAATGGAACTGCTATGCTTCTGATATCGTGAGTGAGCTCTGGCTTGGCCCCGACGAGAACCATACTAACCAGTAGCAGACCCGGACGTTCCCTATTTCTGGCAAGTTCAGCAAGGAATCTCGCCAGATCTATGATATTGTGTACAAGATGCAGCTGGATACGACCGCTGCCTTGAAGGAGGGCGTCGTTTGGGATGACATCCACCTGCTGGCCCACAAGATCGCCATCGATGGCCTCCACTCCATTGGGATTCTCAAAGGCGACAAGGACGAGATCCTCAAGAGCAGAACGAGCGTCGCCTTCTTCCCCCACGGCCTGGGCCACTACCTTGGCATGGACACCCACGACGTGGGCGGCAACGCCAACTACGCCGATACTGACCCCATGTTCCGCTATCTGCGCGTGAGGGGCACGCTTCCCGCCGGTAGCATTGTTACTGTAGAGCCGGGTATCTACTTCTGCAGCTTCATCATTGAGCCGTACCTCAAGGACCCCGTCCACTCCAAGTTTATCGACAGTGCTGTTCTGGACAAGTATTGGGACGTCGGCGGTGTGAGGTATGTCCACTCACTCGCAATGTGTAATATCGTGTGATGTACTGACGAGAGCAGAATCGAGGACAACATTCTGATTACAAAGGATGGCAGCGAAAACCTGACGCCCACCATCAAGGACCCCGACGAATTGGAGAAGATTATCCAGGCAAGCTGAAGGACATCGTAATTGATGCAAGTGTAGAAAGCAAGACCGGATAATGATTCCGCCAACAATGGAGGCAGCCGTAACGCCTCGGTTTAGCAATGCTGATGGCTACGCCGGAATGGTAGTCGCTCGTCCACAGGTTTTCATGACTTTTCGACCAGGGCCATGAGATTGAACCCAATATTGTCTCCTCCTTGCGCGACGAATTGCCGAACAAGTTCCAATGACTTGGCTCCTAGATCCACCTTTTCCTCCTCGTCTGGGACGCCTCTGTCAACCGGCCCTTTCCTGTCGCCGTCCAGCTCGTAGAGATGACCTGTGTCCGGTGACTTAACAAAGCAAATGTAATGAAAGTCCACGTCATCCTCGGCGCTCTGAGGCGCGGCCGTGTCGCCCTTGGTCGCGATTGATGCATAGGCATCTTCAAGCTCTTGGGAACCTTCCAACACCATTGCCGCCTGCGCGGGATCCATGGGTGCTGTGATGGACAACAAGCTGTCTAGTAATGATCCCGGTCCTGTGTTATCGTGTTAGGATCGTTTGCGGCCCCGAGTTGGAAGATCACTCACTGAGAAAGTCCTTGGCTCGGCCGTTTGCCAGGGCATGCAGGACGGCATATAAGCCACACGCGTTGTTGATCGTCTGCTTGAACCATACGGCATCCTCGTCCTCCTCGTCGTGCTCCACCATCCAGTCCTTCGCACCCGCCTCCTCGGTCGTCAATCGCGCCTCATAAGTGGGCGTCGTGGGGAAAACGAGGACGAGGGCGAGGATCTTTTGCGGCAGCGCAGCGGGATCGTCTAGTGTAAAGATGTCCTCGAACTGCAGGGACGGCGAGGCGCCGAGGAGGGCGATGAACTCGTTGAAGACATCGGGATTAGACTCGAGGGGGATAAAGGCTTTGTTGTAGGTCTGCGGCATTGTGAGGATTGAAGCCGGGTTGGGGCAGCTGTGGACTGTGATGAGAATGTAGACGACGACGGTGAACAAAAGCTTTGAAAACATGAATTGGGAGTGAAAAGTAGAATGTTTCGTCTTGTCGCTCGCCCAGACGGTGAGAGGTTGAGGAGCTTGTCAAGTATGCAGCAAATGCTGTACCCCAGAGCGGGGCAGTGACGAGAGAGGCAATCATAAGCAGGTACAGGTGACAAAGCTGGCGGTGGCTGCTTACTGAGCGCTGTGATCGCTGACCTTGCCCCATCCACTTCTCATTTGTCATGTCGAGATCCCCGAAACAATTTGGCACTGTCCGTGACGACGAAGCAATAAATTTATGATCTTCTTTTCTTAGTAGAACAATCGAGCCGTCGCTTGTTTTGACGTATTTGTCGTGTTTTGACGCGGAAGTGAGCTTATCATTAACTTGGGCGTGTGAAGCGCTGAGGTTCATGATCCCTCATTGGCCTCTCGTTGAACCGAGTTTGGAGGGGGAATCGCCTACCGCAGTCAAGAGGCAACCTCAGCATCGACGACAGGATCTCGACCAAGAGTTGAAGCTAAATGGCGATTGGAAGAGTTGTGGACAGTCTGCTCGAAGGTACAAACATCAATGGACAAGAAGGCGAAGTACAATGGGAGCCATGTCCCGCTCCATACCTTCTGAGATGTCGATGACGCAGTGCTCATTTGAACACAGTCGATATTCCGCTGCCGGCGGTCCTGACGACCAACTTGCAAGATATCTACAAATGAGACACAGAAATGGGACTAGCTATGTAGTTAGGCAAGACCCTAGGCCTCAGACATCCTGGGATCTGATCAAGAACCCACTGTATCCTGCCACCACTATAATCTTGGTGATCTACCCTGGCGGCCAAGCTTTTATAGTCCCGTTTAACCCTAGGAAGCTCTCGGTACGGAATGAAACGCGACCACAGAAGGGCATCACGGCTCTTTTCCTGTAGACCTCCAAATTGTGTCTCTATTAGGAAAATAAAACTGGATCCAAAGCAGCACGTAAAGCCCCGCGGCAGGCAAAGCCATAAAACCCGTAGCCCGTCTTCCGGATCCATGGCCGGCGGCCGCCGTCGGCTCGGAGCGGCACTCCAAAAAGAAGATCCCCACATGGCTCCAACGGAACCGATAAGATAGCGCTGGAAGATGGAGGGGTTGTGAGGGGTTCCAGCGGTCATCCTCCCCGCCATGAGACGAATCAACCACCCTCGTCCCATGCTGTGAGCACATTTACGTGCACGCTATCTAACAGTACCAGCCGGCCTTGACTAGTTCGATGAGCGCACGAAAGGTTCATGTGGGGGAAAGCCTCCGGCCGTGAGGGGGCATGAGGGGCCGGAGGGCCGCCGTCGAGAATCTGCTTCTCGCCGGCTGGGCGTCTCAAATTCGACTTGTTCGCGCACTCTCCCCTCGCTTGGGTTCTCGTTCTTCTTCACCTTCACAACTGTCGCATATGCTTTCGGCTGTGCCCGTCGCATGATCTACCCGTCGCGAACCTCCTCAGCCCGCGAACTCGTCAGGAACCACCCGCCATGGCGCGCTTCCGCGTCCCCTTCGCCTCCCTCCCCATCCCAGAACGCCTCCGTGTGCTCCCCGCGCCCACGATCCGCATCATCGCCCTCCTCGTCACCATAAACGTCCTCATCTGGATCGTCGCCGGCATCATCCTGCACTTCCACCCCGCCCTCATCTCCCCCGCCGCCCTCTCCTTCGTCCTCGGCCTCCGCCATGCCCTCGACGCCGACCACATCTCCGCCATCGACCTCATGACCCGGCGCCTCATCGCGTCGGGCCAGCGCCCCGTCACCGTCGGCACCTTCTTTTCGCTGGGCCACAGCACCATTGTCATCGTCACCTGCGTCGTCGTCGCCGCGACCAGCGGCGCGCTGAGGGACCGCTTCGACGGCTTCACGCGCGTCGGGAACATCGTGGGCACGAGTGTCAGCGCGGCGTTCTTGTTGTTGCTGTGTGCTGGAAACGGGTGGGTGCTGTACAAGCTTGTCAGGAGGCTGCGGGTCGTGCTGGAGGAGGAGCGGAGGAAGGGACTGGAGGGGTACGAGCCGACGGAGGAGGAGGGGGATGCGGCGACGAACCTGAAGCTGGAGGGCGAGGGGTTCCTGGCCGGCGTGTTCAGGAAGGTGTTTCGCGTCGTGGACCGGCCGTGGAAGATGTTTCCCCTGGGGATCTTGTTCGGGCTGGGCTTTGACACGAGCTCCGAGATTGCCATTCTCGGGCTGTCGAGTGTGCATGGTGCGCAGGGGACGAGCATCTGGCTCATCCTTATCTTTCCCGTTCTCTTCACAGGTGAGTCCCCTTGTTCACGTCGCAAAGGGGGCGAGAAAGACTGACTGACATGCCCAGCCGGCATGTGCCTCCTCGACACCACCGACGGCGCCCTCATGATGGCCCTTTATACATCCAAGGCCTTTTCGCGCGACCGCGTCGCCATCCTCTACTATTCCATCGTCCTCACGGGCATCACCGTCTTTGTTTCAGCATTTATCGGCATCATTCAAGTCCTGTCCCTCATTGCCAACGTCGCCGAGCCCGAAGGCAGCTTCTGGGACGGTGTGGACGCCATTGGGGAGCACTTTGACATCATCGGCGGCAGTATCTGCGGACTCTTTGTCGTTGTCGGGCTGGGATCGGTCCTGGTGTACCGTCCGTGGCGCAAGCGAGTGGAGAAGAAGAATCAGGAGAGGGCGGTGCTGGTGCCCCAAGAGGAGCAGGGCTTGGGAGCGGGCGAGGGGCCTAGTTACGGTGCTGTTGTGGCCGGGAATCCCGTATTGAAAAAGGGGGCCGTTACGAGCGAGACAGACGTACAGGAATAGAGTAAATAACATTTGGGAATGAGATGGAAACAAGAGGCTAGAGTACGAAAGCATACACAAGGATGCATACAGCATGGTCAGGCGGAAAATATGGAAAAGTGGGTTATCATTGTACTTGATATTCAGCTCCATGGATTCCCAGCCATGTTGAAGGAGTCTCTGGCCGTCTCCCTCACAAGGCCTTCTCTTTCTACATCAATTAACCAAACAAACAGGCCAGCTGCCTCATGCCGCCGAACCACTCTTATGTATCTCCACAGCCGCCATGTCCCCAAACTGCAACTGCCGGCTGAGCCCCGGTTTCTGCAGATCAGCCTCCCTCTTCGCCTCGTAATAAATTTCCAAAAGCGTCTTCTTTTTCGTTGGTACACCCTGTTCACTCTGAACAGGTGAGTCCTGTCTATAAAATGACGCTGAAGAACCATTGCTCTGCTCGTCCTTTTTAATAGCTTGCGACCAAGTATTGCCATACTTCTCTCCTAGTTCCTGGAACAACCCGTGCTGCAGCTTAACGTCCCCCGAGAGAGATTTCCCAGCTAGTCTGGTAGGAGCCGAAAACGGCCGGCTCTTTTGCTGGCGAAGCTCTACCTGCCAGGGCTCTGGATCCGACTGAGAATGTCCAAGTTTTTCTAGTAGTGTTGGCTGTTTCTCTACTTCCTGCTCCTTCGCGAAGTCGGCGAGCACGCTGTCTCGGAAGGAAGTGGTCGATGCCTTGTGACGTTGCCTCCAGTTGCCATGAAGGTTACGACGCTGTGGGGGGTTCGTTGCTGGACTAGAGGCAGTGTCCCTCCAGGCGGGCGACTGTGCTGAAACCCTTTCTGCGTTTTTTGCATCGTGAGATGCTGCAACGGTGTTTTGAGAGAGAGCTGCCGGGACGTCATGAGGCTGGCCCTTTTCGCTGGAGTTGAGAAGTAGGTTCGCAAAGGGGCTGCTCCGTGTCGCATGGTTGACGTCGGCGTATGCGTCTCTGTTGAATGTGTCGTTGGAAAATACGCCGCTCAACTGTGGTCCGTTCGTGGGAGTGTTGTGATCGGGTCTGGCATTATGATATGTGCCGTTTGATACGGAGCCGGCAGCGTGTGGGTTATCACCGCATGGACCAGGACAAGATTCAGCTCTCAACCGATGGATACGTAAGGTGACCAATCTTGTGTTGTCAAGGTCAATCTCGTTCGCATCGGTGTTGTTTACTTGCCATGTACCATCATAGGTGCCATGGCCGTCTCCGCTGCTAAAGTCGCAGTCATCCGCTAGATTGAGAGTCGCCCAACAAACATGTGCATGAGAGTTGCTGTCATTTTCGTCATCGAAGCCGCCACCATTTGCGTCAGTAGTGTGAGTACCGGTAGCATTACTTTGAGAGAAATTGTAAGCAAAGTAGGTGGCGTTGGCGTAGTCTATCGATTGTTCCTGTTGCCTCTCGATACGAGCGGCGCATACACTCTTCATCTTGTTAGATAGTTGCATCCGTGCGATGTCCATATCTTGCTATATAAAGCGCGAACTCAAGTAGAATAAGGATCTGACGAGTGCACCAAGCAGTTGTGTTCGTGTTGTCACGCCATCGGACTGGTATTGATATTCGAACAAGTGTATGCATCTCCGATACCAAAGTGACGAAGTTTGGTTTGGGTGTGTTTGAGCCATGATCGTGACCACAGTGCAGCCAGCGGTTGATGAGAGATTGAGAAAGTGACTCAAACTATAACTCAAGTTCGACGGTTCACCAAATACGGCTGAGCCAACTTTTTGGACAGTCAATCCACTCCCCAATCTTTGATTCCATCTTTTAGTCTTCATTCAACTTGATAGGCACCAACCCGCACACAGATGGAGTTCCATGGCACTATGAGAATGAGATTTGCGGAGATGGAACTCTAATCAGGAGTCGCCGAAGCTCTGAGTACCCTCACATACATCAGTCCTGATAATCTCCAATTGCGCCAGAATCTTGGATGAAAGAAATTCCACGGATCGGAGACTAGGTAATTTCGACTTGTGCCCTGATGAACCACCGCATCTAAACTTAATCAAGGTCTTGTATGAAAACAGTGGCAGGTATACAACGACAAACGTACGGCTGATATAATCGTTCGGCCCGCGTTGGCTATGCGCTGGTAGGCTTCTGGAGATGAATAACCACTCCCGGGATTTAGGCCAGTCGTAAACAGGTCTATCCGCTCAGCTGGAGATCTTACAGAAGATTTTAGTGTTCCCCAATTGGATGGAGAACACTTGTTACTGCATGCTACCCGATAGTTGCGCCATGATTGGTGTGTGGCCTCTTCTTTTCACGTAGGCATGTGCAAACAGTCCCGTCGCAACTAATCCATGTGGAGAGCCTCCAGTCGCCAACCAGCGCGGAGCGAAGTGGCGCCACAGCCGCAAATGCAAATGATTGACTTAATCGGCACCAGAGCTTGGGGTCCTTGCATTTGATATCCATATTTGTTTTGCCGATGGGGCATTCTACAACGGGCATGAAACTCAGGGATAGCATTTCCCATAAGCTGCACCCGACCACTTAGTCCTACGTATGAGCTTCACCACGTTCTAGTCTTATGGGGCCCCTAACGCTGCAAAGTGGGGGTTCGCGGAAAGGGAGAAATGCACAAACAAGACGGAATGAAAGATGAATGGACGCAGGTCCGAGACAGAAGTGCTGCAGAACGCTCGCTTCGATAGAGAGAGAGGAAGACGGCAAGAGACGGGGAGATTGCGGGACCGGAGGGAGCGGTGAGGTCGGTGAGGCAACGGACAGAATCCGACAGGGGAGCTCGGTCCAGGCCTTGGCCCAAAACGGCCAAGCATAGCTAGTCCGTCCGAGAGACGGTGTCTTGGGTATGTATTTCTGTAGGCAAGTTCGGGGCATGGAGTACGCGATCGCCGTTAGTAATGCCCAGTGGTGCCTTGGGTCCTCAACGTTCTCGGATGGGCTGTTCCGTCAATCGGGCTGGGCGTCGTCGCCACTGGCGTGTTTCTGGTGGTTTGGACGATCAGGGTCCATCCACACCGGCCCAAAATGGTCAACCGAAATGCAGAGAAGTGCAGTAGATCACGCGTCTCTTTTTCCTGCCTTCCGTTTTCCCGTGGTGACTGACAGGAATCAATCTGGGTCCTCAGTAGTCTCATCTGATACCCATCCTCGACGTACCGTCTCTCAAAGCTTGGGTACCTGTACATAGTCGGGGCATTGCTTTCTCCGTTGTATTGTACCTACTGCACAATGAAAATCTGTCCGTGATTTGATTTGTAGCACCCGTAGGTCGCAAGCCGCACTGCTGGAAGCAGAGGGTGTCGGGTATCGCGTCCATTGCGAGTGCAGGCGTGTCGTTGAGCGCCGGCAATCAAAGACCCTTCCGAGTGGCGGGCCTAGCCTGCGAGTTCCAGAGTTCGATGGCCTGAGCTTGTCCACGTTGCTGGACAATGCAACCACGATATGCAGTGCACCGCTCTGGGCCGTGACTGGTGAGACAGCGCGGCGGGAAGGGGACAGAAACCAGTTTCCTGCTCAGTTTTTCATGCACCATCTGCTTTTGGCGGGCAGACTCGCACACGAACCTGTGTCAAGTCTGTCAGATAAGGCGAGCAACTATCCTGAGGCTGAGAATAGTCGCTGTACCCTGCAAGGTAGGCGGAGGGGCGGGCGACGACTCGGCAGCCCAGACGACGCAGTGCAGTACAGTGCTGCAATGCACGGGACTGTGAATGCTGACGCTTGAGTCGTCTGGACATCAGTCCAAGTGACATTGAGTGATTGACAAACCCAGGTGAGAGTGGACCGGTACACATTGAAGGATCCAGTAAACAAGAGGCTGTGAATCAGTGGAGGAACATGCCATTGCCACCTCCTGCATCGTGCATTTGCATCGTGTTCAGGCGTGCAGCGGCAGCCCATGCCGTTCTTTTGAACTCGTACAAGAGGCTGGAAGGCATTGGGCGATTGGCAGTCATGCCATCCCCGGATTCCTCTATCGATCCCCGTTGTGCTTGGAGGCATGCACCAACCGCAGCCCAGGCGGATAACCCACCGCCAACATCCGCTAATAGCACATTGGGCCTAGGACGATTGTGGTAGGCAGAGACGCTGACCGGGGAGGCTGAGGCAGCGAGGGTTTCTTGGGTTATCGTGCGCCGTGTTGATCTATCCTGCAGTCTCGGGGTAGCGAAGGGATCGTCGGGGTCCAACTGATGGACAGGCCAATAAAGACGTTGGGTGCTTAGAGCAGTACGAGGGCCAAAGCAGGTAAGCATCGCCATGGGCGCCCCGGACCCGAAATGGAAAAAGCAACAGGTGGAGGTGGTTGATTGCGTGATGTTTTAGTCTAGTGCAGAGCTGCAGCAGGCGTTAGCTCGTCTGTCCGATACAACCACGTCAAGTTGGATGTACTGTACTGCGGCGGAGGCAGCAAACCGCCGAGACGCATGTATGGCGTTAGGAACGTTTGGGGCTGAGCCTCATTTCAATCCATCGCGAGTTTGCCAGAGGCAGCCAGCTTCGGGGGATTCGTTTGTTCTCTAGCTCTGCTGACGGGGTGGCCGCCAACGTGACCGGACCAAGTGACACAGCTGCCTAGGCCGTCTTATCGGAAGTCAACTGCGCAAGCCAATGGATTTGCAGATGTAGCCTGACACTGGAAATCAACTGTCGAGGCAGTCGTGAGGCGACTGGTCTCGTGAATTCTCGTGTATTCCGCTGCGGCGGGGAATGCCCTCACGGCTTCCATCAACTAGCTGACCTCAGGTAGGTTGTAGAGACCCCGGATGTGAAGCAAGGCAAGGTAGTCAGTCGTACCCGGGTCCGGGCCCGGGCCCGCGTTCCCCCATCGGCAAAGGCGGCTGGCGTGGTATCGGCGGTGGACCATGTTGCCATTGCCACGGGTGTGTAGAATGGATCTATACGTGCTCTTGCCGTCCAATGTCAGTCGGGGCGCACGGCATGTATCTGGAGTAAAGCCAGTGGCGTCTCGTGACAGCGAGGGATGTGTGTTCTGAGCCAGTCTTCATCTGGGCAGTCGATATCTTCGGAATGTGTGTTGGGGGGGTGGATATCAGAACAAAGGATGGAAGATGGAGGGTTGCTCGATGTACGAGATGGCAAATGCTCGGAGGAAGGCCGGAGAGAGAAGGAGGGAAGGAGAGAAAATGCAGAAAAAGGTACCAAAAGATACAAAAGCCCAAGGTTCGCGCCTCCCAATTCGAGTGACTCGTCTCCTTTTTCGGATGGGATAAGGATTCCTTAGCCGCCTCCTTTGGCTTCTCACCTGGCGGGCGGCATTCCTTATCAGCAACGGGAGCGCTGACACCCCCTCCGTTCTCAGAGCCAATTGAACCAATCATGTCCGCGGCAAGTGCTGTCTGGACCCTGAAGGCCACCCACTAAAAAGTCCTTATCGGTGGTCTGGAAGTTGACGTTAGCGCCTCTGGGTGCATGATACCACGGGGGAGCCCAGATGTACAAAGTATCCCCAGGACCTGCCCATGTACCTCGTACCCATGTACCCTTCCTCCCCACACAAGCTGTATCGGTACCTCCACAATGCTTTTCTCCGGGGGCAGGTCTCGCAACCTCCGAATCTTGTCCAGAAACCAGCCGTGCGGCGCCTTGCTCGCTTTGTCCAACCCAAGACATCCACCCATCTTCTTCTCTGCCTATTTTCCATTTTCCGCCCGTCAGACCGAACGAGACCCTGACTTCCGCCCCAAGAGCCACTTTCTGGACCCTGGAGACCGGCCGGCTTCAACGCCAAGAGAGACACCCTTGACACGCCTCAGGGTCCGCTCCTTGACCTCCTTCGGCTCGCATTGGCAGCCAAGAGGCTTCGTGGACGGGCATGTCGAGTGACTCTGGGGGGACCCGGGGGAACAAGAAGCAGCAGAAGCACGACGGCATTCATGTCTGCCACGACAGGCAAACCGTTATTGTCAGCCGGGGGCCCTGATGCCGCCAACCTCCCCCGGAAACACCAATGGCCACAATGGACGTAACTCCTTGGCTTCCGACTCGACGCCTTTGCCGCCTTGTTGCGGTGAATGGAAAATGTCCGCCCTCCATCTCCCTGTGGTGCGCCATTCACTACGGACCCCGGCCACCCTGGTCTCGACTCATGCTTGTTCCCCGATCGTCCAATCTATCCCGCGAGGCTGTGACTCGCTCGTCGAGGATCCCAGCACTCCGAGGCTTACGCTCCAGCAGGTGAGCCCGTCGGCATTCTGTCCTCCCCTCCATTTTCGGGTGGTCCCCCTTATAACCCCAAACCTCAATCGTTCACGACTCGTGTTCTACTCTTCCTTCAAAAACTACCCTTTACATCCCTTCCTCCTTGTTCCATTCCGCCTGAATCGCCTGTCCGTGCCACCCCGTTAGTCCGCCTCTTTTCGTCCCATCTTGCCGTAACTGACCCGCGTACGACAGTGACTGCAGGACCCTTTCTGCAAGCTGGCAGTTTTAGATAATTACTGTCCATCTCCTGCTGCTCTCTGTCGACCCTTCTTCTCGACCGACGTGACCCATTGAACTCCCCAACCCGCATTTCGAGCTCCCGTACTCTTCCCACCGCCAGCATGCACGGTTACAGCTCCTCAGAAGAGTCCGACGACCCTCGTCGCCCTCGCCCGGTCCCGGCATCGAACAACAACAACGACCAGAAGAAGAAGAAAAAGAAGAAGGCACCTCCTCAGCCGTCCATCAACCATATCTGGAAGAAGTTCCAGAACAAAAAGTTCAACAAGGCGCTAGCCGTGCTTCCTTTCGACCCCGTTCTGCCACCAGCGAGCTCCGACAAACCTAATGAGCTGTTGACCGCCGGATACGATCGAGCTGTTGAAGAATGCCGCCGCAAAGTCAAGAAGATTATCCAGGAATGCCGGAGAGTCAACATGCGATACCGAGACCCTGGCTGGGATTTAGTAAGTGTACCCGCGATAATTAAAAGCTTCATGCTCAGTGAGCTAACTACTTGTTCACAGGATTGGGATCTGAAGTGGGAAAAGGGCCATTGCCTCAACACCCTTGGCCACACAAAGTGGCAGCTCTCTAGATCGACCCTTTCCAACCCGAGCGCCTCGGTGCCCAAGGCGGTCAAGCGTGTTCACGAGATCTTTGAGAAGCCCACTTTCATGAAGAATGTTAACGGCGGTGATGTCAAACAGGGAAGCCTGGGAGACTGCTGGCTGATGGCCACTTTGACTGCTCTCGCTAATGTCGAGGGTGGCATCGAGCGTATTTGTGTCGAGTACGACACACGCATTGGCATTTACGGCTTCGTTTTCTACCGTGATGGTGAATGGATTTACTCCATCATTGATGATAAGCTCTATCTCAAATCCCCTTGTTGGGATTCGCCTAGCATGCAGAGAGATCTGCTCCAGCAGATCGATCGCGAGGATGTAGAGCGAGTTTACCGCAAGACGTATCAGACCGGCTCCAAGGCACTCTTCTTTGCCCAGTGCAAGGATCAGAACGAGACGTGGGTCCCATTGCTCGAGAAGGCCTACGCTAAAGCTCACGGCGATTATGCCTCTCTTGCTGGTGGCTGGATCGGCGAGGGGTTGGAAGACCTCTCGGGCGGTGTCACCACGGAGCTGCTCACCTCTGACATCCTTGACACCGATGGCTTCTGGGAGAATGAGCTCGCCAAGGTTAATGAGGAGTTCCTCTTTGGCTGTTCCACCGGCCTTCTAGACGGAGGCTACGGCGAAAGAGATGGCATCTCGGAGGGCCACGCATACGTTATCATGGAAGCCAGGACACTCAAGTCGGGAGAGCGCCTTATTAAGCTCCGAAACCCCTGGGGAAAGATTCGCAAAGGCGTGTGGGAGGGCGCCTGGTCCGACGGGTCCAAGGAATGGACCATGGAAGTCCAGGAGGAGCTCGGCCACCACTTCGGCAACGACTCCGTTTTCTGGATCAACTACGATGATTTCCTCCGCAAGTATCAGCACATCGACCGAACCAGGCTGTTTCGAGACCACGCCTGGCGATGCGCCCAGCGCTGGATCGGCGTTGAAGTGCCCTGGAAGTCGCAGTTCAATGAAAAGTTCCAGATTAAGCTGTCCAAGGACGGGCCACTTTGTCTGGTTCTTTCTCAGCTTGACACCAGATACTTCAAGGGGCTCCAAGGTCAATATGTTTACCGCATCCACTTCCGCATTCATGAGCGTGGCCGCCCTGGTGCCGAGGACTACATCGTTCGCTCCCACGGAAACTACCTCATGGATCGATCCGTCTCCATTGAACTGCCCGACATGCCCGCTGGAGAGTACAGCATCTTCATGAGCGTAACCGGCGAGAGGGACACCAGCTTGCCCTCTGTTGAAGACGTCGTCAAGCGTGAATGCCGAAAGCGAGTTGAAAATGACAAGCTGGTCCAAGTCGGCTCTGCATACGACCTAGCTCACAGCAAGGGCACTGCGCACCTCGAAGAGGTTGCTCGCTTACGCAAAGTCAAGGACCAGCAGCGAGCGTCAGAGTCGCGTCAAAAGGAGCGTCGCAAGCTCTGGGAGAGGCGTCATCTGAACCGCGAGATCACCAAGAAGCAAACCAAGAAGAACAACGAGAAGCGGGATCGCCGAAAGGCCAAGGCAGAGGAAGAGGCCAAGAAGAAGGCCGAAGAGCAAGCCAAGATAGCCGCAGAAGCCACGAAGAAGGAGGAAGAGGAGATCAAGAAGATGGAGGCAGAGAAACCCAAGGATCAAGCCGTCCAGACCGATGCTGTCAAGGCAGAGCTCAAGGAGGGCACGCCTGACCAGACTGAGACTGCCTCCTCGGAACAAAGTGAACAGTCAAGCGAGGGGGCAAAAGATAAGCCCGCCTCCGACGACAAGCCCAAGGACGTCGCTGAGGACGATTCCAAGGCCGAGTCCAAGATCGAGTCCAAGGCCGAGTCCAAGGATGAGCCTACGAAGGATGAGGCAAGCCAGAAGCCCGTGGCCAAGCCTGCACCAGCTCCACCACCAGCCCAGAAGGCCTACGACTCGGATGGGGATTCGTCAGACTCGCCAATCGAAGACTGGGAGGAGCTGTACAGCGACGACGACATGGTCAGAAAGCCACGCCTTGCTCCTGCAGGACCGCCCAAGACCCGCGAGGAACGTTACGAGTCCGAAGAGGAGGGGCTGCCCGATCCTTGGAACGCCATCTGCATTGTCGGTGTTCGCGTCTACTCCATGGATGAGGACCTCGAGGTCCGTGTTGTCATGGAAGGTGGCGAGCTCCTCGAGGGTGGTATGGGCAAGAAGGGCGAGGCTGACCTTGACAATGCCCAGGTCAACGCTGGCGGAGAGCGTGAGAAAGTAGAGGCCGACACCATGGTTGAAGACACCAAGGCCGAGTTTTCAAAGGTGCAAGACAAGGCTACGCCTGATGCCGTCGCCGAAGCTCAGAAGGACGTGAAGGACTGCGATAAGAGGGAAATTGAAGATGCGACAAAGGAGGTTAACGAAGACTCCAAGTCGGAAGGGAGCGTCGATTCAGAAAGAAGCTCCAACACAGACAAGACCGTCGACTCCTCCGAGTACGATAAGATGGACTCGGGAGCCTCCACACCGGAGGTGATTGCCACACCCGAGCCGACACCATTAGAATCAAACAGAGAGCTCTGCTAGAGGCATCTAGAGCAAACAAACTGACGATGTACATGACAGTAAATGGTAGAGTAGAGACTGCGCAGACCGAGATTTCATAAGGATTTGAGGCGTTGTGAGCTTGGAGTGTCCACTCCAAGCTTGCGGATTGGCGAGTTGTATGCAAGCTTTTAGATCGCGAGTGAGGTTTGCGAGCGAGACTAGACCTTGCCTTTGAGAAGATCGGGAGTTGGGAGTCAGTTATTGTATTGCACGATCGGGTTTCCATCCATGTCCACTCTGTTCTTAGTTTAGTACATGGGCAGGCAGGCCACGCTCATGATGTCTTGAGTGTCGTTCGCGTCTCAGCGTAATAGTCGTTTATCCACTATATTTATATGAAGTCTTTCGTCAACCTGAGGTTGGTATATTCACAGCAACTGGTTACATATCTTTCGCAATGGAGTTGACGGCAAGAAATCCGTGCGTCATCGCAGGGGCCAGAATCGATCCAGCCCTCAGGTACGTCCGCCCCATGATGCCTGTATCCTCGCAAACAGCTGCGTGCCGAGCAAGTACCTGTTCCGATGGCTGGCATCCATAACCAACCAAGTGGGTATCAACTCGACGAACTTGTTTTGCTCATAATGGACCTGGACCGCGTCCGTGTACGGTGCTGCCTTGTTGTTGAACCGTTTCCCCTTGGCATCGACGATGATGTAGTGCGGCCGCGCGCGTTCCACGAGCGCGAGGTAGGGCTTCCTAGTGACGGGGTCGATAATGGTGGGACCCCACCACGCGTCGTCCATTAGCGCCGTCGCGGCGCCAAGCTTTACTCCCGCGAGGACTACGTCGCCTGTGTAATCAGAAATGGGTGCTGATCGATTCTAAGCCAGGGTTTCCGCCCAAGCCCCCCAGCATCACAAGAATGCTGGGGAGAACTCAAGTCGGCGAAGGGCATTGGTCACTTTTTGACCATTGTTCTAGCTTAAGATGAGGCTTGAAGATGATTTCGAGAGACGCCAAGTCTAAGTGACAGAAATGCTTGAGAGTACAGCAAGAGCGGCAAAGTAACAGCTAGCAGACACAAAGTATGGTATCCCTAGTGCAGCGCCCCTAGTGAGATGCCTCGAACCCAAAGGACCATCATCAGAGGCGCACCCAAGAGTGATCCAGACGTCTTGACCATCATGACAATGGAAAATATGTGGGAGTCGGGATCGACCATATCTAACATTTGCTCGTTCCGTTTGGGAGCGATGGAAGGCGATTTGAGCAGCGAGAGTGTAAATACCGGAAGGGCGGAGCCGAGGGCGTAGAGAAACAACGACGGCACCAATACCCAGATCTGCGTGGCCAGGGCTATAGCCAACGCACCAAAGATGGAGACGACCAAACAGATCTTTGCGTAGTACATATTCATGCGGTGGCTTGCCAATTCGGGCGGGATATGACGCGACTTCCTTTGGCTCGAGCGCAGGATTGCAGGAATGATGACCGTAAGCAATGTGAAGTTGACCACAGCTTTGGCAGATAGAAGATACCCTGTTGAAGCAAACGTCCAACCGTACCTCTTTGAGATGTACTGGACCAGCAACTTGGTATCTGAGCTGGCGAGAGACGTGAGGACGAAGCTGATAAGAAGGAGGGTCATGTTGCGTGGGTGACTCGCGATGATGGACCGCAAGACACCGAACCGCTGGACGATTGACCCTAGTAACGATGCGTCGGCATCTCGGGCTTTCAGTACAGGGGACGATAGCAGGGGCCGTGCTTGATCATCCGTATCGCGAGATGTGGAAGAGCGAGACTTGTTTTCCGATGAGTTGTCCATGAGGGATATGGTGGGTGAGGCCAAGAGAAGCAGGGAAATGCCGATCCAAAACGGCAGCCAAAGTAGTAAACTCATGGAGGCTGATGCCAGGGCCGGGCCCATCAAATTGACTACATAGGAGACGGAGCTCATCCAGCCAAAATATGTAGCACTTGACGGCCAGGTCAGTATAAGCACGCTTCAAGGGAAACTAAAGGAGGCTTCGAACCCCTCAGGTCTAACTCACCGCTGGACGTGATCATCAGTCATGCCAGATGCAATCGCGTATGTTATTGAGTTGAAAACGCAGTCGCCGCCCAGTACAGACAGAAAGGGTGATGCCACAATGGCCTTCGTGGGTAAGGTCTGCTCGAAATAACCCACGATGACGGCCCACGCCGACATGACGATGCGGGGGACAAGGTTGACACAGAGGATGGTGCGCCGCCCATAGCGTTCGGCTAGGAAGCCCAAGGGAATGGTCATGACGAAATCTGCAGACAGTCAGTTGCAAAGCGCATGCCGGGCAGTGTGAGTCCTTGCTCACCACCCACAATCCATGCAGTCTCCATGGTTCCCTGTATCCAAGCTAGACCCTGTTGGACGCCGTCAACCTTGCATAGGCGCTCTTCGACGTTGCCATCTCGGTCAACGACTGATGGGTCAGTGACCAAATAGTGCTCACGACAGAGGCGGCGCTCGATGACCCTGCTCAGGGGGAGCTGGTACAGGCTGGCAGCCAGGTTGACGAGGAGCACGAGCGCAAGCAAGGCCCCGATGCCGGCCTTTCGCGGCTTGCGCGAGGAGCTCGACGAGTTCGCAGCAGCATATGGGCTACTTTCGTTCTCCATTTCTGTAGCGGACGGCAAGGTTCCGCGATCGAGTGCGTTCTTGTGGTTTGTGTTTTGGGATTGATAAGAAACCAACCATGTTTTGACGCAATACTTTTCGAGCCGCCGCCACTATCGATGATGACTAATCATCGCATTTGGAGCGCGGTTATCGTGGAGTGAGCTACGAATAGATTTTCCTTCGTTACTGGAATGATGAATTATTGCGGGTTTTAAGACTCCAAAAAAGAAATCAACGTGACTATAATCTAGTTTTGAAGCCTACGAAACGGGTTTTGTAATCTGCACATCGTTTCTGCATATTGCGACTAGGATTTTTTGAGAATCCAAATCTGATGAAATGCCTTTAGTTAAGGTGCCGAACTGCTCAACATCAATGATCATAAAGAAACTAAAGGGAGAAAATGTTGACCGTGGCAGACAAAAACAACTCTCAACTATGATGCAGTTAATTACTTCTAAGCAAGGCTGGAGCCCCTCATCCTTGCTGCCACAGTCGACCTTCACCCTGCCACGTCTAACTCGGCGAATGAATTGAGGACACAGTGATGATCAAACTTCTCGTTTTGACCGTCTATGTAGACGGTCAGGTCTGTGCACGATTGTTGCTCTCGTGCTCTCAACTCTGCAGCAAACAATCTTAGTTGTTGCTTAGGAAGCCCGCCGAATGGGATCACCCTTAGCTCTCGCAAAGAGGTTGGGAATAGGCCCATAAGCTGCGAGCCACCCCCAAAGCCAAAGCTCTGTAGGTCTGTGGTGAGCGACTCAAGCTTTTCGAACGCATATAGGGGTATATCAATTCCGAGTTCCGAGTCCAGATGAAAGTACACCAGAAGGCTCTTCAATGTCTGTTTGTGCTTTGCGATGGCTTTCATCGTCGATCCTAGTTCTCGAGGGCCCGAAAAGTCGTATCTGAGGTGACACAGTTTGTGCATATCCACAGTCAGTGTCTCGAAAATCCTTGGAGTTATCGAACAGCTACTCAAATAGAGGCCTGTGAGGCTTGCTGGTAGCCTATTCTTTTGATTGGTGAACTGAACAGTATCCAGTTGGAGACTTTCTAGATTTGGCGCGCGGTCGATGACGGGCTGAATCTCGTCCATTGTGAGCCTTCCCGGTTGGAAGAGCCTGAGATGTTGAAGATGATCGAAACGAATCAAACCGGGGTTGTCGTCTTCGAGGAGCCAATCAAAAGAACCCCGATATATTCCCCTCTTCGCCATGAAAGATATATCCATGCATCGAGCGTATTGCGCCACAAACATGGCCAGTTCTATGAGAACATCCACGCGCCATGGGAACTCGTGCCAGTCGTTTCGAAGTTGGAGCCCCATCTTTTCGACTAGATTCGAAACGAATGTGATGTCTTGGTCAGTAACAGTCTCGAGGGCTGTTTGATTTGGGCGCTGTTGTGCCTTGATCACAAGCCGTCGCGTACACGCTACACAATGGGGCCGAGATCTCCAGCCCCTGAGAAGTGATAGAAGCTGTGAAAAGCTCGCTCGGGGAATGTAGACAGACTGATAAAGTCGCGCTTCAGCTGATACTCGTAGTTGATGACATGTTCGACAGAGGTTTCTCAGCGCCGTAAGCCCCAAGTTCATACGCTCGCTTACAAACAGTTCCGAACTGTTCTCTGAGAGGAAATTACATGGCTCTGGGTCGGGGCCTGTAAGTTCAGAGAGGATTTGGTCTGTGATCTCGAGGGGAAGCCTGAGCAACGACGCCATCTTTTCAGATGGCGCTTCGACTGACCTCGAGTAGAGGTCGCAATCTTGTTGTCCTGATACGACCGATTGACTTCTAGTCGAGTGGCACGTGGCGCAAATGACTTGTTTATTCGGTCAAGGACAAGACAAGAAGATGATGGAATTCAGCGAGGATGAGCAAAATTTGTCCAATGTTAGGCCGAGGAACTGGGCTTATTTTGAAGGATTTCGCAGCCCCCCCTTGCCAAGACCAGTGTTGTTGGCTGCTCCGGGTTCAGTAAGCGAATAAGTTGCCCGTTTAGTCCCTTGCTTGAACCAAGTGGGGGGAGATATCAGGAGATTGCATGGGTAGTTCAGTGCAAGTGGATAACTGCCTAAGAAAGCGGGCAACCATGCATGGCTTGGCCATGCATGGTAGTCGCTGCTTTGTCTTTCGAATTACCTGCGGGGCGCATTCTTGACAAGTACTTTTAGATTGGTTCCAGTCAACACAGTTTATGATGGGATAACGGACGAACTTGATCGTTCTGTCGTAACTTTACGTGTTCAATAAGTCCACTTTTCATTTATTCCCAGAGTTTTGATTGGGCTGTGTACAACGCGCTTGAGCAACGACTTTTACCTCAACTCTGCATTGTCCTTGCAATTGTCACAAGTAATTCTGCAGTTTAATCGGAAACCTGAACAATAGACACAGAAAGTATGGTTTATCTGTGGTTTGAAATGATTGAGCACGTGGACATCTGTCTTGCCATATGTAGATGATAGCCAACCTGACTCCGAACCACTTCATCATACCTGCCTTCTTCAAATCCAACTGATTTACAACCCTAGAAAGCACTTCGAACCAAATTCATCACTCCCATTCAATGCTTTTGTCAATAATGATTCAACAAGCGAGTTTCAACTTGATCCTCCCAACGTATTTTGCAAATAATGAACCCGAAAACGATAACTATCTCTATCATTGAACCTAACAAGAAGAAAGTTCTCCAAGGATATAACGTGTAAGCTAGGCCAGCTAACTCCTCAAATCATATCTTATCCTTACAGTCCTATCCTCTTGTTGCTTCGTCATCACCTGCGCGAAGTTCCTGACTGTTTGTATCCACTACTAGAGCCGCCGCCCTGTCCCAAAGGGTGTCTTCGCTGTCCAATGACGCCAAAGGCATTCGAAGCCGGAACGAAATCATGTTCAGCTTCATTGGTGTGATCCAACCGCTTTAGATCACCGATCTCCTGCCCGATGGCACCATAGGGATGAGGGGGTCTAACATGAAAGCTTCCAGACCCTGTGTTCTGCACAAAGTTCTGGGAATAACCAAAAGGGTTTGCCGGCGTAATTGTTGTTCCCCTCATCCAGTTGGCCTCGTTCACCAGTGCCGAAATCTTTTGATCACGTTCAGTAGGATCAGTTGATCGTTCGAATCTTCTAGCACTCATCGAGCCACTTGGAGGGGCGTCGGAACTACTAGTGCTGTTGCTCGAACGCGCTGCCGCTCGTTCTGAGCCAATGGCACCGTATGGTGTGGTGCGAGGAACCGAGTTGTCGACCATGATTGCGGGCTTACCTGTCTTAACTACGCGGCCGTAAGGGTTGCTTGAATTTGTGACACCAAAGGTTCTCATTGGGTTCTTCGCTGGAGGGTTTGGTCTTTCTTGGAGGGCCTCCAGGCTTCCTATCTGTTCGTTGAGATACCTTATTCTCTCCATCAGACTTTCGCGAGTTTCAGGCTCGGTTGAAGCTTCTGAAAAGCCAGATAGGAATTGGCTATAATCCTGAGTTGCAGGCGCATTTCCAGTGTGATTATTGGTGGTAATGCCCCTAGTGCAGCCATTGTATGTGCTTGCGTGTGCAAATTGGTTTCCGGAGTTAGCGAGGTTAGCATATTGACCTTGAGCTTGGACACGCTGGGCATCCACATTTTTCAGATGCGACGGCATGAACTCGTAAGGTACCGCAACCCGCGGATCCTTCCAACGGCCACGCAACTCGGCCAGTTTTTCGGTCTTGGTTCGAGCCGTCTCTTGGAGACAATAATAACATATTGGCTCAGTCTGCTTCATGTCAATCCACCTGAAATATGGGCAGAAATCTTTGGGATCAATGAAAGCGTTAAGTACAACCTCGTACGGCTGCTCGTAGAACCACTTGTCGCAGTAGTCCCAGGTCTGTGGCTGGACTTCAATTTCTATAACATGCCCTTTACCAGGGCAGAGTAGTCCTGCCGTAATGGGATCATTGTCTCGGCGAGGGCAGGTTGGGTTAGAGCACGGGCAGACGTGCAAATATCGTGGCGTCTGACACATGGGAGCTTTTATCGGTTGTGAAGGGATACTTGTAAGATTTCTTCGATGCAGATTCTGAAAGTAGAACTGTAAGCTGTAATTGGTCTTTATAAGCTGGATGATCTGGTTTGGTTTGGAATGCCGGGGAATGAAGACGATCTCCATGGCTTTATATGTCAATGATTTGCTCCAGCAGGTCAACTGTTCGTTCAATCCTAGTTGAACTGACAAAGGTATACTTTGATCATTGTGTACATCTGAGAACAGCATTTACTGTCTCTTTTGTTTCTGGCTTAGGACTAGACTTTGTTGAGTAAAAGGAGATATTCATTTACACTTTCAATGTTTTCTTTGCAGCCTCTATGAAACGGCCCTTAAAGGACATGAAGGCAGAACAAACGTCTAGAATTTAGTAACTGTCACACTGTCGGACTCTTCTAAACCAATATCTTAAGGAAATCGTTGAGGCGTCAGCAACGATAGACCATGCATGAAGAAGCCCTTGCGGTCTCCAACAGAAGTAAACACTGATGCTTGAACTAACAGCCGAATTCGCCAGTTAATCAACGTTTGAATACTTATGCTTCAACTGTTTCAGAAAATCCTCAACGTAGCGCATTTCTCTCATGCTGTGAACGGAGGCGTTTTGAGAAAACAACATAGATTTGGATACCTCTGGTAGCCGATCATAATACTAATACACTTAGTAATTATTCAACACTGATCCTACAGGCTATAGTCTGCCATCGCCCTTTTGACAAATTTCTGGGGTATCGACTCTCTGTCTTTTCAAGTGCAACCCAACGCCTATGATACATGTACCAGTCGCCGGTACTGGGAACAAGAGAGCGGCTCGTGTCACTCTAAACCCTCTGAGTATTAACGTTATTCGCGCCGTGCTGTCCCTTCCTTAATCGAGAGGTATGTACCTATGCGCTCAGAATATCGTTATGTACAAATTCAGTGTTCCTGCAAAGCACATCTAAACTCGTCTTGCGACGTAAGGCCTGAGCTTGGAAGTCCTGGGCTTCAAAAAACGCTGCCCCAAGGTCGCGAGTCGCGTGACCTTCTTTCCCAACTTCCTCTCCTAGGTCGACGACGATCTTCTCGCCGCTGTCTTTCGTACTCGTCTCGCTTAGCAATTTCTTCGAGAAGAATTTCCCTCTTTTCCTTCTCACCAGCGAGGATTGACTGCAGCAAATCAACCTTTTTGATGAGCTCGTCCACCTTAATATTGTCTCCTTTGAGCTTCCGTTCGAGTTCTTCAATGGTGCGAAGCAGTTTTTCAATCTCGTGCTGTCGTCCGTCGTGCAGGTGGTGATTATGGCGCTCAATGCGAAGCTCTTCTTCGAGGATCTCGACCTTGCGAACAAGGTCTGATATTTGTCGTACGTATTCATCCGACTTTGGGTGTCTTAGCCGCTCTTCTGCTAATAGAACCTCGAGGTCATCGATTCTCCGGCCAAGCTCGACCGCCTTACGCTCCCAGTGCTCCGTTCTCTTCTGCTCTCGCTCCAAGTCCAGTAGCAACCGTGCGTTGCGGTCCTCGATTTCTTGCCTCCATATGCGATTGTCATCAGCCGATATCCATGTGCTACGTAGGATGCGAATCTCGTCGCGGCTCTCGTTCAACCTACTAAGGCAGTCATCGTAGTCTCTGATAAGCTTGTCGTGGCGAATTTGGAGGTCGTCAAAGTGAGGATGGTGATCATGGTGGCCAAGATGACCGTGATGATGCTGTCTCTCGCGCAGCCTTTCCTCCAAGTGCTTGATCCGTCGGATCTGGTCTTCTCTCGAGTGCTCGAAACAGATTCTATCGGCTGTGACGTCGCAGTAATTGAGGCACTTGTCAAATTTGCAACAGTGCTCATGGCAATACCCGAGTGGAAGCCTGGCGATCTTACGACATCCGGCTCTTCTACACTGATGGTCCGCACAGTACTCCCCTCCTGCCAGGCATGGTCTTTCGCAAGACTTCCAGTGACAACGGTGTCGATGGCAATGAACTCCAAGCTCGGCGATCTCAACGCATCCAGCTATAGTGCAGGTGTGTCTGCGACAAAAGGGGCCAAACCCACCCCCTTTGAGACCGGCAGCCACTGCGTAGCATCTCGCCCCGCCGCATCCATGTTCTCGACAGAAAACTCTTTCGGCATCGATTTCGTTGTCGCGGAAGCTCAGACAGCCTTCGTAGGTGCATTTATGAATCGCGCAGGACCGGCAACCCGAAAGACACAGTTTGTCGCAGCCTTTGTATGTACACTGGTTTTTGGCATAGTCTATTCTCTCGGTCAGGTTGCTGATGCCACGAAACTCTTTGGGGACACCTTACGATGCTCGCAAAAGTCCCAAAGGCTGTCATCAGACTTTTTCAGTTTGAATTTCTTGCAGTCTTTGACAGTACATATCTGGTGGATCAAGCAGCGATTATTGGCACGCACGGGTTCCCGGCATTTTAGCTCTCGACATATCTTCGAAACGTGATCAACGCAATATTCGGAGTCAACAACTCGTCTCTCGAAACAGCTCGATACTCGACATCGGTGGTCTGGACAGTACCCGCATAGCTTATCTCTGGTTTTGTAACAGTTTTCGACGTAACATTTGTCTGTTCGTGCTGCACGTCAGCGTCATGGACTCGGACTTTAGAGCGGTCGAAACTCACGGTCCAGACATTTCCACGGTAGGGGCACGCCCGATGGGCAGTCTCCGGTCCGATCGCAGCCCACCACTCCGCATCTCCGATCTGCGCAGAATATTAGAGAAGCTACGAAAACGGAGGGAGGGAATGGAATTACGGTCAGAACAGAAGCGGTGCAGGAGATCTTTTGGTCGATTGCACATCTCCGAGCTGAGTACACAGTATTTGCAGGTATCTGGGTAGTCTTGGTCAGCTTGACGGATGCGTATGCGTGGAAAATGTCATAACTTACGATCGACGCAGAAGTCCGAATAAATTCTGATATCGGGTCGCATTGGATCGATGCGTATGAAGGCATGTTTTCTGGAGCATCCGTCGACATGACATGTCCTTTCGTACCTGTAATCCACACAGTCATCACAACTGCATCTCGACGACCTCGAAGATCTTGATGATGATGACATGATGGTAAGCCAAACGAAAGTGGTTGTTGAACTGTGACTCTAGAATCGGTGTATTCTAGACCATTTGGGTATTTGGGGTGAAGTAGGTCGCACTATGTTGGACTGCGCTTATGAGTGGTAGATGAAGTGGTGGCTGCAGAGAAAAGTGCACGATCAATGGAGAAGGAGAAAAGAAAAAGTTATGGATGGGGGGAAGGCTGCAGAAAGTCTTTTTGAGAGAAAAGGCACTTGAAGGAGGTCAAGGTGGTTGTATGAGAGTATGTCCGGGTGAAGTAGGCCGACTGGAACAAGGACCCCACGAGGTCAGCGTGACAATAGCTTCATCCCAACTTTGCGAAGTGGTGTGGCTGAGCTTTATCCATATCATCACAGGCGCTTGACAGCGCTCGGTCACGCGGCCTGCTCGACATTGTCCTACCTGCTCAGTTCTGTGCCATTTTTCGATTTTGGAATTTACATGGGATTTGTAACTTTTTGGTGAGCTTAATTTAGGAACACGGATTCGGTAGTAAAGCGTCTCCTAAAATGGCATTTAGAGGCTGAGTTGTCATCGTTGTTGGTTGTAATTTCCCTTGTAGACTTTCAAAAACATGCAACCTGGAAAGCCGCTTCCGGCGCCCCTTCCCCAAGTAATGAGCCAGAGGATCAGCCAGATGTGGAAGACTTGCCATGCACTCGAAGATTAGTCAAGATCCAAAGGGTAAGAATAAACAGAATTATCAAGATTGCTACCTATTATAAAATGGGGTTTTTTTTCTTTCTTCCTTCTTTCCTTCCTTTTTTTTTAATTTTTTTTTAGAAGCTGATGGAAATCTTCCCCGAATCGCGGATGCAACTGTAGATACGGTAGGTTGCATTCAAACGATCAACCATCAGGTCGGTAGCTGCCGAAGCATGTCGGTTAGCTGACCGAGCGATTCCATGCGAACAGACGTCCGACAAGACGCCGCCGAAACGAAGCTAGGTTGACAGACAGCCGTTCGGCCTGGACCAAGCAAGAACTTTAATCGATGTGCGGATGTGCGATGCAACCGGAACAAGGTGAGGGGGCCCGGGGAGGATCCAAGTTTCAAGGGACTTGCATGGATGACGCCGGTAAGCATCAGCCACACGTGGCCCCCTAGACTAGGTGGTGGAGGGTGGAAGCTCTGCAGAGGGTCTCAGAGGATCACATGGGAAGGGCGGGAGGTAGTGGCATGCGGCCTACCAACTAAGACACAGAAATTGGGGAGTTAACACAAAGATTGAGACTGCCTGATTACATCAGAAACCCAAACAAACGGCTTTGCTGTACGGTTAGCGAAATGTACAAAAGCAATGCGCTTGTTTGTTCTTGCATTCTTTTCGACTGGATTAAATCTTGACCTCCAGTTTTTTACTGGCGTTGTTCGTTTGCCCAAGAGAACTACAAAAATGACCCAGAGCTTTGAAAGAGTATTCACAGCGAATCGGTCGACCTTGAGCTTACGCAAAGCTATCAGTCCGATCACACTGGGCTGGCTGAAAAAGCATGTACGCATGGACAAACATGCAAGCTAACAAACATAGTGCCCACAAAGAGTATAGAGGTGCTTAGAACAGTGTCATTGAGATGATCGTTGTCCTCAAACTGTTGGTTTACATTCTCGCGAAAGGAAGGAAAACTTGAAAATCGTAAATTCACTCAAAGAATTGCAACTGCGTCAGAATTCTGATCAAGTAAGCCGCCAAACATGGACGACGAAACAGAAATTCCCTAGGCTTTCGCGGCGAAATGTCAAAGCGCCTGGCTGTGTCTCAGGGTATCAACACAGGTACGAGGGCCCAAAACTTGCTTTGCTCGCCTCGTGCTTCGCTCTTCGCCATGGACTGGAAACCCGAAAGGATGCGGTATCTGTTCTTCACATGTTCGGGTGGTCAAGCAGTTTCCGTGGGATAGAGATAGCTCATTTGACAGATAGTTTACTGGGAATGCCTGACAGGTGTAATGGTCGGACCACATCGAGCTTTCCCCACGGACTCCTTCATCCTCCGGGTCCGATAACTTGGCCGACGACATTCTCAAGCACGGATGCAGCCCTACGCAGATCCGGAGCTTCGCCATGCCACCGCTGCAAAGCCCATGTAGCCGTGTCGACCGCCTGTTTCCATCGCTCAGGCAGTCGGGGGAACCTACCGCTCTTGACCACAGCCAAGACCAGGAGAGCACGGGTCATTGCCGCTCTGGCCATGAACCAGGTTCCGTGATGGCGATGGTGCGGGTTAGCGTCCAACAGCAGCTCGACCGACAGCTCGAGGCACTTCTCCGCTAACGGCATGACGCGGGGCATCCAGGGGTCATCCGGAGATTGATGCACCACGTAATAGATGAAAGGTCGATGTATCCATTCGCGGCAGCTGGTGGCGCGATTCTGGATAAAGTGGACGAGCTCGTTGTTGGACAGGTCTCGATTCTGCCAGTTAATCTGCGAGGGGATGTGCAAGCACCTTGGAAAATGTGAGCGCCACTTTTCGATCCAGATCCCAAACCCGACGGCAGAATCACTGGGACTATTCTTACCACACGTTGATATGCTCGTCAAATTCTTGGCATTTTTCAATCACCCTCGCCACGTCTTCGACCCATGCTTGCTGCCCGTTATAGCCAAAGGTAGATATCGCACGATTGATCATTCTCCTCGATGATATTTCAGCCAGGTAGTAGAACCAACTTTTTTCCTCTTCATGCTGTATGTCATCTTCTAGAACGTCCAACGCGCTTGGCTGAGCAGCAGGAGAAGCAACTTCAGACGGAGGCGAGGGAAAGAGGTCCGGATAGTCCAAGCTGGTGATGCCACTCGAAGGTAATGGGATCTCGCATCTTAATTCACTGCGGTTTGCGAATAAGCTCTAGCAATTGTTTGAGGACGGTTTTTGGGTCTGGACTCACCACTCAGACTTCATACAGGACCAGTAGAGCCTTTGCTCGAGACGACGTGTTTTTTGCGAGATCGGATACGGGCTTCGTCTTTGACTTCGCCGCCAAAGAAGGTTTTTGAACTGGACACAAGCTTGGTTGAAGTAAAACCATGCTTGCAGCGGTTGGAGAGTATACATTTCATACACTGCGAAGAAAAAGAGACACTGCACTTGCAGCAGGGAAGGCTCAAGCAGCCCCAGCCTTTTCTTAGCGGCGAGATAGTACGCTCTAGCTGTGTCCGGATCTGTTGAGGTTGAAGCAGAAGAGCGGATTGATTCTGGCGTGTCATTATAGTTCAGCTCGGATTGGAAAGGACTTGCAAGGCAAGCCAGCGCGCAGGCAACAAGCTAGCTATTGGGTCAGTACACGCGCTGAAGAAATCCCTACAAGCTCTGAACGCACCACAAGACACGAGGGGCCATTCCATCGTGGCCCGCATTCGGCTGCATCTCTGACAAAGATTTTGAAGTCCGCAACATCAAGTATAGGATTCTTCACGTGGACATATGCCAGAAATTTCTTCGAGAGCACTGTGAAGTCGTCTTCCTGAACTCCTCGGCCAAGATTGCCAGAGTTGACGGGCTTGGGTCGATCAGGAGACTCCCCTGATCGTCATCTTCCAACTCAAGAATGAAGGACTCAACGTCAGGAACGATGTCCCTGAAAATTGGCCATCTAAGAATTGCCTCACAATTGGAACTGGTAGCTGCAGATTCTGATATGCCAAGCCGTATCATAACATCATCCTCTGGTAAAACATTTGATGCATGAGCTGATTCTGCGTTGACCGCAACGCTCGTACTGGTTTGTAGCCTGCTGATGGATGTTGGGGACAATATTGGCTGCTGTAACGTAATAGTCGGGTCAACGTCGTCAAGTGGTAGCCGTGGTGCTTCCAGAAGCGAAACAACATGGTTGATGCGATCTAAAATCGCCAAGCTTGCAGGATCAAAGCTGGGGGGTAACGAAGGGTCAAATGATGGTCCGAGAGGTGTGTAAAAACATGGGACATATGCTTACGTTGAGAAATCATTTGAAATGTCAGGGTAAGTGCAGTGGCCACCATTCCGTTGGCAAAAGCCACATGCGGGCCGAACGTTGTCGCATTTCGTCTTCCGTACCCGGCATGGCCCACACGCGGCGACAGCGCGCCTCCTTTGGTACATGCCGGAAGTCCGGCGACGCTTGTTGCTTGTTCCGGGGGTCTCATCTTCGGCGTGTGCCTCAGACATGGTTTGGATGATAGGATCTTTTGTGGGGAACCTGAAGCAGAGATCGCTGTATTAGTTGACTTTTGATGCAACCCGTGTCGATAACGGGGTGTCCTTTGAGTACTTGGCTTGACTAGAATGGTTGAAGACATTCAGTTGAGGAGCACGGGGAGTAGCGGAGTTATGAAGAAACGAGGTGACGGAAAGCGAGAGCGAGACGGGACCCCACCTAACCATGTGGAAAGGGATGGGACGCCCGATTCATTCTTGGTTAGCGTTGTCGCCGCTTTGACTATTCCCTCATCCAACCTGCCATCCAGACTGGCATTCAAACTTTGAATCTGGAATGAGAACAATACCCTTCGTGACTCTGGAAATTGTTCAATTGACTTCTAGCAATAGAGACGATAAACATCGGGTTTCTTTTGAGGCACGTGAAGGGTCCAAATTCGAGGTGCTGAATATCAACGGAACACTCTACAGCCTTCGACCGACTTGTGAATAGTCTCTTTTTGCCCTTGCCATTTTACAGCAACCAGATAATCATCCATTGTTATAAGAAAATGCTCTGGTACGTTATAGGATACCTCAGGGCTGGGGCTGTTGACATCCTGTGCTATAGTCCTATGTCTGTCCCTTGATGAACTCATTCTGTAGTTGCAGTCTAAGCGACCTGCTTTATCTCCATACTCGATGCTTGGTAGAGCTCCCTTAGTGGCTCTAAACATGATATTATACGATCCGTGTGCTATGGTTTATTCTCATGCACCGAGGTGGGCTTCACCTGCTCTGTTGTAACAGCTGTCACAACCTCCATCTGAATAAACGGTCCTTCCACAGGCCCCGCTGACGCACGGCTATGCATTTCAAGCGCATGTACCACAGGCATATTATGTGTGCTTGCATACGACCTTCCCCAGCCCCTCTGACCTCCATGCTTCCACCACCACCAGTCTTTTTTCTTACTCTCGGGGATAACTCTGACAGGGGTACTCTCCTGCTGGCAGGCCCGCTGATGACTACTGTGTGGCCATAGTCTCGTATCGGCGTCCTTATGAAGGCGAATCTGTCCAACCCCGTATCGTGAACGTCCTGTGGAGCGCTAAATAGTATTGTCGTTGTCCACAAAATAGAGTTGAAGAGTCCGTTGGCGGCCAGAACCGACCCCGCGAAAGCGAAGTAGAATATGCCGAGGTCGATGCCCAGAAGAGATGTGACGCGGCCGATTACTAGAGGTACACTACAACCAATGTATACGAACGGATAGACGAGGAAAGCTGGGTGGTACCCGGTTAGCTGTCGATGTTCCGGGTCTCGATTGCTCTGGAAACCAGACTCTTCGCTCTGCGACGATCTCTTTCCCGGCAGATGACGACAGTTTCGCTTCTGGCGCCAGAGGGCGAAGAACACATAGCCATAAAGGCTGATTGTTATGGCAATTGAAACCATGACCCAGAAGTAGTGAGCCCATAAGCGCCAAGAATCATACGCTGTGGAGATCCAGCACCTGAATCGGGTTAAAATCAGTTTGGAGAGTCCTGTAAACTGAACGATATGGGATAGAGCTTACCAGACATTAGCCCTCATGAAAAAAGACTCTTGTGGGACCGCCGGGTGAAGCACAGAGCTGATCACCCCAGCCCCATTGATGCCGAAATCAAACACCCAGAGACCAGCGATGGTGGCATACACCGTCCACGGCGGCGGCTTGTATCCCAACCCCACTGTCAGAAAAGTGTTGACGGATATCGCTGTAAGAAATAGACTGGCGGCCAAATTACTCGTCGATCCCAGCCATCCTTGAGCCCAGCAGACAGAAGAAGGTGCATAAATTCCATCCTCTAATACCCAGTAAATACTTAGGCTATAGGCGACAGCCTCCATCATATCTGCCAAGAGAAGATTGTAGACGAGAATCGGGAACGGACTGCGAATTTCTTCCTCTTCATCTTCCTGCTCTTCTTCTTCCTGTTGTCGCTGGTTGCCAACGCCATTGGATTGCTCTTGCATACTAGCCAACCTGTCGAGCTCTTCAAGCCGGGCAAACCCGGTGTTCCCTGAGCCGGGAGCATCTAGCCCTAGAGTAAGGTCTGGTAAATCGGCGGCAGTGAAATTTTCTCGCCGGGCATTGTCTCGCCTCTTCTGTGCCCATTTTCGTTTTCGGTATGACAGAAATTTGTAGGTAATGAAAATCCAAAGCAAAGTGGTAGCCAGAGTAGACAGGAAAGAAAATGCTGTTAAAATTATGAGTCCGCGGCGATGATATTCTGGTAACGGTACCAGACTCCCGCGCAGTGACGCGGCAGACATAGTGATGATCCTCACGAAACAAGCAGCGACGACAAGTCTGATAAAGTGCCGTTGGTCTATTAAATGGGCAGAAATTACATAGCCGCCATTCCGTCCTTGGAAAGATATACCCACAAGGCATCGAATAAACCCATCCTCATGAAGTTTTCTTCGAAGTTAGACTTCAGCCCGACTCATGGCCTGCATTGACTTTGCTGCCAGCTATCCGATTTGGGGGTTCGGGTTCGTCAACGAGCGTGCAAGTAGTTTCAAGCCTAAACTTTCCTGGAGTTACACCAATAAGCACGCTCACTTTTGCTCCCCATCCCAACTCTACTTGCGTCCCTGCGAATTTCATATTTGCGCATTGCGCTTGATGAACTTACTTCCGAGCCACTCGCGTTCTTGTTGTCAGCAACCGTTTCACAATCGCACGTGGGAATGATTGGCGCAAGGAGCAAAAGAAGCATTTGCAGAGATGTTTGTCGGTTTACAAACATGGGCTTTTTACAGGGAATAGATATAGGTCCAGGCGCATCGACACGCGGAAGGACTGTTAAACGCTTCATCCCGCACATATAGAAAAACTTTAAGCTGACTAGCGGGACAACAACGGCTTGAACCCTCCGTAGGCACTTGATTCCGATAAATATGTAGACAACTAAAGTCGGAGTTTGCCCGAGGAGTTTCAAGCGCAACATGAAAGCATCAGAACACTGATGTTGCTCATGCTAACACGATAGGTCCGGGCCTGAGGTTCAAGTCTGGCTTCTGACAGCTCTACACGCAAACTCATTCAGCAAGACAAGCTGAAAAGTTTGGTAGAAGAAGATGCCATCATCCATATTACACTCCGAATGTATGCCGCTGTTCCGCGTCGCTTAGCTGCGCTTTTCAAGCCACTCGTGCTCAGCTTTTCGATGCCTTTTCTCCTCAGCATCTCTCAGACCGATTCTCAGTAGTATATTGGCGTACTGGGCAAGTCCCAGTAACTTGACTTCAGACCAGACAACTTTTCTGTTCTGAGTGTTACCCTGTCTTGGCGAGCTACTCGTTGCCCAATCCTGCGCGAACAGACCCTATTCTTTGCTGAAAATGAGATGGTTGTGTCGCAAGCGACCTGACTCTCCGATATAGCTTGAGTAATATAGATGTTGTGGTGGAATTTTCGAAAGTTACCTTCTGAAGCTGATCAAACAAGGTATAGGAAAAGCGTCATGGAACTGGTGAAGTAAGCTCTTGTTAGTCCAGCTATGGATACTACGGTCTTTTTTCGGATTCTAAGCGACGACTGTTGTAAATGGGCCCAGGCCGAAAAGATTTCTTAATCACTAATCATGCCCCGGCGAGAGAAATGTGGTTTCATGTTGGCCCGTTGGGTCACGGAAGGGTAATATTCGAAGTTATTCCAACTGCTCTATCAACGAACATAGTGGTGGATGAGTTATTCTTCACATACAAAATTAGAAGCAGTGTAACACTAATTCAGCCTGGAGTATACCGTCACGAATGATTCGCCCACTTGACATTCGACTACCCTACTGTTTAGTCCTTCGTATTCGATTCTCAAGCAATGGATCGAGTTACGTCGACTGCAGCGCCCCTCTTAGAGATAGCAAGTGCTGTTCGGAGCCATCTCTACTGAACCAGACGCCAAATTTGACCCTCTATGAAACCGGCAGTAATGGCATAGCGATAGTTGTCAAATTCTAATCATCGTTGGGAAAATAGAGCATGATTACCACGGCAGATGGGGAGAAAACTCCTAGCCACCGTGAAAAAACCGTCATCTGCTTACACATCCGTCTTGGTAGAAATGTCAAAGATGGACTTTTCCGAAGAGACATGAGAGTTTTTGTTTTCAGTCACGAACGAACCTTATGAGATTGGACGACTAACCAATAGTAAAGACTCATATGAATGACGCTGTGGCAACAGTCTCCGGCGTTCCGCAGCAGGGAGACCTCCGAAGCAGCGCCGTGACACACTTTCTTGAGGACTAGGTATATACCGCCATTATTTCTTGGAAAGTGAGAGGATTTCCGGATTGCGAGAAGCCATAACGCGGAGCGCCAAAGGCCAAGATCCATCATGCCAAAATCGGATGAATGCTAGTAAATTACTGGTGGCTAGTTGCCGACCTGGTTTCCAAAGACAAGCTCACTGAAATGATCCATTACACTGTAATATTCACCGAAAGCAAGAAGGAAAGTTCTATTTAATGGTTCTGCTACATGTTTCCCTATATTTCTGTTGTCAATCCCCATCAAATTACGTTAGATGCGTTGCTTGCAGCATGGTGAAAAAGCAATGGACAAGGGATGGAGGACAAACAGTGATCTTAGCTGCGTTCATTTGTCCTCCAACTGCATCCATAACTCACTATAGCTCAATTAGTGCTAAAGTACTCAAATGAGCAATGTTCGTTCTCGAAGTCTTCCATGATTCCTTCATTGTGTTTCAACGACTGTGACTAAATCTCTTCACGACCACGCTAAGCCTTGACTAATCCTCAGTCTATCCAGAGCGATTCGGAGTGACTTGAAAACTTCTTACTAACATAATTATTCCAATGGTTTCTTATCGAGAAATGTTTGCTATTGGTGGGCTTCGTGTTGTGAAATCATGCGTCTTTTCTACACGGGCCATCTGAAAAGGCCTCGGACGTCGATGGCGAAACAAACTCCATTTCCGTGATTTTTGTTGGAAACATTATCGCAGTGCTGGAAAGTTCCGCCGTCGAGCACATGTCGTTGTGCGGTTGAGGATCTGATCGGCCAGAGGGTTGGATACATTCACTAGTCGTGCTGGCCTCTGAACTGCCCCCTATGCACAACTCTAGTGATGAAAATAGAAGACTGTAAATCATACCTCATTTTCGTCGTCCGATTCTACCTTATGCATTGCCTGCGCTCTCCTTTGGACCCATGCCTCGCAACCAATCTCATCATATTTGGGCCTCTCACCATCTTTGACACAATTTCCAATAACTCCGCAGCTTTCATGCAGCCCAAATCCGAAAAAGAAGGGCATACTGATGCGCTCTTCGCCACTGAAATTCTGAGCTCGATGGACTGTACTGACGTAGAGATCATTGGTGATACGCTGCAGGTAGTCCGCGATGTTAACGACGAACGTCCCTGGTATCGGTGCCGCCCGTATCCATTCGCCCTGACGATTCAATACCTGTAATCCCCCGACAGCGTCTTGCCACAGAATGGTGAAGAGTTGAAAGTCTGTGTGCGACCCTATTGAGACCTGAGTGGTGGCGCCTGAACCGGCATCGCCTTGGGCTTGGGGCAAAGGCGGGTAGTAGTTCAGCGCCAAAGCGGCGTCAGGGTACGCAAATTTCGAGTCGAAATAATCCTCTGGCAGCTCAAGAGACATAGCAAACACACGGACTAACACACGTGCGAGCTTCATACAGGATTGCCAATAGCGAATAATGGCTTCTTTGAAGCAAGGCATGTTGGATGTCCCATCCCAGTGGAAGTCCTCCATTCGCAAGAAATTTCTTGCCTCTTCGGGGATGGCTTTCACATCCGTGACATCAGGGTCGTAGCGGGGATCATAAGTCCAACTGAACGACTCGCGGACATCGACGCTTTCTGATTTGTTGATGCGCTGGGATCCGGATGGTTTGTAGCCGTTGAAGTAGCGACTTTTTCCCACCCAGGAACGCATCTTGGTCTTCTCGTCCTGGCGGAAATATTTTAAGCATGCTGCATACGCAGAGTCGGTGATGTTCGAGTTAATGCCATGGTTGACCAGGTAGAAAAAACCAGAGGTTGTCGCAGCTTCGCGAATCTGCTGCGCGACAGACTTCCGGTCCGCGAGCTCGAGGCTGAATGCGAGTGAAATATCAATGATAGGGATCTCAGTGGGAAGGGCGTCGCGGAGCGGAGTGCATAAGATCCGCCGTGTGACGGGGCCGTTCCCCGACGCCAAGCGGAGGGAAGTTGTCTCCGGGTCAGATACGACAGCTGCGGTGCTCATGATTGGCCAACTCAAGGTTTCGTGTTGTGTGAGGACACGCCCACACCAACCAACTCATGTGGGAAGAATGGGTGTCCTTGGAGGTTTAAATCAGCATTTGCAAAAAAGACTAATTTCAGCCGATCGGCCGCGTTGAGGATGCGGGGTGATACGGAGTGATAAGCAAAACCCCGCAGCCGAAGACGGGGACTGAGGCCCGACGCCACTGGCTGGATGAAAGGGACACTGCTGATTGTCGTCGGAGTTGGCCGCCTATCACTTAACAAACCAGTTGAATGTTGAAGTTAAACTAGTTTCAGTCCGAGTAGAAGAAATGTTTGACTGATTAGACAAGTAAAATCGCATGAGTGAAAGCCAGTTTTCTAAGTTCAAGCAGAAGGGAACTTATCTCGGGACTCAGCGATGGATGCATAGATTCTAATGATTTGCATGTAAGTGACTACACACATGCCCAGAAGTCTCAGTCCTTGGCTCGTTAGTTACCAGCATTGAAGAGAAAGTATTCAACCCCGATGAGGCTTCCATCTATTAGCCAACCCTAATGATTTTGTTGGTCTCAAAGGCGGTGAGATTCGTACGAGTGATAGCAATGAACCCTCCTAGACCTTGTAACCACGGCGTCGCCTGTTTCTCAGCTTGTGTCGAGATAATCAGTACTGGTCAATTCGCTTAGGTGACAAGTCTGCAGCGTCTGCACCTATCGCAGGAGCGATAGCTTAGCAATTAGTCGGTGCTCAAATGCTTGCGTCCAGGGTGCAAGTTGCTTCGTTCTTCAAGACCTTCTATTACTAGTAAATTGGCTGCGGGATCAACGTCAACATCAATATTGATGGCGCTCGACCTGAAAGCCCTCGCTGGTGCTCATTAATTGGTGGAGGGTCTCAAAGCAGTCGGAATTCACGATAGTTCTTTGACAGTGACAGAGTAGGCGATAGCGGTGTATAAAAGGCATTTCAGTGTTTCGGTCTGTCGAGTGGATCCGCTTGTTCAACTACGTAAAAACAGCAACAGCATCACGACTGGGATTGGTATCGGCGCTAAGAGCCCACTCTGCGGTAATATACGGGGTGCTTGAAACCTACGGGGAGTATCGGAGTCGTGTGTTCCCCACTCTCCTCTCCATCTACAGTCGTTAGAAGCGGCAGAGCTAACCTTCTAGCTTCATCAGTCTCCTTTAGCGATATGTTCGACAGAACAACGCACCTCAGGGTTGCCGCTCACCGTCTAAGAGCCATGTGATAGGTGGCATTTCTTTAATGTCCCCAACTCGCCCCGCAAATATGTGTCTGATCACGAGTGATTTATAAGCCTCCGTTTCCCATAAATAGACCCAAGGACCAGTGTGCTGTTCCTCCAACGTCATGTATGATAAGAGAGCGACTATTTCCAAGTTGAACATCCATAGCATCTCTCGTCATGACGACCGATATTCCGATCCTTCGCTGGGGCATCATCGCCACCGGCCTCATTTCCTCATGGTTTGTTGAGGACCTGGTTCTTGAGCGTTCTGATGCCAAGGCAAAACACATTATCCAGTCCATTGGGTCGTCCTCGTTACAGAAGGGCAAAGCCTTCGTTGAGAAACATCTGCCTGGCAAGGAACCAACCGTCTACGGCAGTTACGCTGAAGTATACAATGACCCCAACGTCGACGTCATATATATCGGCACGCCTCACGCTTTTCATAAGCAAAACTGTCTCGACGCCATCCGTGCCGGGAAGCATGTACTTTGCGAAAAGGCCTTCACCATTACTGCTAAAGAGGCCCGAGAAGTGTTCAACGCTGCAAAGGAGAAGGGCGTCTTCGTGATGGAAGCCATGTGGACGCGCTTCTTCCCTCTCACGCAATCTCTGCTGGAGGTCTTACACTCAGATAAGCTGATTGGAGATATCCACCGCGTCTTCTGCGATTTCTCCACGAACATGAACATCGCCTCCTTGGGCCCTGATTCCCGCTTGAAAAATCCTGCTCTTGGTGCCGGGAGTCTTCTTGACATCGGTGTCTACAGCTTGACTTTTACGATCTTGGCGCTGGACCCAGGCGTGGGCGATAAAGCCAAAAAGCCTAAAATTACTGCCACACAAACGATATCGGATGATATCGACATCGCCACTTCAGCTCTTCTTCTCTATCCCAGTGGGAAGCAGGGTATTTTGACAGCGTCAACTCAGGTCAAGTCTCCACCCGGGTTCTGTAGGATTGAAGGAAGCGATGGGTACATCATCGTTGAAGGTGTTGCTACTTCAGTTCCTGGGTCATTCACCGTCCACTCATCTACGGCCTCTGGCGAGGGATGGGCCGAGTCTCCAACACTAGGTCTGAAGTCCAAGAAGTTTGACTTTGAAAGAATCGGAAAGGGGTTTTACTGGGAAGCGGACGCGGTGGCCCTGGACGTTGCCGCTGGACGTACGGAGAGCGATGTTATGCCTTGGGCCGAGACGACCCGTGTCATGGATATTTTGGACGAGATCAGGCGGCAGGGCGGTGCAAAATTCCCCCAGGATGACCAGTAAGTAGACTCTCTTAGATCTTGAGGAAATTCTTAGATACTAGAGAGACAAAATTTAATATCTCTCGAGACAGATAAAACATAGTAAGTATTGAATCATATGCCACCAAGGCAGCCAGACTTTTGACGAGCATTGGTTATTGAGACTAACCAGTACTTTGAACTCGTGAGCTTCTAAACAGATTAACTTTCGTGACAAAAGAAACAGAAAACCCACAGATCCGTGATAGTTTGCTTGAAGTAACGAAAAAGTAGCAGGCGGAAGCGGGCTTGAATGTAGACAAAGCCAGGCAACCCCATGGTATCAAACAGTCTTACATCATATGATCAAGTCTATCAGGCCAACTCGACTTGTTTTACCTTTTCGTCCTTTTTATCTTCCCCGTCACCCCCTTCCTCGATGTCAATCATCTTACTCACGGGCTTGCCCTCAAATACCTCGCGGATTTCCTCCAGTGTGTGCCCTTTAGTTTCGGGGAACAGAAACCAAATCAGGACAAACAGTGCACCAAGTATACAGCAAAAGACTATATAATACTTCCAGGCGATCGTTTTCATCGCGATTGGGTTAACCTGATTTCCGATGATAAGGCCGGTAAAGGCAGAAATATAGGTGATAGACAAACCACGCCCACGAAGTGTGTAAGGGAAGATTTCGACAGGGTAAGCTTGCAGCAAAGGTGTCCATGCAACATCATAAAAGAAGTAGAAAATGAAGATGAAGGCTACAACCGCTCTTCCGGTAGACTCGTCGCGACTGGCGACAAAGTGAGAAGTCAAACCAGTCCAGGCGATATAATTAGCAAGCATACCCGCCGTGGACATCAGGAACAAAAGTCTTCGGCCGAGTCGATCAACCATTAGTGCCCCGAGAAAAGTTGAGATGACCCAGTTGAAGATTTGCAACAACCCGTTGATCAGCGTTTGGTCCTTGACTTCGGTAATTCCGATGGTGTTGAGAACCAATGTCTAATGCATATGGTTAGTCTTGCAATCCTCGTGCGGAGAGTAGCAAAGCGTCAGCATGTTTCTGAGCATACCAAGTAATAAGATACTACTGCAACGCCGTTCCATTGCGAGAAGAAGCCCAAAATTACGGCAATCAGCGTACGTTTGTGGTTGGCTGGGGTTCGCACAAGCTCAAGCCAGGATGACTGGGACATGGCCTCTACCTCTTCGCCGAGAGTGAGTTCTACTTCGCGCATCTCAAAGTCGACTAAGGGGTCGTCAAGGTTACCGCCAGCATGATAATCGGCGAAAACCTTTCGCGCCTCGTCTTTTCGACCACGACGCATGAGCCAACTGGGAAGGGACGCAAAGTCAGTTACAAATTACAAGAGTGACATGTGCAGATTCAAAATCGGAACTGGCGAAAGAGCGACATACCGAGGTGACTCTGGAAGGAAATAGAACCCAAGTAACTGAACAACTGGAACCGCACCTTGGAGAATCGACGGAATCCGCCAGCTCCAAGTGGACGCGATCTTGAATGTGCCAAACGTACACCAAGCAGCAAAGATGGAACCGAAGTACTATGTGCAAAAACATCAACATTACATTCGGGACCATGTGAATTTTGTAATGTGTTTTCATTCAGCAAGGCACAGGATAGTATCATAATCTACTTACAAAGAATGTGTTGTAGAGGGCAGTTACTTTTCCCCGCTGAGTTGGGTATGCAAGTTCGGTAATAATGATGGGGCTCGGCTGGCTGATAAAAGTCGTGAAGAACCCCAGCAAAGCCCTTGCCGTGACGAAACTCGTTAAGTCCTTGGCGAGGCCTTGAAGAACAGCAAAAGCAATACAAGCCACAAGTCCGATGAAGAGAGGCAATTTGCGGCCCCATCGATCGCCGGCGTAGGTGACGACGAATAGAGCAACGACTTTGCCAAGTGGGTATACAGCGTTCATGAGTCCAAGGATCGCACCCTCGGGGTTTCCGAAGAATTGACGCCATTGGGGTAGAGTCTGTAAGCCGTTCATCATCGATCCTACAATGCTATCAATTGCCTTTCTCATCGGCAGTGGGAGACAAATGTTCAATTGTTGGCCTTACCATCATAGCCAACTGATGCCGAAGACAACAGCGGTACTAGCAAGAGGAGGTTCAGCTTCAACAGGTGAGCCGTTAAGTACCATGGCTTTGGATTTTTGGGAAGGACCTAGAAGTTTTGAGGACTAATTAGATTGCGATCGACACAAGGAGGTGAGGTGTCGAGGAACCGCGTACAGCTGCAAGTGCTGGCCCAAAAGCAATGTGGGCGTCCCTCTTCTTTCCAAAGATTCCCATGATCGTGGATGAAGGTTCTTGGTACTAGAATGGTTGGGAACAAGTCGAAGCGGGAACTGCGTCAAGTTGGCCACTTGTTCTACCCACTTAGAAGCGAGTCGGACTCGTGAGAAAGACTAAAGCGTCGACCACAATGTCGACGTGAAGGAGGGGGGATCATGCCATTTATTTATTTCAACCATTATCTGCACAATGGCCGACCACAGGTTTTCCAGCCACCGCCTAGAGTCCAATTTCCTCGGTAAGTCTCCGCAGCACTGCGCATGAACCCCCGGTTCATCCCCATGGGGAAGACGCGGGACCGGAACTCGGGATGATGACTACCGGAAATCGGAGGCCAGGGGTTCATGCGGGGAAGAGAGCAACGAACAACTTGATAACACTCTCTTTAGCTGAGCTAAGACATCTGGGCACGTTACAGTTGATTTTAGGCTTGCTCCGATTCTACCCGGTGATCATTTCAGCTCCGGGGAGTATCGGTGGGAGCTGGTGTGCAGCCAGCTGAGACTTCTCCAACGCCATCGCAACATCATTGGATAAGGGAAACACAGCAAAAGTGGCCGGCCTTTGATCCATCTTCACGTGGCACATGTTGATTGAGGCTCAAACCAATCGGTCCGAACTGACGACATTGCTGGAGCCAGATCCCCCACTAAACTCACCAGAATATTTAAACCCCGATCAACGATCATTTTGGGTGCCGTATTGAAACGTAGACATTGAGGAAACACCCAATCAAAGGGCACATGATCCACTGACGTCAACAACCGTATTTCGCCGGGCTGAAACAAACATCGACCTCCATTCGCTACATCCAACTGCATCAGTACCGTAGTCGCAAACATGGCCACTCAACAGAAAGCGCAAATCCTGAGGGTGGGCGTCATCGGCTGCGGCGAGATCACCCAGGTCAACCACATCTCCAACCTAAACTTTCTCTATGAGCGCTACCAGACGACATATCTCTGCGATATTTCCCAGCAATCCCTTGCGCACTGTGCCAGGAAGGTTCAAGGAGGGACGCCGAAAACGACGACTGATGCAGCGGAATTGTGCTCCTCGCCCGACGTCGACGTTGTGCTGATCGCTAATGCAGATGCATACCACGTCGACCACGGCATCCTAGCCCTCAAGAACGACAAATATGTCCTCATTGAGAAGCCCGTGTCAGTCTGCTTCCGCGATATTGATCTACTCATCGAGGCAGAGAAAAGTTCAAAGGGCAAGGTCATGGTCGGTACCATGCGTCGGTTTGCGACAGCCTTCACAGATGCTGTAAAGGAAGTTGGCGGCATGGATAAGATTCAGTACGCCAGAGTCCGAGACATTATTGGGCCCAACTCGACCTTCGTCGACCAGTCCGCTACATTCCCAGTGAAGTTTAGCGACTACAGTGATACAGACACTAGAGACCGACTGAAGCGTGAGGAAGATATCTGTGAGCAAGCACTTAAAAAGGAGTTTGGAGTGTCTGTCACTTCTGACTCGCAGAGGATGTTGCGACTTCTTGGAGGGTATGTCAAGACACGTTCGAGAATTCAAAATCTGTTGCTGACATTGCTACAGACTTGGAACACACGATTTATCGGCCATGAGGGAGATTATTGGTATGCCCAGTAGTGTCGCTGGAGCTTGCCTGACATTCCCTGGCATCTTCAGCGTCCTGTTTAAGTACGACGACTTTCCTGTCACGTACGAATCTGGTTTCAGCAACGTTCCGCAGTTCGACGCTCATATCGAGGTTTACTCACCTAATAAAATTGTTCGCGTCAACTTCGACACCCCTTATGTCAAGGGATTGCCCGTTACGATGACCATCCGAGAGCTGGTGGGCAAGGACGGGTTCCAAGAGCGGACAATAAGGAAGACGTATCAGGACCCGTACACAAACGAGTTCCTTGAGTTCTACGATTGTGTGGTCAACGGGAAAGCCCCAAAGACTAGCGCTTTGGACGCGAGGAATGACATCGAATTGTTCAAGATGATCCTTCGGTCTGATGCTGGGAGATACCAAAGCAAATAATGGGGGATCAAAAGAACAACGAATGACTCACGAAGGTGTATCAACCGCTTTTCGTTATTCTTTTCGCACTTGAAAGCTTATTAGTAACCCGGGAAGGGCAAATATAGTCATGTTCCGGTTGTTTCTCTCCATCCACGCGTTCTGGTGTGTGCTTAGTCGTCAAGAGGACCAGCCCTGACCAGCCCGGCTGCTTCAATGGATTATCTTCATATTTGTCCTTGGCGGGTCCCTCCTTGACCCAAACTTTTCACCTCATCTTTTCAGACTCTAATACCTTACATCACTTGGTAGAACAGGACGCCAAGCACAAGTGACAACAAAGATGGACCAGAATCTGAACAATGAGGGCGACGAGGGAGACGAGAAGAGAAGCCGAAAGAAAAGCAGCGGAAGAGGAAGAGGTGATAACAAAAAGGATTGCAACAGCTGCAAGAAAGGTAGATACCTTGAGGCGGATGGTTTGAAAGCAGGAATCGAAGATGCAATTGAAAGCTGCCCCGACGACAACACGGCCAGACGGTATCATCTATCGATTCTCCAGAGAATCAATGAACTTCGCCCCAACGGTGCCGACATCACGAGAAGAACACAAGCCGCGATTCTCAACGATCTTACAGACGCGTACGAGCCCATGCCCGACGACAGCACCATTATCGATGATGGAGACCGCAGCCACAACCACTTGTGGTATTCGGCTTTGATTCGTCGCGGTATGAAACTCCCTGCCGAGTGGGAAGGCAAACCTCACATCTCCGCGCGTTTCGACAAGCTCAGAGCCGTATGGGAAGAAGCGGAAGAGACACCCACCCTGCGACGGCGTCCGGCCAAGGAGGAAGCCGCATCAAACGATCCATCCGGCGGGGCTGTCGATGACCCAGCGAAGAATCCGGCTAGCAGGAAGCGCAAGAGACGAGCAGATATTGACGGGTCAGCTCAAGGCGAGGACGAGGACGCAGAGCAACAGTTCCAGGAAGCCTTCCGGGCATTTCGAAGACAGGCTGCTTCTCATATCATCGTTCCCTCTGCTCGAGGCGTGAACCAGCCGCAGGCCTATGCTAGTATCCCACCCAGCGGATATACTGCAAGCAGTATGGAACAGGTATGTTGCCTCTGACGGTTGAAAGAAAGACCTAACGCCTTCTCTTAGGCACACCGTTATCCATCGATCATTCCGCCTCAGATTCAGCCCAGTATCCCCCAAGGCTATATGTACCCAGGCTTTACGAACCAGGCAATGTTTCATCAGAATTCCGAGATGACGCTGTTCCCAACCCGTCATACTATGACAGGCTCCCCACATCGATACTCGAACCAGCAGCACTCTCTCCAGCAACCTCTGCTCGTCAGTCAGCCGAATCAGACTTCGTTCCAGACTCATCAGGCTTCGTTCCAGACTCGGTCCCATGCCTTTGGCTACACAAACGGCTTTTCGAACACCTACGAAAACGCTGCCGACGATGTTACCAGTAACTTGTTTGGCCCTTGGGGTCTCCCATATGCTTTCGGAGGGGCTCCTTCAGCGATTGAACAGGGGTATATATATGCCATGGAGAACGACTCAGGCATCAACCAAGCAGCTCCTGATGGCACAATTCACAACAGCGTTTCAGCTGCCGCAGATGAAACAACTTCATCTGGCGAGCATGAATCTATTGAAGCGAGTGTCGACAGCCTCCAGGACGAGATGGAACACTGAGTTCGATGAAATTGGTTGGATGGGCTAGCTATGATGATGGGAAGAAACTACCATTCAAAGACACTGGGACCGTGGCTTAGATAGAGAGGTCTTCTGCATAGCCACCTTTTGTTACTATACGTATACTCTACCCAGGCTAGTAATTGCCATTCAACACGGCTCGTCTCTTCATTCTGCCTCCATCACTTTGCCCAAGACACTCGATATCCTTTCAACAGCCTGTCTTGTTGTTTTTCTCTGCCTCTTTCGTACCTCTCTATCCACTCCTTTCTCCCTTTTACATCACTTCGATGCTTTTCCCTTCGCCCCGTATGTAAAACGATGAGGTTCCCAATAGACTACATGCCACAGCTCGTGCTAGCCCCTCTTGTACTGCCTTGAATCTTGACAACACTACTTGTTCAACTGCAGCTAGGCTTCGTGGAAGGTTTGGACACCGCATCCGACGGGTTGGTCTGCCCACACCCATTGATGGCGCCAAGAGCTGTGTCATCGACAGCAGCGTTGTATGCCGCACCGCAGTTGGGGTCACTACACTCCAAGTTAGCTTCCTTCGTGTGATATCCGTTACAAACAGAAAGCTGTCATAACACTAGAAGTCTCGCTTACCTGGCACCGCCACTTGCGTTGTTGAAATATGAGCAGATGTCATGCGAGAAGCAGTCTTGCGTGTAAACGTTGCCCAGAGCAGTTCCAGTACAGCCGGCACCGCATCGACCATTGCACGAATAGCTGAAACCCTCATCTTAACATTTGAACCCATGACGGCATGTAGAACGACTTACTCTCCTGAACCCGCGCTGTTGGCGCCGTAATTGCTTCCCACCACGCCTGTAAAAGTGCATGTCTGTCCAGCGCTGTTTGTCCATTTGGCCGTTGCAGTCGCTCCAACCTTCAGGCACGTAATGGCTCTTTTTTCGTGCTCAAGAAGAGAAGGGGATGGCGCAGCGAGGGCCGCAAGGGGGCAAAGAGCCAGAAGGATTGAGACTGTAGGTAACATGATGAATTAGGGGGGGATATTATTGTCCTGAGAAGCTAAAGATTGAGGCCGTTGATGTTGGTTTAAAGAAAAGCAGCTTTTCGTGACATTATATACTATTTACTTTGTCCATGGGCATTGACATCGCGTACATGGACTCTACGACGAGAGCCTCAATTCGCCGATCAACATGACAGCAAACCCAGGCTTTACGGAGCATGTCCGCGTTGGGAAACCCCATCGTGTCTTGATAGATTGGATTGCAACCACGCGATAAGCCCACACGGCAGTCTGTCAAATGAAATCTGGGGTCGGCGCAATGACGCGATCAGTCGTCATCGGCAATGGGCCGGTAACGGCAAGGTTCCGGAGTATTTTACGGAGAAACATGTCAGGGCCGGCAGGGACCGACGATGATCTCCCGCTCGGCCCGGGGCTGGCAAGTCACGTATCGGGCGAATTGTTTGTCTGGCCGAGGCTGCTTGGAACAAGAATTTATTTGAACGATTCGTATCTGTACCCTTCCTATATTCGATGCTGTCTTGAGTCATCTACAAAGCTCTATGATGAGTCTGGTTCTTCGGCCAAAGTGCAATCCCCAAGCGAATACGCTACAAACAAACCGCTACGTAACATTCATGGACGGGCGATGGGCCCATGAGGGGTATGCCCAACTGATATCAAATCCCCTTGCCTTAGAACTGGGAGCCGGTTTCTTGACCTCAGCCACCCTTTGCTCTGGCTCATGTGTCTCCACGTCTCCTCGCGAAGCGAGTCTCACCAGCAGACATCCCGCCTCGATCTCGGGGACAATATCCTCTGCCGATGCCCCGGACCGGATTCTTTTAAGAATCTCGTGTGCCTGACCCTCGGGCATAGATCGCATCGCGGAGAAAAATTGCTGCAAAGAGTCGTGGCGGCTAACCATTTCGTCGTGTCTTCTCTTCAGTGACGCGACGCGCGACTCGGACGGATCGGCATTGTAATGGCACTCGACGCCTCTGGTCGTGCAGCCTAAGCATTTGGGTCGGTCGGCGGTGCACTGGCACGAAGATTTGTCAGTAAGAGCAGCCCAAAGGGAGTCTGACGAGTTTGAGAGCTCCAGTGAGATGGTGTACCTTGATCTTCCGCTTCTTGCAGCTTTCGCATGCTACCAGCACATTGCGTCTTTTCGGCTTTGGTCTTGACAATGAATGACGCCGGAGCTGGTCGGATGCAGCCTCAAATGACCTTTTTCGGTCCATGTCGGGGCTGGACGCGGTGACATCGCTGGAACTGGACTTGAATGCGGGACGAATCTCCCGGTAACACTGATGGTTGGTCATACAATTGCTTAAGAGATGGACATAAGGGCTCATTCAAAGGGTACCATCCACTGGTTGGGAAGGAATGCAAACGGCTTTGTTCGGGGAGTGACATTCTAGATCGACCTACAGCTTGCAAGGTGGCAGACGTTACGCTTATGAAGTAGGCATCCCATTTCCACATGGATGGTGTTTTTTCGTCTTCGTGACGTAAGTATCAGCGGTTGGGACTGACCACCGGAGGGACTTCCGTCATATTCATGTTGCTGTAAGATGATTGGTTGGTTGGTCGCTTGACAAAAGGAAAAGGGGCTCGAATTACGGGAAATCGATCGACTCCGGACCAAGCCCTCCGTCAGGAACCATGACTGGGCTCTGAAAAGCGGAGAATAACATATATCACGTGACGAAACCACGTTGCTAAAGGTTCTTTGGGTGTCATTCGGTGAGACACTCTCACCAATGCCTTTTTCGGTATGCCGGTCAAGAGCCCATGAGTGGTTATTTGGATCAAAGTGATGTGAGCTGCAGTTTACGAAGGAGAGAAGGCGTGGCGTGTTTGAGTTAAGTTTCTCATGTCTCCTCCGGACAAACCAAACACGCCCATTCTTATCTCTTGGAGTCTCGCCGCGAATTGACCCATTAGAAAGTTAAGATCATGAGTTCGGGTGGACCGACGTTACATGCCCCATGTTCTGACATTTCCCACAGTTCATCTCGTGTCTGCTCTATCTCATAACTTAGTCCAACCCAGTCATGACCTCCTCGACATTGCCAGGTTAACCCGGCCGGTGAAGATGAGCCGAGTGCAACTTCTCGCCAAGCATTCAGCTCGACGTCGAGTGGTACAGATGCATGAGGTGTGTTGCGGTTCCAAGCTAACGAGCCCGACGGTCGACGGTCAACGGTCAACCGGAAGCAACTCGCGTCCATTGCTGGTTGGATACTGACCATTATGCCCTCTTTTTTTTTGTCTCTTCACCGCACCAAGATGGCATCAACACCAAACGGACCTCTGTTCCCAAAACGGCACAATCTCCAGGCCGCGGGACAGAAGGATGCGACGCTACTCACGCGCTAAAACCCCGCATGCCCATCGCCCAACTTCACCCGCATCAAGCGATGACCCTGGCTCACCCCCTCAAGCTTGGTTAGCCTAGACTGTCTTTCGAAGCTTTCCCCGCACAGCGGCATCTCAACGGCGCGAGTTTCTCCATATTCTTCTTCATTTGTTCCTTCGCCCAGGGGCATTGGCACCTTGCTTAGCCCAGCCACCCCTCGCTCTGCTTTTGCCCTTCTCGTGCCCACTGACATCGCGCCCTGAGAGATCGTCGGGTTCTCCCAAGTCTGGCTACAGCCTTGGATGGGTCTTGGCCTTGCGCAACCCCCAACGAATCTCAATGGCCCGGCTTAGAGCAGCTTCGGTCCTCGGGCCAATGCCAGCCGGCCCATCTCGGTCGGAAACCCAAACCCTTCATGAAGCCATGGAGCGGTATAAGAAGGCCAATGTCGCATTGTGATCTCGTAGCGGTCACTAGAAGACGGAGGCTTCCAGCTTGACCTTGCATCAAGCCTCATCTCTCAACATGGCGCTCGCAAAGCTCTTCTCGTCTGGCCTCTTGTTCGCCTCCCTGGCCGCCTCCAAGTGGATCATCCCCGGCGGCAGATGGCGTGACACCGAGGGCAACCTCGTCAATGCCCACGCTGGCGGCGTCACCCTCGACAAGGACACGGGCAAGTTCTTCTGGTTCGGCGAGTACAAGATTCAGGGCCAGGAGGAAGGCGGCGGAGTCTCCGTCTACAGCTCCAATGACCTGGCGACTTGGGAGTACCACGGCAAGGCCCTCGAACCTGTCGAAGGCCACCCGTACATCTCGACCGATATGATCATCCAGCGTCCCAAGGTCGTCTACAGCGAGCCCACTGGCGAGTACCACGTATGTTGGCCCGGCACACCCCAACGTGCGAACTTCAGATACTGACAAATCCCAAGATGTGGTGGCACGCCGACAACTCGACGTACGGCCTCCTCCTCCAGGGCCTCGCCACCTCGCCCAACATCTCGGGCCCCTACACCTTTGTGGACGCCATCGCGCCCCTCGGCAACTGGTCCCAGGACTTTGGCATCTTCACCGACTACAAGGACGGCCGCTCCTACGCCCTCTACTCCAACGGCGACCGCCTCGAAGGCCGCGACGTCTACATCACGTCCTTCAACGACGAGCTCACCAACGTCACCGAGGTCGTCCACCGCTTCGACAAGTACGACCTCGAGGCCCCGACCATCATCCAGACCGACTCGAGCTACTACGCCCTCATGTCCCACAAGACGGGCTACCGCCCCAACAACGTCGTCGCCTTCCGCGCCGACTCTCTCGCCGGCCCCTGGTCCCAGCCCTTCATGGTCGCCGACCCCTACACCCGCACCTACAACTCCCAGTCCGGCTTCTCCCTCAAGATCGAGGGCTCCGAGGTGACGACCTACCTCTACCTCGGCGACCAGTGGGACTCCAACTCGCTCTGGGAGAGTCGCTACATCTGGCTGCCCCTCGTCGTGGACGATGCCAAGAAGTCTCTCCACGTCGAGTGGCACGACGTCTACGACCTCGACGTCAAGTCCGGCGTCGTCACCCCGATCGAGGGAACCCCCTACTACGCCCACGACTCCGCCACCACGGCCGGCAGCGCCTTCAAGCAGGAGGCCACCTTCGCCAGCGGCGGCTCCATCGTCGCCGGCATCTACGGCAACGACAGCACCGTCACCTTCTCCGGCATCGAGGGCGCCGGTGAGCCCCAGTGGGTCTCCTTCTACTACCAGAACACGGACGACATGGGCTTCGGCGACCAGCCCGGCGGCACCCCGGACCGCATCGGCGGCAAGTGGCAGCTGCGCCGCATCGCCTCCGTCGTCGTCAACGGCAACGAGGAGCACGTCGAGACGCTATTCCAGCGCGACACCCACAAGGGCATCATCCTGTCCACGCCCCTGCAGCTGACCCTGGACAAGAGTTCCAACAACACCATCACGATCGGCGGCCTGTGGAACGGCTTTGACTTCAAGGGCGCCGACATTGACCGCATCGTCGTGTACCCTCCCGAGGGCACCCCCAGCAAGTGCAAGAAGAGCATTTAAAACAGTAATGATTAATGGAAAAAAGGATGAATGGGGGTAGCTACGAAATGCAAACGTCTTCCCATACCACGTCCTCCGTGATGGCTTCTCCATACATGACGCCGTGAACGTAGGCATCGCTCATAAGTATCCGATCTTCCCCTTCTCCTTCTTTTCTGAGTACGAGTGGGGTATAGCATCCCTGTAGTATCCAAACCTCGTCTCCGACCTCCGCGAGCTCAGACACCAGACCTATATAGCCCTCTTCAGTAGCAGCAAATTGCCGGCCTAGTATTGTAGCGTAGAGTGGGATTTGCCATCTCTGAACTTCCGCCTGCCGCATTTCAAGTGTAAGCTTCTGCTCTTTTGGACATCCGAGTTGAACTGCGTCAATCTCTATTGTTGCAGTCTCGTAGAAATGCCTCTCCATCTCAGCTACCGTGGGGAAGAGTCCCGTGTCGTCTCTCTCGGCAATATGGTCAAAGACGCCGTATTCCTGCCAAAAATATTCCCGGGCTGTACCAGTTGCAGCTGCCTTCTTCGCTCTTTTATAAGTCTGGTCCATTAGCCATTCCCTAAAACAAGGACCCATATGTGCCTTCGCGGGACTCTCCAAGATATCGCCTCGGTCCTGCAGTAATGTTCGCCAAGCTGCCTCGACGAGCGGCTGGTTCGTGAAGCGATACATTGACGGTAAGCCAGCCAGTATTGCAGCGAAAGACTTCAACGTTTCTCCGCTAGAGCCCAGCTGCATTCGGCAAACACCAGAGAGAATTGAGAGCTTGACTCCGCGACAATGGATCCTGTGCCTCTGAATGCTAACCTGTAAACCTGGTAGACCAGCCCTTTTAGATGAGTCTAGCCCTCGGTTTCGTTGAGCATAACTTGATAAGCGGGTCCTCAAGAGTGAAGCGCCATATTCAGGCACCCAGGATGGCAAATCGTGGCGCTGGCTAGGAGATCGCCAAACCAGCTGTAGGTCTTTGAAAGACGGGCAGAGATCGACCCTACCCCTTCCAGCATAGGAAATGATATCTAGACAATCACTCTCAAGAATCAAATGTCTCGTTGTGTTAAGGAACACTTCCGACACTGATGCTTGATAATCTGCCTTGGCCCATGAAACATCGATATTCTTGCACTTTGCCATATACTTGAGTATACCGTATAAAGCATGGATGTGGTCCCTCTGGTCCGTCGTCTGAAATGGTGAGGTTGTGAGCATCAGTATCGGTAGCGATGCAGCCGCTTCAGTTCCATTCAGTTCTGCAGTGTCGATTTTACAAAGCGGTAAATCGAAGTAATGAATGCTCCTAGCCGCACAAAGGCGAAAGGTGACAATGGAAAACATTGAATATGCACAGAAAATTCCGTCCAAGAGTGTAAAGGTACCGTCGGCGTCAGCCAATATAGCACGATCGTGGCCTTTCGACATGGGCCCCCAAGATTCGAAGAAGTCAACTGCAAAACAGCCGATATGATGGAACGGAATCAGCGTCTTTCCGCATAGAATATACACCACTGGCGACAAGGCTACTTCCTGAACAACCCATAACCTCCCGAACCACGTTCTTCTCATCAGAGCGTCTATGCAACTCCAATCATCCCGTGTCAGTTGGGAGTAATCGAAGTTTTCCGGTTTATTTAGCCCAGGGTCCCCCACTAAACTTTGACTCTGGAGTCTCTCCTTCTTCTGGACCGCTTCGTCGTCCGTGTGCGCAATTATGGCAAGGATGTTAGCAGCCCGCGTGATCTTGGGGCCGCCCTTCCCCAGCCAGGCGATAGTCTGCAACGCACCAGCATAGATGATGTCCATAATGCCGACCTGGGTCTCGCGCTCTCGAAGATCTTTCTGGTTGATGCAAATGGCGTCAATCCAGAACACAGCGTCTGGGAAGGTCTCTCGTAGCTGCAGAAGCGCATCGTAAAGATTCGGGCGGACGTGGAAGGCTTCGCCGTTAAGGGATATGAGTCGATCTTCCTCCGCATCCTCCGTATCGAATTCGGCCGGACCCCAAGTGTACGATAGCCCGGCATAAAGAGGGCGGTCTGAGAGGGCATATGCTTTCATGACGAGATCAGGCGGCGTCTCCTCATGTGTAGTACTGGAGCCGTCGGGTATTGATTTGATTGTGATGAGGCGGATGCGATGTTCATCAAGGGAAGTCGAATAGGTGAATCGTTTTGGACCTTCACCCCTGGTCATTTGGCCGGCCATGATCGATCACAGGAGAGAGATGTGCAGAAAGCGAGAGCAGGCTAAGGATGTGGAGAAGTCAAAAACAGGCATCCATAATGAAGGCAGTAGGGGATCATATGTAGTAATCAACCACCACGCTTATTGGTCTGATTGGTGAAGGGACTGGTGCAGATGAGTGGCACAGCAATTCTAGGTCCTCTCCAGCGTTGGGCGTTGAAGTTCCCAGCAGTTTCAATAGTCGACAGAGCAGGTAAATTCGAAGACCACAGTTGTCAAGTATCATCGCGCCAAAATGTCTGGGTAAAAGTCTGTTTTGAGCATGCATCGATCGTCAAGTATGAGGTCCAATGCGTTAACCTCCAAATCAACCCATCATCCGCTACGACCGTAACCTCTCTTCAACGCCTTCCAATCATAACACATCCATTTCTCTTCGTCTAGTCTACGAGGTGTGGACATCCGTCTTGGAGATCGCCTCCGTTACCGCTTCAATGGCGGGGTCGGCCTCGGCCTTCTTCTCAGTCGACTCAACCGAGGGCGCAGCGCCGGCCGCCTTGGCCTTCTCGGCCTCCTTCTTGGCCTTCTTACGAGCCTTTTCGGCGTCCTTGGCCGCCTTCTTCGCAGCAGCCTTGGCGGCGGCCTCTTCCTTCTGCTTCCGCACTTCCTCGCCACCAAAGGCATCCTTCCACTCCTCGATCTTGGATGCCGGGATTTGGGTAAAGAGATGCTCGGGTGTACCGAGCTTGTGGCCGGGCTTGATGGCATCAGTGACCCAGGTGTCGGGGATGAAGGGCTTGGGCTCGACGCCGAGCTGCTTGAGGATGGCGGTGGAGGTGTTGGGGAGGTAAGGGGCAACCAGAGATGCGAGCAGGTCGATCTGGTTGAGAGCGAGACCGACAACTGCAGCGCAGCGGTCAGGCTCCTCAGTAAGCAGGCGGTTGTCCAGCTTGTTGTCCTGGAGCAACTTGTTACCGAGGCTGTGAAACTTGGTCAGCTTTGAACTTTAGGGGTTCCGGAAAAGATTGGACATACGCAGAGATGGACATGATAGTCTGGAGACCAGCCCTCATCTTGGTGGCCTCCATGTTGCTGACATATTCCTTGAGCATGGCATTGACCTCATCAATGTGCTTCTTGAGGTAGTCGTCGCTGTACTTGGTGTAGTCGGGAACGACGCCGTCTGTCTTGGCCTGGCAGAACTTGTTGACTCTCTGGCAGAAGTTGCCGAGGTTCTTCAGAAGCTCGTTGTTGTTGCCGTCGACCATCTCTTGCCACATGAACTCGGAGTCGGACGTCTCGGGCCGGCGAGAGAGAAGGTAGTATCTCCAAATGTCAACGGGAACGCCGGTCTGCTGGACCTGGTTGCCAAAGACGCCGACACCTCTGGACTTGCTGAACTTGCCGCCCTCGTAGTTGAGGTACTCGGTGGTGGAGATCTTGTGCAGCTTCGTCCAGTTCTCGCCGGTGCCGAGCTGGGATCCGGGGAAGATGATGGTGTGGAACTGGACGTTGTCCTTGCCCATGAATTGGTACAGCTTGACGTCGTCGGGGTTCTTCCACCACTGCTCCCACTTCTTGCCGGCGAGGTCGTCGCCGTCGGTGTAGTTCTTGGTGATGGAAACGTAGCCGATGCAGGCGTCGAACCAGACGTAAAAGACCTTCTTGGCATACTCCTGTCCAACCTCGTGCGTCGGGATGGGAACACCCCACTTGAGATCTCTGGTGATGCCACGGGGCTTCAGGCCCTTGTCGATCCAGGCCTGGGTGATCTGCTCGGCGTTGTTGCTCCACGCGCCCTTCTTGCTGGATTCCTTGAACCACTTGACAAGCTCATCCTTCAATGCGTCGAGTCTGAGGAAGAGGTGCTTCGTCTTGCGCTTCTCGGGGGTAGCTCCGTCGAGCTTGCAGCGGGGCTTGATGAGGAAACCGGTGGGCTTTGCCGCGACATCGTCTTCGGCAGAAGCGTTGGCCTCGGGCTCGGGCTCCAGGGGGTCGAGGAGGTTACCGCACTTGTCGCACTGGTCTCCTCTCGCGCCGTCGTAGGCGCAGATGGAGCAAACACCCTCGACGAACCGGTCGGCAAGGAAGGACTGGTGGGTCTCGACGGGGCAGAAGGGCTGGACGGTCTCGCGCTCCTCGATGAACCCGTTCTTCCAGAGCTTGGTGAAGATGTCCTGGACGATCTCGGTTTGTTGGGGGGTCGGGGTTCGGCCGAAGATGTCGAAGGAGATGTCAAAGTAGTCGTAGATACCCTTGTGCAGAGCGTGGTACTTTGCGCAGAGCTCCGACGGCGTTACGCCCTCCTCGAGGGCCTTGGTCTCGGTCGCAGTGCCGTATTCGTCGGAGCCGCAGACTGTAGAGGGCCGCGTTAGCTAGGTCAGGAAAGGCGAGTAGCGGACAGTGGCCGGAGTCTCACTGTAGATGGTGGGGTTGCCGCGCGCGCGGGAGTAGCGAGCAAAGACATCGGCGGACAGCACACTGCCGATGATGTTTCCGAGATGAGGAACGTTGTTGACGTAGGGCAACGCCGAGGTGATGAGGACGTTGTTCTTGCCCTTGACGGGCAGGATGGGATTCGGCGCCATGTTGCGGTATTCGTGGGTGCAGGAGGAGGGAGCCTCGGAATCGGTGGTGTCGTGTGCGGGAGGGAGGGAAAAGAATTGGACCGCCGTATCGGGGAAAGGAGTCAGGGTAAAAGACAGAAAGTTGCCATGCGCCTGGTGCTTCCACCGCCCTGGCAACTGTGACTCTGATTGACGCGAGAGCCACAACCCCGCACTATTCCTTTTCGGGATGAGGGGCACGGCCGGGAAAGCTTGGGCCAAGTCGACGAGTCCAATTGCGTTCCCGAGTCTCCGGCATTGAATGTGATGGGGGATGCAACCGAGTATCAACAGCTTTGATAATAATGATAATATGGAATAGCTTAGATTGGTGATGCTTTAATACTGTATCTCGATCTCGGACCATCTACTTACAAGAATCATCTCCTGTTAGAAGATGATACGTCCGTGACTCAATGTTGGTGTCCCTCAACAGTTACTTCCAAGTTACCCCCAGAAGACTCGGATGATGACATATCCACGCCATGTAGGGAGTGCAAGGCGCAGTGAACAAACTGTAGGGCGTGTTGCGCCCTAGATTCCTGGTCTCAATTCCATCATTTGCTGCTGCGATTGGTGATGGCGTTCCAACTGGTCAACATTACCCCAGATTTCACCCTTCTTTGCCTACCAACGACTCTCAGAGACTCAGTCAAGCCACATATCCTTGACTCACGTCTAAATCAGACTCGTCGTTGGCCATCCGACCTTTGTTCGCTCAGACGACGCTGTTGTGGTTGGCGTCTGCCCCAGATTCCGGCTAGTCCAAGGAGGAAGCATGTTTACCTCACGCCACTCTGGAGTGTAAAGCACAACCATGCCCGGTGACGTTTCTCGAGTCATTGTTTCCCGACACGAACAAGGTTCGTCAAGGGTAGATATGATGACTGAAATCCTACATTCTACTGCGACTTCCAGAACCGGTATCAAACAAGTCACTAATTGAACTTTGGGGGAGCCAAAGAGAAGAAAGAATGAAGCCTCATCCAAACAACTGTAACTTGACAGCATTTTCGTCCGAAGGAGCAGATAGTAACCCAATTGACATTTTTCAAAATCGGACGGCCCATCGCTATGGTACGAAAGCAGCGAATATGTACTTTTCCCAACCCGTGACATGCTCCCTCTTCATCCTCAACGTCAACACGACAAGAAAAAGACAAGACACCGCCGTCGCCTCAATCCCCAAACGGCGCCAGGTTCCACACGTCGACGACGCCGGTATACCGCCCGACGGCCATCATCTTGCCGTCCGCCGAGAAGGCCGCGGCCGTCACCAGCCCGTCGATGCCCGCCGCCGTGCGCACCTCGGCGAGCACCTGGCCCGAATACACGTCCGAGATGTCCATGCCGTCCTCGGTGCGGCACGCGAGGAACCGGCAGTCGGGCGACACGGCCAGCGGCCACCCCTCGTTGTTGCGCACCTTGTTCAGCTCCCAGCTCGACATGCGCCCGGCCTCGTGCTCCCACACGTAGACGGCCCGCGACCACACCGACACGACGACCCGCCCGTCGGGCGACACGCCCAGCGCCCGCGCCCCGGTGCCCGTCGCCGTCGCCACGCCGTCCACCTCCATGCGCCGCAGCGTCCGGCCCGTCTTGGCCTCCGAGATGCGCACCGTGCCGTCCCGCGACAGCGTCACGAGGTCCGTCCCGTTGGGCATGAAGAGCACGTGCGTCGGCGGCGCGTGGTTCACGACCCCGGCCACCTTCTTGGTCGGTGGCATCCCCGGCGGGCTCGTCGCCGCCTCGAAGACGACAACCACCCCCATCGGGTCCGCCGCCGCAAACATCTTGCCGTCGCGGCTGAACACCGCCGGCCGCGCCACGCCGTTGAGGATGCACCGCACGCCCTTGCCCTCCTCGCCGGCGCGGAGCTTGACGCGCCACTCCCGCTTCGCGCCGGCGTCCTTCTCCACCACGGCCGTGAGCTTGCCGTCCGGGCTGAAGACCACGACCGGCGCGTCGGTGTTGATGTCCGACGGCACCACCCGCGCCCCCGTCGGCGCCGGCTTGTGGACAAAGTCCCAGAGCTTCGTGTTGGACGGCAGCGCCGTGCCCGTGTTGTCCTGGGACGTGGCGACGTAGCCCTTGGGGCTGATGGCGATGGCCGTCACGGGGCCGTTGTGGCACTGCGTGCGCCCGAGGTTCTTGAGGCGCAGGATCGACGGCGGCAGCGTGCCGTCGTGGAGGTTGAGCGAGCGTATCGACCCCGAGATGGACGGCGCCCTCGCCGTGGTCGGGTTCGCTCTTTGGTGATGATGGCGATGGTCAGCCAGCGTCTTTGTCACGAGAGTCGATGCAAGCCAAGACTCACCCCTCCGCAACCGCCTCCTCATAGCTTGGCATCTGGTCATCAGCCGACGGGCCATGGCCGGCGTCCAGGAAAGTACTCATGGCGGCCCTCGATCGGATTTAGCACGCCTTGAGGCGAGTTTGTCATCCGTGTTTAAGAAACCCAAAAAAAAAACTTGAAGACACATGGGAGGAAAGTTGAGTTAAAGTCGGCCGGCTTTAACTATAATGGCCCTGTCAAACGAACCCCGGTTCCCTGGGCCCAGCGTTTCTTGGATGTCACCACACAGCCGCAATCTGGCAGAGCTACCGAGCTACCAAGACCCCTGCCACGCAGCTGTAATAACCGACGAAACCTTGTCTCCGCCGGCCGATGACCGGCCGGGCCCATCGGGCCACCCCTCGAGGGGCGCTGTTCTTTTTATCAGCGCCGCAGGGCGACTTGCATGCTGTGCGCGGGGGTGAGGCGTGCGCGTCCCGCATCGTTCCAGACAAGCGCGAGCGGCCCCCGGAGAACTGCGTTTCGTCATGGCTGTATGACCACATTGAATGACAACACGTTGCAAGGGGATTTTCGATTGCACGCGAAATGCATATCGTGGTCATCAAATGGTATTCTTTTTTGGTTTCGCTATTCCACATTACATCCTCCCATACTCCGTCCTCCCATACACTGTCCTCCGTTACTGGCCAAAGGCCTCCTCGTAGTTGGTCAGGCAGTATCGGTAGCGGACCTTGGAGTCCTCGATACCGTTCATGGCCGACCTCAGGCCGTCGGGGCTGATGGGGACCTCCTGCACCCACGTCTTGATGCCCTTGTCGGCGGCAAGCTGCAGCATCTCCAAGGTCTCGCGCCTGCTGCCCAAGTGCGAGCTGCCGATGAAGCAGCCGTTGGGGAGGAAGTCCTGGTTGCGGACAGTGATGCCGCCGCCGCCGGGGAGGCCGACGGACACCCACTTGCCGTGGACGTCGAGCAGGCTGAGGTACGCCGAGAGGTCGAAGCCCTCGAACGAGTTGGCCGTGTTGAGGATGAGGTCAAACGTCATCTTGTGGGGCTCGTTCCAGCCCTTCTCGCCGCTGGCGAGGTAGCCGTCGGCGCCCATCTTGAGCGAGTCCTCCTCCTTGGACCGCGAACGCGAGATGGCCCAGACCTCAGCGCCCAGGGCCTTGGCGAACATGATGCCAAAGTGACCGATACCTCCGATACCGACAATGCCGACCTTCTTGCCGGGCCCGCAACCGTTCCTGATCAGAGGGCTGTAGGCTGTCAGGCCAGCGCAGAGCATGGGGGCGGCGATGGTGCTGGGCAGGGCGTCGGGGATGGGGAAGACCCTGCTATGCGTCAGTCTTGGTCATCGTGTGAGAGGCAGGACTTGGGCTCACCAGTGCTCGTGAGTGCGAACATGGGAGGAGTAGCCACCCTGGGAGATGGCGCCGGAGTCGGGGAACGTCGAGCCGTAGGTGTCGAGCTGGTGCTTGCAGTACGTCTCGTTGTCGTTCTTGCACTGGCGGCACTCAAGGCAGGCGTAGGACTGGGCACCAACGCCAACGCGGGAGCCCTCCTTGATCTTGGTGACCTTGGGGCCGACTCTCAGAGCCTTGCCGACGATCTCTAAGACACGTGTATTAGCCGAGAACCCCCTCCAGTGAAACGGGGGAAGCAGGCTTACCGTGGCCGACAGCCAGAGGGTAGGGCTGAGCACCCCAGTCACCCTTGATGGTGTGAACATCACTGGCGCAAACACCGCAGCACTCAATCTTGATGTCGACATCGTAGTCGCCAAAAGGCTTGGGATCGAATTGCTGCTTCTTAAAGTCTTGCCAGGTCTCGGCGCTGTTGACCTGGAAGCCGGTGAACTTCTCGGGGATGGACATGCTGTCTACTGTGATCGGATCTGGGTAATGGTATTTGAAGGATCGATCAAGACTTCCTGGCGAGAGCAGGCGAAGTAGCGGCAGAATGGTACTAGAGGAGGAGAGGGAGGGAAAGATCGAGAGTAGGTCACGGAGGCCAGAGGGGACCGCGGCGGATGAAATACTCTGGCCATCGCAGAGCTGCTATCGAACCCCCCACCTTCTAGTTTGTCCCGGCGCTGCGCATGCAGCAAAGGGCATTCATCCTTGGATGAGGGGCAGCGCCAGCTGCGACAGACCAAGAGGGGCTAATGTCGCGCCGCAATGTCATCCCATGCGAGGGGGATGGGGGTGGGCGAGACCCTTGCCCAAGACTAGGCGGTTGTTGGAAGATCAGAGAAAAAAGTGTCCTGCTCGATCCTGCAACACCGAGCTGATGGCTTGTTCTTACACCCCCGCCCGTTTGTCGACAACAGACGCCGTAGAGCCGCAGGGAGGACGTGTTTGTCGAGGGCCGCATGGCGAGATTGTGAATTACTGCTTCCTCTGCAACAAAAGCGCTGAATGTGCATCTTCGCCCATCACCTCTCATTCACCCGCGCACCCCCCCCCCATACACGTCCATCGTGCCGCGCTGCCCCGCGATGATACCCCACCATTGCCCGCCAATTGCACCGCACAATCCACCCCAATTTGAGGTGGCTACCCGGGGGTTGGGGGAAGGGAATTTGTCCGGGGGATTTTCCGAGGCGACGTGCCGAACTTCCCACCAACCAAAGCGCGAGTTTCCCGTTTCGGTCCTCGACAGGCTCGACGGAGAGTCCACGATAGTAGATAACATCGGGCTTGGCTTGAGCCCCCAAAAAAGTCTTTTGTCGAGGGGCCAACCTCGCTACATTGGTGTCCCTGTTTCGCTGTATCTCGGCAAATGTCTCCGAGCGCATGTGTGCCATGCAAAGACCCCAGCCAACCATCGGCCTCGTGATGCGCGCATTGTCCAAGATCCCGCCGAGTTACAAACCATCGAGGAACATGGGCCGCCTGTCAGACGAGTCAGCCAGGCCAGCATGTCGGTGTTTGCTCGGGCTTGATATCACGTCGACTGAGCGGCCTCTTCCATCGTGCCGGAACGTTCGCATGCAGCGGCGTTTCCAAGATTTTGTCCGGGTCGAGTTCTCGCACCCTCGGTGGCGGTGTTTTCCAGACCGAACATGGACGGCTCGGGCTCGGTGCAATGTTCGGGCGGTCGTCCGCCGCCGCCGCGGCAGCAATAACCCCGGTCGGGGATGCCAGGTATTGGAACGAACCGTCTCCGCCGTACCCGCTCTACTGCTGCTTCTGCACCAGCGTTCGGCGGCGGGTCAACCCAACACCGGCGAGGAACGCGATGCGCATGGACGCACCGAGGTAGACGAACGGGACGTTTCCCCAGTCGATGGCATTCCACTTGGCAAAGTTGTAGTAGACTTCGGGGCCGAGGCTTCGGACGGTGTACAGGTGGCCAATGTCGGCGACCAGGAGCACGAAGAGGACCGTCTTCCACACGCGCAGGTCCGATGTCGAGCGTAGGACGAGGGCTTCGTTGAGAGCGAAGAGGAGGTAGAGGTTCGCGAGCTGGGAGAGGACGATGGAGGTTCCCTGAGGAATGACCTCTGGCTTCGAAGCGGCGTGGGTAAGCTGCAGGTAGTCGTCTGGGCGAACGTGGGCAAAGTAGGCTCCTACGAGAGCAGAGATGGGCTCGATGCCGAGAAAGAAGACGCGGTACAGCCGCGGGATGGTGAGGCCCATCCTCGTGCGCTGAACGTTGCTGGAGGCCATGATCACAGTTGTTCGTGCAGCAGCTGTTGGGAGGTTGAGGGCAAGCCGCGGCGGCCTAGAGCAATGGTAGACGGAAGAGAGCAGGAGAAGCTGAGGGGAACTTCGAGACTGTTTCGTCTCATCATGGGGGTTTCTGGCGTGACGGGCACCCTGATGGACCTCTTCGTCATGGGCTCGAGCAAGGAAAAACAGAAGCTCCGAGCGGTCCGGGCCCCGCCGTGCCGGGGCCGAATGGACGGGGATGGTCCGTGCCCCATGCACACCATCCCTGAGTGCAATTTACCATCTATGCAGGAGGTACGGCATCAGCTCTGGAGGATTTCCTACCAAGTTCCAGGACCCTCAGCTCCGCTGTCTATTCTATTTGGCTGACATTTTCCATCGTGTGCCGTTGTGGTTGTCGCGTAGCTCAGTTCGTGGCTTGAGCCTTTCCCAACATGTCCAAGTTCATTCTCCTACAGAATCCCCAAGCTAGCCATGCTGCTGGCCAATGAAGACCGGCAATTGAAGCAAGCCATGTAGCAATCCGGGGAAGCGAGAAAGTGATGCCAAAGCCATCCCTGACCAAGAACGCACGGGTGGTTGCGAGGAGGAGGGGGTTCACACAAAGACGTGCCCACCCTCGATCATCTGGCAAGGGGCTTTATAACTCGTGGATGCACAAAGACAATGCAGTGCTTCGGAAAGGGTACCACTGCCATGGTAAGAGTGAGAAGCTGGCGTCCGTCAATGTCTGCAAGCCAGCCGCTGCAGATGGGTTTCGATCAGAGCAGGCGGTCAGGCGGCGGTGAAATGGCGCCTCCTTCAGCAATTTGCAAAGAGGTGTGGCAGCCAATCTCCAAGCTGCAAGCCGTCATTGTGATTGTGTGTATGTTTGCCCAATTCCCCAGTTATCTAACAGCGTGTCATTGGAATGGGCGAGGCGCATCCTCATATCGACATTGGCTCTCGACAATGGCAAAAGCCTCGGCATGGTTGCAATCGCACCGGGACTGGTGCAGAAAGCTGCATGTTCTTGTTCACGTCACGGATTGGCTGAAGTCGAATATCTGAATGCGACAGGGACAAAATCTCCGGAATTGAGTTTGGGTTCGACGGACGGAGGCGACGACAGGGTTGCAGCAGCCCAGCCGACAGGAGCCAATGGGCGGAAAAGGGTGGGATTGTCAAGGTGCTGGTGCATGCAGCTAGGGACCGAGACCCTGGGCAGCCAGCCGCGGGAACCTGCGACGTGACAGTGGTGCTGTGTTGATGAAGCGCAATAGTGTAGGTACCTACCCACAGGGCACCTGTGTACGATGAGGGAAGGGAGGGGGCATCTGGCAGATTGCGGGATTGTTCCAGGCCCCCGAATTCGACATGGAGGTGGAGGGTTGCACAATCTGATGATTGGAGGGAGGCAGAGAGGAAGTTGACGAGTAGTGTACACAGTACAGCACCGATGGAATGAGGGTGTATGGTATGTACTGAATACCTTTTGCTCTGCAGTAGACGTGCCGAGTCCACGTGTAGCTCAACTCAACTCGAACTCATGGAACGCCCCAGGTATCTCGGCGTTGGGACACACACACACGGCACGTTGTGCCGTAATCTCATTTGGTTGCAGCGGGCGACAATTCCCGTGCCCATACGGAGTAGTACACTAGTGTATGTATGTTGCTCGACTGGCCCCCCGGATGTAAACAATGCGATACTGGGGGTTAAACCTCGATGGCAACGAGACAGAGGTTTGGTTGTCGAGTCTCGACGTTTTTTTGCGAACATATGCCAATCTCCGCTTGGGAAACATACGAAAAGCCCTTTCTCCTTTTCCCCACGACGACTATCCTTTGCTCAACCGCAACTGGCTCACTCGTATCCCATACTCTGTCCTCTGTACTCCGTACACCCAGGCCTTATCTCACACCTGCAGTCAGCATTCAAAGCCACCGCGCGCTGAGGTGTGTTTGTAAGACTGGCTTGGCTGTCTTCCCCAATCTTAGCTTGTTGCTTCTCTCGCCATCCTACGAGACTACTACCCACGACTCGCTGATGTATGTCTCCCGTCGCCACACGCACCACACACACAACGCCCGTGCTCCGGTTTGTTTCTATATACTGACATGACAGTGGGACAGAGTCGTGGATGTCGACACGAATCGTCCGTTGTTCGCTGATTCCCTCCAAGCCCAGGGGACGACGACTCAGTTCCCCGGGCTACTTGGTCGATCCACGCTGATTCTGTAACAAGCGCGGCGCACGTTCGACTTTGACACCAACAAAGAAGCCGGCCGGCCTGGCCGCCACGGTCGCCTCTAGCTCGCTTCTGTTTTTCTTTTGTTTCTTTTGAATTGTTTTATGGGTAGTTTTTTTCCCCTGTTGCTGCTGCCCTCCTACATACGCGTCTTTCGTCCCTTTTCTGGGGAATTCCCATCTCTTGTTGCTTCCAGCATTGTTCTTCGCAACGGCCCGCCACTTTGTTGCCTCCTGCCCCCAGCCAGTCTTTATTTTCTTTTCTTTCTCCATCTTTATCGGTCTCTCCCTGCGTCCCTGCCCTCTTTTTGCTCAGCGATCAGCGCTTCATTTCGAGCCAGACTATACATATATCCACAGAAGCTTCTCAGCGGATACGCAGCAGGGGAAAACGGCTTCGCAATATTTACATCAACATTACTCAGCCCCCGTCAGCCATCAACAGTCGCTAGTCACAGTCAGTCAACAACGGCGGCAACACGAGGGCTTGCACCGGCCTCGACCTGCACCACCCGCACGTTCACCTCACCTCGTTTCTGTCCGCCGGCTCTTTTTTCTTTCCTTTGTTGACTCGCGTACCTACGGAGACCGACAAAACGTTGTACACATACCAACCCGCTGCTGTACATCTTCTGGCGATCGCCAGTCCTCTCCTCCGCGACTCTCCTCGGCGTCCTCACCATCCATCCATCCATCCATCCGTCCATCACCTCTGCTCCATTGTCAATCTCCTGCTCCATAACGATCATTGCCTCCTGGGCCTTCGCGCATAGTCGAGTCTCCACCACCCACCGCCCTTTTTCCTGCATTGGAACCCCAGCCCCGATCCGGAAGCCCCAAACAAGCCGATTCTTCTTTCGACCTCCCCAACCAAGAACGGACCCTGAAAAATCTGAAAAAGAGACGCCAGACCGGGGTGGACGAACTCCCATCGACCCTTGACGCCCCCTAAGCCTGAAAGGGCCAATCTCCAGCAGACCCCCAGTCGCCCAAGCATCCTCTCCCCCAGGACCCCAGGGACGGCCGACTTCCGTGATTCCCACTGCCGCCGTCGCCGCCTCCGCCTGCACTGCGACCAAGGGATACCTAAACGGCTGCTGCAGCCCATTTCCTTGTGTGCTGCACCGGCACGCCTTTCTCCCTACCCCGTCTCCAAATATTCCGCCCAGCTGCCTCCTGACTGGCCGCCACCCTCCCATCCACCCCCATTATCCACCCTACAGTGGCCCAGCCTTTTGGTGGAAAGCCCGAGACAATTCCGTCTTGACTGCTGCGACTGTCGGGCGCCCCAGACAGAGTCAGGTAGGTCTAGGAAGGGCGACAGAAGCGACAGAAGAAGAAAAAAAGGGAGAAGCTTGGACGACAGGTAACGAACACCCCCTCGACTCGACTCGACTCGACTTTCCTGTCCCTGTTTAAACCCTTCGAGCCTCCCGCTGACCATGCGATCATCCCAGGTTGCTTGTGCTGTGTTGCTGCCCCACGATCCGGTTTCGACCTCCCCTTTTTCTCCCCTGATAGCGCGACAGGCGCCTCCTTCGTCGACTTTCGAAGCCTCTAGGTCCCGGTCAAGGTCGATTTCGACTCCGACACGCCCTCACGCAGCCGTCGACGGCATCAACGCTCGTCAACATGTCTGGACACACCTGCAACGTCTCCGAGTGGGCTCCCGCCCAGGAGGCCATCTACGACGAGCGCCCGTCCACATCTGCCATACAGGAGGACGACTTGGACGGACACGTCAACGCCAGACCTGCCTTCCAGCAACACCGCCTCCGCAGCATGAGCCTCTCGCTCCCGTGGCGGCGCAAGTCCTCCATGCTTCACCTCGACTCCGATCTGCCGAGCCATTTGGAAGAACTCTCCCTCGAGCGGTCTCGGAGCCATGCCGGTCCCAGCGGCGAAGATGATTTCAAGCACACCCACGATACACACCCGGCAGCACATGGCAATGGCAGTATCAAGGGCATGTTCCGTCGCGCGTCCATCTCGCTAAAGGGTATGGTCCATCATCACAAACGACACTCCATCGGCGGTGCCCATGGTCTCGGCCTCGGCCTCAGCCTCGACGAGACCCATCACCACACTCTCCGCCCTGGGACTTCCCACGCCCACGCCCACTCGCCTTGGCACCGGCTCCGCCAGGCCACGAGTTTCCGCCAATCCAAATCTTCCCACGGCCACGAGACACAAAGCGACGCCTCCGCTTCCGATCAGTGCTTCCCTTGCCTGCCGCTCCCTGGAAACGGCAGCGAGCCTCCTGTCATTCCCTTCCACACTGGTGGCGCTGCCAAGGCGGCGGCGGCGGCGCAGAACCAGGCCCTTCACAACAAGTGGCTGAGTGCTTCGTCGGACGACTTCACAGACCACGAAAGCGGCATCGGCATCACGGTCACAGGCGGCGACTCGGATGTGGACTTGGAGCTGGAGGACTCGAACATCAGCCGGATCGATTTCATTGCGCAGCTCCCTGTCGAGCTGGCGATCCAGGTCCTCGCCCATCTGGACGCAACGGCCCTTGGCACCGCCAGCAGAGTATCCCGCGAGTGGCAGCTGATGATCAAGAACCAGCACGTCTGGCGAGAGTCTTTCCTGCGCGAAAGGACGGCTACGTACGCGACCAGTCTCCCGGTCCAGCCGGGGACTGGTCAGGGTGTGCCGGCCATCAACCCTGGCGTCAACTGGAAGCAGATTTACAAGGCCAAGGACGAGCTCGACCAGCGATGGAAAGAGGGCAAGGCGAGACCTGTATACCTAAACGGCCATCTGGACAGCATTTACTGCCTGCAATTTGACGAGTAAGCACATCCACCCTTGACGGGATGGCCAAGCAACTAACACCAAGACAGGACCAAGATCATCACCGGCTCCCGCGACAAGACGATCCGAGTCTGGGACATGCGGACCTTTGAATGCCGTCTGGTCATCGGGCCTCCCGAAGTCGTCAACGACGTGTCCCTCCTGCTCGACGACGATGGCAACCCGGTTCACTATGCCACCCTTCCCGACAATCAGCGGTCGAACCCGTCCATGCCCGCAATGGTCTCCTTCCCGACGCACCACAAGGCCTCGATTCTCTGCCTGCAATACGACGACCGCATGCTCGTGACGGGCTCGTCCGATTCTAGCTGCATTGTGTACAACGTCCGCTCTGGCTACAGACCGGTCCGCCGTCTTCAGCACCACACCGCCGCTGTGCTGGACCTTGCCTTTGACGACAAGCACATCATCACCTGCAGCAAGGACATTAGCATCTGCGTCTGGGACCGCGCGACAGGCACCCTGCTCCGTCAATTGCGCGGGCATTCGGGTCCCGTCAACGCCGTCCAGATGCGTGGCAACACCATAGTATCGTGCTCCGGCGACTTTCGTGTCAAGCTCTGGAACATCGACACGGGCAAGAACATCAGGGAGTTCCAGGGCCACACCAAAGGTCTGGCGTGCTCGCAGTTTTCAGAAGACGGCCGTTACGTCGCCTCGGCCGGCAATGACAAGGTCATCCGCATCTGGGACGCCAACACAGGCGAGTGTCTCCGCGAGATGAAGGCTCACGATAACCTTGTGCGCAGTCTGCACATCGACTCCGTCAGCGGTCGCCTTGTCAGCGGCAGCTACGACACGGATATCAAGGTCTTCGACATGGAGACTGGCCGGCAGCTGCTCGACTTCCCGCGATGGCACGCCAGCTGGGTGCTGAGCGCCAAGAGCGACTACCGACGAATCGTCAGCACGGGTCAAGATCCCAAGATTTTGATCATGGACTTTGGCGCCGACGTCCCGGGCATCGAGGCCCTGGAGAGCGGCGGCGCCTGCGCGATTGACGGCGGATACATCTAGATTCTTACGAAAAGACTCATCATACAACCTACATAATACTCTAATACCGAGAGCGGCATGGCTGGACCGCCCTCAACTGACGACGTTCATTCATCACGACTTGGGCGACGATTGGAAGAAGTAGACTTTACATAGAAGAAGGAGGGGACATCTGGAGACAACAGACCCCCTTTCCACGGAGGCGTACTGGAGAAGTGGCGGCATTTCATCCACTTTGCATTGGGAACGCAGGTTTCTGTCTGGGTTTGGTTTCTTTTCTTTTTTTGTCTGGGCTCAATCATTGTCGAGCCAGACGTTTTTTCTGTTCTTTTGCATGGCATCCTGGGCTTTGTTGCATAGACGGCTACTGGATAGAAGCATTATAGATTCTGTTTCGCCATCACTCCTCGGGCTTCAATCCCATCAAAGTCCCATGAAGAAACCCATCAAGGGACTGCAGGTGAGGAATCTCCCAAGTTGACGCCCGATCGCCATTTATGTTATGCTATGAGGTTGCAAACAGACGCCAAGGAGACGGACTTTCCATCGGCGGACAGGACGGGGAACGCCGAAACGGGGATGCCCTCGCACATCAAAGCGGCCGAGTCGGGCTGGCAAGACGACGTCCGATGTCCATTGGGGGGGTTTCAGGACGTCTTTTTGGTGAGGGGGAAGCAAAAGCCAGGACGTTGTGTTCTTGCTTTCGAGTTCGAAACAGCAGAAGTGTGCAGATGCAAGTGGTCTGATGGGCGGCACTCTCTTTTCCCCCTCTCTTGCATGTTTGCATGGCGTTTTGTTTCGAGAGCTGCGCGGCAGGGCTGTGTGTGTGTGTGTCTTTGCGTCTGGGGTTGACTGATGGATTGGTGAAAGGAGGGGTGGCTTTGAACGGTCCGGTCTGTGCTCAGACATGAGATGGAGATGGGATTTCAAAGGGTCCGCAAGGGTTGAGTGCCTTTTCTCTTTTTTTTCCTTTCTTTTCGTCCGGTCATGTTTCGTCCCGACGCGGACTTGCGTAGATGTGCGTGTTGCGTATTGCAGAGTCCATGGCGGGAGCGGGATGTCGACGTGGAGGGCGTCCGGCTTGCAAAAGTTCAAGTTTATGGTGTATTTGGATGATCCTATTGCCATGGCTTTGTTTTCTGCGGCGGCATCATGGCGAGATGCCCTTTGTCGTCTCGGGATCGGACCGGGCCTGCGCTCTGAGGCTGTCCCGTCATGACATGATACCTGACGACAGACTGGCGTGGATGATTGCGATCAGCTCAGCTCTGGGCAGAGATGGACGAGTGGCGAACGGTGGACGCGAGTTGGGAGATCGTGGACCGTGCCTTCCAGTCATCCGCGAAATGGTCGAGCACTTGGAGTGTCCGAGGACGGGCTGGAAGGGACTTTGACGAGACGATCACGATGATCTGGCGGGCTGATGATGCGGGCGGTTTTTGTGGCAATGTCTAGCTAGGTTTGTCGACCAGCAGGTCTTAAGAGAGGAGTCACTTTGGGATGTAGGGACACAGCAAGCCTTGATTGATGTCGGGGCAAGGAGGTGACAAAATACACCGCCGGTTCAATCTCTATCTCTTTATTTGTAAAGAACCATACTGCGCCACCAAATCGGATCCAATGGATCCGGAAAAAAACTGGAAAAGTTTCCTAAAGATTCAGGGATGAGATAAACAGCTTATTTTCGATGAGTGATAATCGATGGTCGTGTAGTGACTCACTTTAGTAAAGGCTCAAGGAGAAAAGGCGGCGGTTTATTTTGTCACTCAATGGCGGGGTCTGGGTGAGGATCTGGTCGAGCTTGATGCTTCATCTCAACTCAACTCTTGTGTCATCCAGAATTGGGTCGAGGATTTGGCAGGTCTGACCGACGAGGCGAGGTTCAGCTGGCATCTTGACGGAACGTCTGAAATGGGACCACTCAAGTTGACTTACACTCAGCGTACACGGAGCAACGAGAACCGCCGAGGGGTCCGTAGAAGCTGCCCAGGTTTCCTTCATTCCTTCATCCGCGTTGTTGGCTGTCTGACGTGGGGTTGACGCGGAGTTGAAGCGAACAATATGAACTTGCCCGCTCGCCTGAACCATAAACACAAAGCAAGACGAGTATGATGAAGAATGTTACATGGCGTACGTATTCGATGTCGTCTCGGGAGAATTGTTCGTAGATTGCCTTGTGCGACGATCCAGCGAGATGGTGAACTCAAAAACCGACAATGTCAAGCTGAATGGCACCGACTTAGAGTAACCCCACGTGCCTATGGTTGGGTCAGAGTACCACAACCAACTTCGAGCTCCTGCCTACCCCAGCAACCCCCTTTTTCTTAGGCGAGGGACCCGAGCATCAGGTTGAGTAAGGTTCGAGAGAAAGATGGGAACGATTATATTGCTTCGTGCCAGATGCAACGTTGGTCGGCCAGGCCGGATGGACGCGGCATAGGGAGCCTCATCAACATGTGTTCATCTCATAACTTTTAATTTAAATCTCTTTCTCACGATGCTGGCCCTGGCTAGTAGGGGGGTTTGTCTTCGAAAGGTGCACGGAAGTGGTTCGGCTCTATACCACTGTGGCTGGTTCCTCACGTCTCTCTCGTCGTACCATGTTCCTAATCCCTCAGGCTTCTTTCACCCAAACGTTCCTTACCTCAGGCCTCCAAACGCCTTTCGGGCTCCCTTCCAGGGTGGAATGAAGCCGCAGAGAAGCCGGCCAAGCACACCCAACGAGACACAAGCCTCTAACGCTGGTCGCGTAGCTCTAGCCCGCGGTAGCTCCTTTGCGTTAGATTAGTGCCGAATTTAGGCCAGCATGCTCCCTGGGGGGTGATCTGCACTACCGTCGACCCATCGTCGCAGACGATCTGCAAAGGCGTAGGAAAATGCGGAGAGAGGTCACTTGGGGGCAGTCGTGGTGGACGTGCGAAACCACGAGGACGTGGACTAGCTGGGGGCGAGACATTCATGTGTTCCAATAATGGGTTAGAGGGGGGGAGGAGCAAAGATTGGGGTTCGTTCACGGAGGTGTGTGTGCGTGTGTCTCACGACTCCACGATTCGATTCGCGAGCAAGCCACAGACAACACTCTCCACGAGGGGCAGGGTACCGCAACCACGAGCGCTGCCTCTGCTGCGAATGTGTGGGCCATGTGGACGAGAGGCCATGGGGATGCCACCTGACCGTGGGAAGCGAGCGGTCTATTACGGGCGAACAGCCAGAACGGGTCGGTTGAAGGTGATATTCTCGGGACATTTCCCGCCCGACGGCGTAATCCGGGGCTGCTCTTGGCTATGAGCAATTTTGCATCGTTGTCCATGGGCTTTAAACTCTTGGCACAACAAGGTTGCCGACCACTTCGGGGCCTGCTTGAGCAATCGAGGTTCTTTTAAGGTGTTCTTCTGTTTCTTGGCCTCGCCAGAACCGTTTTTTTTAGCCTTTTGCGCTTGAACGGCAATTTCCTCCAGACAGAACCGGGACGGAGAGATCGACGGCCACCGTGTGTGTTGTGGTGTGGTGTAGTGTCGCGGCAGGTAGCAGACGGCACATGGCGGCGGTCTTGGTGGCATGCGACCGGCGTCTGAAAAGGGGGCGGACGAGAAACAAAGACAAGGAATCGGCCGTCCCTTTTACCGGCGTTCCTGACTCGAATGCTCTACTGTATACAGACTAAGTTTGTGGTCGTCTTGTTGCGTTCCGCTGCGCAGCGGACAGGGAGGCCAGCCAAAGGCAGCAGGATACGACGGAAACTTGGCAGCAGTATCATCTGTGACCAGGAATAGGACCATCAATGCGCAGATAGAGTGCAGATAGACAAGAGATGTGCGGGGCGCGGCGGGAGCGGGATGATCAAGGCTTCTCGACTGGGAAAAGGGGGCACCCGGTTTGCAACAAAAAAAACAGACATACCTTAGAGCCTACCACCACGAAGGGTTTCATATCACCTACTTTGCAGCAACCAGACCGTCATTAATTTGATAGATATCTCTATATAAATCAACACATATAAATAGTATACTACTCTAATCACCAATGGGTCATTTTCCCTTAGCAATCATTCGTTTCTCCAAGTCGTGTTCGTGTATTCAGTTTGTGTCAGGGTAGTCTGTACCGTATAGTGTGCCTGGTTTTTTTGTTTTCCTTTTCCAAACCGGGCGGGGGTCACACACCGAACAGAACTGTCGAGCAGCAAAAAAAACTCAATCAGAAGGCTGCGCAGTACATAGTATTGCATAGTATGAACTGAAGAGAGTGTAGGTGCGCCTTGCTCATAGAAAGGAGGTGGGCTGTCCGGCGACGCCCAAGCAAGCAGGGATGAGTAAGGCACCGAAGCAAAAAAAGTCAATGGTCGGTGATGGGACGTTTCGAAACGGCTGCCACCGGCGCCGATGGGCCTTCGGGTTGTGAGGCTGCTTTTGTTTGGGACCAATGTCGACTACGGCAAGGCGTTGCGAATCTCCGGCATGGCTCTGCAAAAGTATAAACCAACGTGTGCCTGTAGGCCGAGCTTCGAGAACGGAGCGCATCTCGCTGGCTCTCTGAGTCCCGGGAGCCCAGAATGCGCATCGAAAGGTACGAGAGTGTGTGCATGCTGCATTTGGGTGCAACTAGTGCGTTGTCGAGGCTTCAGGGTTGCAATCGCGATGGGCACCTCTCAGGTCCAGAGGTACGGACTGGCAGCGGCATGGGCAGCTCGACGCGGGATCGCAGTCCGGTTGCTTTGGCTCTGCTTCGGCGGCTCTCTGCACCAGTACGTATGCAGAACTTGTCTGGACGTCGATGGCCTCGTCTTCGAATTCGCATGTGTGCGTGCGTGCATGCATGCATACATCTCCCGGGCCTGTCCCGGCGCTTCGAGTGGACATGACTCCTGCAAGGGGCACGCAGGACAAGTGATATCGTCATTTGGATCCCGAGTCCATCGGTCTCAAAACGGAGAGGGGCGAGGGAGGAAATGTCCCGTCCGACGGGTGTACCGAGGAGCAAAATCGACCACTCATTTTACCATGTATTAAACAAGACGCATGTATCGATTCGATGACCGTTTTGGTATTCAGGTCCCCTGGCGAGCCGAAACGATAGTTTTTACCCCACAAACTGCCAGCCTTTTTTGGGAGTGGCTAACTGACGCCTAGGGTAGTTTGCTATTTCCGACTGGGCCTCCAAAGTGTCAATCTGGAAATGGGCAGAGAGAAACAATCTGCTCGACCCGTGACGGCGCTTGGCTCTGGAGAAGGGCCGAGTCTTGAGTCTTGCGGGGTGGTAGTGTGCAGTAGCCTCAACGCTGGGAAGTTTGGGAGGGAGAGCATGGTCACCGGCGACGATGATTCCTGGGCAGGATGTGATGCGAGTGACTCTCATCACGAGCCCCCATAGCGGCGGTTGCGACGCACGCATCATCACAGGTCGGCACGCCGAGTCTCTGTGGAGGTGGCTCGATGGCAGCTCAAGCTTACGGATTCCATGTGCCGGCATGGCCAGCGAACGGAGGACGGGGGGCTACGGACCGTCCATGCTCGTGCCGTGGTTGTGGCTTCGGTTGACAGGTTGTACAGCGTCCAAGCCCATGGTCAGCCACCCGTTGGCGAAGGCAGCCCTTTCGAAGGGGACCACTTGACGCGCTGGATCTGTCCTTTCCAATGTGACGATGCCGTCAGCTTCCAGGTTTGGGGCTCGTTTAACCATGGAAAGTGACATCGTGGGACATTAAAGGGACACCAATGGGCAACAGGACTCGCAAGCGCCTCGCCCAAACCCCGTCCTCTCCTCCTCCTCCTCCCCCATCATCTCCCGCGAGGGCAAGCCTCATCCAACCAACGGCGCTCGACGCACAACCGCAAGCCAGTGCCGCTGCGGGATCGGGTCGCAACGCGCCCAGCTCGGTGACGCGCGAACCCTTTCGTCGTCCGGTGCTGGACGTTTCTGCCGCTGCCGCTGTCTCTACCGCTGTCGCTGGTGGCGGAGGGCAGACGAGCTTGAAACGGCGCTATGCCCGATCCTGACGGACCCTGGCCTCTTCCTCGTCGACTGTCCAGGGTGTCTTTGGATGTTGTTCTCCCCCGAATGAGAGAGAATCCCTGCTGCTGCTCTTCCGTGGAGGGGCGGCTTTGGTGGGGAAGAGAGACACAAACGTGACAGGGGTGACCGCGGAGGCAAAATTCGAAATAGGGAGGCCAAACAATTGCTGTGCTGTGCTGGTTGTTCCCTCGATGTGCTGCCCCCTTTGTGCCCTTTGTGCATGAGACAAGAAGAAAAGACGCCAAACAGAGCACACAACCCTATGCGCAGTGCCCTGCACCTATGCAGATTTGCCGTTCCATCTTGTCTTTCCGGAGGTTGCTTCTTCCTGCTTCCCCTCCCCCCTCTGCCCTTTGGTGTTGGTCAGCGACTGCTCGATGACGCTGCCCTCAGCCAAAGTGACTAGTTCCATGTGCCACTTCCAGCCACAGCGAGGCTCGCGGACGAGTCTCTGAGTTTTCTCCTTGGGGGCGGACGCGCTGATCTTCCGCTTAACTTGCCGCCCCTGTTTAGTACACTACCTACCTCCTTTGCTTGTCCGGACCTCTCTCTCTCTCATGCATGCGTCCATCCATCCATCGACTCATGAAGATACGCACTGAAGGCTGTCAGATCTCGCCGGGATCTTTTTCATGCGCATACGGAGATTCCGCAAGGGTCCTGACAGTCCGTAGAGGATCCAAACCTTGGGACGTTCGCCTCTGTGGCTCCGATCTAATCAACCTCTCACCACCAGAACACCACCAGCGGTGGATATTCCAGAAGCAGGCCAGCAGGTCGCAAGGTTGAAGGGGGTGGTGGTCCAACCCGGACTAGGGGCGGCTGTTGCATCGCATTGACTGACCCCCTGAACACCGGCCAGGGCCTTTTCGTCCGAACTACCTGCGCCCGTGTGCTTGTCTGCGTTTCTTCGCCTCGCCTTGCTCCTCTGCCTGACTTGCTGGCAGCACCTTACCTACTGCGTACCCGTACCACGCCCCCCTCCTCCTCCTTAGCTCTGTTTGAAGCTATATCCCCTCCCGACCAATAGCGCCCCTTCTGGATCCTTGTTTCATCGCATTTCTTGTCCTCGATCCAGGATTGCCTATCCATCGCGGCAAGTCGGCCTGACAAGGGCTGTCGGTAAGGAGCACCGCTGGGACTAAGTTTAGTTGGCTGGTGCTGGCCAGGCTTGGTTTTCTCGAGCTCGGGCGGGCCACGGACATCCAATATCCCCCCCTCATTCTGTCAACCTTACTGTCCCTTCTTGTGCCTGGAAGACCGAGATCCAGTCATTCAACGAAAAAAAGCTCTCGGCGTGCGAGCCGGGATCCAGGGCCTGGACTTGCGTCAGACTGAGAGAGTGAGAGAGGTCCGACTGCCGCCCACCACCATGGCGATAGACCGTCTGGCGAAGCAGGGGACTGCCCGAAAGGTAGGTCGATATAAGACGGTGATGCCGCCGTCAACCTCTTCTTAGCTCGTGGTTCCCTTCCCTCCCTTTCCCCTTGTCTCAACCTCACACCCATCGACGTTCTTTCTTTCCACTGTTGTTTTTTTCATTTTTAAAAGAGAGGATATTTCGCCCTCTCGCCCTTCGATTCGTTCCAAAGTCATTCTTTAACCCCAACCCAACCGGCCCACGCATCGATCGACCGTCACCCGCTGTCGTCACTTTCAACCCCCTTTTGGTGAGTATTGTGCGCCATCCTCCCGGTTCCGGTCCCGTGGCTCTCTTGCCTTCCTTTCCCACACCCTCCCGACCGGCCTATTGTCTCGGCTCTTCATATCGAGTGGTCTGGGGTTTGGCGGTATGGTATCTCTTTCAAGAGTACCGTGACGTGTGACTTGTCATCTGAGTCCCCTTGGGGTTTTCGTTGAAGGGATCCAAAGTGAAGGAAGATTGTCATGTCTGAAAGGCGAGAACAATGGGACATGATCCAGGCTTGTGACGCGGAGCCAGTCCTTTTGGTCACAGACAACAAGGGCTGTTCGTGGAGCGGGCCGGTGCGAGTCGGCTGTCAGTTAGTCACTGACACTCACGAGCTGGCCATACTTAAGGTGTGGCTTTTGGATCATGGCCCGGTTGTTGAGGAGTCGGCCAGCACCTTTCCTGTTCTCGCTTTCGAGTCTCTTCCGGCACATAAGCAAAGGCAGATCCTTTTTTCTTATTTCAGTCGGGTAGTCTCGAGTTTCTCCATCTTCTGAAGGTTGGCATTCGTCTTGATCCGCAGCCATCTCCATCGCACGTCACTACTCTACTTAAACTGAGCTAACATCGCAACCTCCCACAGTTTATACCCTCATTCCAAACACCCAAACACAAGAGGAATCCCACGATCAGCTGGTTCTACATCATGATGGGTCTATCCTCGGTCCTTGCGACCACTCTTCTGGCCTTGCGCCTCTTCTCTCAGGACGTTCTCGCGGCGCCCGCACCCGCCCCGGCGCCCGTTCCTCAGGCTACTACCGCTGCTGCCGCTGCCGGCGGCTTTTGGGTCGCGTCGATTGAGCGTCGCGGCACCTCTGCTTTCGGTGACGCCAACTACAAGATCTACCGCAATGTGAAGGACTACGGTGCCAAGGGTGATGGATCCACCGACGACACCGTGGCTATCCAGGCTGGTAAGACCCTACCTCTCTCATACGTTAACAGAATGCTTGACTAACTTGGATCCAGCCATGGACGATGGTAACCGCTGCGGCTTCGGCTGTGACTCCCAAACCACCACTCCCGCCCTTGTCTACTTCCCCACTGGTACCTACGTTGTCAGCAAGCCAATCGTCATGAAGTACTACACCCACATGGTCGGAGACGCCACCGCCCTTCCCACTATCAAGGCCGCCGCGAGCTTCGCCGGCATGGCCGTGATTGACGCCGACCCGTACGACAACCAGGGCAACAACGCCCACACCAACCAGAACAGTAAGTGGATTCTATAACGAGTTGAAAAACATCTGCTAACCTGGCTCAGACTTCTGGAAGCTCGTTCGCAACTTCAACATCGACCTGACTGGCATGCCTTTCACCTCCGGTGCCGGTATCCACTGGCAGGTTGCTCAGGCCACCAGCCTCCAGAACATTGTCTTCAACATGCGCACCGACGGAGGCGATGCCAACGTCCAGCAGGGAATCTTCATCGACAACGGCTCCGGTGGTTTCATGACCGACTTGACGTTCAACGGCGGCAAGTATGGTGCCTTTATGGGATCCCAGCAGTTCACCTCACGCAACATGAGTAAGTCCTCCAGCTTTCCCCTTTCTCTGTATCCGAGACTGACATAAAACCAGCCTTCAACAACTGCAAGACTGCCATCTACATGAACTGGAACTGGCTTTGGACCTTCCAGGATCTCAAGATCAACAACTGCGGCGTCGGTATCGACATGTCCAACGGTGGTGCCACCGCCCAGACCGTCGGTTCTGTTCTTCTCCTCGACAGTGTCATCAGCAACACCCCCGTTGGCGTCTTGACTGCCTACAGCCCTTCCGAGACCGTCACTAACGGTACCTTGATCCTCGACAATGTCGACATGTCCACCAACGTCCCGGCCGCCGTTCAGATCGTTGACACCAAGGCCAACGTCTTGGCAGGCAACCAAAAGATCGCCTCCTTCATCCAGGGCAAGACCTACACCGGCACCGCTGGCAATGGCAAGGCTGTCCAGGGCGCTCAGGACGCCCTCGTCAAGCCCGCCGGCCTTCTCGCTTCCGACGGCAAGGTCGTCACCCGCAGCAAGCCTCAGTACGAGAACGTTGCCGCCAGCTCTTTCCTCAGCGCCAAGGCCAATGGCTGCAAGGGTGACGGTAAGACCGACGACACCGCCGCCATCCAGGCTCTGGTTAACAAGGCCGGCCCCAACGACATTGTATACTTCGACCACGGCGCATACATCATCTCGGACACCATCGAGGTGCCCAAGGACATCAAGATCACCGGCGAGGTCTGGCCTCTGCTGATGGCCAACGGTGCCGCCTTCAAGGACCAGGCCAACCCCAAGGTCATGTTCCGCGTTGGCAAGGCTGGCGATGTCGGCACTTTCGAGATGAGTGACGTGATCCTCCAGACCCAGGGCCCCCAGCCTGGTGCCATCCTCATGGAGTACAACATTGCCGGATCCACCCCTGGTGCCGCCGGTCTCTGGGACGTCCACTTCCGCATCGGAGGCAGCGCCGGAACTCAGCTGCAGTCGGACAAGTGCGCAAAGAACCCCAACGTCACCACTACCGCCAACCCCGAATGCATGGGTGCCTACATGCTCACCCACATGACCGCCGAGTCCTCTGGCTACTTTGAGAACACCTGGTGGTGGGTTGCCGATCACGAACTCGACCTCGCCGACCGCAAGGTCCAGCTCAACATCTACAACGGCCGTGGCGTTCTTTGCGAGGCCACCAAGGGTACCTGGTTCTGGGGTACCGCCTCTGAGCACAGCGTCCTGTACAACTACCAGTTCAACAATGCGTCCAACGTCTTCATGGGCCACGTCCAGACCGAGACCGCGTACTTCCAGGGCAACCCCGACGCCAGGACACCCTTCACGGTCAACAACGCCATTCTCGACCCCAACTTTGAGACCTCCTGCGCCGGCCAGGGCGACAAGTGCGCGCGCACATGGGGTATCCGTGCCATCGATTCCAAGGACATCATCGTCTATGGCGCCGGCTTGTACTCCTTCTTCAACAACTACGACCAGGTCTGCGTCGGCGAGAACAACTGCCAGGACCACATGGTCTCCCTCGAGAACAGCGACGTCAAGTTCTTTGGTCTCAGCACCAAGGCGTCCGTCAACATGGTCACGGTCAACGGCAAGGGCGCGGCGCTCGACACCGACAACCGCAACAACTTCTGCGCCACTGTCGCGCTCTTCCAGGCGCCCCTCTAGGCGAGGTTTGCGTATGGAATCGGGCTCTCAGTTCCGGTTTTTGAGCCGTACTAGGAGACGCCCAGATACGGGAGCATGCCGATCAATCTTGTTGGCTTGTGGCGGACAAAGTCCGCATACGAGGACGCGTATGAGTACGCTCACAGGCTGATTAGCGCGGAGCATCGTTTTACTTTCGTATAGACGTAGCCATCGCCCTAGTGGTAGAAGCTGCGTCTCTTCTTTTCATCATGGGGTTATTTTTACTGCAGGAGGCATACTTGCATACAGGGAGTTTTGAGGTTTCTAGAAAACGGACCAAGGGTTATAGGTCGTGGATCGTGAAGACACGAGGTATGGGACGGAGGGATTGACTTTCTTGTTCTGCCCGAGAGGCATTTTGATACCATTCATACACGAATCATTTGATTTGACCACTTGTTCTTTGAATGTGATCGAGACGGAGACTAATGACCCTCATGTGATATTCTGATGGGATAGAACATTTCGACATCTCGACTACCTACTCCTCAACCCCGTGAGAGAGGTGTTGCTGAAACCTAGCCAACAACTCACACGTGACCACTTTCCAGCTTTCCAAACTTAAACATAGGCAAAGCGCAAGGCCGAGCCAGTATCACTAGTTGCCTCCTCAGTTCTCTACACGACTTTGCTGTTCTGTCGCGATGTGTCCTCTCACCTTTCACTGTCTAGTAAGCCTCGGCAAGTGACATTCATCAGGAATGCAGGACGGTGATTCGCTGGTCGGCGTTCCCCAGTGACCGACTGTCCGATTTTTTTAGCCACCACGCCCCACTACGAGGTACGTACTCTTTGGTACCTTTTGCTGATGCACCGGCAACGTCATACTCTACCGTCGATTTCTTCCAAGCTCCGGCGTCAGTTCATCCCACCGTTTTAAGCATCGTCGTCACTTGCGATCCGACTCAATCTTGGCCTTCATCTGCCCTTTATGCGATAGCATATACCCCGAAAGCTTCCAAACTTCCCACGATGGACACACCACCGGCAGCCAACCTGCGGTCCAAGACCAGACGCGCACTCGACGACCTCAACGGCGCCACGACCTCGCCGCCCTCGTCTCCCCTCAAGACGACGCGAAACAGCCCCTATCTGCCCACGCCCACCGAGACGATAGTCCTGGCCTCGTTCCCAGTCATACTCTTCTTCGGCACCGTCTTTTCCCTCCTCTCTCCCGACGTCCGCGCCTCGCACTATGACGCTGCGACGCAAGCGCATTCCCAAGCTACGGCGCCGTCCTACTTTGCCCGCAAATCGAACCTGTTCAACATTATCTTTGTCAAACGCGGCTGGTTCTGGATCACGGCCGCCTTCTTCGCCTTCGTCCTCACTCACCCCGGTACGAAGAATGCGACCGTGCGCCTCCAGGCCACCCTCCGTTGGGTGCTTGTCACAACGTGGTGGTTCTTCGTTACACAGTGGTTCTTCGGCCCGGCCATCATAGACCGGGGCTTCCGCTGGACCGGAGGAAAGTGCGAGCTTGTTGAGGATAAGGTCGAGAAGGGTGAGGGAGATACCAAGGAGTTCTTCACTGCAGTTGCTTGCAAGTCTTCTGGCGGCCGCTGGAGTGGCGGGCACGACATATCTGGGCACGTGTTCCTTTTGGTTCTCGGCACCGGCTTCCTGTTGTCCGAGGTTGGATGGGTGGTCATGCGCTGGAGAGGTTCAAGGAGAGAAGAACGCAGCGTCGTGATGACGGATGGTGCCACGAAGACGGCCACTGTCGAGGCCCAGGGCCTGAAAGGAGAGCCTGTACCTGGCGACGCTCTGGGCTTGGGCGGCAAGTTCGCTGCCGTCATTATCGGCTTGAGCTCTTGGATGCTGCTCATGACGGCCATCTACTTCCACACTTGGTTCGAGAAGGTGAGTGACCATCTATCAGCATTACAAGTAACGACACTAACGCACACAACAGGTCACCGGTCTCATTACGGCACTCGTCGCGCTGTATGCCGTATACATCCTTCCTAGATTCGTCCCTGCGATACGACAAGCTGTTGGCTTGCCTGGTATTTAGGTCATGGAAAACCCTATGAGAAAATAAACCCTAGGCCTACCGCCTGTGTAATACATTCAATACCCATTTTTTACCACCTTTAATGATGTGATTTCGTCAAGTTTCCATGCACCGTGATCATTTTACTTACCAAGCCCAACGAAAGATGCACTGCGACGAAGACCGAGTTTCTAGTATGGACGCTTGAACGATCTTTAGATTCGCAACATCAACGGTTCTACCAGTACCCAAAAAATTGCACTAACATCTACCAACAAAGAACCAGCCTGCTGCTGCTCAGGTCTTTCATGTGCCCATCCTTTGTGTAGCGACGTTCTAGGTATCATGGCAAGCTCAATGAATTCGGTGGGGGTGGGGGGCCGAGGTGGGGCATCGTTCCTGCTACTGCCCGTAGCTCCCGTCCGAGAGTGACCTCATCCTCCGGCTTCCTCGTTTCCTTCCGCAGTTCCTTCAATACCACAACACCACCTCCGAAAACCGCATACGGCCACCAACCCTTACGCTGCACCGATAATGTCGCCAATCAAGGCCCCGGTGAACCTGCCGGAGCTTGTCAAGGCAGCCTTCAGCAAGGCTCGCTCCAACGGCGACTTGACCTACTATGCGACCCAGGTCACCGTGCTCAATGCCAACTCGATTCCCGTGAGTCTGCATCGCCGTGCCTCACATCCAGCTTCGATTGACCCCGCTTGGCAGTTCCAGCTTCGGTTCTCACCCGCTTTAGCAAACAAGCCGACCGCACCGAGACTCAAGACCGATGAACCACGCAAACACTTTGATCCGTTCGAGAGCCCGGAGAAGGGCCCCTTGTTCATTGTCGACCTTCCCGACTCGAGTCACAACCTGGTCCTGAACAAGTTTGCAGTGGTACCGGAACATTTCATCTTGGCTACCAAGGAGTTCAAGCAACAGACCCATCTCCTCGAGCCTGATGACTTGGCCGCAACTTATGCCTGCATTGAGGCATACAGACAATACGGAAATCGCCACGAGGGAGGAGATGGCGAGCTCTACGCATTCTTCAATAGCGGCCCGCATTCGGGAGCAAGCCAGCCACATCGCCACATTCAGCTGCTGCCTGTTGCGCGAATGAAGGAAGGGCTTCCCGATGACTCGCAGTGGGATGTGCTGGCAAAGCAGCTTGGCTCGTCCGACGTCTCTGGAGTACCATTCTCGACCTTCGCAGACAAGATACACTGCGACATGACGCCCGAAGAGCTGCACTCCGTCTACTTGTCACTTTTCCAGTCTGCAGTCGACGCAGTCAAGGCACACATGGGCACTGTGGACAACCCTGGCCATGGCGATGCCCCCATCAGCTACAATCTTGCCATGACCAGCGACCGTCTGGTTGTCTTGCCTCGATTGGCTGAAGGAGCGACGATCCTACAAGACGGTGCAATGGTAGGCAAACTCAACCTCAATGGGACAGTCCTGGCTGGAACTGCTCTGGTCAAGAATAAAGCCGAATGGAACGCGCTCAAAGCGAAGAACGACAGCGTTCAACTGCTGGAAGTCCTATCGAAAATCGGTATTCCCGCAGGTGGAAGACAAACCAGAAAATTGTGAGGCTGGACGACATGGAGGGGGCAAACATGCCTTGCAGCCAAAAAAGCAAAACGCGCAAGCAAACATTTGCAGAGCGGGAGGTCGCCAGCTAATTAAGTACAAGCATGGAAATCAGCCATCTCACTCGACATCGAATTCTAAAAACCCTCGTTGGTCCACACCCCCCGCATCGACACGTCACTTGTCAGAAAATAAGCCGCTCTGCTGCCGTTGCAACCTCTCCCACACCAAGCTAATCTCATAACACATACCTAACCCTATCCACACCAGCGACACTACGCCTTCACCACAAATCCCTCCATCTGGCGCTTTCATGCAGCCAGGTGAAGTTCGTCCCATTTCTTGCGGCAGGTAGCATTTCCAAACAAGTACGACCCGCCGTTCCTCTGGATGTACTCTGCTACCAGCTTCCAGGGGATCTTGGTTGAGGCGGGGTCGTTGCCCTTGGCGAACTTGCGGACGGCCCGCTGAAGCAGGCGAATCTGCAAATAGCAACAGTCAGATCGGTTCTGTGAACGACGCCACCAGCGGACGACACTTACATCTTTATCGGTCCACTCCGGTTTCCGAACCCGCGCCTCCTTGCTTTTAGTGAGCGTGCGGTATCGACCGCGGAGGGTTGACTCGGCTTCTGTGAAGTTGCCCTTGACCCGGATCTCACGGTATGTCAGCCCTTCCTGCTTGGCTTTGAGCAAGTATTCATCCTTGGCTGAACGCTCCGCAATCTCTACCGGAGAGGTTTGTGTCGGACATGGCTTTGACTGCTTCGGCCGGAGCTCCGTCTTGTGTGTGGTAGGGGTGGCCTTTCGAGACGGAGAGCTGCGGCGGCGCGAGGAGTTACTCGAACCGACTCGTGATGACCGTGGCTGCTCGGGTAGCTCTTTCCGCGGCCTTGACACCAGCATGTGCTGGGCTTTGGGATCGGCCTTGATGCCGTTGCAGCCATCATGACTCTCCGGCATGACAACCCTCGTTGCTTCTTGGTGGTCTCCCATACGACAGTGACGCTCAGCGGGCTGTTCCTGCGGTTCTGGGAAAAAGATAAGGGGCGTCGGCTCGGAGAAGGGCAGCGGCGATTGGGGGTGCCCTTTGATGTTGTTGAGATCCTCGTGCACCAAGGATGAGCTCATGAACGGCGAGTTGGCATACTCAAACTGATCTGAAGGACTGGGGCCAATTACAACACCATCGGCCGAAGGAAAGGAGCTAAGGAGGTTGGAGGCACCCGCAGAAGAGAAGCTCCCGAAACTCGTGCCCGCATCGGAAGGAGCAAAGTCTGTACATGATGTGGACAGGCCTTGGTCCATATTATTCGACGTTTGCATGGGCAGACCATCCATGGAAGTGACGTCAAAGTGGAATTGCATCGGAGAAAACATGGACTGGATGTCGGTCGTGTCGTGAACTCCAAAGGACAACTGCCATGGCTGGTTTTGATCCAAGACTGGTCGCTTGTTACCCAAGAAGCCGTCAAGTCTTTGCATTCTGTGAAAGAAGATACCGTGATCAGGGTCAGCATAGGGGCTACCTGCGGTTCCAGCCAGGTATCTGTTCCGGAGCTGCTGGGCCTGAGGCAAATTGGGCGAAGTCAGTAACTGGGCTTGATCACATCTCAGATTAAGGTTGGGCGGGAATGGGAAAGGAGAGCCAACTTACTTCGAAATTGTCTTGGATTCCGTCCGGCACGCCTGTCAAAGACCAATCCTCACTTGTCATGGCGTCTAGTTGTTGTATCGATCTGGAACTCAAAGAATGCTTGCCGTTTCGCGCAATCAGCTTTCTCTGGCGTCGGTCGTTGGAGCGCTGTTGAACTTTGACTTTCATGGCCTGCTCAAAGGCGAAGACGTCCGAGCCATTGAAGACCAAACGGGGAGGAGCGTTCATAAACATCTTGAACGAAGACGGCGCCGCCCAGCGTCGAGGCCTACGGGAGACGAGGATGGCTGATGGCTCTGACCTTCTCACCGCTCCTTCCTCCAGGGTTCTGTCGGTGTTCTGTCGTTGTCTCAACTCACACGCACGATGTCGTCTTCCGGGCTGTTCTTTGAAAAACGGAAACTGTGGGGGTAGTTTCGGCGGTCAATGAAGAATTCTGGGCAGGTGATGCAAGATACAGCGTAAGGTCCCGAGGCGTTCCACGGATGCCTGCCAAACCTCTGTGGTGTTCGCTTCGACGGGAGAAGAGCGGTATAGGGGTTCATCCACGGCTACCAGCGGATGGGTGGCGAGGCCGAACCAGTTTCGCCTTTTGCCAACCGTCAAGGAAATAAGGCACCAGAATGTTCGGATGACCAATAAGGTGGAGGCGATCCCGTTCGGCTACCGTTGACGAGCAAGTCCGAAAGGGGCTCAAGCTCAGAGGTCAGCGTCAGGAGGTATGACACGATAAACCTCAAGGTCGAAGAGGCTGGGTTGTATTGGAAAACAGAACGAGCTACTGAGACGAGTACTGGTCGCCGTGACAGGAATAAAGGATGTGATAAGAAAAGTGAAAGCAGGAAACGGGCTGATTGATGTTAGACCCAGACATCATCGGTTCGACGGGAAGGCGTTCTATTCAAGTGCGAAAAACGGGGCCCAGTCCAAGCCGATCCCTTCCGTGGCATGATCATTCAAATTTCGATCACAGATAGCGCGGGACGATGAAACTACGGTTCTCCTCCTCTGATCTCCTGTTCCCGCACACAACACCTACCTAGAGTAGCCTCATACATAAACCTCATGAACCGTTTTGAGCAGCATGCGCGTCTTGGGCAGCGGCTCTTCCCTTCGGCTGTTGCTCCAGCCGTCCATGGCGCGGTAGATGATGTAGCTATGCCGTGCCGCAGTGGTCTTTCCACGGGCGAGATGCGGCCCTTGCTCGGTTTGGGGCTGGGCTCTCCATCTGTCAGTTTTCAGCCTCTTCCCAGCTCCACACCAAACATGATGGTACATGGTACCGGCTCTTAGACGATTCTACGGCCGGGACTACGTCCGTATGTGTACGTGTGTGTGGCGTAAGGGTGTGGGGGTGTGGTATTGCATTGAAAATGGATGCTTTGCGAACGTCTGGCCGTGTCCCTCAATCTGCGGACGGGGTAGTTGGAATACACTTTTAAGGCTGGACCGCACATCATCGTGCCTTGTGCCCCACCTCATCGTTTACGACATTGACGAGCCTGGCCAGATATCAACCTGTACCGGGACTACATCCCTGTTGTTCTCTGAATGAGATCGCCCAGATCAGAGCTGGAGATTTTGCTAATCCTGACTATCTTCCGGTCCCGGCAGATCCTCGCGGCAAGCGTTTACTGCTAATGGCAAAGGTGTCAAGGTGAATATCCCAGACCTACTATCCGTGAGTCAGTATCCACGGGCTAGATGCGTTTGATAGTTTGCGGATGGCAGACCTGACGGGCCACCATTCGTCAATTCCCGCGCGCCGGGTGTTCTAATCCCGAGACTTTGGGCCTTCTCTCGCAAAAGGAGACCGGGCTCATGCAGGAAGAGACCTTGCCACCTGGCTTTGACAAGCCCAGTGACGGTTCAAAAGCTGGCCAGGGTTTAATGGCGGATCCTGGTTGGCTAGATCACTTGACATGCTGATTCGCCACGGCTTGGGCACATTATGCTTTGCATAGGTTATTGACAGTGCTGTCCGCAGTGTGCTGCTCTGCTTGTTGATGAAAAGCAGATGTGGCCGCGGCAATCGGTTGGAAGTCTGGATGCTGATACTGACCAAGAGTTGCATCAGGCGTGGCTAGCGGGGCCATGTAATGCTAGGTCACTATGGGATTTTTTCTTTTCAGATCCTTGTTAAAACACCTTGAGTAAGTATCTAAGTCACATGAAAGCAGATGCTGTAGATGCTGTAGATTTTGAAAGTCATGCAATCCCCACGGCCGACAGACGAAAGAGACAACAACAAATCCAGGTGGGGGCCGATCAGTACCATAAAGATTCCTTTCGACTCGACGCTTTTTGATTGATTTCGTGGGTGTCGGATCGCGGGTCACCCATCTTTCGGAGTCATGAAATGGCTAGGGGTGTAGTCAGCACTTTAGGAACAGACTGCGTATCGGTTATATGGCGGTTCTCCGTGGCCAGCATTTCCAAGTGGTCAAGAGGATGGCAAGGATCGCGGGCAACTTGCATGATGTGTGGGATTGGGCGGACCAGGGCCGCGAAGTCAAGTCTTATTCCTGATCTAGCCGCATGTATGCGCCAGTGCTGTATCTAGCATGTCTATGCGACCCATGCCCATGAGCTAACGCTAGGTTCTGGGAAATTCTAGGAAGCAGCCATGACCCTGATCAGGGGGCAATGTTTAGAGAAGATCTTGACTGGCCATTTACATCTCGCCAGGGGCAGCCGAGATGAATCTCATTTTTCGGTTTGCAGATTGCGGAGGGGACTCGGGAGTTGAGCCGATCGGTGGGTTTATCTTGGGGACAACAGACGAACGATAAAAATTGCACATCTACAATCCCTGTTTGCAGTTCACGTAGGACAATCTGATCTTTCTCACGTTGACAGATAACGAATCCGAATTGGTTAGAGCCAGCTAGCAAGCAGGGTCAGGCCCCTAGTGGCTGAGCAAGTGTTCATGTACAGCCTCTCCCTCACCGGCCATCATCGTTCGTGACTATTACTGCAGATCAGCTGCGTAGTATGCAGAGTCTCGAGCTCGCATGCGTGCCGGCGTAGGTATGCAGATCCGACAACTCAGCAGCAAAAGCAATGACACTTGCATACGCTACTTCCGGGCTGCCCGATCCCGCCCGCGGCCGTACCCATTCATCATCCCTGAAGTTGCTGCTCATGCAACCTGTCCGAATGCAAAATTCTGCCCAGTGTCTAGCATCTCTATCCGAAGGGGGGGGCGGGGGGGCATGGTAAAAGCATGACGACCCTTCTGCACGTCGCTCAATGTACGAAAATTTAGTCACCATGAGAACGAGACAAGCGAACTGCGGTTTTGCTGAATGATTATTCGTGCCAACTGAGGTACCCAAGACTACTTAGTCCAGTAGCACCGGCAGCAGAATGCTATGCACATAAAGACGGACCAGTACCGCAGGGATAAGAACTGTCATACGCTGGGGCCCGCTGGCTTTGGAGTCGTGGTGCCGGCTCACAGCAGCAAATCGCAAGATCCGGAAATCTAACTGAGTCTACAGTGTTGGCATGGCCAGTGGGGGCTCAAGTCTCATGCTGCGAACATCCCCTTCGTTGCGACGAGTGACAGCTTTCAAAGGCGAAGGGGCAAGAAGACCGAGAGGAGTTCGATCTTGTCATTAAGACAATCTCGATACAGATCGAGACTAACCCATTCGCTGCAGATGGGATAATTCCAAGTGTTAAATCGGAAGATTGCGCGCAGCGGGTGGGGGTGTTTCCTCCCTCTACGAGCATCAGATCACACGGGTCTCAATCCCCTAGCGAGATGCGTATGCAGGGCTTGGTTGGATCAGGGTTCTTTATTGGGATCCAAACGCAGCTTGTAGGGCTCGGCTCAACGTTTGGAAGGGTGAAAAAGCAATGCTGGGATTGGTCCTGGGAATCGATATCCAGCGTTCTTTACAGGATAAGCCGCAGATGCACCAGCCTTTGCTTTTCGCCAGCCGTTCTATGAGGTATCTGAGGAGGTGGTGGCGACCTTAACGCTCTGGTAGCAGACCAAATGGGACAGCTGTCCTTTTCTCTTGAAGGCAAAGGTTTGGAGATGATTTCCCAGAGCGATCCTCGGTCCTTAGACGCTATACCTCTTGCGACTTAGGATATACACGAATCTGTTCGTATGAAGACATGGATGATCAAAGTGCTGAATTCTTGTAGATAATCTCTCAGTTGTCGAAAGTCAATCGCTCGCGTTTCGCGGTGGAGTTTGTACGCAGCCCGTTTGATAGTCAATGCAAGTAGCAAACGCCGTCCTGACGAGCCACAGTGAGTGGCCAGTATGTCTGTGCCTCCCTAAGAGGTTTCTGTTGCTACAATTTACCGTATAAAACTCTTTGAACATCGCAATATCTATCTGGTTATTTCGTAGGCTACGGACACTAGACAGCTGCAAAGGAGCCTGAAAACTGTCCCTCCCCCTCCATCCTCGTGATTTAAATATTGAGTATTTCTCCACTACAGAAACATACTCTTAGTACGTGAAAATTGAAGCAGAAATCTGAATTGGTTTCTTTATATCTTAATTTTGTATGGCATTGCAACGGTCAGAGAATACGTGAAGTTGCATGAAAAAAACAAGACATGACGTTGCTGATATTTCGATCATCAGCCTAGGTTTGTTGATGTATGATTAGATAGACTGGTGGGATACCTTTGAATTCAATGGCAATTAGTCACTTACCCACTCATTAATTTACTGCTCACCTTCTTAAGTGTTATTGAGGTTGTACTTTGCCCTGCAACAGCGTCAATCCCGTGAAAGACCGTCCAGTTGATTCCTTGATTGCCTCAAGAGCCACATGTACGAAGTTTGTGCCGATAAACCCACATGTTCCTCATTCACATGGATGTTGATCTAAAAACCAGTGAGGCAAAGGCTGCATTTACGCATACTCCGACAGTGACATTTAAAGGAAAACTTTCACCTAGACTGATAGTGACCTCACGACCAAAAAAGTATATGAAATCTTACAGGAGTTTTCACATCCCCTTTTCCGAAGAGGCACAACTGTGTCTTGGACGCGGTTGAGGTTTGGAAGAACTAAGGTTTAAAAATGGGATTTGAAGTTTCTCAAACCAAAGAGGCACCGTCGGAATTTCTTTGTCCCGCCTTACACGTCGCTCTTAAAAGGCTTGAAGGCGTTATGAGCCATGTTACCCGTTCTTCTGAGAATGTAGTATTGCATGGAAATAACTTTACCGTGGCCTCAGGCGTAGCATACTATACAAAGTGGATATAATCAACATCCGTCACGGACTGAGGCGAATGGTCTGCTTGAAACCTTGAAGCCTGGCTGTTGACAGCGGGCGAAGTCCTGGTCCACTCAGATGCAACGCCCGTTTTGAGAAAAGTGAGGATGATGGTAACGGCTTGGTGTTTCAGAAACAGACAGAGAAATCGTATGAGAGAAAAGACACTGGCATCGACAGGCTAGAATATAGATAGAAAAACATGAGAATGTATTTGCCTTTTTCACTGCAACGAACGGCATCTGCTGAGTCTTTTTGTTTTACAAATTACGTCGCTACGCTCATTTAGATCCGGAATTACTTTGGAATAACATGACGCTTCTCATATGGTTAAAACAATATCATTTTACCTCGATGGATGTCGAAGTTGAAGCCAACCTACCCCTGGATGAACAGATCTTTAGGTTCACCAAGAAAGTATGGTCCATTCGGCCGGGCCTGCCTGATTTGGATACATTCCGTTGCAACGTTCGCCTCATTCTCACCCACAAAGCTTTCAACTGCGTCTTAGTGTCATCCGATATTCATTCAGAGATACAACCTAACTGTTTTTCGTCCTCCAAGGTTTTCTCATGACCGCGCTCGGCGAGTGAGGCCCAAATACAAACCGTATCTCCTCCATGAAGCAGTCTGATCTATTATCCATAGCCTTGTCCTTGAGAGTCCGCCAAAAAAGACCATTCAAGTGCCGCCTTAGCCGTTTCGCAAGCCACTACTAGAGCGGCACTGTGTGCGGGCGACTATAGGCCACAAATAACATGATGTAAGAACAGAAGGTTGTCGATCTATCGTGAAAATGCACAAGCTGATCGAACTCTATATTGTTCGGCCAGGTTACTCCCTCAACCGTTACTATGGCGCTGTTTTACAAGATTCGCTCGGAAAACTGACAAGAAGGTCATCGCCAGTGACCCCATCGTGAGATTATAGGAATACATAATTTATAATATCCCGGTTTCTGTCGACCGAACTTTGCATGAGACCACGTCCGCGTCGGCTGCTGGATCGGGAACTTCAAGACAATTCATAAACTCTGCAAAGTAACGCACACTTCCTTTCTCGACCTAAGTACTCTTTAAACAAGTTTATTGGAGAAAAAGAAAATTGGTCCAAAATACCGCGAGAGCAGGGTCTCAGCAAGGGAACGATCAGTTCCTTACCACAATAAGGAATATACCGACTGGTATTCCTTGTAGTATTAAAGCCGAAATCTTCGACGTGTTCAGAAAATCTGGGATCTTTCCTAGTCAATGAAGGCCTGGGGAAAAAGAAAAGAAAAAGGGGGGGGGAAGAAAGGGGAGGGGGGTTTATCTGCTGCTTTTGGTCTTCTTCATTGGCAATGTATTTGATCGTATCTCATCTATTGACGATACCACGAATCGGTGGCATAAGGAAATCTTATTGCTTGAATAACAGAGCTTTCATACGTAGCCTTCATCATCACCATCGGTACAAGTTCATTTTGAAATATCATTCAAAGGAGGTCGTATGTCCGAATGGCTTTAGTTACTCTTCGAGTCTTCGAGAAGAGCCATGGATTAACAGACAGCTGAGAGAAAGATGCGATGGCTGTGACCATGAGCAATTACAGGAAGCTCTAGGAGCCCCATCGAGCCAGCTGAAACCCAATTAGTCAATTCTCACCGCGCAACCCCTCACTTTTCAAGCATTGCCATAACAGTAATCCAAATGCAGCCCCATGCCTTTAAAGCCGTGCCGATATCCGAACAAGACTTAGGAACTTGGGTATCACCTCTCTGTAGCCTCACGCGCACACCCGGGAGAAGTTCGGCGTGTCCAAGAAAAAAGTATGATGGAAAAATATATGGACTAACTGATCTGTGCTAGTTGCGGCAAGAGAGTAAGCGGGAATGCGTCTCTAACAATGCGTATCGACAAGAAGATACTGGGATATCCAAGCGAACTACCTCGATCATTTACCTACGGTATCCTATGAACTTTTCAATCATGGTACAACGCAGCTTGACACTTATCCTAATGCTTGGGCTGCCGCGTTGGCTGCAAGGAACCAGTGCTCACAGATTGGTAATTGCATGCCAACTCGTGAAACCCAGGATGGTGCGGCCCAAACCAAACTCTTCACTGGTCAGCCATCTTTATCCAGCTTGTGGAAACAAGATGACTCCTTGCTTGCTAACCGACATGCCCGTGGCGAATTTGTCCCTCGGCTTCTACTCGCCCCAAGTCCGATATTCATACGCGATCTCAACGAGACAAAGAAGAAAGTCTGATTGGTCCGTCAAGCTAGATGGTGTGAAGCAACAGAAGGTAGGTTTAAGTGTTCAGGAGAAGGTTTAGATTTGTTTGGTGAAACAAAAAGCATAACATGACCTTACATAGATGATTGTCAAAGGAAGCTTCAATAACTGGGTCCATGAAACAAACTCCAAAGCCAAAACTGCTGCTCCAGGCCCAAATTGACAACCTCTTGCACACGAATCTCTTTTGGAAACATCGAATCTTGCACTGTTTGTTCTAAGCCCGCGCAAATACCCCGCATTGCCAATTCGATAGAGAAGGAACCCCGGATAAGCTGTTCTCGTAAAAGCAAAAACAGGATAGTTTACCAAGTACCGACGTCTGAACGAGGAGCGGTGATCTTGGCAGTCTGTCAGACAAACAAATCGATCGAAGACCTCGTTCTAGCTGTGGCGTTAGTTCGTCGCATGATGATGGCTTATATTCGTCGCGACGAGCGTTATAGATGATGGAACTGCTGGTCTGTTTGAGACTTTTCTCCACGTCTTTCAATCGCCTTCTCACGCTAAACCAATGCCAAGCGGCCAGGCTATTACTATTATCATTTTCCTGCTCAATACCTGACATCCAACCTTCTTAACTAACTGTAAAGAGTTTAATTGGGAACCATCGACTATCACCATGGTCGAATTACAATGACGTGTGCGATCCTCACGCATTCCGTGCCATCTTTGGGGCTTCTACCTTGCTACTTACCAGCTTTAACAGCTGAAAGCAGGCGCAATCAAATATTGCTGCAGGGATCGAATGGTTTTGATTGGGGGACACGGTCTTGCTGCATTGAAACACTACAGTCGAGTCGCCCTGTAAGCACGGTTCTGTCCCGTTGGTCTGGTGCAAAATTGACCCAAGTTCCTGGGCGGAACCAATTCTTTTAGGAAACAAACATCCACATTTTTTCATGTTTGCCTGCAGCTTGGGTCCAAGGGATGGAATCTAGTCTATTCTGCAGCTTCGCTTCATATCAACATCAAACCTTTGGTCGGCCTTGTCATCAAAAGATCTTTCAGTCAGGTTCTGCGGGGGGGTCGATGCGAAATGACACAAACATATCGCTGCAGCCAGAGCTGCACATCCATCTGTAGCCAAACAGGTTTGGGCAAACTCCATGCTATGGCTGGTCAAGGTCATATGAACTCCAGAGAAGGTATTGTAATCTGACTACTGATTTACCAAATGGTTCAATCGCTGATGTATAAAGGCTTGTCCTCTTTTCCTCGATGGCGAACCTGGTTTCACAAGGACTATAGAACGCAAAATAACCCTGACATCGCATTCATCATGGCCTGGTTTCTTGCTTCCAAGACGACATTGTATCTTGATGACCTCATGATCAAGTTATCATGCGCAACCATCGTCTACCTCGTTGCCAAATATACCTGGCGCGCCCTCTTCTGTCCTCTCGCGAGTTTCCCTGGGCCACGAATTGCTGGCATTACGAAGCTATACGAGGCTTACCACGTCCTGGTCAAGAATGATTGGCTTGATAATCTTGTCTCACTCCATGAGAAACACGGTATGGTCTTTGGCATTGATCAGTTTGGTTTATCGTATGCCTGACACTCTACTACAGGACCTGTCGTTAGAATCGGACCCAACGAACTTCATTTTGTCGACCACCAATTTTGCCTAGAGCACCACAAACGTCCTGATCTTTTTAAGTGCGACAACTACTACGGTCTTCTCGACAAACTCTTGGGCGGTCTGGCCAATCCAAGCAAACACTCGAAGAGAGCGGCCGTCATGCGCCCCATTTTCTCCGGGCAAACCCTCGCCAGGTTTGCCCCAACACTTGACAAGCACCTCGAATCGCTGCATTCACGACTCACGGATGCTGCAACTGACGTGGAAGTCGTCAATATAACACACTTTCTCTGGGCGTACACCAATGATGTCATGATCTCGTACCTTACTGAAGAGGACTACGGATTTTTGAAGGCCCATGATCTAAGGGCTGTTCATGACTCCACACGAGCTTTCAGCGCCATTGATCTTGCTACGGTTCTCAGGTGCATGCCACCCATCAAAATCATGTTTGACCTCTTTCCTTCTCTTAGGTCCTACTCGCCTCTTGGCTGGCTTGATTCTGTAAGCCCGTTTTCTGCTTCCAGATTCGAATATCTTGCCCCTTGGCTCACATTAGTCTTAGTTGATTACTTCACATGTCAACCCCATTGCCAGATCTTGGGATGACGAAAATAGTCATAAGGGTGTTTTGGCTCGGATTTTTGCCGAGATTGGCAACCAGACACACACCGTTCATGAGTCGTCCCAGGCAATCTTCATCGGAAACGAATCACTTCTGAGCAACCTAACTTTTGTCCTTCATCATCTCATCCAGAATCCAGAATGTGTGAAGAAGATTCGAGCTGAACTCGATACATTGGATCTTGGACTGTATGGCCATAGAGTTTGGAGAGATCCAAAAACTACTCAACTAAGGTATCTGGTACGTCAATATGCTGAAACATTTACCAACAATACACGTTCTTATATTCACAACGGTAGGACGCTGTATGTAAAGAGTCGACTCGGTTGAGCTCACCAAGCTGGCATCGACAACCAAGACAGAGCCAGGAACCAGTCGACTATCAGGGCACAACGATACCTGCGATGGTAATGGTGTCGGCTATTCCATTCGTGTGGACCTTGCTAACTCGCAGCAGACCAGTATGAGCTTCACACTGAATCTGCTCGAACACGATTCTGATCTTTTCCCTGAGCCGGATGCGTTCAAGCCGGAAAGGTGGCTTGGTTACAGCCAGGAGTCCAAGACAGCAAGAAGTCATTCAGTCACTTTTGGCACAGGCACAAGGACATGCCTAGGACAACAGTATGTCCCTTCCTAATACGCGTCTACATTGGTTCTCTTAATAACATAAAATTACCAGTATTGCGCACAAGGTTCTTCGCAAGACAGTTGCATTTCTTGTTTACAACTTCAACATCTCATTGTGGAATGAAAAGCTCGATAAGATGGAGGGATATAGATATTTGGACACGTATCCCAAAAAGGGTCTTGAGGGCTATATGAGAGTTCGGCTGACTCCACGGTTCGGTTGCAATGCATAGCGGTTGCGATGCATAGAGGTTGCAAAGTCCGTGTCAACAGTATTATTCCTCATAGAACCCCCCCCCCCAACCCCCCCCCCCCCGCGATTTCCTTTGCATTTATATGAAGATGTACTTGAAGAGCAGTATTCTATTCTGAAACCGACTATCAGTCTCAGTAGTTTTCATTTCATATGTTTTAAATGGTATTGAAGTACAAAAACATACAACACTAGGTATTAGCTGATCATCACCGACTCAACTACTAACCCGGCCCTCATACGCTTATTTTTCAGGTCAAAAACGATCACTAAGTGCTGTTTTTGGCAACTGGAAACGATAGCCTCTAAAGCTGCTCTACTCCGGAAGGAAAATATGACACCGAGTGCCTTCGTCTAATATGGACGGTATACCGTTTTCATGTTTATAAAACCTGTCTTAAATATATGTTTCTCTTCGTGCACTGCTGCCTTAGTACTCTAGGGAGTATACATAGTGTTGATGTATTGTTACGGTCGGATATATGGCAGTAGTGTTTTTTGCTAACAGGTAGCTAAGTTCAATACTTAATACAAGAATTTAGGACTTATAGGCAATCTGCTAGTCTAGTAAGTACATGGTAATTAGTTATATACTTTTTGACACAAGTAACTTATGTAGTAGTAGGCTAATTCAATTAAAGCCATTACTAGTAACTATATTAGTTACGCTTATAAATTATGTGAGGGTGATGGAAAATGGACTGTTGACATGTAGACTACATTAACTCTTTTCACCTAAAGTAATAGGGGCTCCTTCCTAATATCTACTGTCCTAAACCCCTTTTATGTCTGTCTAGATGCCACTGATTAAACCTACCAGCTGACTAACTAGCAGAGAAGGGTTAAAACTACTTGGCCATCTAGGTGTTGAACCCTGCCACTTTCTACTATATACTCTGCAGAACCGGAAACTTTTCAATGCAAAACTCAACTACGAAACCGTTTAACGTTCGGTAAAGTTCAATGCAGTCTCAGAGTCTATTGGTATCCTTCTCAAAGATTAATTTCGGCACCCCAGCAACTGCGTAAGATCCTGCGGAGCCTTGCCAAAGCAGAGAACCAAGCTTAGGTAGGCCATTAAAGAACGTCGTGGCGCTGCCTGGGGTATCGAACCAGTACTCTTCAAGAGCAACGTGTTCCCAAAAGGTTGCATACGTGAAGGGTGAATCAGCCTGGAGCGAATCCATAAAAACCTTTCCACCATCAACACTGTTGCCTAAATGTTAGCAAAGACTACCAATCTCTGGAGAAAGAATAGAAAGCGAATATAGCAACTAACCTCGTCTGCAGGGACTTTCCGCTCTGGATAAAGTTGTTGAGGCCACTTGCTAACTCTGGATGGGCATTCAACCGAGACTCGACGTACGCGCGTCGCAGCTCGAGTGTTTCGAAGATCTCGTCATGACTAGTGCCGGCAGCGCTGTCCCCGAGGAGCAGCGCCACATACATCGAAGAGTTCTTCGTCTTCTGATCAATTTCCACGAAAGAGACTTGTTCCGGATCCCAGGCGAGTTTTGCAAGAGGCGTGAGAATGCTGCCATATTGGTCGAGCCGGCAGAAAACATGCTATGATGGCGTCAGCCCTGTGAATACGAGGCGGGGGGCTAGGAGTATTCCAAGTTACCGATGCAGTCTGATTTTGGTATCCTGGAGACTCAAACGACGCGTTTAATGCTTCCATGCTTTCCCAAATGTGTCTGGTCAAAGCCATGGGATGATATTTGGAAGGGAGGGGGGTGTCGACGGTCTAGACAGAGATCAATACATGATCATTTCCCACGCGGCGGCATGATTAAACTCACTAATGGAGATGCAGAGTCATTCCAGCCTATGAGAGCATCCTTGTGATAGGTGTAGACTTGGTAATAAGAGCGGAATGCTTCCGTAACGTTGGCAGTTAGGTAAGTGTCTTCCGCATGGACGCTTGTGATTTGCGTGTAAGCAACTGTCCTGAGCAAAGAGAACCAAGGCCAAGATCTGCTTACACTTCGTACTGGTATGAAAAATCTTCGGTTGTCTGCAGGACATTGGTTTTCTTGCCTGGCGTAACATACCAACGAATCTCGCTGGTGTTTTCGGCTACTTGTCGGTAGCTGAGGGACTTCGAAGCGACTTGCGGGAGAACTGCAGCATGGGCCGAGGCCAATATTTCAATAAGGAAGAGAAGTTTCATTTTCATGACGACTGCTGACAGTAAGGGGACGGTTCTGATCTCTATGAGAATAATAGTAATTGAAGATGATGCAGAGGAAATCAGAGAAAGTCGTAGGAGAGGGATTCTCATATTTTATACTCGTGCCATCTCGGGAAGCTGCTCGCCAGTCAACTCCGAATAAATTATGCCATCCCTTCATTTCGTGCTCTTGCAGGCCATGGACCGTAGAAGCCCGCCGCTTGATCCAAGAAACACAGAAGTTGTTGAGATCATCATCCAACTAGATTTATTGCTGTTCCACTTTTAAGCCCGATTTCTCCCCGAACAGGACACCAGTCCCACATTTTCGTTTCTCCGAAAAGGCGACGACCCCCAGCCTCAACTCCCTTATCCCCCTTCCATGTGCCTGTTCATTTTCTAGGGGAAACCAAATCACAGATCACTTACCCTCCGCTACTCTGCTAGCAGCACATATTCTTTTGTAAACATCGCCCTAGTTTCTCCTTTCTCCTCTGTTTTCCTTTTTATTCGATATATCTATTTATTAATGTCCTTACTTAGGGCTCTAAGCTTTTCATTCGCATTTATGAATTGATCTTACAATACCGTAATTCCGAATGATTATACCTAAAACCTTGACTTACGTGGTCCGCACTTAGATGATTGCCGGTCCATTGTGGTCGCCTAAGTATAGCCACGGCTGGCTAAGTGTCTTTGCAGATATGGCCGGCAAACCGTAACCCTAACTCCGATGCCGAATATTCAAGGAGCCTCGCCGACAAGAACTCATTTACTTTCCAGGACGAGAAGACCTCCGAGAAATCTTGAACGAACGCAGAGTAGTTACAAACAATGAGTCCGCCGAGGACGCAATCAAGATGATGTGGAATTGTACGGCTTGTACCAAGCTCTAGAGCCTTGGCAGCCGTCTGCCATCGGAACAAGCCGCTAGAAAACAGACCGAACTGAAAATTGAGAGCAAGATCAGTCTGCAGGCTTGAAATCGGATTCCCCTCTGCCCTGATGTGTCGTCGTCAAAATAATCCAGTCAGTTTCTTGGCCGTCACTGTCACTGTTGTGTTTTGCAGTTGGTTATTTTTCGTTCAACGCCGCATAGATTTATCAGAGGACAACAGTGGCACAGACCAGATAGGCATTGGTAATGAAGGTGCTACTCCTTGACATCCAATTTCCTCTAGACCGGGCAGTATTTGTTGCTGCTCCCTGCCAAGGCTATATACTCATCTTTGATTGGCTTTCCGCTGACTGAAGCTTGAAAACACCTAAGGGTGTGGTACAAAGTCGTAGCGAGGATACATCAAGATCAACACCACTAATGTGATATTTGTCTCCTATTATCCTCCGTCCGGTCCTTGTTTCTTTTAAAGTCTCGATCGTGTCACAAGGAACATTGTGAAGGGGTAAAGAAAGATAACCAACAAGCTCGTCTCCAATTACTATAACATCCATCGTCACGAGATCCTTGAGTTTGAACTCCGTTTTGTCGCTGGATGCTTACCCGAGATGACCGAATAAAATAGGGTCGGAGACATGTCCGATCTTCCCCGGGTCACCATTGCTGGTGGGTCAACATGCATGCCGCTACGGGGCCGTGGATGGTGTGGGGTTTGGCGCCACTGCCGGACTTCTCCCCGGTGCGGAGATCCGATTCCGCGGAAGGTAGCCAACGAAGCGGCCATCAAGTACAGCGAATCACTAGAGATACCCCTGATTGTGTGCCTTGATCGTTGATTCAAAGCACCGCTGTAGGAACATACAAAATCACCAGCAAAAGTCCCAGTATCTGTAATGTTTAATGTTTGCAACATCCCGAGGACTGCAAATGTATTTTCTACGTCATACGCTCAGATCCACGCGCCTCATCTCACCTTTACAACTTACAGTCATAGAAGACCAAACGTCTTCCACAAGTAATAGGTGTGGCAACGAATCTGTACTCACAGCAGCATCACCCACACGGCCCCATCGCATCACCATCCGAAATTCCCTTCACGATGGCATCCGAAGCAGACCATATCCTCATCACGGGCGCTGCCGGCTTCATAGGCCAGGAAATGATCAGCGCCCTTCTCCTTTCTTCCCCCTCAATCCACCTCACGACAACAGATATCACGATCCCACCAATCCCGCCAAAATCCCGCCCCCACGCATCCCGCGTTACAGCCCTCCAGACAGACCTCACCTCCTCTGAGGCAGTCGCGTCCCTGCTCGCACACCACTCCCGCTTCAACACAATCTACCTCCTCCATGGCATAATGTCCGGCGGTGCCGAGGCGAACCTCGACCTCGGCCTACGCGTCAACTTCGACAGCCACCGCTTCATCCTCGACGCCCTCCGCCAGGAAACATCCCCACACCGAGGCACAGTTGTTGTATTCCCTAGCTCCCTGGCCGTCTATGGCCCCGCGGGCCCGGGGCAGGTCAACACCGAGGCGACGTGCGCGATGCCGCAATCCTCGTACGGCGCGCAAAAGCTCATGATCGAGACGCTGCTCGGGGACTACTCGCGTCGCGGGCTTTTAGACGGGCGCATCGTACGGCTGCCGACGATCATTGTGCGGCCCGGGGCGCCGAGCGCGGCGGCGTCGTCCTTTGCGTCGGGAATAGTGAGGGAGTCGCTCAAGGGTGAGGAGAACGTCCTCCCTATGCGTCCGGAGCTGGCGATGTAGGTATGTTCCCCAAGGACGGTCGTTAGCAACTTGGTGGCGGTGAAGGACATCCACCATGACAGATTTGGGCTGTCCAGAGTCGTCAATCTGCCGGGCGTTACCGTCACGGTTGCCGATATTCTCGATGCTTTGGGGGCTATAGGGGGTGCAGGAGCACGAAATCTGGTCAAAGAGGAGAGGAACCCACAAATCGAGGCAATTGTGGAGAGTTGGCCGGCCTTCTTCGACATTTCGAAAGCGCTCAGCCTGGGACTTGCTCAGGATGGGGATCTGGTCACAACTGTCAAAGATTTTGCCGAACGGCTTCGAGCTGAAGTTTAGGCCTCGCACCCAGTATGTCGGCAGATATTATCGGATAACACATTGCACTCTCATCATGGGCCTGTTCTAATGGAAATCATGAATCATCTATACATGTTCACAAGGGGTATCTAGATGGTTGCCTGCGACTCACTTACATCCCCTGAAAACAGCTCCGTAGCTCCAATACACAATCTGTGGCCGTAAGAAAAGGAAGGTCATCCTCACGTGCCTAGGCTACACTTTGTCAGAACGTTTAATCATCCCACTCCTCGTCGAGCTGGTCTATCAATCTGTTCTCGTCCTCGCGATTGCGTCTACTTGGAGAACCAGACAGATGACTGTAACCTTGCCTCCCAGGCAAAAGCTGCGCGCAAGAAGAGGTTGCAATGACGAAAATGTCCTGTATACAATGGTCAATAAGGGGTTCAAGACGTGGTTACTGGCAGACCACCTACACTAACAAAGCTCCAGATCCCAGCCCAGAGACTGTAGTTGGGAAGCTGGCGCCAACCTCGAGCGTGCGCGACAGTTCTTTGGTAAAAGACACCACCACCAAAGTAGACCAGGACTGCAATTACGAAGATAATGGCAAACACGCTGCCAGGACCGACGCTGCCCGGTTGGTGGGGCTCAGCCCGCGGGCAAGCGTGTTGGGAACGGGCCTCGAAGAAGTATGCGCAATCATCGGGGTCGGTGCCGACAAAAGAGATGTGAGCAGCTCCACCGACTTGCTCGGTATCACAGTGGAAGGAGATTGTAGTGGATTTGCGACGGGGGTTCGAATCCGAGTCGCTCTTGTCCGCGGACGCCTTCTTCTGACTGTTGCCGAAAGAGCTGAGTGCTGTCGCTTCGTCATCATCATCGTCGGCGTACTTGTTGTAAGATGCGCCGGCATGGGCCTGGGATCGCTTGGATTTGCTCTTGTCGCAAGGCGAGCCGTTCTTGTACTGGAGCACCAGTATGCGCCCTCGAGTCTGAATGTCCATAGACGATGAACTTGAAATCGTGCTTGTTAGCTCCCACTCATTTTCGTGTCGAATCATTTGATACGCACCCTATCGAGTAAGTCTCCCCCTTGTATGTGTAGTACGCGCTGACGTTCTTGGCTTCACTCTTTGTCAATCCCTCCACATCATCGAGCGCTTCGATGACAGGGGCGCAGATGTTGAGGGTGAAGTTGCGGCCATAGTCCCAGCCTCTAGCATGGTAATCCGCGGTGATGCTTCCCTTCGACGACTTGCCCTCCTCGGTCTTGACGGCGATGTCAGGTCGTAGGTCGTAGAAGGCTCCAGTGCCGCTCTTGGATGCTGCTGTACATGCCGGGGCGCTCGTCGTTGTTGAAGGAGTTGAACTGTCGGCGGCGCGGGCTGTCGCGGCCGCGAGAAGCAGAAGAAGTGTTGAGGAATGTGGTAAGTGCATGACTATGTTTCGGCGCAATGTCGACAGAGAGCAGTTGAAATGAACGTTCGTTCGCGACGTCGGGAAGCGCCTTGGAGCGCGGGGGAGGAAGGTTAGGTGCAGCGAGACCCTATGACATCAATTGAAAATGAGCTAACACTGGGGAATCGAAACGGAAGTGAGCGATGCTAAGGTTCCGCTGTGTGACGAGAACGAGGATGGGAATTATGGTCGAAGTTCGGGTTGGAGGGAGGTGGTGTCGAGATGCAGATTGTCAGGAATGCCACCTTGGTCACATCAATTCGTCAGCTTTCGAATGCAGGGAACGGCGGGAGTGACCGGAGTGTGGGCATTAATTGGTGGATGAGACCTCCTTGCAGCACCGCCGGAAGTAGAGCATCGCTAGGCTGCAGTTTCCGGAGAGTGGATCCACATCTCAATAGCACGTGACGCGGAAACATCATTCAGCGCCTCAGGTAAAGTGGGCTCCCTGGAGCTCGTCCAGCCACGATGAGTCCGATTCTGATTGGCTCAAGTCGTTCTCATTGGGCTTAGCTGGACCAGTATCATGTACGTTCCTTGCTGGTCTGAGACGGAAAGGATTCGTTTTTGGCTTGAAGAGTGGCCAACAATCCAGGATCCAAGACGCATCGCTTTTGTCACATTCTACATAGTATAACCTCTGGTTAGAAGAATCCTCTCGCAATCCCAGGTTTTGGACAGCTAGACTTGGTATCGTCCGACAATTTTCGTATGTCCTTCCGGGAGCCGTTTCCTCGGTGGAACCATTCCACCGGGGGGAGCACAGCCACGGACTCGGGGAAACCCAATGAGAGCACTGTACTTTTTCTTAGCGTCATCGAATCAGGCACATGAGGTCACCCGGAACACCAGAGCTCCGGCGCGCCACGCCTTTCAACTGCTTCGTTGTCGGGTCCGTATCAATCACTCACTGGCATTGTGTGGCATATAAGCACTCTTCCCACCTGCGAAGACTCGTCGCTCTCGACAGCAGCAGCAGAACACGAAACGAGACTTTCAATTGATCGATTCCTTCACACCCGCGACAGGGAAAGATCAACATGGCGCCCAAGTCGAAAAAGGCTACGGCTGAAAAGCCACATGGCTACGAATTCGGAGGACCGTAAGTGGACTCAGGTTTTAGATCCCGGCATTGCGAAAGTCAAGCTAACATGCTCTGGCAGCATCGGCGCCTTCCTCATTTCCTTCGGACTGCCGATTCTTGTGTACCTGTTCGCCTTCAGCTGCAACGATGTTTCCGGCTGCCCTGCACCTTCCCTGCTGAGCCCCTCGACCTTGAAGCTCGATCAACTCAAGCGCGAAGTCGGATGGCCCGAGGAGGGCATTTGGGGCCTCGGGAGCGTCAAGGTCACCGGTGCCGTCTTGGGATACTATCTCTTCAATGCGCTCCTCTACCGCATCCTTCCTGCCACCGAGGTCGACGGCGTTGAGCTCGCTTCTGGTGGCCATCTCAAGTACCGCTGCAACTGTAAGAGACTCTGGCTCGAGCAGAGATAATCATCGCTAATAAGCACAGCCTTCGCCTCTAGCATTTTCATTCTGACCGTGTGTCTCGCCGGCACTATTGCTCAGGGCGCCGAGTTTCCCCTTTGGACCTTCATCACCGACAACTACATCCAAGTCGTTACCGCCAACATTCTCATCGCATATGCCCTGGCCATCTTTGTGTACGTCCGGAGCTTCAGCGTAAAGCCGGGAAACAAGCAGCTCCGCGAACTCGCAGCTGGCGGTCACTCGGGCAACATGATTTACGACTTCTACATCGGACGAGAGCTTAACCCCCGCATTACTCTTCCCATCCTCGGCGAGATTGATATTAAGGAGTGGATGGAAATCCGTCCTGGTCTGCTGGGCTGGGCTCTGATGAACTTTGCATGGATGGCCAAGCAGTACCGGACCTATGGCTTCGTCACCAATAGCATTGTCTTTACCTCGGCAGTCCAGCTTGCGTACGTTGTTGACTGCTGGTGGAACGAGCCTGCGATCTTGACCACCATCGATATCACTACGGATGGCTTCGGGTTCATGCTTTCTTTCGGCGATCTCGTCTGGGTGCCGTTCGTCTACTCGGTACAGACTCGCTACCTAGCCGTGTATCCCCACTCGGTGAGCCCCTTGGGTATGGCCGGTATTGTCGCGGCCATTGGCGTTGGGTTTTCCATCTTCCGCCTGTCCAACAGCCAGAAGAACGCGTTCCGTAACAACCCCGAAGACCCCAGCGTGTCTCATCTCAAATACATCGAAACCAAGGCGGGGACTCGCCTCCTCGTCACGGGCTGGTGGGGAGTCGCCCGACACATCAACTACCTCGGCGATTGGCTGCAGTCGTGGCCGTACTGCCTGCCCACGGGCATGGCCGGATACACGATTGTCTCTGCTGGCACGGGATACGCGGAGGCCGGGCTCGAGGGAGCTTTCAAAATGGCGGATGGTCGTGAGGTGATTTCAGGTGCCGCGCGCGGATGGGCTATTCCCATTACGTACTTTTACATTTTGTACTTCGCCGTGCTGCTGATTCACCGGGATCGCCGCGACGACGAGAAGTGTTCGCGCAAATACGGCGAGGACTGGGAGAAGTACAAGAAGATTGTGCGGTGGAGAATCCTGCCTGGCATCTACTGAGAATCTGCGGAAGGGCAGCAGAACACTTTTCGGAAAGCAGGCCCGGAGGCGGAGCCCCATGGGAACCTCTTCGGCCCGTTTTTCTTGAAATGCGGATACCGTGGAGTTCGTGGAGAGCAGCATCACCTGACGTAGAGTTGCAGTATGTACTAGCACAGTTAGGCATTGGCGTACGCAACAGTTGCGCATGGGGTGTTTGTTCATCCAGAGCGGATCTCTGTGGCATCGTCTTTTTGCTACTGAGCATTTTACATACTTGTATCAGTAACAATCCGGTCTAGGCAGATAGTATATACCTGTCGCCACAAACGTCCTATGCGTCCTCTCACCGAACGCAGTCACGCACGTCGTCGTTATATTCTGTCTCGGGGTAAATTCCAAGGCAACACAAGGCGCACGAACCCCTGGATGAGACCGTCATCCACGTGGCCGGACGCACACTGGAACGTTACTCGCGTTCAGGTTGCCAGCATATGTGAAGCCAAACAGACTAATGACCAGATCGAAGTGCGCCTGCGGACGTTTCCTCCCCTGTCAAAAGATGCGGCTAGAAAGGTTCTCCAAATTCACCAAGAAGAAGAAAAGAAGTGTAAACGGGCCGAAAGAGTTGGGGACCCCGCTCCTTGGCAGCGGCCGGCAAGCTCATGGGTAGTGACATTGGCGAGGGCATCATGGAGATTTTAGATGAGCCCGCGATGGATAAGCCTTGATCGCGAACAGGGTTGGGTGGCCACGAGACCTGAACTTACTTCTTTTTCCTTTCCCCAACTGGTAGGTATTCATTTCGTTATTCTTTCATACTTTTTTGTCCCTCTCATACACACTGCTGATTCTCATCCCTTCCTTTTGCCTCCCGAAGAATTCGACGACGAAGGTAGCGAGGGACGAGGAGAGCAGAGAGGAGAACCCAACCGAAGGGAAAATGGGGGGGAGCACTAAGGCAGGCTAAGTGGATTTGGCTGGGTCGGAATGCGGGGAAGGATGAGGGGAAAGCGAAGGGAGATAAAAAAGTGTGGGTGGAAAGGTGGTGGTCGGCTAGCAAGGTGTGCGCAGGGCTCGACTCGGCCAAGAGGCGAGGATGCGCTGTTCATAGGAGCCGAGGCGGTCGTAAACGGCGTCATGTAATTCGCAGCGGGGTGAGGACTCAAAGTGGTTTGATTCGATTCGATTTCCAGCGTGCGGGAAGCAAGTCATGGTCTTCATGCTCGAGATTATTTTTATTTTAAGATTAAGGGTTAGTCAGTGATTTTAAGCATAGAGATGAGATGAGACGGTCAATTAGGTTACAGAAAGCGCTGACGGGGAAGGGCGACTCAGGGACAAGCTTTTTGAGTTTACGTCGTCGAGACTTTGTCCCGGAGACGTCGACATGGGACGTGTCAAGTGTGTCTATCGAAGAAAGATTAAAAAACACAACGATCTCTACCAAGCGAATCATATGCCGAGTCGGGAATGAAGCTATGGGGTAGACTTTGATTCCGATCGGCGGTCGACTCCAAAATCCTGGTCGTGCCCGGCCAACCCATGACCATGACTGCTTATACATTTCTCCGACCAGAGTCTAGTTCGTCACCAAGACGGTCGACAGTCGACAGTCCCTCGGGGTCAACGATAGTGTCGATGCAACGGTGTCGCAGGCGGTGGGGAGCGGGGCCTAGCTGCCGGCTGGGGCATCACTTGACGATGACCAAATTTTGCTTGGAGCACTAAAAAGCGGTCATGGAGTCTTGGAGGAGGAGAAATGACTGCGAGATACCCACTGGCTGTGGCCAACGGCGGGAAGGCGTTGCGCCACCGCTCCTGTTTCCCCTCGCCGGGAGTCAGCCAAGACCGAGGACTCCGTCTAGGCCAGGAACACGTTAGTACTGTACCCATGGGGGGCAGCGGTACTGCCGCCCTAGGTACATGCAGCCATGATGAAATCTCCGCGTGTCTGGATGTTTCTTTCCGGCACGGTTGGCATGCGCTCGCTTCTCACTGCTACCTACTCTGTACTGCCATTACCAGTGCCGCTGCCGGCTTTCCTCCGCTGGTTGCCTACCGTCTGTGCCGGCCAAGGCAGTTACCCACCCCACCCCCTTGCTTTCTTCTCCCCAGCTCTTTCCCTGCTGCTTTGGGGCCCCCGCTTCCCCACCCGTTCCGATTCGGCCTTAGTGTTGTTTGTTTCCCGCTACGTACCCCAAGCCATCCTTCGTCGAACCCGGGCCTTTCCCTCCTTTTCCTCATCCCGTCCCTGTCCATCAACGACGCCCACTGTCGATTGTCATCTGCCACAAATCTCCTTCAGTCAAGCAAGCAACCAACCGAACTACAACGTTGTCACGCCCCCCTCGGCCATTCCACCGTCAGCACTGGATTGAACGCCGCCCGGCGCACATCCACACATCAGGACCCAAACCTACGCCCAGTTACCCTGCAGCCTTCGGAGACAGCTGGTCCCAATGACAACAATGGCTCTTTGGCTGTCCATCTCTGGCCCTTCCTGGGCATCGCCTTGCCCGTCATCGCGCTGGCTGATCGGCCCTTTTGGTCATGACGTACAGATCCCATTGCTGCACCCTTGTGCCTAGTGGCCCAGCGAACTGAGTCACCGTCTTCGCCTCTCCTCATCCTCGGGACGGTGCTGTCCCGGACTTTTGCTTCAGCGAAGCCAACCAAGGTCCTTTTTTTTGTGTCTTCGCCCGACCTCTGCGTACCCCTCTCTGTCAGTTGAAAAAAAAAAAGGTTGTTTCAAGCGTATGTCTACCCAGTCTTGGCAGGAGACGGCCCTCCATCTCTATCTCATCTGACTCTCTTCTTGCCTCTACCTGGGGTTGTCCGTCCTTCTTCCCCCTCACCTAGCCTTTCCTCTACACGTCGATACCTGCTGCTTCTCCCAACCCTGCGCGTCTTAGTCGGAAGCGGTTGGAGACCTTCACTCCAGATATCGTTCATGGTGTGGTGGGGTAGCAACCATCCAGCGTTGAGCGTTGCTGCTTATGCCCACAACTTCCAACCAGGGAAGCCTTGTTGCATCATCGGGTCTGGCCCAGCCCGGCTCAACGCCGGCAGACCTGCGAGTCGGGCCCAGAAGCAAGCTTGCCCTCGGCACGTTGCTTTGAGAGGGGAGCTAGCTACTCTGGTCTGGACGATCATCCAGATTCCTCTGTCAACATTAAAGCAGCCGCGCCCGCCTTCGTCCAGGCTTTTTTTTGGTAAAGCTGTGCGCCCCCTTTCCACGACATCTCATCAGTGCTACCGAACGCTGTGCCACTGATTCGGATCGACTAGAACTACTTTGAATGGTAGTTGTCCCTCGACGTCTCGTGCCGTCCCGCCAGTCCCATTCCCGGCATACGGTGCCCAACAACGGCAGACGACAGGAAACACAATGAGGACACAGACTCTGGCTGTTGCCCTCCTGGCGGCAGCTGATCACGTTGCCGCTGCCGTGACTCTGGAAGGAAAGTTGCACAAGGTACGTTACTGCATGTCGCTGCAGATAGACCGTCGGTCTGTTGTCTCTGTGGAGCCCTGTTGGTGGCTTACAATCCTTGCCCTTCTTGGAACCTCAAGACATTGCCATTCCTGTCGTCTTGTGTTGCGAGCAGACACAATGGGCAGTTTCCACCCAAGCCAATATCTCCTGCCTCTGCCCCGTCTTCCATGCTCCTCTCTCCCGTGTCCCCCCTCGTAATAACACAAACCAATTTCCGCCTTCATGCGATTCTTTCCACTCGCAGGCTCGGCCATTGGGCTGTCACAACTCTCGAGCCGCTCAGAAGACTTACAATGTATACAGCGCGACCTCGCCTACTCGCCGCCTGTCTACCCGTCACCATGGATGGACCCTAGTGCCGACGGCTGGGCTGATGCCTACACCAAGGCGAAGGACTTCGTCTCCCAACTGACCCTCCTCGAGAAGGTCAACCTGACTACCGGAGTTGGGTGAGTGATTCGCGTTAGCCATAGTGGAAGTGATGCTAACAGAGATGCAGCTGGCAAGGAGACTTGTGCGTCGGCAATGTTGGAGCTGTCCCCCGTCTAGGACTCCGCGGTCTTTGCATGCAGGACGGCCCCGTCGGTATCCGTTTCTCCGATTACAACTCCGTCTTCCCCTCCGGCCAGACTGCTGCCGCGACTTGGGACCGAAACTTGATTTACCGCAGAGCCGAAGCCATTGGATTCGAGCACCGCTCCAAGGGTGTCGACGTTGTTCTAGCCCCTGTTGCCGGTCCCCTTGGCCGCGCACCCACTGGTGGCCGAAATTGGGAGGGCTTCTCTGTCGACCCTTACTTGACGGGCGTTGCCATGGCCGAGTCGGTCAAAGGAATTCAGCAGCACGCTATCGCATGTGCTAAGCATTTTATCGGGAACGAACAAGAGCACTTCAGACAAGCGCCAGAGGCTATTGGCTACGGATACAACGTTACCGAGTCCGTGTCATCCAATATTGACGACAAAACAATGCACGAGCTATACATGTGGCCCTTTGCGGATGCCGTTCGCGCCGGCGTCGGTTCCATCATGTGCTCTTACAATCAAGTCAACAACTCGTACGGATGCCAGAACTCGAAGCTTCTCAACGGTCTCCTGAAGGAAGAGCTTGGTTTCCAGGGTTTCATCATGTCCGACTGGTCAGTGCTCCCTCTCTCACAATCCAGACATGAGTGACTAACTTCCTCATAGGCAAGCTCAACATGTACGCGTCCCTTTGCGTTCAATTCATTGAGCAATGGCTCTTCCTCCCCCAACCAATCGAGTTCTTGCTGACAGTTCAATAGGCAGGAGCTGCTACCGCTGTTGCCGGTCTCGACATGGCCATGCCAGGTGATGTGCTCTTCAACACTGGAACCACATTTTGGGGAACGAACCTTACCGTAGCCGTCCTAAACGGCACCGTACCTGAGTACCGCCTTGATGATATGGCCCTGCGCATCATGGCCGCCTTCTTCAAGGTCGGCCTCAAGGTGGAGGATGAACCCGACATCAACTTCTCCTCGTGGACTAAGGCCACGGTTGGCCCGGCTCACTACTTCGCCAAGGAGAACATTGAGGTCATCAACCAGCACGTAGACGTTCGCAGGGGCCGAGAGCATGGCAATCTCATCCGTGAGATCGCTGCCAAGGCCACTGTACTACTGAAGAACAAGGGAGCCCTGCCTCTCAAGAAGCCCAAGTTCCTGGCCGTTATTGGAGAGGACGCCGGCCCTAACTCTCAAGGTCCCAACGGATGTGCTGACCGTGGTTGCAACGACGGCACCCTCGGTGCGGCATGGGGATCAGGAAGCGCCGAGTACCCCTATCTTATTACTCCTGACCAGGCACTGCAAGCGCGGGCTATCGCGGAGGGTTCTCGGTACGAGAGCATCCTCAGCAACTACGAGTCCGCAGCTACCACGGCGCTGGTCACACAGCCAGACGCTACGGCCATTGTCTTTGTTAACGCGGACAGTGGCGAAGGCTACATCAACGTGGGTGGAAACGAGGGTGACCGCCAGAACTTGACCCTTTGGAACGCGGGAGACGAGCTGGTTAAGAACGTGTCTTCCATCAACAACAACACCATTGTCGTCATCCACTCTGTCGGCCCTGTTTTGCTGACTGATATGTACAACAACCCCAACATCACTGCGATTGTTTGGGCCGGTCTTCCGGGTCAGGAGTCGGGTAACTCGATCACGGACGTGCTTTACGGAGACGTCAACCCCGGAGGCAAGTCCCCGTTCACTTGGGGGCCCACCCTTGAGAGCTACGGCACCAACGTTCTGTACGAGCCCAACAACGGCCAGGGCGCTCCTCAGGATGACTTTACTGAGGGCGTCTTCATCGACTACCGCCACTTCGACCGAGCCACTGCCGGTTCCGACGGCAACGGAAACTCCAGTGGCGCTGCCCCCATCTACCCATTCGGCTTTGGTCTCTCATACACAACTTTCGAGTTCTCCAGCTTGGTCGTGGCCCCTAGGAACGCCAGCGAGTACAAGCCGACCACGGGCGAAACGGCCAAGGCGCCGACTTTCGGCAACTACAGCACCGACCCTGCCGAATACGTCTTCCCCAGCAACGAGTTCCGTTACATCTACAACTACATCTACCCCTACCTTAACACCTCGGATGTTCGCGAGTCTGCCAACGACCCCAAGTACGGACAGGCGGCTGACGAATTCCTGCCTCCCCGGGCCCTGGAGAGCAGTCCCCAGCCCAAGAACCCCGCATCAGGCGCCCCTGGTGGCAACCCTCAGCTTTGGGATGTTCTGTACACCGTGACTGCCACGGTCACCAACATGGGCGATGTGGCCGGCGACGAGGTTGCCCAGCTGTACGTCTCCCTTGGTGGTCCGCAGGACCCGGTCAAGGTGCTGCGTGGTTTCGAGCGCCTCACTATCGAGCCCGGCGCGTCGGCGGTTTTCAAGGCGGACATTACCAGACGCGACCTCAGCAACTGGGACACGGCGAGCCAGAACTGGGTTATCAGCCAGTACCCGAAGAAGGTGTGGGTCGGAAGCTCGTCGCGAGACTTGCCCTTGAGTGCGTCGCTTTAAGTATTTGAAAATGCCCGACTCTGGGCACCTTAAATAGTTTCTAATTGATTATGTTTACTACCGCTGCATATCCCATCGGTGTGAGCTGTGTTAATTGTCGAGGGCTTGAGGACTCGATGCTTGTCTCTACACGACACTCGCACGCACTTGCAGTCATCGCGCGTGCCAAGACCACCAATGTTTATTATGATCACAGTCGAAAACCATGATCGAATCGGTACTGTACAGATCGCGGAGCTCGAACCAAGGATGCAGGCGCAACTGACTCAAACAGCAGCAAAGAGTGACGCAAAACGGACCACAATTCGGATCGCGGAAAACATCATTCCCATGCACGTCTCACCATGACGTGCACATGGCTGCAGAACAGCGCGGCAACTCGACCACCACCACAACTGTCGTTTGCGTTCGATGCTGCGCCAGGCTTGGTCCTCCGAGGAGCCAAAAGAGGGACGAGATAAGATGTCTCCTCAGTGTGTTCTAGAAGCGATGGGTGGGCCGAGAATGCTTATATCAGACCGAGATGCGTTTACGCTCACCTTGACACACCTTGGGATCCCCGTCGGTGACGACAGATCGAGCAGCCAGCCGGAGAGGATGTGGTCGATTCACTGGACCTCCAGCCAATCAGACAGTGCAATATAACTACGTAAGCAGAGTTGGCGCTTTTGACAGCGCAGAAAAACAGAGAGGATGGAAATAAGGACTTTGAAAGGACTGGAACATCAGCCAAAAGTGGGGTAAGAACAGCTGCGGGTCTTGGCCGGTCAGGGTGGCCATCCCCTTTTGGGCATTAGCGCGGTGATCCGAAGGCCGCTCCAGCCTTGGGGTGATCAGTGGGCGGCCAGGAAGGCGTTTCTACTGCGGACCTCTTACTCATCAAAGCCGGCATCTGCAGTTGGGCTGAATGGTGAGGCGAGGTGAGTGAGTGTGTGTGTGTGTGAGTGGCCGCCATCCTTTTTTTTTTCTTTTTCTGAAAAGAAAAATCAAGGGTCCCGAGCTGCCGAAGACAGACACTGAAGAAACACAGACAATTGGACAACGTCCCTTCGAGAGCAACCGACCGCGCCCCCGCATCCCTCCTGTTTCGATCAGACTGTGTTCCTCCTCTTACTCTCACACTCACTCTCTCTCTTGCTCACTATCACCTCGTGGCTTGTTTTCCCCGTTGCCTCCTCCGAGAAACCTACCCTCTTGCGACGCCTGTAGCGCCGTTTCTCGTCATCGCGCCGCCTTTGCAGCTGTTAGCTGCCATCTCGCCGACGCTTCGGGATTTCGGCATTCAGGAGCTCTGCCCCCCTCCCACTTCTCCTCCAACCATCCCCAACCCCAAGCTACCCGTACCCCCTCTCAATCGCAAAAGAGCCGCATCGGCACTGCGCAGGAACCTGGACGACGCATCGCAAGCGACAACTACACCAAGCTCGCTCTGCCAGGGCCCCAATCGACAAAGCAACCATCCTCTTGTACCTACCTACCGCTGCGTCTGTCCATCCCCCCCGCCGCGTGCCCAGCCAGCGGGATCCCGAGCAGTCACCACGACAGCGCCGAACGTCGTCCGCATCCAGAATCACCGAGTTCGCGCCCACCAACGCCACACATCCCACGCTCGTCCCGATTGCCCCGGAAGGCCGTCCGTCACCCCGTGAACTGTAAATCCCAACGGCGGACGGATTTTGGGTTCCACCTTTTCTCCTTCCTGCGCCTGGCCCCCCCTCTCTGATGAGAGCTTTCTCCGGGCCAAAGCCACCGGTCACACAAAACACCGATCGCATCCGACCACCAGCGCCCGCGCCCGCGCTCGTAGAGCAGACGGCGCAAATCCCGACCCCCCGGGTCTGATGCAAGGACGCCGTCGTCGTCGCCAACATGCCTGAGTCGCAGACGACCCCGGATCAGGTCTCCATCGACGACCTGACCCCCGAGGAGGCCAACCGCATCATCCACTCTCATCGCAAGGTCCGATATGGTGAGTAAGGTCGAAGCATTCCCCCCTTTCATGATGAGTAAACTCTTCCCCGACTGGCCGGTGTGGCTGCCAAGCCTGTATTGTCTACTTTCATTGCCTTCATCTCGTCCTATCTTGACGACCGAGATGAGATGACTGTTCCTTCCACCCCCGACTCTCATCCCGTCCTATGCTTGAACCACTCACCACCTCGCTGCCCCGCCATCCGTCATCGTTGACCTCATAACCACTGACGCCCTCCAACAGGCACAGCATGCTGGCCGTGCCGCCAACGCAAGGTAAAGTGCGACAACAAGCAGCCATGCGAGAACTGCGTCAAGCGCGAGCATCCGCAGCTATGCTCCTACAAGCCGAACCGCACCGCCTCCCACGGCACGCACCACAAACCCGCCGCTTCCGTCACCACCGACGGCGCCAACAGCGTGGCCGCGGCCGCCAGCACCGCGGGTAACGGCACCCCGCCATCCGGCAACAACCGCAAAAGACCTCACTCGCCCGAAGACCCCGGGGCCGACGCCGCCGCCGGCGCGCCCCCCTTGAAACAGGAACCCGGCAGCGCGGCGTGGCCACGCTCGGCCATTGGTAAGTCATCACTATTACCATCATCATCATCATCATCATCAGCACCGCAGCAGCATCAATGCCCCGGCTTGATATCTACTGCGTCGTCATCCTTCTTGGGTAGCAACAACAGCGGGTTGTATACTAATAGACTTCACCGTGGTCCAGTCGCGGCAGGCGTGGACGAGACCGAGGCCCCCGAGGCCGTGACGCGGTACCTCGGCCAGAACAGTATCCCCTCCCTGCTGCGCGAGCAGTCCGCCGCCAACGACCTGCAGGAGGGCGTCGACATACGCCAGGACATGCGCTCGATACTCGGCCTCGACACCTCGGCGCCCTTCCCGCTCATGTCGTCCAAGCACCTCGACAGCCTGACGAGGGAGATCTCGGCGGAGCTGCCCTCGGACCGGGAAGTCATGAAGTGAGTAGTTCGGCTGCCTCTGGACGTTCTTCGCTCCACCACAGGCACACCCAAAACTGACTAACCCCCCTAGGCTCTTCCGCACGTACAAGGAAACGCCGCAGCAGTTCTGGGGCTTCGTCGTCGACATTGACGACCTCGAGTCCAAGCTCATGGTCTACCTCGAAGACCGCGCCCGCAACGCCAGCAACGCCACGAGGACGCCCAAGCCGGTGTCGGCGTCGTGGCTCGCCATCCTCTTTGCTCTGCTGGCCGTGGGGTCGCAGTACCACGACTCACCATATCACATCCGCACGCGAGACTCGCAAAAGTACATTCAGATCTCGTTCCATTTCCTGAGGCTAGGCAACTTCCTCCTACGGTTCGTCAACCCTTTCCCCCTTTACCACCCTTCATATCTTTATTGGGCCCGGCACAAGAACCTCCACTAACCCGAGACCCGGCTTTTTCAAAACAGACCCACATTCGACTCCATCCAGGCCCTCCTACTAACCAGCTTCGTCCTGCTCAACGACATGAAGGCCGAGGCCTCTTGGGCCCTGCTCGGCCTGACGTGTAGACTGGCGCAGTCTCTCGGCCTGCACCGCCCGAACCCCTCGGACGGGAGGGACAGCGCCCGCAACGACGGGCAGTCCAAGGAGATGATCCGCCGCAAGCTGTGGTGGACGTGTGTGTGGCACGATACCCTCACGTCGCTGTCCTTTGACCGGTAAGTCTTCGCGTTCCTGTAGATGGGGGCAATGACCGTGGCTGACAGGGCCAAAGCCCCCCAATGACAAACATCCCCTGTTGTCCGATCCCGACGGTGCAGCACACCGTCGCCGGCGAGTACGGGTACCTCGACACCATGTACCACCTCTGCGAAATCATCTCGCGCCGCCTCAACCCGGACGTCGCGACGACCGTCAGCTACGAGCAAATGGTTGAGAACTGTGAGGCCGTCGAGAACCTCCGCAACATGGTGGCCCCCAACATCCGCATCAAGGAGCAGTGCAAGCGGGCTATCGACCGCCTCCAGCATTACGCGGTCCGGCTGCACACGTCCTTTGTCATCTCCGTCTGCTGCCGGCCGGCCCTGCGGCGGGACTGCACCAAGCTCACCCCCGAGCAGAAGCGCCACCTCTCGGAAAAGTGCCAGCACAACCTCGCCGAGACGGTCCGCATGTTCCTCGCCATGCACCAGCTCTCCGTCATCCCCACTCGCAGCTGGGCCTTCACCTATCACGGCCTGTCGTCGGCGCTGCTCCTCGGCATCCTGGGCGAGACCAAGAACAGCCCCGAGGTCCGCCAGCTGCAGGGCGACCTCATCGCCGCGCTGTCCGCGACGGCCGCCAAGGAGGCCACCTCGCCGTCGGCGCACATCCCTAAGACGGACAAGGACATTGAGCTGTCGGGCCCGCTGTGGAGGGCGCTGACGGCGCTGCGCAACATTTACGAGCACGGCACCATCATGGGCACGTCGCAGATGAAGGGCACCGACTCGAGCGGCACCGGAAGCGGCGCGCGGACGCCGCTGCCGCCAATGCTCATGGGCCCGATGGCCAACGGCGGGAGCGACGGCGTCGGCAAGGGCTTCGGCCTCGACCCCCACCAGGACGCCGCCCTCGCCATGGCCGAGATGCAGAACGGCACTGCCCTGGCGGAGTACACCCCCAAGTATGGTCTTGTCCCCCCGTCGCCGGATCCGGAGTCGCTAACGAGACCAAGTATGGGATACCCGCCCGTCAGCATGGACAACATTGCGAACCTAGACCCCTCGACGTACATGTCGCCAATGGACCTCTACGAATCGATCTGGTGGGGTGAGTAGCCACGAGTCACCATCCAGTAGGGCGTGACGACGGAAAGACTGACCGATGCATTGCAGAATCCCCCGACCCCTGGAACAGCGGCGTCGATACCATGAACTTCGACTTTGTCGCCCAGCCCCCGCCGGGCCAGCCTCAGCAGCAGTACTACTTTTGAAAGAAAGGGTAAAACGAGAAAAAGAAACACAAGGCAACAGAGAAGAAAGGGAGAAAAACAGAAGTGGCCATGAAATCCGAGTTTCGGGAAGCAAAACCAAGGTCTCGGGGGGGGGGGTACCGCCCACTATGAGTATTGACTGATTGGCATGGGACATGAAAGCGGCGCTTTTTTATTTGGTGAAGGGAAATTCCAACCTTTTATTTGCTTTAGAAAACAGTGGGATCGGGCGGCAACGGCGAGGAAAGGAGGGCGACTGGTTTTTGTTTCCAATCCCGTGGGTCTCCAGGCGCTCCTGCAAGCTTTTTGCTAACTTCTCGGATGGTTCTTCTTCTACTTCCGGAGAGGGTGCTGTCGAGGTTGTCATACTACGGTGTTTAATCATGTTTCTTACGTTGTCACGGTCCAAAAGGCGCGATCCGCTGGGTACGCTGTTTTCCTGTTTCGGTCACGTGCGATGAGTGTCTTGATAGGGACATAGGATTGTGTTTGGTGCGCGGTTGTAGCTGTAGGGTGACGCTGTTAAGGACCCGGATTAGAGCAATGCGCCGTTTACTGACCGCTGCGATGATGGCGCCTATAGCCCGTGAAGTCGTTTCTGGTGACTAATGGTTTCCGGTAGTGGGTTGGCGCTTTCGACACTGAGGCTCAACCAGACAGGAGGCCATGGCGATCTGACGGTGCTCCTTGTACGACAACTTGCCAAACACGCCCAGATAGGAAAGAAAGCCCAGGTGCTCGCACACCTATCTTACTCGTGCTACGAGCCGTAGGACGGAGATTAGTTTTGATACTGTCGTCGTCGGCTGGCATTACCGCGTACGGCCCCACGACATCGCAGAGCGCAGGTGCGAGTTCACGGCATCTCGGCAAACAGGTCGGCGATCACGGAAGGCGGGGCGAACCCGGACCAGAACGGTGGCTGAGCGGATTCCCCTCCGCGAAGACTGGTTGCAAGAAACCTACTGCTCCGCCCCCCGGCTTAGATATGGGCGTAATGGTCCTCCGGTTTGGCAGCGAGAAGAACCGGGGTGAACCCTCCACGGTCCAAACCCAAGTCTCGACACCGCCTGCGCTCGGCGATGGGTAGCCGGCGCATTTCGAAACCCCAACGAGCGCCATTCGCCGGATCGAGGTTGGGTCGATCGGGGTCATTCTTTCTCGACAATGACGTATTGGTAGCGGGTCAATTGCCTACGATCCTGCAAATTTCGCAGGTGACAGATATTGCAGGTTGCCTGGGCAGAATTGGATCGTGACCACTACGAAACGCATGTAGCACGTCCCAACTGCCGGTCTCTACAGAAAGGTCCTAATGAGATGGCACCACAATGAAAATTAGCATACAAACCTTGAAACAACAGTAAGCGCCAACTGTGCGAAACCACATTGTAACAGACGGCCACCGAAAATGCAACGGAACGGGAGAGAATTAGGACTGGCTCAGACACCTGGCACGGGGTTTGCCTCTTGCTGAGCCACCGACCCTGGGTATGGACGAAAAAACGCCCCGAGGCCCGTCTGGGTGGGAATGACGTCCATGTCCATCTGTCGGCTAAGCCTAGATGGTCACCGATGCAGATGTTGCGTTGCACCCAGGTTCCAGGCGAGCGGATTCCATCTGGGGTTGAGCGCTTTCTCGTGCCGAGATGCGGATGAAAACAGCATGTAGGCGATGGCGTCTTGCTTGCTGTCGGTATCTTTGATGAACCAATTGAAAGGCCCTCCTCTCCGTGTGCAAGATGTGCAAGCGAGAGATCAAACGATCACTTTTGTTGTAAACCAATCCACAACAGCGAGTCAAGACCATTCGGTAGTGTGGGGAGACGGCCAGAAATTGCGTGTTGGCATTCGCAGCTTTGTAGTGTACGCGTCAAGCTTTTTGCGTCCGCCATTCTCATCTAGCTCAGGTACGAGCCAGTCAAATACGCGGCGGCCACTAATATCGGTGAAGGGTCCGCGGACGCCGTGCTGACGAGTCCATGGGTCAACTGCAGATACGCGTACCATTAGCAGCAACCGTGTATTGTCCCAGTGCAGTAGGGCATTTGGCCACCACGGGTTCCCTTGACTGAGGAGCAAACCTTGGTTTCATTGCATGCACCCAGGTCGGAAGAGGCAGCAACTCGCAATGCCAAGACGGATGATAACCGGGCAGAAACAATTGCATATGTCCCCAGAAAGGTTGTTTGGCGGCCTTCATCTTCCGATACGGCTCCTGTGCGAGTATCGAACATGGACCGTAGCTGTCGGGTCCAGAAGAGCACCTCCACAGAAGAAAACGGAGACGGCCAAGCCCCCGAAATTATGTCGCAAAGATGTGGGCGGTAGGTCATGGTAGGCCTGGAGCAGTAGGCATGAAGCGGTAGGCATGAAGCGGTAGGCTTTGAGCGGTAAGTGACCTCGTGTACCCGGTGTGAATCTACTGGCGGGGAGCTGATGAGGTCGCGTGCCGTTTTTCAGGATACAAAATTTTGACTGGTTGGCTTGTCTGGTTGGTCCGAACGGTGCCGCGACCCAACAGCATCACTGTTACTCTTCCGCAACAAAAAAATAAATTGTTGCAAACGGACGGACACGAGAGACTGGCGCTGATGGGAAGCTATTCCAACTCTCACACAAGAGCCAAATCCGAACTTCTAGTGAGAGGTCAAGAGAGCTTGACGCCGTTTGATAACGTGGTTATCTCTTGGCTGGCTAATAATTGTAACAACTGACGAGGACAACAGATTGCCCGTTGCATCTCGGCTTGCTGCTTCTATAGCAGTGAAGGTATAGCCACTAGTCTTGGCTGGTGCTATCATTGGAATTAGTGAACAGCTTGACTGGTACCTTTGCTCCAGCGCACTACTGCTCATAGGTCTCAGCTGACTTCGCTGATCTTGGTCGTGGTGGTGGGCGACTCAGTTCAGGCTTTTGAGGCAGAAGCTGCAGTGAGGTGTTCCCCCGTGGCCCATGGATGGACCCAGTGATCGCTGCCGAAAGGAGCTTGACAGCCCATGGCCAATGCCTCCATTCCATCTCAGGGTGATTCAGTAACAATGCTCGCCTCCCCACTTCAAACCCACCTCGACAAGGCGAGTGCATCAACGTTGCTGGCAACCATCCCAAGCTGTGCCCTCGCTCCTTGGGCACCTTCAACTAGGTACTAAGGGCCAGGTAGTTGAAACTGCGCAAGGAGTAAAAGCAGGTAGCAGCCCGGTGCCGCCAGAAGTGTGTTCCTCCCAGCGGCAATGGCTTCAAATCTAGGGCGGTGCCAAGACGACTAGTGGGTGGAATGGCGTCGCGGGGCTTGACGGCTCTCTTCGGCTGGCACCTTTCGCACACAGCCTTGGGTTGAAATGGGCCCTCGAGGGCCTATTGTCTTTGATGTTGTTTCTCGTTGAAGTTAGCCATTGCCGGGATTCGGAGCAAACGCGTAGCGTCGTTTATTGGAGCAGGGCTTCGAAATTGGCCGGCAGGCTGGCCATGTAGAGTGATGTCATCTGTGCCCAAAAAGAGCTAAGCGTACTAGCGGTGCATGCAAAGCTTCCCAGCACGTATGACTGCTGCTGTGCGAGGAGGGTATGAAGTCGATTCGTCAAGGACTTCACGGTTGAAGGTGACGGTAGATGATGGGGTCGCCAGAAATAGGCCGACTGCGATACACGGCAGCGAGGCATTACTGAGATGTTGATCGTGCGTCCTCAAGGGTTCTCAATTGAGATGAGGCGGAGATTGGTTGGGTTGAGCTCTTGTCGGATAACGGCCGAGACTTAGGGCACGCAACGCAGGGCCGCGACTCTGAAGGGTCCAAGGTTAGGGTTGGGAGCAGCTGCTAAGAAAAGAATGGCAGATGGAATTCAGATTAAAGAGAGTTGGCAACCTGATGGGGCGAAACAGGCATTGGAAGACAAAGTGAAGGGTTCGAAAGTGACGGTGCAGTCAGATGCGATGGGACGTGATAGGTTGGGATGGAACGGACGGCTCATGGGAAGTGGGAGAGGAGCCGCCAAGACGCGTGGCCCTCACCAGCCCATCGGCAAAAGAGGCGCAATGGAAAGAGAAGATGAGGGTCTGATTCGTGGCAACCGCAAGCACTGGATCTGTTCGTTTCTTAGGTTGGTGAGCGTCATCAGAGAGGAAGGACCAGACGAAGGGTTCAGAGTGTGTCATCCTTCCTGTTCTCTGTCGGAGCAAGTAACGAGAGTGCCTTCCGGGAGTCAATTCGGAACGGTAGGCGGGAAGGGACGAGGGACGGTCGGTGAGTAAAGCAGGGCAGCGCAGAGCAGCGCAGCAGAGTGCCATGTCCGTTTTACCCCATCAAGATTCACACCCACCTTGGACCTACCTCTCCACATGATCACTTTCCCAAAACCGCAATTGTCCCACTTAGCAAAAAGGGACGTGTCCCACTTCTTACAAGCTGCACGCGAGTCTGAGCCTCCGTAGGAAGGAAGGAGCAAAGCAAAGCAGCAGCGCAGCACCTTCCCTTACCTTAGCCCGGGCGGGGGGCCAAGACCAAAGCGACGCGAACCTAGACGGAAGTGACATGCGCATTTGCCTGCCTTCGCACCCGCCGCAGAGGTATTTCGTGTCGCCGTGGCAGGGATAGTGCGCAAAAGAGAAGAAACCGAAAAGTCTTGGCAGCGCACCCACAGTTGCCGTGTGTTCCCACCTTTCTCCTGCCCACCTGCGACTCACTGGACAACACCGGCCGTCTTGCTGCTGTTTCGTCGCCGGGATTGGGCGAAAACGCCCTGGATGGCTGGCTGATGCTCGCCTTTTCCTCGTGCAAAAAATGGGAATCTGGCCCATCCGTTAAAATGAACGGCGGAGCCCACTCTTTCTGCTCTGCGCGCGCATCTCCTTCCCCGTGGGTCGCTCCTGAGTTCCACGTCCCTGCTGTGTACGCTGTAGGCCGCCTCTGTTTTGCCTACCTTCTCCTTTCCTTCTCCTCTTGATCCTCATTCCCTCTCATCCTTCTCCTTCTACTCTCCCATCTTCTGTCGACTCGTCGTGTCGCATCGCCAAGTTTCTCGACGCAGTCTTTTCTCCCGCTGCGCGACGCTGTCCAAGTATCCTCTTGTCCGACTGCCCGCTCTGCGCTGTGGTTATATTCCTTTCCTACTACACGGCCACTAGCCAATCCGGTGGAGTTTCGGTGACAACCAGAACCCTGGATAACGATTAACGGACACTTTCGACGACGACGAAACACGAATCTCTACGACTTCTGGATCCGCCACGCTCTCGATCCTTTTGTAACCGAACTCGAGAGCTGTAAAGACTGAAACGACTTGACTTTCCATGAGCCGACTGGTCTGGGCCTGAGGACTACTTGAGGACTACCAACGCTGTGGAGAACGTTCTGGGAGTAATTGGTAGCTTTGACTCTTCTGACGAGTATACTACGACGCCGTGAGACTACACGAACCCACATCATGGCCGATGTCAAGCCTCCCAGCGGCAAGCTGCCGTATGGCACCCCGGAGGGCGGATGGAAAGCGGTGCACACATGGAGAACCCCGGATTGGGTAGAACCGATTGTAAGGAGATTTTGAAAACTTTACCGCGGCGGCGGCGAGTTATCAGATCTTCGAGGCTAACAACAGCACTAGCTCATTGTTTCCATCATGCTGATCGGCTTGTACGTCAGCCGCCGGAAGAACTACTCGATTCTTCGCCGCGGCAATGCGACATACGAACCTCTCTTCGAAGAACGAGGCGACTCTCCTCGCATCTCGGACGACTCGTACGAACCCATCCGCACCGATGCCTACCCGCCCAAATACCGCACAATCTTTGGCTGCTTCCGCGTCAAGACTCCCAACTCGAGCCGCTTCGCGAGACACGTCCATTCGAGGATCCTGCAAAAGTTCCCCTTCCTCATCGAAATGTTCTACTGGGCCATCTCCTTCTTCTTCTACCGTATGACCGCTACCCTGGCCCAGAGCTACTACGGCAGCCGTAAGGCCGTCTGGGACGTTGCACAGGAGCATGGCCTGTTTCTGCTCGAGACCGAGGCCAAGTTTTTCGGCGAGGGCACCAGAACCGGCCCCGAGCGCTGGGTTGAATGGCGCGTGTCGCACTGGTTCCTCGAGGGTGCTCAAGTCGACGACTTCCGTGGCATCTGGCTGACCATCCTGAACCGCGGCTACTCGTTGATTCACATCCCCGGCACCGTCGGCTTCATCGCCTACTATTACGCCATGGCGCCCACTCATGCTCGTTTCTGTACCGTTCGCCGCACCATGACCTTGCTGAATATGTGTGCCTTTATCATCTTCATTTTCTACCCCTGCGCACCGCCACGGTTGATGCCTTCCGAGTACGGCTTCGTCGACACGGTCAATCTCGAGAATGCCGAGAGCGTCTGGATGAGTGGAAAGTTCGTGAACAAGCTGGCTGCCATGCCGAGTATGCACTTTGGCTACGCATTCGCCATCGGCTGCGTCTTCGTTGCCGACTCGGCCATTCTTAACTTACTCTTTGGGCGCCTGCGCAACTACCTGCTCAAGGATGACTTGGACAAGTCGCTGGATATTGATGACGTCGAGTTGAAGGAGATCCAGGAGAACCGCAAGCGTTGGAAGAGCTGGGCCATGTTCGCTTTCGGCATCTTCTACCCGAGTTGGATTCTGCTGACCATCGTCGGAACGGCCAACCACTACCTTATGGACGCTTTTGTTGCTACCTTCTGCGCATTGATGGCCTACCTCTGCAACCGCGCCCTGCTGGTATTCCTGCCCGCGGAGGACATGCTGCTTTGGGCCTGGAGGCTCGAGAAGCCAGTGCCAACCACCGGTCGCATGAAGAACATTGCGGTGCGGTGAATGGTGCCGAACAAGAGTGTCGAGAAGAAGCGTCCAGGCAATATTGAAATAAAGAATTGCCTAGCTGATATGTTTAAAGCATTGTAGAGGCGTTGGGAAAGGACCTCGTTTAATTTTGCACGACAGGCCGAAACTGTGTGCTATGTTAGCCCTTTTAATAAGAAATCTTCGCTGTTCAATAGACAAGCCTCCCATGCTCCGCCACCAATGACTGTTGGAAGCAGTGACATTACTAGCTGTTGTCTCATTGACCGTTCGTATTCGGTGGATCTGGGGTCGGGCCTAATCGATGCATGGTGATCTCGGGACATTCTTTGGCTTTCTTTACCGGCATGCGGAAATGGTAACATTGACCCTGCAGACTCGCTGCCCGCTATCATTTGCTCAAGCCGAGACATCCGTGCCGCTTAACCATCTCGTTTGCTGCGGGAGAGCTGCGGAAGTCGGCGGCCGAAGGTACCGTGGCCCGGGATCTTCGGTTCCATCTCAGTCCTCCTGTGTATGGACTGAATGGAAAGTCTCGATTGTCGCGGCCTGAGGGCGCGTGCTGATTGCGATGGAGTATTGCGATGGAATATTTCGATCGGCTGGGGTGAATTCGGATCTGTCGCTCGCGGGAGAGTTCCCTCGACCCATGGGGTTTCTTACGAGTGAGGCCGCGGGCCCCGTGAGAAAGCGATCCCATGTCGGGCTGGGCCGTTCTTCTGGCCCTCCATGGAGGGCCTAGCTCATTTTGGCTCCTTACCATAAGCTTGACTTGGTACCGATAGCTGTGTTTAAATTGACGTTGGCAAAGCAAGCTAAGCGAGGATGCTGTTGCTCATTCGAAGATTTTTGTCTGTCTGGCCTGTTCTTATCGAGCCTGGTGCGAGGCGAGATCAAGGTTTACAGCAAAAAGCAACGCGCCGTTAGCTGTCAATGAGACGGTACGTACCTGTTAGCCCAATGAAGCAAACCATCGATAGTTCCCGTCATCTGTAAGACGGATATGCATATTCGAGTGACCATGGCTTCGACGCTGCTGATGCGCAAGCAGTAAACATACAAGAGCCTGCGATATTCTGGCAGACTTTGGTTGTTGTCGCTTGCCCTCCTTTCCGTGGGCCACGTTCGCTTCATAAAGAATCAAGAAATGTGATAGTCGGCTGACGGTTGTGGATGGGTACACGATGCCTAGGCCACGATGCGACCTATCGCGTCCGGGCCCAACACCACGTGTGATTGTACCCACTGGTGGTTTGGCGTGCTCATCAAACATCAGGCACGTGGACGACCGGTCCCTAACCATCACCCAGAGATAACGGATATGACAAGAGATGGCAAAAGCCTTGTGTTTCCTGGATCCCGTGCATGTCCTTGTACATTGGGAATCAATGTCTTTGTGAATGGCGCTTGTTTGCCTCCCACTGATTCTTGGCAGCGAAAAATAGCCTATACCAAACACATGTATGTTTCTGATCTATGTTACTGGTCAATGTAAACCTTTCTGTATATAGGGCCCTGGCGGCATCAGCCATCGAATTCAGCCTCTTGATAGTTGTCAACAACACCTCGTCTCAACTTACTCTCAACAGATAGGGACACAATGATTGACCACAGTCCACCTCCATCCACGCCCGCCAGCCCATCGGGCCGTGGTGATCAGCCGCAGAATTACCTTCGCATCCCAGGCCTCCTTTTCGACAACGTCCCAGCACTAATCCCGCAAGAGCACTCTGCAGCCCTCAAGTTTCTCCAGCCCTCCGATGTCGACCTCGGCATGTCATACGGCGAGTACTACACCCTTCTAGAGCCTTTTGACCGTGTAGCCCGCAAGCTCGTCGATGTGTTTGACTACTGCATCCAGGTTCTCAGACACGGTGCCGAGTCGGTCGCCCTGCCTTCGCATTCTACCTTTACTAATTCATACTCCCATGATTCCATCTTGGTCCTCCCTGACTTTTGGGACGGGTTTTTTGACCAGGTGCTTGATTGTCTGGGTCACGCTGGGGAAAATGTTGGTCTGTGTTCGCTTGATGTCATGTGGATTGTGTGAGGAGTCGAGAAGAGTCCGAAAAGAATAATTAGTGTACTGCCTAGTCTCAGATCAAGGGTCAACAACCGTGATGGGTCAAGCAAGCAGTCTGAATGGGTGTGTGTGTGTGTGTGTGTAAGTACAAGAGTGGGTTGCTGCAGGGAGAGAGTGTGGGGTTCAAAGGTGGTGTCCATGCTGACTCATCCCATCCCTTCCCACCACGTGATAATCCCTTCCCCGAAAAAAAGGATAACGTCCTCGTTATCGCTCTCAATATCATCTAGTTTCTATGCCTATAATTCCAATATGTCTATTCCGTTTCCCGATTCTAATCTATAGTCCCTTACTACCATTATAAGTCTCTATTCCTAGTCATCATCCCTTATGTCTTTAAATCATAATCCTTTGTTTTATATTAGTTCTTTTGTATAGTTTTACTATTGGATGTTTATGTGGTAAGTGATGATATTAGGGCTGCCTTAGCCATTATTCCAGTTGTCATTATTGGTGTTTGTAGAGCTGGGCTTGTCAAGGTGAGTCATAGGTTTGTTAGTGGCGACGTCAGGGTTGTCCTAGGCTGTGGCGGTACTAGGCTACTTGTCCTAGTTGGCGACAATGTTAGGCTTGTCCTAGTTGGTGATGATATTAGGCTTGTCCTAGTCAATAATAATATTAGGCTTATCCTAGGTGTTATTAAGGTTTGTATAGTTAGGATTGTTAGGGTGAGTCTGGCTAGGGTTGTTGAGGTTTGTGTTATTAAGCTTGTTGAGGTTTATGTTATTGGGCTTATTGATAACCTTGAGTTGATTGTTGGTGGTATTGAGCTGGTTGATTGATTTGGGCTTATTAAGGTGAGGCTGGCTAGGCTTGTTTGTATCTATGATTTTGGAATAGTTATTATTAATAAGGTAAGATTGATTGCTAGTAGTGTTAGGCTTGTTGATAACTTTGAGTTGTTTAGCTGTATTTATTGTGTTAGGCTTAATAACCTTAAGTTGCTTGTTAAGGTAAGGCTGGTTGGTGTGCTTAGGCTAATTATTAGTAGAGGGGGGTTAATTGTTAATAGGTTTACTGAGGAGCTTTTTGGTTTAGGTTTTGAGTTTAGTGATAATGTCTAGAAGTTTAATACTAGTACTTATAACTAAAGTAAGTGCTTTGTCTGTGTCTATGATACGTTAAGTTGTGCTGATAGGGGTAGTACTGATGTTGGTCTCTGGGTCTGCCTTTGTGTTGGCTGTGATTTGAGCTATTGTGCGTTTGGCTTTATGGTTGTATTTAGGCTGGTCTATGTTATTAATACCTGGCTTATTTGGCTTTAGTTTGTTGTCCTAAGATTTAGGATAAAAAGAAGCTTAAGTTTAAAAGACTAAGACTATATAAAAGCGTTTATAATGTTTACTTTTGTAGTTTTTGTAGTTATAGAACTTTTTGTATTTTTGTTTAAGGTATTTGCTATTTTTGTATTTAGTATAAATTATGTTAAATCTAGTCTTTCTATAACTAGTTTCTCTTATAGCTTAGTTAGTAATATGCTAGTTATAATAGCTAATTAGGTGATTTACTTAGGTGTTATTAGCTATAGTGGTTTAGCTATTTCTATGCTTTTTCTACTTAGAGGTATTAATAAGGTAGATTATAAGGCCTTTAGCTTAGGTTACTGTAATAGCTATATAGGGTTTCTGTAGAACAAAACCTATTCCTTGTAATCTAACTGTGTCTATAATAACGATATCTACTTTAGCGCTTATATTGTTATTAATAGATCAAATAGTAACATTTGCCTGTATATTATTATTAGCGTTTAAGGTATTAAACGCGTCTTTATATTCTTGGCGTTATGTATTATATACTATAATGATTATAAGGTTTTTTTGTTGACTTATGTTATGTGTACTAGGGAAACCTTTTCTGAAGAGCTGGAATATAAGTTATATTATATAATTAATGTTGGTGTTATTTAGCTTAGATGTACCTAATATTAACTTAGTTCCTTCATAGATATTAACTATAAAAGAGTTTATTATACTTTTAATGTCCTAGTTATTACCTCTTATGACTTGGTTTCTGAGGTTTATGAAGAAAGGAATAAGTCCTCCTAAGCTATAATAGATTATTATTTCTTAGTTATATATTATTTTTTTAGCCTATTTTGTAATAAATCTAATATTGTATTAATTAATTATGATTTTTGTTGTAATAGCTCTAAGCTTTTTTATTTAGTGAAGAACAAAGGTAGTGTGTTGTGGTCTAAAGGTTGAGCACTAATGAGCCTCTGTGTCTCCTTTGCTGTTCATATTAAGGCTCTTGGATATAGGGTTGAATTGTTGTGTATTACTTGTTGTAATGACTTAGGTTGGCTTGAAGAAGGCTATAGGAATATAGAACTGGGATTCTGGTATTTGACTGGTTTTATTTATGAAGATAATATAGGGGTTCTATTTGCCTGAATTGTCTTGCTTAAGCTTGGATGTGTATGTAATAGAGCCTAATGCGACTAGGGTACTTATAAGAATGTTGACTTGTGTAAGTGTGTGAGTAAGTAGGCGATTTGCTTGAATGATGAGTGTTGTCTTTTGTTTGTCTGTTTTGTGGGTATTGGCTTTTAGTGCGTTGAATTCATTGAAATCCTGGTTATTTTTTGTGATTGATAAAGTGATATTGACAAGTGAATCTGTGTAGGTAAGTAGGTTATCTTGTTTAGTAGCGTCTTTGATGTCTGTGATGACCCTGATTACCTAATGTTAGGCTTTAGAGTGTTAAGGGTCCATGGCTAGGTGTACTATTTGGCTGTATTTGATTTGTCTTGTTAATGCGTAGAGTATGCGTTTGTGTGTATATGCTTTAGTTATTGTGGAATTCTGGTATATAGCTTTAAGTTTATTTGTTGTATTATTATAGAAGTCGTTACTGTGTATTGACTATGCTGTGTTATACTTGTTGAGTGCTTTAAGGAGTTTGATGCTCTAGGTAGTCTTTCCTGACCCTAGGCTATTAGTATAAAACGTTATGCTTACTAGGTATTGTGTGATTAATTTGTTAAGTTCTTGATATGGACTATTAGGTGTGGTTTCTGTGATATAGCTTTTTAGAGTAGGGAAGATTGTGGTTATGTCTTTAGGAGATGCTAGTATGTAGGCCTTTCTAAGGTATTAGAAAGTAGTATCCTGGAAAGTACCTGTGTTTGCTGAGGCCATAGCTTGGACCACGTTTATTTCTGCTTTTATAGTGGCTATATTGGCTTTATAGGATATGGAAAAGGTAATGTTCTTGTCTTAGTTAGTATTATTAGATATTATAGACCTTAAATCTCCTAGAAGATTTAGTTAAGGTAATTTAAAGGGTATAAGTAGTATTACAAAGTGTTTAAGTTAGCTTTGTTTATATAGAGTATGGATAAGTAAGTATATCTTTGAGAGATCTGTCTGGGGTGGGGTTTTAATGTATGTGGTGTGTTAGTGGATGCTGTTAGTGTCTTAGGGGAGTTATAGAGGTGTTTGTTGAAAAGATTGTATGAGGTTATTGACTGTGTTGTTGTCCTGGACTTATAGGAGAGGGTAGAAGAGCTTTAGTATTCTCTTGGTAATGTAGATCTGTGTGTTGTCTTAGGGGAGATCTTAGGGAATGCTATGTATGGTTCTGAAGTTTGTGTTGATAGGTCTTATAAAGCTGTCTATAATAGTGATGGTTAGGCTAGTATTTTGTGCCTTAGTATGCTTAGTTTTGGCTTCTTTGTGTAGTTGCTGTAGTTAGGTAGCTTTTTTAAGAAGATATTGTATTGTTATATGTGTATTATGATCTAGATCGTCTTCTTTAGTAGGGGGAATATAGTGTTCTAGCGTTTTGACTTGTATTTTGAGTGTTAAGGGCTGACTAATATTAGGTAATAAGGGCCTGGTGTTATTATTGATGTTAGTTACCACAAGGTATTAGTGGATAGTACTATTAATAGGGATACTATAGTCTTTGTTTTGTGTGTCCTAAGCTAATATTAGGTCTAGAATAAAGAGACCTTTGAGTTTATGTTGTTTAATCTTAAGGGTAACTATAGCGTTTAATTTGTACTCTTTAAAAGAGGATATTTGTAGTATAAGAAGATATGTTTTGTTATTATGAAAGGTAATGTAAGATGCGTTTAGGGCAGGGGGTTATTCCTGGTTGGCCTATATGGTCTTTTATCTAAGTTATCTAGGATTATTGGGGTTAAGGAAAAAGGTATTAGTTTATACCTATTATGTTATAGAGTTAACTTTAATGTAGTTATACTTAGTCTTAAAATGATTAATCTATTTGCTTAAGATTGTCTAGTTAGGTAAGGTTAGGATTATGATAGTGCGTCAGGTTATATTAGGAGCATTAAGTAAATTCTATATATTAATTATAAGCTGTTTAGTGTACTTAGTAGTTTTGGCGTTATCCTTGTTTAGAGTTAGTAGGCAAACAGTGTGCAGCTAGTAATACTACTAATGGATAGAGAAAGTGGTAGCTATAAAGCTATAGATTATTATTATAGTATTAGTAGGGTCTTTCTTGAACAACTTGGTGATGTTATTGTTATTCTGACTATGTTAGGTAACGTTGGGGGTTCTAGCTTATGTACTGATAAGGAGTTCCAAGTAGAAAGCTATGTGTGTTCTGTTATATAAGGTGTATATGTATTTGATCCTTACTTTTAAAGGATAGGTTGCTTCTTGGACATATAACATAGTGGTTCTAATAGCTGAAGTTAGGTTGCTACTAATTGCCTTAAGCGCTAATGGAGTGTAACCCTTAACCTTGCTGTTAATAGCTAGGACACTAGTAATGGATAGAGATGTGAGGGGAGTGGCGTTTAGTTGTCTGATTAGGCGAGGTCTTTTTCCCTGGGGTTAATGAACAATGCTGATGTGTTGTAAGTTAGTTGTGTTAAAGGTCTATGGGCTATCCTGAGGTTTTTTTGGCGTATTATACTGTTGATTGTTCTCTTGACTGTATTGGTTATTTCCTTAGTTGTTACTAGGCTTAGTTGTCTATATAGTGCTTTA